TCGGAGCTTCGTTTCCTACCGTGTCCGATGCCTCTGGTATCGGGATAGACTGCACTACCATCTTTCCTTCCGGTTGTTCCGGAATTGGAATTGGTAAGAATTAAAGTGAACTTCGAATGCAGGTAGTCGCATCCGAGTAGCACTGGGATATCCGCTTCGGTCGGCTGGACATGGAATGTGTGATGGCTAGTAAAGCCCTGCATTGTTACAGGTGCCGTACAGCAGTGTGACACTACAAAGGCGACTTGTCCGCCCACTCCAAGTATTTTGGTGTAATGTCCGAGGGGTTGCATCGTTAAACCGTTCCTCTCGCAAAACCGTTGTTCGATGAGCGAAGTCTCCGCTCCGGTATCCAACATCGCCATTGTGGGCGTGGATCCGACTTGGATTTCGTGTGTCCAAGCTCGAACTGTTTTCGGTTTCTTATGCGTTCCCTTCTCAAAGGTTACTTCCCGTATCGTTGGTTTGATGGGAATTAGTGATACCGGACCGTGGTCGGCTGGCTGTTGAGTTGAACTTTGTGTAAGTTCGACTCCGACTTCACCCGCTTCCTGTACCTCAGGTCGGTTAGCTACTCCGTCCTCCGGTAATTTGGCGGTTCGGAACCGTTGTGCCTGTGCCAGTATCCGTTCCTCTATTGAGGTGTCTGTTGGCCTCAATTTTGACCACATATAGTCGAGGTTCAGGAATGTTCGAGAACTGGCTATCGTTCTAGCTGGTCGCTCTTTTGGCTGGAAGAGGTCCGCTTCTCCCGGCCGAGAGTAAACGGGTACCTGTACTCCCAATGGGACTGTTTCCCATTCTTCGACTTCTCCTTCCGATTCCTCGGTGAGGTCGATAGCTGCCATTGTCGCAGCGTATCTATCCGTTGCGCGTGCGGATGATACATTGGGGAAGTTTCTGTTGCCCCTGTGCGTGAATCGGCGTCCCGGTCCTCCGCGTCTTGGGCATCGTCTGGCCTGCTCGGTTGAGTTTATCCTCACCGGCAATCCGGTCCAACTTCCGTGGCCGGGCCGTACTACGTCACTTTGTGTGACGGACGGCGCAGTCGCTTTGTTCGCACTGCTTAGGTCGGGCAATTTCTGCGTTCCGACCTCCGACGTTCCAGCTTCGAATCGAGGGGCTGGGTCGGTCGCCTCGAGTGCTTGTTGCATCCCGGGCCACGCTTCGACGGTGCCGTTGTTGGCGTACACGCCGAACTGAGCGGCTAACTTCACGACCGCCTCCTTTGTGGAGGCCGATATCGCCTTTGCGAAGTCCTCTTCGGAGCTGTTTTCGTTCAGTCCGAGTAGTTGGAGGATAGTGGCTACCTGTTGGTAGCCTTCCTCAATCGTCGTTGGGAAGTTCGGTTCGTTCCGGGAAGTTAGCGGCTGATTAGTGGGGTTATCCTTGTCCGGTGGTTCGGTCGGATGTTGGAGGTCGAATGAGTCACCGGAGCTCATCGACCTTGAGCGTTTCGGGGAGTTACCTGAGCCGGCCCATTGTTGGGTGGCGTCGAGTTCAACGACTGGCGGGGCGGCAACGGTTCTCTGTATGCCGGGGAACCTTGTTGGTTCCCACCGCTATTGTTGCGGTTTCCGCCATTCCCCTGGCCGGGCGACCGGTTTCTGTTACCGGGGCTACCCGAGCCTCCTGCCTGTTGGCGTTGGCGTGGTGGCGGCACGATGTCCTTCCAGAAGGGATTCACCGAGCCTACCGGGCCATTCGTCGAGTATCGGCGGTACCAATCGTCGTACCACCGAAGGTTCGGATTGTTATCCGAGCCATAGATGCAGCGCGACTCGTCATGGTTATTGAACATGCAGTGCCTGCACCGGAAGGTCTTATCCTTCGTCCACTGGAAGAAGGCCGCCTCCATCTTATCGACGTACGATGTTCCTTGCCGAGCACCTTGTTGTGCCTGGGGAGGTCGGTTGCCTTGTGGGCCGCCGCCTCCGCCGCGGTTAGGGAAGTTCCCACGGCCGCGATTCCCGCCGCCGCGTCCTTTCCCGCGACCATAGCCTCCGCCGCCGTATCCTTGTGGAGGATACTGTCCGTATGCGGAGTACCCCTGGTTCGAGTTCTGTCCGTAACCAAAACCTGTGTTGTTTTGGTTACTGCCCGAGCTATATCCTGGGCCGCCGTAGTTGTTAACGGGGGCTCCAACTCCAGGTGCTGGGGGATTCGAGTTCGCTGTTACCGCGCCTGCCCACGTCTGTTGCTGGACTGGTGCTTGTTGCACCGGTGGCGTCGGGGCCGGGCTTAGTTGTCCGTATTGTGCCGTCGGAGTTTGATATCCGGGCATCATATGGGGCTGATATCCGGTCTGTTGCGGTATCGCCGGAGGTGGAGTCGGGACAGGTGCAGGTGTTGCTGCCCGAACTCTAGCGTAGTCGCTGTCACGCGACTTGCGTACCTCGTACATTTCCTTGCCGTTAACGAAGTCCCGTAAATAGTCGCGGAACTCGATCGGCGTTGACGGCATCCTGATTTCCAGGGCCGCCCGCAGTTGGGGTTCATGAACGTTCTCCTTAAGGTGGTACAGTATAATTTGGTCTGTGACCGTCGGGACTTGGGACTTCATGAACATCATTGCGTCGTAGTATTGTTCCGGCGTTTCTTCGCCGAAACGGAATATCCGTTTGTTAATCCTGGATATCATGTTCACTTCTTTGTTTTTGTCCGCAAATCTCTGCTCGAATTTGGTCAGCCATAAGTTGACTGGCCATCCGCCGAGTGGTTCTCCGGCGGCTTCGAGGGTATGCCATTCTTTCGCTTGGCCGTCCAGTTCGGCTATCAAGTCGGACATGAAGGTCTGATCGTCTTCGTACCATCGTTGGGCTTGACGATACAGGCTTCGGATTTGCTTAAGCCACCCATGAAGTTTGGTGTGGTCCCCGTCGAACGGTGGTAAGGGTTGCCGACGTCCGTGGGCTATTGCTCGTACCAAAGCAACGTGTGCTGGGTTCTGTTCCAGGGGATTTGGTTGTGCCGCCGGCGCAGCTTGTTGTGCAGCCGGGGCGGGTGGTGGATTGACGTATGGCATGTGACCTTGTTGGTCTTCGTACGCCTCCTGTTGGTAGGCATCGTCGTCCTGGCCTTCGTATCCGTCCTGTTGCGGATGTCGAGCCTGAGCCTGGTCTGCGTGACGAGGCTGTTGCGGCTGTCCTTCATACTGTTGTGGTGGAGGCGCTCGATTTTGTCTCGGCGCCTGCGGATAGAATCCACTTGGCTGGTCGTAGACTCTTCCGTACCGGTCGGGCTGTGTTCCCTGAGCCGGCATCCGACTTTGTGTAGGTCGGTTTGGGGGCCTTCGGCCTTGTTGGTCGGAGCTGTCTTCTCCATTTCGTCCGTCCTGCTGCTGGTCGGCCGTGTTGAATGACCGAGCTCGCCCGCGTTTAAGGTCGAACTGCGGGTTCTGGCGGAGCAAGTTCGGGTTGGAATTCGTCCGTGGCGGGCGGTATGCCTCCATGCCAGGTCTTGGTGGCTGGATTGGGAGACGTGAGGAATCTGTTGTCCGATCTCCTCTCGTATTAGGTACCGGCGCGTACATTGTTGTGCGCGTCGCGTACGAGGTGCTGGTATACGCACCGGCCGACGTTGTTGTCGCCACGTTCGTCGTTGGCACTCGTGGTGCCGCGGTCGACGTGTTGTGTTCCGGTTCCGGAGCACTCGGTACTGCTGGTGGTTGTGGGATTGTTCCCACACTCGGGTCAATTGTTACGACTCCGACGAAGTAGGAGGTGTTGTTCTCCTTCTTCACCATTTCCTGGGTCGGGTTAATTCCCCACAGGATGTCACTTATTGTTCGTGACGGGTGTTGCTCCTGTGCCATGGACGTCCGGTATGAGGGCGGTTCGACCCGACTATGTTCTTGGTATGGGGGAAGTTCGACCTGGCTTTGTTCCAGGTGTTTCTTTTCTTCCCTCAGACATCTTGTTTCGATGTCCATTTCGTCCATTTGCCGCATCATATCTGTGAGATTGCGGGCGGCCTGTTCGCCGAAGTCGTACAGTTCGACTTCACGGGCCTCCAGGTAAAGGATGCGACTGTGTTGCGCCTCGTTTACCTTTTGGGCCTCGTTCAAGTTGTACTCAAGTTGAGCTCGGAGTTTCTGTTCCTCCTTAAGGACTTGGTTCAGTCCATGGACCTGGTCGGCTAGCTGGGCGTTTGCTTCCACCAGGTCGACATCGGCGGTCCTTTCGTTAGGAAAGCCCATGTCCCGAGCGTTCGCGTCGATGAACCGTCGTCCCATTCTGGTGAAGGCAAGTTCGATTTCCGCCTCGAGCTCGTCGACTCTGTGTGTTAGGCGGTCGATCTCGTCGTCGGCCTTCTTCAGTTCCACCACATATCTATCGACTTCGTTTCGATAGACCTCGGCTTCTTCGTTGGCCGTGTTGAGTTGCTGGTGGAACGCTCCGGCTGCCTGCTCCGACTCGACCAGTGCGGTCTGTACATCGGCCAGGTCTTTTTGGGCCTCTTCGAGCGCTTTGTTCGCTTCGGCTAGTTCTCGGTTCAGCTCGTGAACCGCATCCATGGATCGATCCAACATGCCCTTGAGTGTAGTGGCTTCGTCGATGTCATGCCGACACGGTTGGTCGGTACGCTTCAGTATGGCATTGAGCCGATCGATCTCCCGTTGTTGGATGGCGATGCCTTTGTTGGCGTCGGCCATTTCGCGTTCCCATTTGCTTCGTTCGAGCCGATGGGTATCTTCCGAGTTCCGGAGTGATTTTCCCGCCGAGTCGATAATTCTGTCTGCCAAAGCGATCTGAGTGATCAGTCTACGGCATCTCGAGCGGAGTAGGTCAACGTCTACGATCCTTTCGGGCGGTGTTGCCGCTATCCACTTCTCGGCCGTATATTCGAGTGTACTGGCCTGGTAGGTGAGGTCGTCCTGGTTGGACTTCACCGGTGTTGTGAAGAATCCGTCCGCACTGTTCGGTCTTGACACCTTTGTTGTGTCAAAGACTTCGTCGTTCGGTGTCGGGGTTCTTTCACTACCAAGTTCGCCAGGTTCGAACATTAACGGTGATGGTCGGATCTTCAGGTCGACTGGTCGACTTTGTGTCGCCTTGGTCGACTTCGCCGTTTGTTGAGCTTCGGTTACTCGAGTCGACTCGCTTCCGGTTGGCGAAGGTCGGCTCAACGGTGAAATGATCCGTTCGGTGGGCGCTGGTATGCTGGTCGGTGATCCAGCTGGGCGAGGGCCGCTTCGTGGCGGTACCTCGGAATCTTCCGTTCTGGTTGGTATTTTAGTCGGCTGGACGGCCGCATCCGACTTTGTGTCGGTTGGTTGCCGTTCCAGGGAAGTCGGTTGCTTGTTGCCGACTTCCTTTTCTCCGACTTTCGAGGTCGGTGAAATCCTTCCGACCTGTGTGGTCGGTTGGACATTGCCGACCTCTGTTGTCGGCTTATCCATTCCGGTCAAAGTCGGTTGTTCGGCCCCTTGAGTTTGTGGCAGGTCGGCCTGCTGTTGACCGACTTCTTTTGCCGGCGGCTTGTCGACCATTTGTTGGTCGGCCGCTGTAGGTTGTTGTTCACCGACTTGCTTAGTCGGAGATTTTCGCTCGGCCTGTGTGGTCGGCGATTTCCTTCCGACTTGGTTAGTCGGAACGTCCATGTTGGGCGAAGTCGGCTTCGGCACCTCTTCCGTCCTGTTGGGTGAATGCCGTCCGAGCTCGGTTGTCTTTGTGACTACCGAGCCCTGAGCTCTGTGTGAGCTCGACTCCAAGTCGGTATGAGACAATGTGGTCTCAGCTTGCGGCTGTTCCGCTTCCCCCTTGGTCGGGTGGGACGGGGCTGCTGTGTCAGCTGGGGCTTCCAGGAATGTTTTATCCCGGGCGTCCTCGAAACTGTCATCCGAAGTCAGATTCGAGTCGGCAAGGAGGATGCGATCGTTGCGTTTCTCCCTTGCTTCGGCCGACTTAGTCGAGTCGGTTGAGGACGGCTGACTTTTGTCTTGACCGGCGTACCGAAGTGAGTACTTCCCGGTCATGTTCGCACGCCGAGAATAGTCCGTGTTGAACTTTCTCGCGTACTGATCTTCTCGAGGATTCGACATTGTTGTCAAGTCAGGTCGGCTCTGGTGGAGCCTTAATAGTTTAGTCAGTTAGAAAGAGAAAGTCGAACAATCTTCTGTGTGAAGATGTTCGGTAAAGTCAGGAACGTCTTTTTGTTCAGGAACTTCCAAGGGTCAGGAACGTCCGATGAGATGTTGTTATTGTTGTTGATGTGTCTGTTGGTGACTCAGTACACAGGGTATTAATACACAGTACAATGGTACAGTACAGTACGTAATAGTAGTACGGTGTAGTACGTCCTATGTTACTGTGCTGACCAGTGTGACGTAACAGGTTAAGTGGTCTTGCACTTCTGCCTACGTCACAGAATGCGAGCCGCGTGCAAAATTTGCAAAAAACGATGAATCACGCCTATGTTAGGCTATGGGAACTTTCCCCTGCACGCTGATTGGCTGCCTCTTAAGTACTGATAAGCGGTCGTTATGACGTCACAAGGAAGTTCGAGAATTTTCGCGCTATTTCCCGTTAGAAAAACAAATTATTTTTGCTCGGCTAGAAGGTCGATCTAGCTCGGATTTTTAAGTTTTTAACCGTTAGAAATTATTTTTATTAATTAAGAAAATTTTCTGGTGGTCGAAACACCGTTAGAAATCAGAAATGAGAGAATTTCCGACCTGTTGCCGGTTAGCCTTTGTCTAACTGTCTAGACAGGTTCGTTGACCTAGCAGGTCGGTTCTCGACCAAAAGCAAAATTCCGAGTCGGTTTCTCCGTCAGAAATTACTTTTCAACCGTTAGAAAATTTAGATCTACGGCTAGAAATAGTTTTCTACCGCTAGAAAATGAAAAGCCGACCTAGTTTCGGCTGAAATCGACCTACAACCGTGACTTTACCAGTGTCGGTGTCGGTGTCGGTTCCACTCGATTTCCTCCGTCCGAGGTCGGAAATCCGTCGTTTCCGAGCTGAAATCCGCGAGTAAAGTTGCGGGTCGCTGTTCAAAGCGAAGGTCCCCGTATGATTGGATTAATCCTATCGCGCTGCAGACTCTCGTTCGAGTCTGATCCGTCAGTTGGGAGAAGAAAAGTCCGTGCTGTTGGGAAGTAAGATTCCGCTCTTCAATGTGGAAGAGACCAAGGAACTGTGCTCACCAGCTGGGTAAGAATCACTTCAGTGATCCTCGTTTTCCTCAGCTGTAAGACGATGCGACCGTTCTGATCAAAGTCAAGGGCAGAGATTGCTTCAGCAATCTATCTGACAGTGACTTTCAGGTTCCTCACAAGTTCTCCGTGAATTGAGCCTTCACCGTCTCCTCAAAGGGTCCGTTGAAAGAAAACCAAACGATTCTGCTTACCATGTAACAGGCAAGCGCGAGGAGATCACGAGTGTGCTTTATTGACAAATAAAGGGAGCAATGCTGCGTAATAGCAGGGAAAGCAAGACCAAAGCACCGATGGCTAAGCAAGCAAGTGAATGCTAAAAGGCTCTTGAGCGTCCGTCAAGGCGTGAAAGAAGCAACTGGCGGCAAGCACGTGCTGTGTGCCATCAGCTGTGTGATGATGCGCAGACTGGACTCAATCCAACGCGAGCGTACGCTGAGTCATATAGCGAGAGAGGGACGAGAGAGCAAGTATGCTCAGCGTGTGCGCCGCATATATCCGCTTCAGCGGATATGAGTGCAGTGCAGCAGCACACGTACGTACAGCGAGAGAGGCGATATGGCAAGCATGAGTGCAAGTACGTCCATGGTGGGCCGTATGCACCAGGCGCAGTCATGTGCCTCTGACACCAATTAACCTGTCTCGTGCAAACGTGGTTTATACAAGACATCTGCTATTTTCTCAACATTTCATGCTTCTTTGAAGTTTTGTAGAAGCACAAATACACGCCACCCGGTCAACTGAGAAGAACAGAGTTAATGAAAATTGTCATAGTTTGTTTAGCGAAAGGCTAGAAATTTGAGCCTTATGGTATTTATTTCTTGTATTCAAACACGAGTCATTATCGCAGGTTTTAGCACAAAGGTCACTGCACAACTTCTATGTTTTCGATAAGCTTCAGGGTTCATGAATGTGGTTTGTGGTGAAACTGAACTTTGACATAAAGAAATACAGAAGTTTGATTACACTAAGGTTAAGGTCGGCGCATATCTTTGCAGCACAGCAAAATCTTGGCCTTTAAAATGACTTCTTTTGTGGCAGAATTGTTTTATTGGCGTAACCGGCTTATCGTGAGATAGCAGCTATATGTAGCTCATATTCCTTAAAGTTAATGCTGTGAATTGTTTGTAAGCGGGGTGCATTGCAACAAACGGTGTCTTTCTGTAGCCGTTCTGTAGCCGGTGCTATATGGTTTATGTGGTAAAAAAACAGAAAATGTCTGTAGAAAATCGCATACTGTTCCCTTTACCGAATTATGGATTCGACCCCACTGAGACAGCGGTGCCGTGGAAACGCATCAAAGCCGCCGGATTCACGGTGGTGTTTTCGACTCCCACTGCTAAGCAGCCGAAAGCGGACAATCGCGTTCTAACCGGCGAAGGATTCGGTCTACTAAAACCTTTCTGCATGGCCGACAAGGAAGCGCTTGCCGCTTATGCGGAAATGGAAAACTCAGAAGAATTTCGCCACCCTATTGCATATGACGCCATTAAACCCGACGATTATGTCGGCATCGTTATTGCCGGCGGACACGATAAGGGAATGCGGGAATATTTAGAGTCGACCACTCTGCAGACGAATATCGTTAATTTTTTCCACAACAACAAACCAGTGGGAGCTATCTGTCATGGCTGTCTACTGGTCGGCCGCAGCCGGGATCCGGCGACCGGCAAATCAGTACTGTTCGGCAAGAAGATGACCGCATTAACACGCCGTCACGAGTTGTCAGCATATAATATGACACGATTATTTTTGGGTGATTATTACTTGACGTATCCCGAGACAACGGTAGAGGATGAGATGAGAGGATACGCGGAAAAAGCGGAGGATTTCCAAGTTGGCCCCGGCTGGCCAATCCCTACGTTGCGTGATTCCGCCGTGAAGCCGTATGGATTCGCGCTAATCGATGGAAATTACGTGTCGTCCCGATTTTTTGGTGACGCCAATGCTTTTGCTAATGCTTTCATCTATTTACTGACGCAAAAAGACGAGATAAAACAATAATCTGGGTAATCATTTTTTCTGCCGGTATCTTTGTAATTAATCACTGCGCTTCGCAATCCAAGTTATCCGCGATCCAGCCTTGTAATTCACTTTTCACGTGATCGCAAAATTGGTCTTTATTGTGAGTTACACCGTAATCAGAACTAAATTCGGCATCGCCTTGATAAAAAAGGATAGGTTACGGGTCTTTCTTGTTAAGTTTTAATTAAACCTTACAATGTAATAAAAACCGGTCATCGGCCGAGTTTCCCGACAAAATTTATATTTGTTGCAAATTACGGCGGAAATTAGAAACCGCAGAAGCTTAGTCGCATAAATACTTTTATTTTCTGGAAATCCACATTAATCTCACAAAGAGAAGCAGGATTCAAAGAGTATACCGGCATACCGGTTAATAAAAATTAAATATTAAAATTTAATCTCCAATCACAATCAACTGAGCAACCATCAGTGTATCCACTTTCCACCTAAATGCTTTCGAATCACAGAAAGGTTATTTGCTGTCAAAACCGAGGGCTATTGATCCGGTTCCCGTGTAGACTTCTTGAAAGAAAACCCACCCCTGCCGTCAAGTTCCAGCAGTGCATCATGATAATTCCTGAGGGTAATCCGATGGCCGACGCTTACGTAAGTTATTCCCAACTGCGCACAGGTAGCATAAAGTTCTTCTTCCACGTCCATGCTGACGGCACTAGTAGCTTCGTCCAAAACTGTAATAGGAAAAGCATCGTTTTTTAACATTCCCTAAATTGCCATGGCGGACATGCTTACAAAGAAACTCACTCCAATTTTATAAAACATCTCAATTTCGGCAGTTTACAGAGTACCGCAAAACCAAATAATCTGCTACCAAGAAAACTGTACGAGCATTAAATATGGGTGACAATTTGTAAAGTAATTGTTCACCTACTACTTTAGTACTCGTACTATCAAGTCACAGTTTATTACATTTGTATGTGGTAAGTAATTCATTTGCACAATCAGTTCCAGACTTTACATTCTTAAAATTTACTATTCGATCAAACAACATACTACAAAGCCCCAGAAATAAGTCAAATGTCAATGTCCAAAAACAAAGTCGGTTTTAGAAATTATATGGTAGATTCTCTTGTCAAGCCACAGCCCCAACAGATTCGCACTGCAATCGACATATCGTAACTGCATTGTTCGCTCGCTTTACATACACTTCACGTAATTAGGAAGCAGTCAAGCCGCCGGCTCTAGTCTGCTCCAACCGCACCTAATCCAAATTGCAGTTCACAAGAGACACACCCATTCCCTCTTAAAAGCCCACTTCTAAATTTGTACTTTATAATTCCAACAAAATTACAGGCTGTGGCAAAGAGATACTGTACCACGGTCGCCCGACAGTGATTCTTAAGGAAATTCAGCTCAGTACCAGCGGCATTTTCGCAAATAATCACAGAAATGTAACCGTATCTGGTGGAGTCAAATGGCTTACAGCCACAATAATACTAACGACAACAGCTCCCTAAAAATAAAACTACGACAAAGTGTCCCTGAAAAAGAGCGAAAATAAGAAGCGGTCAAATTTCAGCACACGAAACCATCGACAACAACAAATGCATACGTCCGACGAGTGCGGTGGTGTCACTCTGCGTAATCTTACAGACTATGACTACAATTTTCAGTTCTGTACAAATTCAGGCGCAACTCTCATTCTACAAGAAATCCTTATTTTAGCATTCAATAAGGCAACTCAATTTTGCTCCCCTTACAATTATTTGTAAATCACAACCACAGCAAAGTGTCAGCAACCTTTTTTTTCCCTTTTTTAAGGAATGTTTTGGCTGTAGTGGAAACTACTTATTACGCCTAATTACACAACTTAGCCAAAAATTGGAACGTCTTAGCAGTGAGTGTGCTAGTTCGCTCTTCGACATGCAATCCATGTTGCAGCGCAAACACTTACATGCCATACGTGGTCGATGATAGAACACGCGCGCAAAAGCAAGGCGCTGCATTTCTCCGGGACTGAGCACATCGTACCAGTTCCAGTCCACCATCTCATCCACGCTCTTCACACGCTCCAGAAGCCTTTCAGCCCCAGCTTGCCGCAGACACTCGCTGACCTTGACCGATTCTTCCGGCTCAATCTCTTCCGCAACACCCAACGGAAAAGCAACCTGCTGCCACAGACTTCCGTCCGTAAAGTACGGTTTTTGCGGAAGGAACAACACATCCGTTGGATGAACGGGTGGCGATAATTGACGGTCTATCCTTCCGGATCTAATCGGCCACAATTCAGCCAACACTCGCAACAGTGAGCTTTTCCCACAGCTACTCGGCCCACTGATCAGGATGGTTTCCTTCTCACGCACGCTCATCGTCAGACCGGCAACGAGCAATTCATTGGTGGTATTTGGTGGAGAAATCTCCACATTATGTAACCGGAAGAGAGTCGATTCATCAGGAATATCTTGCAATGCACTCTCCCCGTCAGACTGCACGGATGTCAAGTCATCTCTGAATTCTCGAGGTATGGACAGGTTCTCTAACAGCTGACCGATACGATGTGCCGTGCCACCAATGTCAGTGATGGACGTGGAAAGATCCACGAGGACCGTGAAGCTACTGATCAAATAAATGCTGACGAATGCATTGGCGCTAATCAATGCAGCCAAATCCGCCGCGGACAGATAGTCGTAGTATCCGGCAAAAATCGGAATGCTGATAATTAAATGGCAAAGAATTCCACCGAAATAGTTGTAAAAATTCAAGAAAACTGCAAGTAATTTGAGTCATATTGTAATACCGCAAAGGATATGTAGTTCCGCAAATAAATCATACACACAATTCAGTGCCAAACGCAGGTTGGTCAGCAGAAGCTGTACAGCCAGCAACGTATGCAGCCTAAGGTTGAGCCGATTTTCTTCGAAATTTCCGCTGTCGTAAAACGCCAGCGATTCAGCATTCGCTCGAATCTGCATGTGTTTAAATCTACAACCAAAGTACTTCTTTAATATCTAGAAGCCATTACAGCGAAAGTGCAATCGGCTTTCCAGAATTCCAGCAAGGATCTATCGCAGTCTCATCGTCCTTAACAGCTTAGTCGAACCAAAATCGACAATAATGTACGCAAGACATGTGAAAGTAATGTACCGGAAATCCCCTTCTTTGCGTTCCTGCTTTGCGACGAAATTGATGACTGGCGACATTAGTAATTTGGATGCAATTGTACCAATAATAAAATAACCAAATATGCTGAGAGGTCCGATATACGTTGTTCTGTAACAAAAACAACTTTATGATACTTTTAGCACAAATTAACCTAGTACTTCCGTAATTGCATTATCTTCACCGAGCCCAACGTGGTATCAATTTATATAAAGCGAAGCACTCTACAATTATTACTGCTTACAGAAATTATTATTACTGACGTTATGAAGGATTTGTACGAGTAGTATCCGATGCGGAATGGAGCGATGATAACGGTGGCGATAATTGTACTGAGTGTATCGCACATCTTGTTGACATCCTGAGTGATTCGCTGATCTCTGTCCAAGAAAAATATATAGTTTCAATCGAGTAGAAAAATACTAGTAGTAAAAATGTGCGAAAACACAAATTACAAAATGAGACAATATTCGTAGCCTTTCAAACCTCACGCAATGCCTCACAAAATGTATTTTAACATTGGCTAGCAAGAAAAACGCACACGCGGAGTACGTACATATTTCGGTATTTCGAAATTTAAAAAAAACAGCGCACAAGCCGCAGACTTACGGATTGTCAATTGTTTTATCCAGCACATTCAACGTATAATACGACTTGTCGTTGAAGTACATTCGCTGCAGTTTCTTCGTCAACAGTTTGCGCCAGCAAATATACATGACGGAAGCGACATACTGCTTGGAGCTCAGTACCTAAAGAATAGATGCAAATGCAAAAGAAACATGTCCAAAACGATTTTCAACAGATTTCTATCTTACAATAGCGCTTCCAAGGATGTACAATGATGCTTCCAAAAATGTCCAATAGAAACCATCCTTGTCTTTTTTCCCTAAGACGGAATAAAACCGGCTGGGCACGATTCCAACTTGGTACCCGATAACTTCGCCTAAACAAAAGGAATAAAAATATACGAACTTTTTTCTCAGCCGATCACAAGTTGGCTATTCCACTTTGAAGTTAGAGCTATTGCATGATTGCGCAATAATGCGCATACAGATAACAGCACGAGTATAAGAGAGACATCATTCTAAACGCAGGCTAAACTTAAAGAGAAATTTCGGATGAAGTTTGCAAACCAACTGACTGCAACAGACGTTTGCAATAGTTTACTTACCTAATATACCAAGGAGTAATAAAACATAAAATAATAAGGCCGTTCGGCAGAAAAATCGAGGAAACAGAATCCTCAAGATGCGGCAAAAACGGCGAAACAACACGCGATCAAAACCGAGTTTTTTCACCATTTTTCAACCTGCCTTCTTATAGCATTGCAAAAAAGTCCCTTTTAACGTGTTCCTTGTATGGAAAACCCTTTAAATTAGTCAAACATATGCCTGAACTGTCACCTATCCATAGAAGACAAACCAAATAGCGACTTCCAGAAACGAAAACGGTTTAGAACACAAAAAAGTTCGAAAAATTTTGGTATTTCAGGCTTGCAGGACCAATGCAGGTGCAGCTGATGGATGCTGCTGGTGTTCGCTGGAGAATATACCGCCACACGATGGCGGTAACCAAAACCTAGCTCAGTAAATCTGTCCCCAATCCCCCCACTCCCCATGCAGATTGACTTCCTTGGCGGCTGCCAGTCGAATGCTGTTTAAAGCGAACGGAATTGGTTTTATTCCAATTTCCATGTCCTTGAAAAACTAAAAATCACTTTCTGTTATCATAATAGATTTAAGCGCAGAAAAAATAAATCGAAATAAGACACCAGATCAAAGTAAAGTACACTTAGTAAACAGTACAGTACAGTACGGCTGAAAAAAAATCAAGATTTCGGCACGGGCCAGCCGATAGAAGCGCCATCTGGTAAAAACACTCTGATCACTTGACCTTGACTAATACCAGTGTGTGCAATATGACACATCCAGCATCGTTTGCATTGCTCTTGATTTTGCATCGTGGCCGAAGGTTTCTGGCTTCCACCTTCTTTTTCGTTGGTATTTTTATGCTTTTTCCGGATTATTTCATCTGAAACTGATGTGGATCATTTTTTGTTAACAGCAGACAATTCTTCATCATAAATCCTTCTGATATCTCCATTATAACACTCAGGTAAGATCGTAGAGTGTGCATTAGTCGTGCAGAACTGAAGTTAATTGAACTGATGGTCATAAGATTCGAGATCGCAGCTAATAATCTGAATCAGCATTAATTTAAGCACGGTAATTGACGTGCTTATTCTTTTTTTGTATGAATTAAAACTAAAGAGTTTAGTGTGTGCTGTTTTTACATGAGATAAACATGGTCAGCAGCGCTGCGCCGTGATTTTCGTTTGCATCTTTGAAAAAAACTGGAATTGCACTTGATCTGATTTGAAGCCATGCTGCCATGGGCATTGTGTGTGTTCTGCGGATTTTTCCGTTTGTTGACTGCAAAAACTGAGAGTTTTAAGTAATCCTTTGTGCTTCATTAGAACACGGCGTTTCCATAATCCGGCGCGAAGATGGGAGGCAAGGATGATGAATATGATTATCTTTTCAAAGGTAAACAGTGCGATATGCGAAGTACTTCGCAGAGCGCTCGCAGTAGCTGAAATGCGAAATCCCATCGTGCGCATTCTTCACAGCTGACTGCCGTGCAGTACATTCTTTTGCGATTACAGTGGTATTAATCGGGGATTCCGGGGTGGGGAAGAGTAATCTGTTATCGCGGTTCACACGCAATGAATTCAACCTGGAGAGCAAGAGCACCATTGGCGTGGAATTCGCCACGCGCAGCATCCAGGTCGACGGAAAGGTTATTAAGGTTGGTGGTGCGCGGAGTGTTCTCGTGTAGCATGGATGTGCGTTCGCTCTTGTTCATGTCGTTCTTCGTCGTCCGAACAGGCGCAGATCTGGGACACGGCGGGCCAGGAGCGATACCGAGCCATTACCAGCGCGTAAGTCAGATTTTGTTGGTTGTGTCAACTCACACAACTGGCGTTAGGGGGAAAATTTGATGAGTTGGCGAAACGGTCGTTTATTTAAGTGCGAATTACGATTATAAACTAGCGTCAAAAAATTTCCACATGGTCGTCTAGCTTTTCATCTTTGACGTTTGCTGACTGTTTACGAGTTGAAAAGATCATCTTTCGAAAATCTTTCTATTGGATATTTTTCCCTTATGCTTATTTAAATACTTTTCCAGTGACATCTACAACGGTACTTCATTTGTTCCTTGTGCGGAAAAACATAACAGTTTTTGCTTTTTAAATTGTTGTGCGTATTGAAACGTCTGTATATTTTGTAACACATTAATCACTCGATCTGCAAGGAAAGTTTGTTCATTTTTTTTTATTAATGGCTTAATTTTCGGGCTTTTTCAAAATCTTCATATGTTTTCCGGTTTGTTTTGGCTTCTTAAAAAATTCCAGTTGCGCAGTTTATGATCTTTTGGTTTGTTCAAACGAGTTTATACTTTATACGCCATTTTTTTACAGGTATTACCGCGGTGCAGTCGGAGCATTATTAGTTTATGATATTGCCAAGCACATAACGTACGAAAACGTGGAACGATGGCTCAAGGAACTACGGGATCATGCGGATCAGAATATTGTCATTATGTTAGTGGGGAATAAGAGTGATTTGCGACACCTCCGTGCCGTACCGACCGAAGAAGCTAAGGCCTTCGCCGGTGAGTGCGCATGCTGTCTATGAATAGCATGCTGTTTTGCTGTAATAATTAAATTGACGTGTGTATCCGATGTGATTATGCGATGAACGCTTTTGTATTTCCTAAACTGAATTATTTGAATGCATGACTTTGCACGTGATGGGTTGACTGGTTTATAAATTGTAAGCCACATTAATGAGCGTCTTTTACATAGAGAGGCACCAGTTATCCTTTATTGAGACATCAGCTTTGGATTCGACTAACGTCGAAAATGCCTTCCAAAATATTTTGACGGAAATTTACAAGATAGTTTCGGCCAAGGAGATTCGTGATAGTCCAACTGGTGGCGACCGCCCTCGCGATGGAAAACCTATTATACCCAGCATCCAACCAACGGAGCCCAATCAAAACAAGAAATGCTGCTAAAAGGTATTTGAATTTCATTCACTGTTTTTAGAGTTTTTTATATCCAAAAATAAACCGATGGTGATTATTTGGAATTAATTCGAAGTGTAGCCTGAATATTTGTCTTATGGAACGAATTTTCTGATCTTGGTTATCGGAAAAACTTGAAACCGTTGAGGGAGAAAGACCGTTAATAATCTTTTGTGCATTTCTTGGTGCAGATGATTTTCCATTGATTGGACGACGACTGATTTTCCTGGTGTCCTTGCAAACTGTTTTGATACTTCAAGCTGACTGTTAGCATGAACTGGGAAAAGATGGTCCACGAATGCGTGTTGTCTCAATATTTTTGCCCTTTTTTAATACACTCCGACCATACCAATTTGGGCAAATGCCTTTTCGTAACGACTGTTAATTCCTTCTACCAGACAGGTAACAATATACGTTTTGCAATTTATTTGCACTGTTCATATCCATACGTCTTTTACATGTTTGCCAGTTATCTGTTTTGTTTGATGGTTCTGTCTAATACTGCGCTGCACATTCTGGATTTGATTTTTTTGCAAAGTTTTTTAGAAAAAATGGTTTTAATAATTAATATGACCGCGAATATTTTCGTTCGACGTATTTTCGTGTGTTTTTTTACGATTGGAAGGTTCAACATTTGAAACACTTATCTGTCAAAGTTTTCTAGGTTTCAAATATTTTGTGATTGTACTCAGAAGTTAACGACTAAAAGAAACTAGGTAATTTCATAATTATGATATTCTGCACTTCTGTCCTTTTAATGTCTCTTTTGCTGGATCTTGAACGTTAAGTCGGTAATGTCTGCACTCTCGTTCTCAATTAAGGAAATGTAGAGTAACCCCGCAAAAGATAAATACCGACACGTTATTAACAATAAGCTGTCTGCCGCGTATAATATCACGAATAAGTAATATCACGAATATCGGTAGTGTGTATCAGTTTACTAAATTAGGAGAACGCTGTTTGACTGATCAGACATTCCATAGCATTTTGCGATAATGAATTTACCATACAGATATGAAATTACCCGTATACGAAAAAATTGACTAAACTGAAACTACGCAGGTGGGCAACGTCCAGTTCGGACGACAATGCCACCAAAACCTACACGTATATTACTCGTGTTTTAGCTGTGTCAGATGTTAAACTGGAGCGTGGAAAGTCATCCACAATCATTTCGAGGATTTCGGAATTGTTGTCGATGTTGGAAATATTGCAGCAAACGGTTGGCCATTTCGTGGTATTCGTGAGAAGAGATGCCTAATTGTTCCCAGTTAATCCAAGCAAGACGAGCAGTGAGATCTGCTAAAAATAACAGGTTGGGAAAACATCGGGATCAATATGAACAGATTTGTTCTTCACAATCAGCTGAGTTAGTAACACATCTTGCTTGTACTTTATTACGTACGTACTTAATAGTAACTGACTAACTGTCATCTATTACGATTCTTAAATCGCACAGTAGCAACATGATGCTACTGTTACTGAATTAGGAAGAAAACCAAAACAACTAGTATCGTCCTTCTTGGATGTTTTGGTTTCACTTGGATAATTCATCATTTAACTCTGTATCATTGCTGGCCAGTTTTTAAACATCACGCATAAAATGAAAATACAGGACTTCCACTGACCGTGTTCAGTATAAAAGCAGTTAATCGTCAAACAGTCAGGTAAAGGAAAGGCATCAAATAAAGTCTCTGCTTTAGCTAACGTAAGACGGCCGGGACATCACTCAAAAGGTCGTCCACGCATTTATCCGCGCTCAAAAGTTAAATTTAGCACAACCAGAAAAATTTTACTACCGCTAATAAAAAACGCTGGTTATACTATCACTTGACACCTCACAAAATAACTCCATGGGAAAAATTATTTGCGCAAATAAGATGTTAATTAATCGACTTGAACGCTGTGTCTCTGGTTTTGCTCTGAAACTTATATGCAATAAAAAATTTACCATTAGATGCCCATTCGGTGGATGCCGGCATATTAGCATTGGATGTCATTCCTTGGCGCAACACTCTTTCAATGTGTTGCAGCGGCTCTTCCCGGCAGTCGCGCAGATTTTCCAGCAGCGAAATATACGCTATAGCCAGTCTCAGTGTGTCAATTTTGGATAGCCGCTTTTCGTAAGGAAATGTTGGCACGCGGTTCTTCAGTTCTTCGAACGCACTATTGATGCTTAACATGCGTCGTCTCTCCCGAATATTGGCTGCTTGACGCGGCTCACTGCCGTAGTAGGCAGCATAATCTGGCATAGAGCCATCGTTCCAGTAACAGTTAACTTCGCCATCCTGCGTGCTGGTCGAAAATGGGAAATTCTGTGCCGATTGGGATGGGCAAGCGGTATGCGAAAGGTCACACAAGTGTACATGCGAAAGGTCACACTCGTTTCCCATTGCGACGCAGCTCGTATCTCCACATACGGTGCATGTCATGCAAGAATGCGATCCAGTATCGTCCATTTGATGGAGACTGTTTAATAAACTAAACACAAACTTTAAATTAAGCCTACGCACAATACAAATTATTTTAGAAACAAGCTGTGGAAGTCTAGACTTGACTGAGACCAAAAACATGAGTTGTTGGCTATATATATATATATATCACTTTGGTTTGACGATAAAGTAAGTACTTATTGAGCCTGAACGAGAGCATAGTACTTTGTAGTTTTCGTATTGTGTCGCTGATGTTGCGTCGTTATGCTGTTTGGCTGACACGTGTATGTGACACCGGCAGCCACAGAAGTTCATGACATTAAGACTACTTAAGGATTGGATGATGCTGGATGTCGTAAGACATGCGTCGAATCAGTTAACAGTTCACAACTCAAACACAATCACCAATTGCACACTGGAGCTGGTTTGAGTTAACCCACTGGGATGAAAGTACGCTAATCCCACGCGCAACCCTCGATAGTAATTAGACTGACTGATTTCCCGGCTACGTTTGTATTTGTTATGTGCTGTATATTACATATGTACGCGCGATTGCTTTACAACTCATGTCCGATTTCCCTAATTTTTAATTTGTAGCAATCTGCCGCGATTAGGCGCGAAAACCGCTTTTTTATACGAAAGCTGATTTTATTGATCAAAACATAATACATTTGTAAATTATATGTTGTGCCAAAGTATTCTCTAATGTAAAACGTTTATAGTAACATTTATTGCCAATTTAACAATCACACCGAATTACCACCGGTCAAAATAACCGTCAAGTAATGCTAGTGCCAAATGGCAACTAGTAAAACAAAATTATGTTCTTAAATATATTGCTTTTATACGGTGTCATCTGCAGTTGGTTGGCGTCGCTCCAATCGGACAAAAACTCCATTGCTCGGATTCATTGTTACAAACGGACTTTGCAGTTCCAGGTTTTCCTGTGTATATAACAAAAATGATCACGCTAATGTCAGAACTAAAGACTGGGTGAATTTTCGAAGTTTTTCTGTTGTGCTGAATGCCATATTGTCATTCACAGTTCAGTAGTACCTGTCCGACAATATTTTCGATTCGAAATCTTTGAAGAATTTGCACAAGTGTAATCCGAATTTCCATCATTGCAAAACTGTGAGCCAGAGAAATAAAGCATTATTTTACAGTGTTATTTGCATCATTTCCTGCGAAACTACGAGTAGCAAATACGCTTAGAATATACTATAACTTTCCCTTGCCTCATTCCAATACAGTTTCTTGGTCCTTCTCCAAAGGCCATAAAGGCCATCTCCTGTATGGCACTGACGTTATCCGGCATGAACCGGTCAGGATTGAACTGCGATGGATTCGGCCACAGTTCGGCATCGTGGTGCAGAGTCCAGACCGGGATGTGAATAGCCATCCCAGCCGGTATCTCTAAGCCATTTATTGTGCAGGTTTCAGCGCACTCGCGCATAACGAATCTGCACATATGATTCATATGAGCCACAATGAATTTACATTACGGTACAAAGCATTCGATTACGCACTTCATCCGGTGCAAATCATGGCTAATCACGTATCAATAATTGGAATCACAGAGTATTTAGCAACCTCTGAGCGGACTGGAAAATGTAAATAACTGGTTTCTACGTTCAACATGCAAATATCGACTAGTTAATGAGTGACCTTTTCCATCTGCGTGTGTGCATATGTCAAATCATTAGTCGATGACCTTTTAATCTTAGTATATAGGTATACTTGCCCAGTAATTGGCGGATACATGCGCAAAGATTCTTTTATAACAGCATCCAAATACGGTATCCGGCACGATGGAAAATGCTCGTCGAATTCCGTTCCTGGCTGTTCACCCACCGTTGCCACTATGTCGCGGTACAGGCGTTCCTGTACGTCCTGATGTTTGGCCAGCAGAAATGTGGTGAAGGCCAGCGCATTGGCCGTTGTTTCGTAGCCGGCCAGCAGGAAGACAAAACAGTTGGCTATCAGTTCGTTTTCTGTTAGATACCGTGCGCTTTGCAGTGGTTGTGGGGTTTTTTCGTGTATCACGTATTCTGGTTTATCCCCGATGATACTCATCGGACTGGTAGAATGCAGTGCTGTGTTAATCGGCATGTTAATGCGGATGTGATCGGCGGCGTCCATCATCAGCTGAATCATGTCGTTGTTCTTGATGCCGGGATTTTTACGACGTTCGTGGAAAACTTTTTTCATGTGTGTCAGGACGCAAAACTGATGTTTCGATGAGTCAGATTTTTTGTGCATCAGCTTAGCCGCAGCACCCAGCTCTGGAAACAATACTGTAAAAAGGTCAGGTACAAGAGTGACCACGGTTTAATTTTAAGGTCCTAAGTAATGTCCATTTTTCTGGCGATTAATTGACGCGTAAATATTTGTATATTCGACATCAAATAATCCAGAACTTGTTTACTTACAGAGTATCTTTAACGCGGGCGTGAAAATCGACTTGAACACGCCGCGGCACATCGTAAGTAAAGCGTCATCGGGATCGGTCTGACTATTGACTTGTAAGGCAAACGCGGCTTGCGCAATAACATCCAGAGTCAATGCTTGAAACATTCTGCAAAATTAGTTAATGAGCCGTAATTCCACAACATTAATGCTTCTTTGTAAATTGATCGTTGCTGTAAATACTGTGAAGTATTGATGAATTAGTGCTTACTGATATATGTCAAAAGGGTTTGGCTTTTTGCTCTTGTCTTTCAACAAGGTTATTAAGGTACTGGCAGCATTGTGCATGCTTCCGGCCGTCTAAATAAAACAAGCAGCATACGCCATGGAATAATGAAGATGTCGTTGTTTCGAGTGTCTTTTGGCAACCTTGTAATTACCTGTCGGACTTTTTTCGCGCTAAATGTGGGTGATATGACATTTCGGACCCGTTTCCATCTTTCACCTCGAAGGCTTGTTAATGTGCTTGCTCCGGGCTCAGGACGAGGCGGACCTAATGCCTATCATCCCAAATATTAATGTATATACGCTTACGTACTCAAATACGTTTTTAAGGAATACACCGAATTTTCTAGATTTCGTAAGCAATCATGACAAATATGAGAATAATTTTACATGCACAGTTCACACGCAGCGAAGTATGACATATTTGTTAATCTCGAACGGAGAATTCACATGTTACATAGAAATCATTTGAAGTGCTACTGCAGTGTATATTATGGTTAGCCTAGCCTTATACAGTATATAAGTTCCTATTATTGACAAACGCCTCGACACGTTAGCTAAAATTTGTTTTTCTATTTATTACATAGTATTGCCGTATTTTTACCTTAGTCTAATTGTAAGAAGTAAGGTTGCAATATTTTAGCTTATATCATGATGTGAGCCCAAAGTGCCCACATTATATTTAGGAACATGCTAGTACTCGTAACAACGCCGTCTCATCGTTTTATCATATTAGCGCACAAATTTATTCGCTTACTGGGCGGTTGCGAAAATTTGAGAAGTTGGTGACCAGTATCTCTTGCAGAATAGAAGTATCACTAATAACCAAAATGGGGCGTATTCCCATTGGGAAGCATCCAAAAATTTTGCCGTATTCTTTGGTCCATTCATCGATGACTACCCACGGTTTCTGAAAAATTACGGTCACACGTGATCACGAAAAAGAGTTTCAAGTGGGCGCCCATTTTTATTTGCTCGAATCTGACAAGTACTTGTCATATTTTAAGCTAGCTATACAGTGCGGCGCTCCGGGCATAGAGGGTATTACAAAGGTCATCTCTGCAATGCGGTACGTCGAGCCGAAAATGACAGTTCACCAAATAGTTTTGCTTCGTAGAACAACGTGAATGATAACCGAAATTGTTTCGCTGCCTGTTTTTGCTTACGATATGCAGTATCCAAAAGAATCCTTTATTTCAGCAAAATTAAAAAGTTTATATGCAGCTTTATGAAAATATCACATCTTGTCATATCTTGTATCTCCTTCACTTCTGCTTTTACTTTTTATCTACTTCACTTTTGCTTTATTGATTTTGCTTATTTATTTATTTGCTGTTATTATTTATTTAACTAGAACCATATTTGCAATATTTTGACAACTTTTGCAACGCCATAATTATTATCATTTGCAGTAATTTGTAGGACATGCATGCCGCGGGTAATATCCAAAGAAAACGAAAGGTTATTTTCAGAATCAATGAAAGTCGCGAGTGGGAAGTCTCAAAATTACTGGTGCCATGCAAAACGGAGATTACTATTAATTTTAAATGCACTACTTATTTGTTTCTTTAGTATGTCAAAAGGTTTCATTGTTTTTGGCCAGGTTTTGGTAGCAGCGTAAAGACATGTAGTGAAAATTTACAAGAAATTGAGTGGAATAAAAACTACTCGAGTATAGTTCTTTGATTATAAGCAGTAACTCTAACGGCCCACTAATGTCACGAATAAAAGTTAATCCAAGAAACTAGAGTTTTGAAGTAATAAGAAAAGAAAATCGAAATCACTTGAAATGAAGGATAACTACCTAACACATTTGCTAAAACATTATGCAGTTTTGGGTGTCAGTACTGCATACTTTGTATGCAGCAGCACTAATATTGTAAGTCCAATAATTAATGTTAACAGCAAAATTAGTACGTATAAATAAGACCACACTGTGGATTGTACACAACGGCAAATGGATCCGTGCTTACCTTTTCTCTCCATACCTCCTTGACATTGGTACTTAAAAGCGATGGTTTTGGTCCTGGTATGCCCATTATGCGAAATGTGCTTAATATCTGTAGGCGTGATCTGAAAAATGAAGAGTTTGCAGCAGAGCCCCCAAATGATTTTTTGCATCGTAATAATTAACAACATTAACGGCGTTTTTAGCCATAAACGTGCAGTGAATGGGACCATAGTACCGTAACCAGATGGTGAACATAACAACTGCCAAGATAACTAGCGCCAGTCCACTTTGCGAATCCATTTTCCGAATGCCAGGTAAGCACCTTGACCTTTTTTGCACAATTCAGTAATCTAAGCCAAAAACGTGAAGCTGTCTGCCTGGTATCGATGGGTGCTAGTCAATTAATCAGAGAACATATTTATTTCGTTGCGGGTACATTCGCTTAATTGAACCTTTAATATATAAAGTGTTAATTACGCCGGAAGCTATTGACCGCGACGATTTAACGAACCACTTGAAATCGCACAAGAAATTTGTTTGAATTACTATCTAAAATGTATTTTCGGTGGCACAGCGTTTCTGGAACGATATATGGTTCCGGTTAGCCTCTGGAGTTTTTAGTTTAATACACAGCGGAGCAAGATACTCCTTAAAACATTACCCGAATGTGCTATCACAAACTAGAGTTGTACTAAAAATAAGGTACTTGTAGTATTCCATTTATGAGTGTAACAATAAGAACAGCGTTGATGTAGTACCTTACTAGCCCACGTCCAAAACCTGAAGCTTAAAGAACCAATGTGTTGCGGCAACGGTGTAAGTGCAGCACATGGTGGAATTCTTATTACTTGTCCACAAATGGGCTGCACGTTGTGGCCTGTATGGCGCTTGCTACCCTACACAATATACAGCTTTGCGGACAAACAACGTCGCCCTTTCTGCAAAACGCTGCTAAAATTGTAACACAACGAAAAGCCTGGTCAGAAATATGTCAGGAGACACTCCAGTTTATATAATACGAGGAAAGAAGCGGCTCGTATATTCCCGAAGGTTCGTCTGCTGGTCTTTCTTTGCATGAGTCAGAAAATACTGCGTGAGAATAATCGCGTATTCTCAAATACCTGCACCCCCAATACTTTTGTGCAATTATGTGTTGAACTGTTTATGTTATTTGTTTGCACCAAACTCAACTAGTTAAGGCACATGCCTGATACATAAACCGTTCATCCTATATCTTACAACTACCTCGTAATTACCTGGAGCTTATGTATAAACAGAAAATCTGCGAGTAATGTACTGTACAGGGCACATCCTGATTTATTACACGTTCTACATATAGTAACCACGGAAAAGATAATCAACTGTTAATAATTACACCGACGTTGATTTCTTGCAGAACTGTTTTGGTTACTTTTAGGCGAAACACTTTTAGGCGATTTAGAAATCTCGGTAACAATGACGAACCCATGAGTGTTGCGGGATTTATGAAATGTTTTCGTTTGGAAAACATATGTAAAAGGACAATAAGATAATTTGTGTTTCTTAAACTTTATTAATGTGCTTTACTTTTCTTTTGCTTCATTAGTATGCTTCATTGTTAAACAATCCGAGCTCTAATGGCGCAGTCAAGGGCACAATAATAGTAACTATTACTGTGCTCTCGCATATTTGCATAATCTAATATTTTCTATAGTGTAAGAAATGTCCACAAATAAATATACAGTATTTCTAAATGAATAACATATAAATATGTATAGAATATTGGAAGTTCGGGGTACGATACTACGATGTATTGAGCAAACGAAAATTGCCATTTGTAACACAGCAAAATCGTACAGTGTTAATGTTCAACCGCAATAAGTAACTTTTGCACATCTTTTAATACAAATCAAATAAAAAAGATATCAGATACGTAATACAAACATCACGGCATAGAAAAACGGCAAACTAGAATAGGAATAATTACGGTGAGTTTACAAACCAACACACAATTTTTCAGTGTATATCAGGTAAAAGCAAACAGAGCTGCGTAATAAAACCCCAAACTTCATATTATGTGAAGAGAGAGTTAAGTAAAAAAAACCAAATACCTCTGCTCTGCAAACAAAATATTGTTTACTATTTCCAAACGTAAACGTTTGTATTGCGAACATTTCAAAGGCAAAATCCCCGCCACGCACAATATGGGATGCAGATGACCCTGATCCATATAGGCTGCTTCAGGTTTCATGGGGTTATATGTCTTGGAACTGATACGCTTTAATCAGCAGAACCGGATGTTGCCGCAGAGGTGGCATATATGTATATCGTGGAAGTGAAGTCCGAAATTTAATCCGGCGATCAAAAGTAGAAAACTATCGGTGTGTCGACCATATTTCAAATAGTTTAAAAAATGTGTACATAAAAATACCACGTCTAATATTGCGGAAGAAATTAAATAAACACATGCTCCAGAATATGGAAATATGAAGAGCGGAAGTTCCGAAAAGTAATAACGCCGTATCAACTCAAGAAAAAACACACAAAAACGGATCCCAGAGAAACGGTGCTTTAGTTCTGCAGCCGAATTGCTATGCATTCATAACTGTGTCATGGCCAAGAGCTCTTGGTTGTGGTTATCCTGATTCGTATCAACGGAAGAAACGAAAGAAACACAACATTTTTTATATAATACCAGCCAATAACAGCCATAATCCAGAACAGCACAAAACGTAAGCAAAAAATAATTCTATGTATCCAAAACCAGTCAGAGATATTGCTATTCTTTCTTGTGTTCACAAAGGTAAAATCACCACAAAATAAAACATAAAAACCAAACAAAAACGTCCTGTTTGTACGTGAAAACAAAAATAAAAATCCCCCACACCAAAAAATAAAACCTTGCCAAAAAATCCAAATCAATCCATCCGTGGATACTATAATGCAGATTCGAAAATATAGAAATTTCATCTGTCCGAGGTTTTGGCAAAAGTAGCTGAGGTTAGAAAACAAATCAACCGGTATACGCGAAAGGCCAAGAAGTTCCCATAAAAGGATGTAGAAATTTCGTAGAAAACTTGTGGCAGCATCATAAGTCAAAAATAATAAGACACCCCAGGATGATGACTGGCGAGGTGCACTGGATCACGGTACGCCGAAAATGTCAAAAAATATCGTCCAAAGATCAGATTGTCCAGAAAAAAGCCACGGGCACAATCGGGGCGCTGAGGTCATCCATATCAAACTATACACATCTTGTCCACAAAATGACTATCTCAATAAAGAGTGATGCTATAGCAAAAAAATATAAAGGGAATGCCATTAAACCACACTGCAAGGTAATCAAACTAAAAAACCAAAAACTAAAGCAAACTACCGACAAAAAAACCACGTTAATGAATATTTGGTGAGTGAGCAAAAAAACAACCAAACAGAGAAGGGGAAAAGATAGAGAACAAAAAAGCAGAAAAGGAGGCAGTTAGGAAAGAAAAATACACAAGCTATAAAAAAGGCTTTGGTAATGGTGAAGATTCAAAAGATAATTTTGGAGAGAAGGGGGTTGACCTTTTCGAGCACACACACTATCAGACCCGGATGTTTTTGGCGGAATCCCGTTCTCAAGAATATAAAAAATATAAATCAGCAGTGTGGCATTATTTGTCCCTTGAAGGCAGATAACGTTGATGAAGACCGTACATGCACACAGGTGCTCCGGATGCACGCCGGTTTGCATAACAGAGTGATAAGGATAAAAGAAAGGAGGGAAGAAGATACCACACTCAGGATTAATGTTGCATTTGACGGCACACACAACAGCAGATAGCAGACTACCAGCGCATGGCGGCCGGCCGGGAGCGGTCGACACTGCTCTCCTTGGTGACCGGCTTGTGGTGGTCCTTTCCCGGGGACGCATGGTACGGGCCCCAGCAGTGCTCGCATAGATAGGCCAGGCAGCCCACTTGCGAGCAGAAGAGCGGTGCACTGCGCCCACTACACTTCATCCCGTGACAGTAATCACAAATCTGGTCATCCAGGACGTAGGGCTTCAGTTCAACCTGTTCAAACATACAATCTGTCATCACATCATGCAATCCTTCATTCAACTCTTTTACAGTCATCAGCCTATATATGCACATACGATTATGTTGCATTTCTGCTTAAACTTTTAAACCGCAGTTCTTGAAATTAATTTGCGGATCACCTTTCAAACCAAACCAAAAAACTTAAATAAAAGCTTTACTCAGTTAAAAACTTAGTTGAACTAAACTTAGGTTTGTTAAATTGTCTCTGTTTAACATTGATTAGGTTCTATTATAAAGTGTGGTAGAGCCATGGATCCGACTTTCTGAACTCGACAAGGGGATACAAAAGTGAGACATACATATAGAGGTATACTGCATAAAGCTTCACTACCAAAAACAGTCTGCATATACGTAATGATTTACAGCAAAAGTATTCTGTGACGTGCATTTTTTAAATTAATTATAACTGTATGACTGTGGTCTACTACAAATATTTACCCGTTTGTCAATTTCGCCGTTTTGGAGCTGTACAAATCTGGCATTGATGGCCGCAATATAGCTCTGTTGGTTGCTGAAGGTGATCCGACCCGCTCCTTTGGGATATTTCAGTTCCGAATCAACATCGATGCCGGCATAGGCCACGTAACCAAACCGCTGATTCATCAGAAGTGCCAATTCGTCTGGAAAGGAAAACAGCGCAATATAAATTAACCTCAAGCCTTGACGGGAAATAATATGTAGGCGCTATTTTTCCCCTCAACAGCAACTCACGGGCTTTCAATGGTCGAGGCACTCCGCCAACGAATACCGTTAAACGGGGATCCAGCTTGCTCTGCGTGTCCAGGTAGCATTCATTATCGGTAAGCCTCCACGGTCGAATTTGCACCTAATCGAGTCAATAAGAAAACATCACTCACTATTCCACTGGAAAGTCACATGATTTTTTTTGCAACCTTTGACTGGACAAAATGAACGAATTTAATCTGTAATATCTACTATCATCACTTTTTCCAGTTAGAAACCGTTATTAAAACGCTGTTATAAACAAGTTGAATAAAATTGTTTCCTTCATCGAGTAGGTTGCAAATATTTGGAATTATTCTCATATGGGTTGACATACTGGTTTATCCTTGCTCGTTGGGCTGGAAACGTGGACGTACAATTTGTCGCCCTCTTGAACAGATGCATCCAGCAAAGCGTGAACCGAGCTTTCATCTTGGAACAGCAGAAAGGCATACCCTAAAAAGATAGAAACACATGCACCAATGTTGTATTAAATTCCACATGTGCACTCTGTAAAATGAGCCGATTATGCAACTGACCTTTCGGTGGAAAGTAGGATTTGCTTTCTGCCTTATGTGGCCAGTCGACGATCAGTGGACCAAAACGCCGGAAACTGGTAGTTATCTCTTCTGTAAAGAAAAACCTCATTATATGTCACATTTACATAGTACGTAATAATTAGTTATTAGACGTATTTTGCTACATTCAGTCTACACGTAAACGCCAATACTACATTTACTCGTATCAACAGAATACATACGTATACCTGCCCAAAGGATTTCATGCGCATTTAGCCCAGTAAGCAACAATTTTCTCTTTTGATACATTTACTATTAGGGCACAAATATCGTTTGATAGAGCATTATAATTGACTGCAGGAAGGCACGCTGCTTTCAAAACACCCTATTCTGTGCACTGCGTTTACGTAATTGTGCGAACAAATTATTTCAATTCAGGTACGTACAGTGATAATTACTGTTATGGTTAAGAAATATCTGTAAACAACCAGTACCTTCGTCGATATCAGGAGGAAGTCCTCCCACGAACACTTTCCGAGAATACAAGTGCATCTGATCACCGCCAAATTCTGATCCGCTTGAATGGTGCCGGGGGGACATGCGCGAGCCCATCGGCGAAATCGAAGACGGGACAATTTGGTCAAAAGGATCCAGAATATCACCGAATCGGCTTCCATCGTAAGAATTGTAGTTTCCGAAAAAATTGCGACCTGTGACAAAAGCAGATTAAGATTAGTTACTTTAATCCGCGCAGAACAGATATGGTATCGCTTAATTATCAACAGCCATATTATATAGTCTACAGAAATACCTACAAGTATATTTGCTTTTGCACAATGTGATGGTCAACCTATAATTTTGTCTAAATGGAGTTTCCAAATTTTGGTAAGTATATGTAGCGTATTAATGATTGTAGTATGATGCTGCAATGTTTTCGGCAAAAGGTTAAAAACGATCATACGTTCCAAATTGTTAAGTATAAAATTAATTCGGTCTATGCCAATAATGCCACTATCTTGGGTTTATGTTTAGTGTAGGAACGGATGGAGAAGCTCTTTACCGGCTTTAATGCGATTCATGGGGTAAATTGTGAAGTAAGCATGCCTGTTTGTGCATACGACCAAAATAAGCAGCACAAGAGAACCCTTGGCCGAAAAGCCAGGCACTTGGAGTTGCTTTATCACCACAGAAACAGCATCGGAGCGGTGACAGGAACATTTTTCGTTCAAGTGCTACTCGTACGTTAATTTAGGATGATTGGAAAATCGAATATCTATCTGATCCCAACAGAATCTATCGTATTGCATAGCAAACTCGAGCGGTGGTAAGACGGAAAATATTAAAGAAGGACAATAAAATAGTTCGTACACTCTTTCGCTTGATATGCATTAGCATGTCGTGAACTGATAAAATTATGAGAACGCGTCACACTTTGCAGCGCTATGTTCGGTGACTATTAATTTACGATTATTTTTTCCTGGAGAATATAATGCTCATGAAAAAATACGCTGCCAAAGTGCTAAGCTGTAAATATGCATGGTTAATGTGGATTTGTCGTGCCGCACGGACATACTAAATTAATCATCAAATAAACACGCAGCTATTCCAGCCGTGCGTATTCCGTCCAGCCACACAGCCCAAAATTAGACTAACGAAGCCACTTTCTATATTCATCATGTTTTTTCTCACACTTTGTCTCTCCGGACCGGATATTAGCTGTGAGCCGTCAACCATTGCAGCAGAGCGACGCTGCTAATAAACTTCCAAAATGAAAACTATGCGTCACCGTTTGCCAAGTAATTACTTCACACTTTTTACGTCGTATAGCTCGGTATACGAGCAAGTGTCTGCCAGCAGTGACAGACATACACAAAATAAACTGGTAATAACATGAAATTGTTATTGTGGTATGCCTTTGTACAATACAATAAAGCATCACAAGCCTTTTCAGAGTTTCGGCGTATTTATAAAATTATAGTTCCTGCAACCAAATTTGCCGCGTGATGTATAAATTATATAGCTTGTAATTTACAAAACACCGGCAATAAAAATAATACGCGTAATGCAGACATGCCGATCGTACGTCTTTCATTTGCATCTGAAGCGCTAACGGTTTGCAAGGATAAACCTAACCCCAAAATTTTCCCTATGTTACAGATAAAGTGTGGGAAAGTGCTGTGGTATATGTGGCATATTTGCACTTTTAGTTAGTAAGTGCATATACACGTCTTATTTAACGAGTGCGGGCATTAGATAATCCGGCCAGCATCTCTTGTATCCTGTAGGAATGTTACAATTTGATTACCGAGCAAGAAGCAGTATCCCCAAAAAGCAAAGCCTCCGCGCTCCACATAAAATGCGAATGCGCATATAGCGAGCGCCACTCTGTGCAGCTAGATGCAATCTGGTTAAGTCGAGCGATTGCCAATGCTGGTCCTTGGCAATCCGACCGGAGATTGATTTCCCTCATGCAATTTTCCGCTGCGTATCGATTTCCTGTCAGCTCCTTTACAATTCGACGAAAGCTTCGTCCGCGTATATATAACAAATGTGTACGAGAGCGAGGCCTATTGCATAATCGTGTGTGTGTGTGTGTATGCATTATATGTGTGTGCGCGCGCCCTTTTCCTTTCTCTCCCTGGACGAATAGAATGCGCTGAAAGGGAAGTGAGAAAAAAATAGGAAGAGCAAAAAAACCCTGGCTGCACCGATTAAGTTGGCATGCAAACGGAAAGGAGAAAAACAGTGCTAACATGCATCCTAAGACACAACAATGGCCGAGTCAGGCAGATTGTCGATTATATGACACGAAAAATATCAATCTAGTGGGCGCGGATGCTGTACAGGCAGCGATGCATATTCCAGATGCAAAAAGCCCTCGCCAATCATTCTTCCACTAATCGACGCACGGATTCAATAGATTTTGTCTAGTGGAATACATGGAGTTCTATACTGGTCGCGGGATATATACACTCTCTCTTTTGCATCGATGTAACCAGTAACGGACGATTGATTCATTTTCATGCCTTGTACCAACACACTACGCCAACAGGAGAAGAGGGCTTCCGTTCGAGTTGCCCATTCACTGGCTTTTGTCGGAGCACTAACAACAAAAATCCCAATTTTCTTCCCATTCATCATACGCCCTTTACTTGTTCTGGAGGACATATTAAAACCCCGATGTATCGAACCTTGTATATAGCTTAGTCTGCTGTACAGATAGTAGCATCCCAAAGGCCTTTAATAAAATTAATAAGGTGAAAAAATCGATGTTGCGCAACAACAATTCTAAGTATTATTTGAGGGGTTTTGCCCAGGACCAAACAAGAAGGAGAGCGCCAATGCTGACGTAACACTGACTGCGGACTATGTACCATTTTGGCGTTTTGGATGAACACGAAGGACCACTACGTGGTCAAAAGCGAGATTAAGTTCCGTTCCATACTTTGCGAGTGTTTATATAACATTATCTGCTTAAAATTGGTATTTTTATAGCAAAACGCCAATAAACACTAGACAAACTCCTTGATTATTGTAGGTACCGTGCGCCTATTCAGAGGTACACCGGTCAACAAATATGTTTGGAAAGCGAATGTTATGCAACAAATTTCCGCGCTTGGTTTGTACAGGCCCGGAGTTTCACCCAATCAGATTAAGACCTTTAGAAATAGCAAAGAAATAACGAAATAAGGCACGCAGAAGTGAGGAACAGACGCGAACAGATGAAACAATACAAACATTATTGTTCATAAAAATTATTTATTGTTTAGATTTTTTAAGAAGCCCAGACAAACTGACCAAAGTCATATTGTCATGAAATCGTCCCCACCGTAGCATATATTGTTCTAAAAACAAAATTAACTATCGATCTAGAACCTTTATGAAAATGTCAACTATGTCGGAGCATAAAACAAAATGGTATGATAATTGTAGCACTGAATGCTTCAGGTGACAACACATATGCCTGGCGCTCCACGAACTTCCGATATTTTAAAGAATTGGCAGCCCATGTAAAAAACCTGAATATAGCGACTGGTATACAGTAGTGAAAAATGAATTCTTGTTTATTCAGCTAGATCACATGGCGAATTTGTGTACTTTTTTCTTACCACAATCAGCGATTATAATCGCTTCGCAAATCTGTTACATAATCCAGCGTATTAACTAGGGCCACAATAAATTAGCTACCATAGCTCAGCAATTATGCTTGGCCATTCCGCAAATTGTTGTGGAGGTTAACCGGATCAACAGAGGAGATGAATCAAAAATACTACGGCAATAGTTAAAAGCACCCTATTATTTTGCTTGGCTGATCTCTGAAAAACTGCATAGTGCATACATAAATGTACTCTCTGAAATGCAACAAATGCTTTGTTAATTATGGTAGGAGAAGGGGATAACATCATATAAGTAAATTTTTTAAAGCCAACATTTATGATGTAGGTACATTAAAATTAATATGATATAAAACCAATGCTATATATTCAACTCGGCAGATAAGGATGTAAAGTAAGAACTTAATAACCCACAACAAAACTTAACAACGTTACGTTTTCAAATTAAAATAGCGCTTACACAAAATTTAATATGAACGTTTATAAAGAATTACAAGTACGAAAACTTTCGTGATTGCAAGAAAATACGTGCTTCTTTCAACAATAAGAACATTCGTCGGCATCCAGACACGTTGTCTGGCGTCGGCACGCAAGCATTTGTTCGGACTTTCATTATTGCAGTGAAAAAAACATTACGGCTAAATAAAAGCCCGTTTTGCGATGAATAATATTTGGTCGGCCTATAAAGTGCCTGTGGGGACTGTATGGGGTGCGGCAATCCCATGGGAATGTTTATCACTGGGAATATTTCATCTCTGCCAGTGAATAACCGGAAAGATGCGCAGAATCGAAACCCAACGTTTATCTGTGTATACGCGGTGCTCACTTCCGGTTGGGGTGCACTAAGCTAATTTGCAAGTGTGAAAGCTTCAGGACCCTTTTATCGACAGCTAATAGTAAGACCTCGATATTACATGCGAATACATAACCATAATTTTTGTTCTCCTATCATCACACATACCTTTGCCGCTGTCGTCCCATCCATTTGTCGCTTTCAACATGTCCGTCAAATGTGGTTCCAAAGAGTATTTCAACGAATCGAAACCGCTCATACTCCCATTGTTGCCTTGATGGAAATTGCGGGGATTCTGTAATGAGTAGAAAAACCTTTTAACTCGTCTCTCAAAGTACTCTGTACATATCGTGCCCTGTATAATTAAATGTAGTAGAGCTGTGTACACTAACTATACTGCTAATGTTACATAATAACTGCACTGAATACTGCGTTGCGCTTTTACAGCATTCCACAAGCTCAAATATTTTGCTTTTAACCGGTTTATCAGCAAAATTAAAACAAATAACCGGGACCACTTGCAACAATTTTTATTATAAGAAGATACGAATAGAACATTCCTTAATTTAATTACACTGTTGTCAATAGGATTAGCAACTATCGTTGAATTATTTTTGCAAATAGTGATCGTACTCAGAGTAAAACAAAATATAAACTACTCGACATTTCAGTTAAAGATTATTATTGCATCTTTTGATGGCAGGGGATATTAAATGTTATTGGTTTTCCCATGATGTGCATTAGCGATATTCTTTCAACTGCCCTCCCATAATTCAAAGCTGCATGTGCCATTATTTGGGATCGTTCCATATTGACGGCACTTCGCAAGCTGGACCGGCCAGCAGTATGCTCGATGGCAACTGTTAAAACTCATTAATTCACGCATCCCTGCATGTTTACAGGATACGCGTTTACCCGGCGATCCGGGAAACGGATACGGTGCTTTGAATACAGCCAGTAAAGAGCTGAGAATGTTCATTGGGCAATGGCCGTGCCGAGAGAAGCATAACATATAACGAGCTCCAACGATAACATCACCGCATAACCGTTCAATATTGACACTATACACAGTCCTATATTTGTCTTTGACCACAGTCCATATTTAGCCCATTTCGGTTTTAAGAATCGTTACTTCCAAACACGCCGATCCATAATGCCGGCAGAATCATAAATGTAATAATTTATTATCACTGCTCCTGGTCTGCTGCTTCTATATAGCTGAATGGCCGCCACACCCATTCACAACCACAGCTGCTGGGCAGCGAATGAATCTTGACGGAATGACCTTAACTGACCACCGCACGGAAGTCTGGCCTGAACTGACCCCGTGATGTTCGGATTTGACATTGCGAGGAGCCAGGTGGTAGCGTCATTTGGGTGTACTGCCAATAAAGCTGAACAAGATCCCCATCTGCCATTGTCGGTTGTCCATAAGACGCTTAAATCAGTACGCATGTCTAGCCTGTACACTCCTTTCCATTGAGAAACGTATAATAACAATTACGGTCACTTGAGACCAACAGCTGGTCAGTCGCGTGGCATGCTACAGAGTACAGATCGACAGCTGACAACGAAAGATGTTATTAGAGCAAGAGCGAATAGCTTGCCGCTACTGCTGATAAGAAAATCAGCAACCGTTGTATCACACCTCATTGGAAGGGATTCAGCTAGCGCTTTTGTAACTGGCTTTTTAACAGCAGCATGTTGATATGGATTAAGCAATGCATTATTTAATTTGTCAACGTTTTACAAATTTTTTTTAAAAAAAATCAAAAAGTGTTACAATAAAATGTTTGCATAAAGTACAGCTAAACTCTTTCACGCATACATGAAACTCTTCAATTAAACTCTTTAAACTTGCTTAAAAGGTTTTACAGCATTAAAAAAACTAATTACAAGCCAGTTAGTTCATGTTACAGTTTTTTCTCCTGAGTAAACGTTTTCTAACCCACCGCATTCGTAAAAACATCCGAAAAAGAGAGAAATTCTTGGAAATGCTTTAGTTATTGCACAAACAACCAGGTTTATCATAAAGAAGCCCTACAAAACACATAGACAATCATTACCAGCCAAGTGCGCAGTGAAAAATGATTGCTCAACCGGAAATGGTGGTTTCCGGTTGCTGGCCAAGTAGCGACCCAAGCAAAGTGAGGTGAGACAAATTACCGAATTACAGGCTCATGTTATTACATGGTAAGATAAGCTACATGGCCACGTCTTATTAATTTTTGTAACTCAGTGACCAGTCTGCAGGAGTTCGTATGCAAGACAAAAATTTAAGATTGTTCAATCTTGATCGCACTTGAAGTTTTTTGGTAAAGGTCGATTTCTTTTGCATTTGCGATTTGCGCTTTGAATGTTGTCTTGAATTACAACTTCTATGTCGTAAGCAAAAATTCTTCAACATTTATTCTATTTTTGCTTTGATTACACCGGAAATTTGAGACTAGTTCAGGATCAAAAAAGAACATCTTGCGTTGTAGCGTGCATACATATGCAACCTAAAAATGATAATGTTTACAGCTGTGCATCACGTGAAACGCTGCGTAGACAAGATTATCGCATAAGTTAGTTGTAAATGTCACGACATAGCCAATAATCTGAAAAAATGTACATATTGTACTTATTAAACAATTTCAAAACTTTTTAATAATTTTTGCATATAAGGCAATTTCCTCAAACGATTCAGTATATTTTAGAAATTCTCAATAATAATAAATTCTTTAAACCACCCAAGTAACTTTTTAATTATTTAAGTAGATAATTAAATTTTTTATACATCTTTATGGTATAAATTGTAAATCATCATCAAAATTATCGAAACATCATTTTCACAATTTCGCAGCACGTGGGTTCGCTTCAAAATGCTATTACACTTTAGATCCAAATACAATACTACGCTACTTTGAGGCCAGGTCGAGGTAGTTATGTATCGGTTGCTCTTCAGTGTGCACCGTAACAAATTGGAGGGGTACGATAATATTCTACCAAAACGCATAAAAACGCTCATAAAATCGAAGCAAATCTTTTCATTTGCTCGTTTACTTCGAAGACAAATAAAAAATTTAATGTTAGCATGTTATCAGCCATTATGGACCAAAGTTTGCCAATCAAAGAAAAACGAGGTAAATATATTCGTGAAGTTAATATGTATCATCCAGAATAACGAGAATCTGCACAAACAAGTAGCAAATACACATTAATTTTAGTGTCGGCAAATATATAGATACAGTAGCCGCAGTTTCCATGAAAGAAGTTTTAATGATCATAACACACGTTGTCCGATCCAAATAGTTTTTATCGCCACTTGAAGATTGTATTTATAACCCAGGCAATGGAAAGTTTTTTCCGCACTGATGATGAAAACATTGACATGCTTGCCGGGTAGAAATGGGTCCTAATTGTCAAACCGAACCAGCCACTCGCATGTGACGCATTGCCAAGTTTGCCTATTCTAAACTAACTAATAAAAACCACCGCTATCGTTTTCCTGTCGCGCAGTAATTCCTAAATACATATCGAGCAAAATATACATGGAATATACATATGTGTATACGAAGCATTATAATAATAATCTCTCTCTCTTACTGACAGCATCATCGTCTGCAGCTGCATCAACTACTTACATATCCCCTTAAGGAAAAGCAGTTTAAAGAGGACGTGTAATAGGCCATAAGAACGCCAGCTGATTGGGCTAGATGCAGCCAACACAACATAGCTCCAAGATTATTACACAAGATTACGTAGCCTTCACGTTGTCTACGCCGACCCTAACTACCATACTGAAAAACGCTGGCGCGGCGGAAGCTATTTTTTATGTTCCATTCACGCTGAGCTAGTAATGCAATGCTAACGAAATTTTGATCAGCTAAGCGGAATATGTCCTATTAAAAAGGCTGTAATAATTAAAGTATTGCGTTATGCGCAGTCCACAATTAGAACTGGCTACAGTGCGGCCTGTATATTTTCAATATGCGCGTGCCGACAACAAATGTCGAAAACTGTGGGGTTTTTTTAGTATTTGTTGACCATTCGACATGAACCTATATCTTACTAGTACTCTTTAGTACTCAGAAAATTGTCAAAAAGTGCAAAATAGCGTTAAGAAAAAGTTTTTGCAATTGAATACCAATTTTTCCTCGAACGTCTGTGGAGTTACAAGTTGCTATAACGAACAATTTTATTTTATCGTTTTTCCATGATGACTCAAAAATTTCCATCTAAACCTTGACCAAAATGCTTAAGACCTATTAAATGTTTTACGTACTTATTTGCTTAAAATTTGGCAACTAATAGAATTTTAAAACTGAATCGTTACATGTACGGTATACATGCATTCTAAATGTAACAAACAAATTAAACAAGCGAACAAAAAAACACGCAATCGAGATCAGCAAACTTGCTTAAATTCTATAATGTTACGAATGCATGAGATACTTTTCCGCCTAAGTTTTAATGGTCAGCAATTGTCGGTATTTCGGGGTGCGATTCGCCTGTCTAGCTGAAGCAGCCGTAGAAAACGAACAAGTCTGGCAGAATAGAAGGTTTTTGTGTTGATTAAGCTGATTCAGATTAGATGTCGATTGCGGCAGACCTTATCATGTGGTTTGCGTGAGATCATCGTCGTAATGTCAATCTAAAATCTCCCCATTTTGCCGTAAATCCTTGAACGAAATGCATACGTACAGCTGTACCAGTGCTTGTTATCGTTTGCATTGCTACTTGCCCCCGTCTGCTTCTTATAGCTGACAACTAATGGCTTCTGGATCAGTTGGATAGAAAAATAATTACCGTATTCTTGGAACAATATTTACCAAAACGCAATGTTTACCTTGCTACCCCCAATCATAATGACGCTCTCTTCGTTGGTGCATGTGCAGTGGCATTGTGCACTATGCCGATTCTCAGACTGAGTAGTTAATATGCCTTAGGGCGGTTAAAAAATTAATACTACTCAGTAGAAAGTCTGCGTTTATAGGAAACGTTTATTTAGCGCAATTCAGGAAAACATTTTTGAAATGAAATTTAATACGGCTGCAAAAAAACTACTTTTAAATTTTTAAAAGCCTACGCTTGCGGTATTTTCTTCACCAAATAATATTATCGATAAATACCATTAGTGTGCGAACTAGTTATCGTCTGGGAATTAAACACAGTTTAATTGTGCGGACCACAGTACACACCTCGCATTCAATCTGCGATACACATCTGACATCTGTACATCGCTTATTTTACGATTTATCTATCATATTACAGCATTTGAAAATTTGATTACAAAGCCTGGTTAGCTTGGTTAGAGCTACTTTTAATTTAGTTTAATAATATAGGCAAGAGATATTAAAGTAAACCCTAAAGTATTATCAAAGACAATTTGCAGTTAACGAGGTACACTTCCATATGTACACACGCGGGTTATTAAAGAAATTGCTTATCCGTTAATGGTAAGAAATATAAAGCAGTTTGTTATGATTGCTGCGAAGACAGATCATTGAGCTGTTAGCCTGAGATTGCGACAAGCACTCACTTATTCCACTAAAACAATATTTACACGTGCAACTCTTAGAGGAAAAATAGATGCTTAATCCCATACCTGATTGTAGCCGGTAGTCGGTGCCGGATCCATATTCCAGCCTGATAAGGAAAAGTTGGCCGTATCACCATTAGTGGTGTGATTATGTGCGATTGTGTCATAGAACGAGGCACCCAAGGAATCAATTCCATTAATATAATCACCGCCCATTGTTCCGGGCACATGATGATGATGATGGTGACTGTTATGGCCAAGATTCTGTACATGGCCATTAGCCGGATGGGAAGCACTGCGCCGATACTGGGCACGATGATTGCTGTTTATATGACCAGAGTAAGCACCATTATTAGCGCTGCATCCCGTATTGACGGGATAACCTGCTGACTGCACTTGCCGGTAATGCGCCTGCTGTTGTGTCATGCCCGAATGTTGATGCAGAGTGACGGATGCTGGTCCCGCCATACTACTACCGGGTGATAATTGTTTTCGACTAATCGGCGATACTGAACCACTGCTAAATGGACTCGTACAGGCGTTCGGCGGGGCAGAACGGCGATTGCTAAGAGGCGCAACGTTGTTCCATGTCGTAAAGGGATTAGCCAGGCCGTGAGGCGAGCCGAAATGCTGTAGATTACTCTCGGAATTAGACGGGCTGAGCGACGGGGACAAGTCCGACCAGAAACTGCCCCATCCCGCCGAGCCGGGCGCACTGCCGGGTGGCTTCAGGTAGCTCTTACCGCTGCCCTGCTCCAGGAAGCGCTTTTCTTCATCATTGGACCCGAAACTGCCCACATCGTTAAAGGAGCCCTTAGATGACCAGACACTGTCGCCGAACAGGCTGTTGCCCAATTCCAGGCCGGATATTTCAAGACTACTCGACGCACTGGATGACGCTGTGCCCGTTGAGCCAGCGCCGCTAAGGGGACTCGATGATTCCCGTCCAGTCGCCGATGTAGCCGCTGCACCACCGCTACTTGCCATCGTTCCGCTCTGGCTATTTGTATTAGCGGGAAATGACATTGATTTTTCCTCTTTATCAGCAGCAGCAGCAGCCGCACTGCCAGTTGGGACAACGACTGGGGGGCTTAGTGAATCCTTAGGTGAATTCTCGTTCACTGCGCTGTTGGCCAGTGCCAGCGCTTCACTGGCACTAGTTATGTCTTTACTTTCTGACGACCAAATCGATGAGAGCATATCTGGGCTTAATTGGAACAGCCGTGATCCAGGCGAGCTCATGCCGGTACTGCGGTCGGTACAGTAGGAGGACAATGCTGGCGATTCGCTTGAACAGCTATAATCAAAGGGAGACCCATAGGAACGGAAGGCCGTCTCCACACCGAGTTCCATAATGATCAGGCCGTAAATGCCGACTTAATTAAGGTCGATCGTATTCCCGTCGGGTTGGTGTGTGTGTGGGCTGTATATGGTATGGATAGTACAGTACATGTACTTACGGTAACGGCAGCTGGACTGTCCCGGTACAGTGTGTGTGCATGCGGCACTCAGCTGCGCCGTTGTAACGGTTGTCAAAAAGTAATTCCTCACCACAATGTGTCGCAGCAACGTGTATATATAGGGATGGTGGAAAATTATTTTAACGATCTCAGAAAAGAGTTTGGCAAGTTATTGGGAATACGGTGAACGAAAAATGAAGCAAGACGGAATTTTACAGTAACAAGCTACTGGCTGCGATTGTGGATCACACCAAGCATGCGGGCTATATGAGTGGGCTTTACTATCCACCATACAGTCATACACATTCACAGCTGTTCGATACAGATCGCCACCTCTTCCAGGACACAGCAGCCAATGACAGCCGCCGATAATCCGTCGATAAATCGGTATTTGTTCACAAGGACTTTCCTCGTTAGCAGCCGACCAATTCGCTGACACTGACGTCAGTTGGACAGGGAATCAATGTATAGATTTTTGTTGATTGGGCATAAATATAAAGCTGTATTATGTATTCGGCTAAATTTGCTGATGGCACCACGCAGTTCTGGCGGAAAATTTGCTATTGAAACAGTTAAATAAAAGAACCGTAATATTACACAACAACATTTGTTATTGTACTGCAGACTGAACTACATTTTAAGTCGTGAGGGCAAAGTGAAGCAAGCCAAATTGGCTAAGAATGGGCCTAGTAAATTTACTTCTCACCGCTTAAGAAATCTTGTTGTACCGCTAGAATAGATAGGCAGCTAATGAAAATTGTAATGTGCATCTTATAGCCGGTAGGATGGCTGGCAGAGTCATAATCGTCACAGCCAAAAACCGGTACCGTAAAAAAAATTACATAGTATTTACGCTTAATACTCACCGCACTGACTTTTGTGTCTGGCGGTATAATCATGACATTTGTTATGAAATAGTGGCGTAATCGAAAGTGTAGTTCAATGCCAGCATTTTCCTATTAGTTATTGCTGTTCATCAAATGCTGTAATTCTGATTATACCTAGCCTATCTTATTAATTTAACACCCACGAATGTTCATTAATTTATTTCTGCTAATTGAATGTTTTAATTTAAACTACTGCAACGCTGCATCCAGCTCACCGAATATCGTGCTACAGACAAAGGGTGTACGCAAATTCGCGGAACTGTTTTGTCTGACACCGGTAAAAACGTTGTCCTTACAATTAGCCGAATACCTCATGTGGACTTCCGCTAATCTCTTCCGCACCTTCACGTCGTTGCGTTTTCCAAATGAAGGGTTACAGGGGAATTAACCATTTCAAATTTCTCAATTATATTACGACAGAATCTGATTATTTACTGAAATATCGTCAGCATTAAATATTAATTGTAAGCCATAACGATGGGTTATTTTATTTAATACGTTTAATTGTAACAATACTTATTCCCGCGTCAACAATAGTGCATGCTCTGGCATGCACAAAACATCTGATGATAATGCTGTAGTCACAATGGATTTGTAATTTTAACGTGCAGCTTTGTTAATAATTATCTTTAAAAAACTTCTGTTTCGACGGCTATTTAATGCATAATGCCCACTTGGTTATGGTAAGCTTCGGAATGGAGATTAGCTTGGTATAATGTAAGCAGAATTAACGATCTGTGCATGTCAGTTCTTTGATTTACCGTTAACTCTGCGATTAGCTTCAATAACTTCATGTCCACTTTCTGTATTGCGAAAAGCTGATCCGGTGTTTTACAGATATAACCACGCATGTGGAACAACTTGGTCAGTTCATGCTCAATTAGTGATTGCTATTCTTTGCAACAACATATTTTTTCTCATCTTTTGTATGTAAGAAAGGCTTGTAAAGGCTGAAAGTGCACCATGTCAGCGGCTACCGCATACATTCAACTTAAAGACTTACGTATTAATAAAAGCACATCAGTTTTCGCAACATACTTGATATTCTGTTATAAATGAAATACTTAGTTATACAAATTTTGTATGATCTGGCGATTAATATTTGCGATTGTGAGTTATAAATAAAAATAATAAACATTCTTTAAAAATGTGAAATACCTACTTTGACTGATTGACAAGTCTAAATGTGGAACGTAATAATGTATCGTGAGGAGGCATCGTTATTAATACTGATGCAAATCGCGTTGCCTTTTAACGAAAACAAGAAGTATCCGCAACTAATATCAGTAATATGCAGGCCAGCTGGCACCCACATTAAGTTTAAGAGCTACTGTACTTTTGTTAATATCAACGTAACGTGCTTTATAATTCAAGGCAAAATTAAAACAAATCAATATCAAATACATCAATAATCATACTTCTATGCTTAGAGACTGCATAACCCTATCGGGCATCGGCTATAATTTGTCGGTGTTACAGCGATTGGTACGGATATTTATGTATTGTTTATTGATGTCAGCCGCATTTGTTTCCAGCTGGAAAACATTGATATTTGCAGGTTTGTGTAGTGCTGCACAAGCTTCTTATGAGAGAGAACAAGTACGCAAGAAGTATATAGTTACTGTAAGTAAGTAATATATGTTATAAGTAAGTAGTTTTTTTCTCATGTTCGTCGGGACGCGCTATAATAATACAGTGGTTGAACTACCCAATCATTTTTTTCGATCCTAGAACCATCGTCTGTCCATTCAGCACTTTTCAATCATTATGTGTTTTCCGTTCTGTCAACTTAAGTAAACAAATCAGAAAAATATCGAGTAACCCGCTTTTACGACGGGAACGATAGATTTTCGCCGAAATACGGTTTCCCCCTTGGAACATTTCTTCATCTTTATTTGTCCCATCAGGATTTACTAAGGATACCCCGCGTATAAACCGCTCGCCGGTCGTTTCTTTTCCCGTTGCACTGCGGCTGCGCCATGCACGGCCGATACGATATACAGCTGCCATTCACGGGGCATACCATGTACACAGTCAGTGAATGGAGGGAAAAGGTGAATTAATTTAAAAGTGTTATAAAAGCGTAATCATCAATCGTGAGCCGGTTCGACGTGGATATTGATCAGTTGCCGGCTACAATTTCTCAAGCAATGAAAAGCAATGCTTTCAATACCCCCCAAACGAAATCATCTCGTTGCAGCAGCAGCAAACGTTCGATCGCGCTGCGACTCCAGCTGAGCATAGGCTGAAATCTTCGTGCGAGCTGCACTTAAAATCGGGCATGTTGATGATGGTGAATGAGCCAGATGGCTTATTGATCACATACTTTCTCTTTTTTCCAAATGTCATTTCCATGAGGCCGCACACCAAGTACGAGATCCCAGTCGATAATTATTCTAAAAACGCCTCTGTCATGTCAGGCTTAGAAAATCAACATGCAAAAAATATCTTAATCCAGCTTACTAATGTAACGCCGATTGCGGCAGCGCAAAATACATCCCAAAAATAACGACAACATCGCTCCATCATTTGGTCAGCGGTGAGAAAGCTCCAACATCTCAGCGCAGTATTTTACGCAAATTAAAACATGTGTAACGATGCTCCGCGTTACTCATAAGGCACATAATTTTCGGGTTGCAGTTTTCACATTTATATTTTACGATCGATGTGGCTTTAGAGGATGTGTGTTATATGCCATGTAGTAGTGTCTCATCATTTTAACACTGAAGTTACGTGAAAGGAAGCAAAACATATAGAAGTATGCAAAGGGCATCGTGTACAGCAATATTTATGGTTAGTAAAATACTAAAATTGATCCATAAGTGTGTGTCAACAGTAACAGGCTAACAGCTTTTTTGCCATCTTCAAATCATTAGCGCAATGATATATTTATTAGCATTGGCACGAAAACAACTTATACCACGCCCTGACAAATGTATTGTAGATGGACTACTAATGGACATCCCTGTAACTGCAAATCTCATGTCGACGGTTTGATTATCTGTTGATTGGAAATATTGGTGGAAATTCCACACCGCACTCAAAACAATAATCTTCCACATTTGTCGCATTTACAAGGCTGAATGCAAGCGCGAACACTGTAATTAGTTCACTTTTCACGTAACGGTGGCTTATCGGCCATACATGATATTAGCAAATTAAGCCTCCTTCACGTTTTCCTACCCAACCCGGACGTTCCTGTCGCGAAAACTGCGCTCTAAGCTAATAGGAAGCAGTCAGGTGACAGTTTGGCGCTCCACTATTCACTCCATTTCATAACCGCGCTCTTCATCGTTATACCCGTACACCTACAGGCCATTTTTGCCCGCAGTAAACAGAGTACAATTACATCACCACCTGACAGACAAATTAACACCGCTGCGCCAAAAAAAGAAAAACAATCCGCTATGCTAATGAATGCTGTTCTGTACACCAACTGAAAACCACACCGATCACAGGGGGGAACGAAATCCCGGAAGTGACTGCATACAAACATACGTAGCGAAGCGCTACCGCATGATAGTATGACACACTGTCCAGCACCTTCACAACAAGAGTCATAATTCTCAAGGATGTCTTTGTGATGGCGAGCATACTGTTAATAGTGGTCTTCTCCGGTATCAGCCTGAGTATCAGCATCTCGCGTTTCAGGGGCATCCATAATTTGCCGTTTATGATACTGCTCATTATGCTTGAGCTTGTAATAAATGCGCAGTATACCTTTGATGGCAATGAATACACTGCCGCCAAGTACAGTGCGCTCCAAATTGGATTTGACACGCTGGCCCAGTAGAAAGCGACCGATTAATGTGGCAATGGTGGGAAAGACCAGGGCGCCGCACAATATCCGCGACGGGGAGCTTTGCTGTTCGGCATAGGCCAGATTCTGCTCGGGACGGTCAAAGACGAACGGACAGATGGAGTGCATGATCCAGCGCCAGTTGCGCGCAATGTAATCCTCCCAGCGCAGCATCTTACCCCAGATTAAGCAGGCCGGAATACTGGGGAGGGTAAGTAGTAGGAGCATCGGATCTGACCGCTCCATTAACTGCAGACCTTCGCGGTGTCCCAACACCTATTCAACAGCACGTCTTTGTTATGAGCAAAATAAAAACCGGATAGCTAAAAACCCATGGAACACTTCGATAATTGTTCTCCACTTGCATACCGGATGCAAAACGCAGCAGAATGTCAAGGAACAATACGCGCAGAATACTGACATACATTACACAAAAATACCGCCCTTCCAACTTAGTATTTGCGAATATATACAGTATTCCTGACATTCCTTGTTAAGCTGGCTGCATATCATCACAAACTGTCAGTCGTAACTTGGTTATCAGTAGCATTTTGCATTTTTCTCGAACCATAAAACTCAGCAGTTACCGAGCGCCTGGATTTTGGGTGAAAAGAACTGAGCTTGTCAGAAACGCCAAACTGCGCTAATTATATTTTTACAGAAGGAAGCGGCTCAATGCACGCCTTAACAGGCATTATTAAAACAGAAACTACGTACACACTACACAATGCAAATTAGGCTAATAATATTACCAACGTACCTGCATGACAGTTAAAGCTCCGTAAGAAACAGCTGTCCAGTATGTGGCTCCAACCAGGCATAATCCCGCAAAATATGGGCACGCTTTATTGATATATCGCTCCACACGATCCAGAACTTTATGTACAATACCTGGTAAAGATACAAACGCAAGAGCGTGATGCAATCGTTTCGACCAGTTTCACAATACCTACTAAATGATACACAAAAACTGAAAGCTGCAATCAAATCTCAGATCAAAAGCAACAGATAAATATGTAAACAAACAACTCGCGAGGAGAAAGAGACTTCGGTTGGTTTTTAAGCTAACTATACAGTACTGCGACCACCGACCGCTCTCGCAATAATTGTAAATTGGCTTATCATGTAAAAGCACTAAATGTCGAAGGAAAAAAAACTATATAAAACAACTTCTGTCCCTCTGTTACAGAAAAATATGATTATTTTTTACTCGTCAGGCGAAATTTCTCGCGCAAACAAATTAATCAAACCTACACGCACCTGCATTTCCCACTCCTGCCATATTAACTTCGTCAATCTTATAAGAAAAGTCGAAAACAGCTAAAAAAAAGCCTAACAAATCCAAAACAAAACATGCATAAATATATAAACGCAAATCAAAACAATTATATAATTCGGAAAACCTTTTCACAAAGTTAACCAGCATACAACGTCGAATCAGATTTAAGAAAATCCTTTGGCACTGTTATTCCGAAATTTTTAACGTTTATCCAAATATAAAAGCACTCAGCCGTACGAATATCACTGCAAGCCACTGACAGTCATCCAGCTTGTCTCCCTTTTCTTGAATTCTTACCTACGTCTCCGAATTTGACCAGATAGAAGGCGCCACACTGTGGACACGCGACTGGAATGGTGACGATCCCTTTCTGCTGAGCGTCAATCCATCGCTGCAGACACGAATAGTGCACCCACTTCGTGGATCCCCGACAACGACACGGACGCAGCCAGCGCATATTGGGCTCTTCTTCCTCACCCGCGAAGCACACCCAACACGCTCTGCAAACAGAAACACAATGCTGCCACTTCGAACCGTTCCATCTGCTTCACTCGGGGTACTACCTCTCGAGCACGGATGTGTCTACCATGTTAGCACCGTTCTTCACTTCGAAGGCGACGGAATGACTGCCACTCGCCACTGGATCATGCACGGGATTTCCCCGTAACATCTGCGCAGTGCCAGTGGATTCCACATCCAGCGCGACAGATGGAGGGACCGGATCCATGATGAATCTTCCCGAACAAACTTACGTTTAAAGAGATAAACACGGCTATAGATAGTTCTCGAAAACCAGAACTGCGCGATTCGCGAACATCGCCAAAAGTAAACCAACAAACTCAAGCACTGCAGAACTCGACTGGAAACTGGAGTGGATACTGATAGTATGTATACGCAATCGATCACATCTGCTGATCTGCAGGTAAACGCTCAGCTGCATAGGAGAACTCAAACACTATTAACAGCCAACAGCTAAAACATTATTGAATGTGTTCAAAATTCAAAGCAGAATTCTGTTAGGAATTCCCGCACATTAGATAAAAGAACTAAATTTATCGAAACCGAAAAATTTTTAGTAAACTACTAACCGTAAGGCGTAAACTGCAAAAACTTATTACTGGCTAATAAGCTGTTGAACACAACAAAGTCACGTCACTGAAGTAAACAGCCGTAAGTGCAACTGACTGGCGAGTATTCATTATACTCACTAGTAGACCCCGCGCAAACTGCGCGGAATAAATCGGTGACGTAACTCACGTAAGCCGAAGGAGTATAAGATTAAATGGGAAGTTTAAAATAAGTTTTAAAACAGATTTTAAAACTTACTGCGTGCTATAGTGTTTACGTTCTGTACGATACGATTATGCGGTAAGTACTGTCGAGTGTCGCGTGCTTTCCACAAATTCTGGCTACGTGTAAACTTTCCACATGTAAACCGTACCTCAGCCACCCTACCGGAAACAGTGACAATCCCTGTTTTTTATGAATGTACACCTGCTGACCTGCTCATTGTAAAATTGATATCATGTCAAAAAGTTCATCTTTTCATCAGAGAAGTTTTTTTGCGCTAGCAGACACCGCGCAAATTGTGCGGAATGAATAATCATGCGATAATAGCAAAATCCAGAGTTTTCATTGATTTATACTGGAAAATTTGCCTTTAATTTTAAGCAGCGATGATCTTAAATTGCGAAATTTTTCTTCCAAAGTGGAACAGCTTTTTCATTTCGATCGGGTGATTTAATTCCACATCAGTCACCAATCGGTTAAATTCACTGCAGTTGCTGCACAGCGGCTTTGTGATACATCTCAGAACTTGTTCTCCCTTCCAATTTTTTTGCCATTGGGAGCTTTTTAAGCTGCGAACTATCCGATAAATAACTACGATAAATAACACTCATAACAGTTTATCACTGATTTATAATCTCAGTTTGACCACTGACGCCGCGGGTGGCCGCTATGTCCCAGTTTAACAATCAGTAGAAGTATACAAATACCGCTATAATTATAGTCTACTTGCTTTCTGTTCCTTTGACCACAGAAAACAGTTATCTAATTAAATTATAATTAATTAATTAAATAATTCCCATTAATTAAATAAGGGTAGAAAAATTTCGGTGTTTATTTCTACGCTTTCTTCCCTGCGTTCCTAAAATGTGACTTTATTCAGCAAAACCAATACACATACATACTGGTATAGTCGGATATGATGTACAAAATGAATAAAAATTTTCTTAAGCGCAAACTATTACCCAAAATGTCAGTTACATGATTGCTGCTCCGCGAGCTCCGCTCGCGCCGCAGCTCGGCGTCGCCTGCGGCTCCGCCTTCTACGACAACCAACGATATTATTTCAAGTTTCGCAAATATTCTCTCGTTTTCTGGATCTGCCTATTTTGGTTGTTCAACCTTATGTGACACTTTTCGGTGTTCAATCTTACTGTAAGTGTGGATTGTGGAGTTAAAAATCCAAGCTCATGTGGGATGTGCAGCTGCCAACTTGCTGTCATTTAAATCAGCTTGCTTCCCTTTAAATCTTGTTGTCCTTTAAACTAAACATGCAATGCCGTCCTTTTCGGACGTCGTTTTTCACAGAAAACAAATTAAATGTCTCTTAAGTCGTAGCAAATTTTTTAAGTACTTCAACGGCAAACCAGTAACAATGACAACCGCCGTGGAAACGTTGCAATTTTAAACTGATCAAACCACCGCGAACGACAGCTGCCTTAAAAACAGTTTCGAGCAGCTGTAGTGCAGTTTCATACTCGAAGACTTTATAGGTCTTCTTTCTCAATTCTTCTTTTTTCTTGAAGCTAACTACTCATGAAAAATTTATAGATTTATTCAAGACTACGGAATAATACATAGTCATGGTTCAAAACCTTCAAAGTTTTCCACAGTCCTTGGAAAGTTGGGCGACGCGTTATGGCTGTCGAAACAGTGGTGGTCGGTTTGGCAGTGGTGGATTCTTGACTTTTCTCATAGGCTTTCTATGTTAAAGTTTTTTTAAGTTTTCTTTCAAACATTTGTTTTTCTTCAAAAACTAACTTTTGCTGGCAAATCTGTACGTTAAGGGCTATCGAACGACCTATAGACGTCGGAGTTTGGTTAAGTGCAGCGCTAATGCATCGATGACACACACGGAATTTCGTTAAGGCTTATCCTTTTATTATTATAGATTACAGTACTTATGCAGTCGTAACACGGTATCAAAATTTTAGAAATCCGAAGAAATGCAGGTTACGATTACCTGCCAAGTGTTAACTATTGTTATTCTGGTGTGTTAGAACTTATTAGAAAACCATTAGTATCTGCCATGCTATACAATATAATATTTGCCATATAATACACAAACAAAATTAATACTAAATATTCACCATTTTTATTTCATGTAACATCTCAAAAAACAGTCTGGTTTCCAATGTGATTGCAACATCACAAAATGAGTTAAACACTCCAGTTGTCACCGATAACACCAATACACCGTTCACATAGATCTTGCTCAACTTTGTCCAGCAAAAACTTCCGACAACGACCGCATGGCCGCTTTTCCACATTTATACGAGAAACACCGAAACGTCCGGTAATTCCATTACTCTTTATCTCTCCTGAGACATCAAAGCGAGAATCTTCCAATGAATTAACATTTCTCCACTGCTCTATATGCACCATAGAAACTCCGAAAAAATCTGCCATTTCCTGAGAAGCTTTCTCGTCGCAAAAAGGCGCCAGCAGTTGAAAGACATCGGGTGTCAGCATAAATCGTAAATTCAATTTCAGCAAATGTTCTCCCGTAAACTGTTGATTGACCGAGTTCCGTATTTCCTCAAGCACGTCGAACATACGAAGTACTGCGGTCTCGTCTTGTACCGACACAGTCGCATCCTTCCATACGTTATCCGCGAAAAAGTTTCCAAAAGTCTTGTTTGATGATTCCAGATAACTGTTCACCTCTTCTGTTAAATACGGTGCAATGGGAGCAATCACAAGGAGTAAGCTTTCCAGCACATAATGCAAAGTCGTCAAAGCCGATCGGCGCTTGACGCTATTGTGTGGTTCGCAGTACAAGCGGTCTTTGATCACAGTGCAGTAAAATGCCGAAACACTGACGCTTACAAAAGCAATAAAGTCTATGATGACTTTATTGTATTCCATGTTCCGGTAATGCTGGTCGATGTCTGAAACAAATTTGTGCGTTTTTAGGAGCATGTAGCGGTCAGTAAGGCACAGCTGCTCAAAAGGAAGGCTGTTCGTCGCTGGATTATATCCATGCAGGCATCCAAGCATAAAGCTGAAGATGCTGCGCCATTTAGCAATATTTTCCACTACGCTATCCACAAGTTTCGGACCAAACAAAATATTTGTAGAACCAGTAGCAAACTGCGCAACCCAAATCCGAAGAGCATCAGCACCGTATTTCTGTACAACTGAATCCGGGTGTATCACATTTCCAAGCGATTTGGACATTTTCCTTCCTTTTTCGTCCAACGCAAAGCCATGCACAAATATTTTCTTATACGGTGCAATATTTCTAAAACAGAAATAACCCAAGAATATTTCATTGCTTCCATCTAGAATCGCTAAACTGCACCTACAAGAAAATTTTCGTTTTGTCTCCGTACTACCAGGATTACCAGATTTAGGAAATACCGGACAGTGGTATACTTAGAAATCTAACGACGATAATCCTCGTCAATCGAGAGCTGCTAAATCTACTAGTCTTCTAAATTATTAAAAACAAATCCACAGAACAAAAGTGACTAATGGTCCGTTAGTCCTAATGGTCAAATTAACTAAACACCGCCTTTAATCAGGACCGTTTCATAAGTTGAATACATTAACATACCGTAGTGCAACGCTGGTCAATAGTGACGTCTGAAACCATGCACCATACTGATCATGCCCTTCCAGATACAGGTCTGCCACCTTCTTATTTCCTAACACACAAGCCCACGAAGTTCCGCTTTCGAACCATATATCGAGAATATCCGTGCCTTTGCGCACAGCTGCATCCGGTAGAAGTCCCAGCGAACATCTAACTGGCTCTGGAAGCAGACTGGGTACATCGCGGTTCCACCACGCACCCGAACCTTCTTCGGCTATCACAGTCCTAATGTGCTCAATACTGTCCTTACTGATTAATGACTTGTTCGTCTCATCATAAAACACTGGGATGGGAACGCCCCACACGCGCTGCCTAGATATACACCAATACGGCCTTTGCTGCAGTTGCTGCTTCATATAATCCATACCATTGCTAGGATTAAATTCCACTTTCCCCAGAGCTTCTACTGCAGCGTCTCTAAGTTTTTCCACATCAACAAACCACTGGTCACTGGCACGGAGAATTACAGGCTTCTTGGTGCGCCAGTCATAGGGATACGAATGCACAAATTCATCGTCACAATGCAAAAGCAGTCCTCGAGAATTCAAGTGATAAATAACAGCACTGGTCCCTTCGGTGAGAGCATCAAGCCCTGGCAAGTCAAATCCTGCCGAAGGTGTAAATTTACCGTCCTCATCCACGTAACAAACGGATGTATCCAACTTGTTTGCCAGCCCTAGCAGGTAGTCGTCGTGCCCATGCGCGGGGGCTGTATGCACGAGGCCGGAGCCTTTTTCGGCTGATACGTAATCTCCTGCAATACCACCATAATCAACAAAGCAATCTTAAAAACACTGTCCATGTCAATTAACTGGGCAAATGAGAGAACTAGCCACTTGTTACTAATAAATAAAAAAAACTGTCTATTTAGCGAAAAACAACATTCCCACGAGGCACCAAGAGTCCAAGACTCACCTGGAAGGAATGGGCATTCCTTGGATTCGTACAACGGGTGCGCGTATGTTGCGCTCCGCAAATATCCACCCGGAAAAAATCCTTTCTTCTTGAATTGCAACCCAGTCAATTCCGAGCAACGGTCGATGAAGTTCTCCGCAAAAAGAAAAACTCCCGGTTTTTCAGGGCTTGTTGAGACAGCCAATACATATGAGACGTTAGGATTGAATGCGATGGCTTGGTTGCCGGGAAGACTCCACGGAGTGGTTGTCCAAATAACCGCATACCATGGTAATTTCTCTTCTTCGCTGGAAAGTTGAATTAACTCCGGCTTTTTCATCAGTTTGAAAGCAGCATAGACGGCGGTGCTTTTGTGGTTATTATTGTACTCTAATTCCGCTTCCGCCAAAGAACTTTGGGAAGACGGTGACCAGTACACTGGTTTTAGATCCCTGAAAGAGAAATAAGTATGCAGCATTGTTTCATGGTCAACATTCACTTCAAAAATAAGTTTAAGAAAGGGAAACTGCAATTTTTTTGCTTGCTAAAAATCTGCTGCATCCCTGGTCACAATTTACAGATACATTCTATGGTCTACCTTAGACATCAAACAAAAAAGAAAAGTCCGAAAATACAGAGTACAGCATTTCCAGTTACACTACTTTATTAGGCTTCAGCCAGTACGAGTACGCATAACAATTCGCGTGCGCAGCTTTACACTGATGCGAATGCGAAAACTCAGGGCGTGCTGCTGGCGATAAATGTTTTTGATGCTGCCGGCGGAAATTAAAAACTCATGACGTCACTGAACGATTGTGATTGGCTAGCCTTTTTCGTCCCGTTTGGAATCATGTCTTGCTCGGCAGCATGGCTCTGGCAAGCAGCTTGTGATGTTGCCAAAAACTTAAAATTTTGGCAACATCGTTTTGGGGTGTGGGGGGATGCTGGGGGTTGTTGCCGAACATGTCCGAAATTCAGATTGTGTTTGTGTCATTGCTCACCTACTACCGTCTTGCAATTACGAATATCGCCGCTTGAATTTACAACTTTACCGTGTAGGTTCCTTTGGATTTTCTCATACGCACAGGGTTTTTTTTAAGTAGAATTGCCTGCTTCTACAAAATTGAAGCTGCTTTGAAAAAGCTGGGCGTTTATTGAATTAACGCTGCAACTTGAAATTTGCACTCAAACGGCAGCTTGTTTTCGCATTCCCGTCACTAATAAAAAGCAAAAATTTCCAATTTGGCAGAAATTAAATCATTAATAAGTAATTTGGGTCAGTATTAATGTTATAATCACATTACCTGTAGATTAGCTTTTCTTTAAATAAATTCCAAAATAACTCGATCTGTTTGGCCTCGTACGCACGATCGCGTGTAAAGTACGTGTTCTTTCCGCTGCTCCAATCAGCAACAACACCCCAGCGGCGGAATCCATCCCGCTGAATTCCCGAATACTCTTCCACCACCTTCTCCGCCTCCGTGCGCACTCGCAGAGGCTCCTTTTTGCCATCTTTGATTTTTAGCCGTTGCAACGCCTTCAATTCAATGGGCAATCCATGGCAATCCCAGCCGGGCTGATAATCCACTCGGAATCCTTTCAAGATTTTGTATCGGTTAGTAATATCTTTAAGAATCTTGTTGACGGCATGGCCCACATGCAAGTCGCCGTTAGCGTACGGTGGCCCATCGTGCAGGATAAATTCCGGCCGATCAGCGCGCACAGTTTGCAAGTGAGTGTATAAATCATCAAACTTGGCGGATACGCGAATACTCTCATCAAGAGCTACACGTGGTTCGCCATCCGCAATCCGTCTCGGAAAAGTCGTCTTTGGCAAGATGACGGTGGAGGAGTATTTCTTTTTAGAGCCAGAGTCGTCGTTCTTCGGCTTCGGTTTGGTTTTTGAGCTGGCATGTCGTATTCCAGGTCTGCACGTACGAATTATACACAGTCTCGGGAACACTGCGGCAGCAGTTGCGATCATGCCGAATCAAGGAATCGTTGAGTCATCAACTTACCAACATGCAGAAAACGGCTGAATTCAAACTGCAAGTCGTGCAGTTCACAGAAATTTGTAGCGAATAAAAATGATGTTGAAAACTTCGAAATGCACTTAACAGAAGCAGCAAGTTGCAAAATAATCAAAAAAGAAACAAAACAAAGGCACAGTACTAAACTTACTAATAAACACCGATGCCAAAAAACATGCAAGCCAAAATAAGCCATCACGTAACATACGTAACGGGCGGGCGTCCTTTTCTGGATGCGCAGGCGATTCTCAGCGTGCACTACGATGCGGATTTTGGATAAACGCGATTTTCTGGGATGATCAGCTGGTTTCGGTTGCGGGCTGTTGACTGCTGTCTGTTTTCCTGGTCTTCTTGTAAGTGAAGTGAAGTGAAGTGAAGTTTATTGTCCTTGCAACGAGGCGATTGCCCCCTCTAGGCTTCAGACAGCAGAAAGAAAACAGAGTGTAGAAACAATATCCAGAAATATAAACATGAAAACATGAAGGTCTTTTAAAACAAGCAGGAAACAAAACAAGCAAAGTAACGCGTTGGCCATTAGCACATGAATAGGCAGAAAGGAAGTGAGTACTTTTACTGCGGTTGCGAAAAGTCGTTTTACCAATGTGGAAAAGGGAGGGAGACGATCGCGCTGGGGTCGATGCGTAAAACCGAAACCCACGAAATGTACAAAGTAATTATTAAGTTTCTCAAAATTTTCAAAAGAAAACCGTGGGGAAAAGGAAAGCACCGACACTTACGCACGTAATCGCCTTGTACTATCGTTGTCAACTATATCGCAACCGTGAAATAATTGCAGGAAAGAAAGAGAAGTTGACACCAAACATTAAGTAACTTCACAAACAATAAATATTCGAGTAAAAAAACATTTAAACAAGAGTTTTCACTTTTTAACACTTTCTTTCAAGATCTTTACTGATGGCAAATTGTTCAGTTTCACGGTATTCAGGGCTTCGGTAAAGGTGGCCAGCGTTACATACGCAATGGATTGTAGCGGAAGGTCATTCCAGACGGACACGAGTCTGTTGAGATATGATTCATGGGTGACTGGAACTGTTCTACCACAAATGGTTGTTGGAGCCGGTTTGATAGGACATGGATGCTTCAGGAGACGGTCAGATGTTCTGGTGTTACCTGCAACAGACTCAAGCACAGCAGCCGAGAGCGTGAGCGGTGATACGATTTGGTCACCCAACGGAATTACTTGGAACACCAATTTGTAAATAAACAACAAGGCTTTTTCAAACGACGTATGCTTAGATCGTCCCATTTTAGCTCTTTTAGCCGTTTGTTGTAATTCAGGACACCGTTGCCTAAGCGTAGGGTTTTGGTAAATCTTCTTTGACAACGTTCGATTATTTTTCTTGACTGTTTCCAGCACCGGATGCGTTAGGGAGCAGCAGTAATCGAGAACTGAGAGGACGAGTGATTCGAAAAGCGAATGCGAGCCCCGTAGTCCGTGTATCGAAAACATGATTAATGTAGCCAATTCTTTGGTTACATTTTTTGCTACATTTTCACTGTTAACTTTAAAATTAAGTTTTCGATCAACAGACACTCCAAGGTGCTTAACATGATCACATTTCGGAACGGGAACGTCATTTATACTGTACTGGAATGGTGAGATCTTATCTTTTTTCTTCGAGAAATGAACATGGGCAGATTTACTGGGATTGAGAATCAGCTGCTTGGTGTTAAGCCATTCATTAAATTTTTCGGTCTCATGAGCAATGGCATTGTTTTGGTAACAGGACTAGGCAATTCGTTTAAGCAAAACGTTTACACTAGGCTTTTTTTCTGGATTGTTTAGGCTGCATATGAACAGGATTTGTCCAACACTGAATTCTGGGACTAGCTGTTTACTGTAGTTCGGAGATTTTGTTAAACAAGTTCTTTTAGCAGGCGGTTTTCAAATAGTCAGAAATTAGGTGCACAATCTGACTAGGGAGATTCATTTCGGTTAACGCACTGATTATTGATTCGTGATTAATTATCGAAAGTTTGAAAGTCCGAAAAACGGCAGTCATACAGTGAAATTCTGGAGAAAATCTCGCAGTTTGAAGCCGTGCATCCTGTAATTCACTGGACAGATATCAAACACCGCGTCGGGCCCTATAGGAGGTGTTTTATTTTTACAGCTGTATGCCTAATGAACCAGTAGTGGTGCTGCATACGGCTTTAATGGAAGCAATTTGGATCAAATGTTCAGGTATGTTTCTCCGTCTGTGTTGGGATTGGCTTTCGGGTGGAATGATGAGTCTGGAGAGGATAACGTGGCAGTCATCCTGTGAAATTCTGGAGAAAATCTCGCAGTATGAAGCCGTGCATCCTGTAAGGCACTGGACAGATATCAAACACCGCGTCGGGCCCTATAGGAGGTGTTTTATTTTTACGCACAGCTGTATGCCTAATGAACCAGTAGTGGTGCTGCATACGGCTTTAATGGAGCAAATTGGATCAAATGTTCAGGTATGTTTGTTTTTCTGTGTTCCTTGATGCTCTGTCAGCATTTGTAAGGGATACAAACGGTCAGACATACCGGAATGCTACACTTCTAACTTTTATTCAATATACTTTCGCTTTTACAACCCACTCTTTTCCAGTCGATAAGAAAAAATGGCATTTTGAACCCGCTGACTGTCGGTCAACAATGAGAAACTTACAATATTAGATCTGTTGAAATACTACTTTATCAGATGAACGGTAACATAACAAATGCACATAACCGGCGGCTTTTAATGCACATTGATTTTGCAGCACATACTTAGACAAAATCAAAGTGGCGAAGTGGAAGATCCAGACAAAATTCGAGCAGCAGTATTTTATTCCGTGTCTTCCACTCAGCGAGGTTGAGTTATTTCAGCTAGTTGGTATTCCTTACGATTACACGTTTCACGTTGTTGAAATGTCTTCCAGGCTTACGAGGAATAGATCTGGGAATGTATCTCATTCGACGTGCTGTTACCGAACTGCGAAGGGAATTTCCGGACATTGCTGAATTCGCCACGCTTTCTCCGATACCAACTTTTGCGGCTTGGCTTTTGACAAAAATGAGATCGGCTACGGACGGTATTAAATTCAGTTCTCTTTACATGATATGTTTTTATGCTTGTAGGTTTTAAAATTACGGTTTCTATTTACAGTTTCCGCTGTGTTTACCGAAGAAGAGCAGACAACGCTCAAGCCAGTCGCCGGCACAACGGATGTTTTATCGTTCGTCCGGAGATCATTATCGTCGAACTGGTTTGAGGATGACAGAATCCGTAGCGCGCTTCAAGGGTTTCTTACCCGAATGTGTTTAACGTATGATATCTGAATTATATTGCACTACTTTTCCTTATAAAAGGGTATTTCCATCATTTTAGGTATTTGATACAAGAGAAACGGCGTGGTTTTGCTTACGATGCCGTTGGTAAGTGCGAACATCATAGTTCTGTGATCATCGGTAACATTGTTTCGTGATTTTAGCAAATTTCCATCTGGGAAATGGAGCTGAAGTATGGCGATTAAACTGGCTGGCCGACACTTCCGGCAAAGGTTTATCGCAGTCATTTGGCCTGATGGTGAACTTCCGGTATCCTTTAGACAGAGATCTAATTGAAAACAGCAATAACTATATATTCAATAAACAAGTCAGTGTATCTAACGAGATTCGCAATCTAGTTGACAAATTTCGTGTTGCTCCAGCTGCAGCTCCGGCTGCGGTACCGGTATGAATGCTCGGTTAATAGCGTGGTTTTATTTTTATTTGTCTGAAACCGCTTTGTGGTTTTCTGTATGCCAGATGTGATACAGATTATAGATAGTACAGATTATTGAATGTTGGAAATATTTTGTCATGATGTTTTCATTTATTACAATTTATAAGAACAGCAATAAAAGCGGTTTTTCCTACGGATTGGGATACTCTTTAATGTTGCACGTTTTCTTTTTATTTATCCACAAAATCTAGTTGAAGAAACCTGGATCGGTAGGACATAAAAAATCTTGTTCCTTCTCTTTGGTAACCGGACATGCATGACATTGCTTACTAGTTACTATCAACAGGTTCGAACACATCACAACTGGCTAGTAGGAAGATCAGTTAAACGTATTCCCTGATCTTCCAGCCATTCTTTGAGATTGCGTAAACTCTCCGTGTCCCCATTGTACGGGCGTATTAACGCGTTACTAGCCGATGCAAGTGAGACACGGCTGGACGCCACTGTGACGTCATCCGTGGCGGACGTCAGCGTCGCGTTTGAGCTGGAGCGCCCACGACTGGAAAGGTCGTCGGCCGACGTCCTTGAGCACATGCGGGAAGACTGGGGAGGTAGGCTAGTGTCCAGAGAGCGGGTGGCGGTCATCCACCAGGGCGGGGCCGTCTCCTGTTCGGTGGGACTCAGAAGCTCCTCTTCGATTTCATTCCGCAGGAGGAGGAGCGACCGGCGTCGGCGCCTTAGTGTCGGTGTCGAGTGAGCCAGTTGTTCGATGATCGGGAGCAGGAGCTCGTAACCGGTTTGGGCTTCACTGCTGGTGGTCTGGATGGCGGGCAGGGGAGGATCCTCGCGGAATGCGGTGCTGGTCTCTTCCATGACGTCGGACATGCGGGGCAGCTTTTTGCTGGGGTTGGCGCGGTTGATGGAGGTGTGTTTGGCTTTTACGATGAAGTGTTCCTCGACGTGGTTCTCGGTGGATTGGGTCGGACTGTCGTAAGATATGCTGGACATATGATTGACCACTTCCGTGGTTGAGCGGGCTTTCTTTATGTTGAACCGCTGTAAAAGGGTAGGGATTCGTTGCGTCAGTGAATCCGAACTTCTCGGCCCACGTCGGTAAAATCCTTGCATGCTAAAAAATAATAAATCACCTTTAATTTATTTTTACTAGAAGTATTACAAATTTATTGCGTTTCGCAGAGCCAGTTTTATAGTCTACTCTTATTGTATCGTGTAGGTAATATCGTAGAGTAAATTGTATAATTACTTGTACCAGTACAACTACGCGAACATAAAATATCTGTGTTTTGTATGTTGTGTAGCAGATTAATTTTGCTATAATTTAGGTACGAGAATGTGATACCTATAGAAATTATATCTACCGTTCAGTGTATCTCTCTGTGCTGCTGGTTTCCATTGATTTGTTAGTAATATTATTGGATCCGATATGGCAGCGCACTTGGTTGGTAGTGGTAAAAGCACTTCGTGTATTTCTTTCGGGATGCAATAAGATTATATACAGTTTAGGGAAGAATAGAAAAACTAAGGCCACCGTTGCACTGAAACTAATACATAAGCACATGGTGAGAATCTTTTGGTCACTTCCGAAGTATATTGGAACAAACGCCAGCCAGATCACACATGTCGTATACATGGTAAATCCAATGAATTTCGCCTCGTTAAAATTCTCCGGCAGATTTCGTGTTTTAATGGCATACACTGTGCACATGACGATAAGAAAGAAGTCAAATCCCATCGGCGCAATAATCCCCAATGCAGTGGTATTGCAAATGAGACGGGCGCGATTTAATTCCGGGTAGTGCAATACGAAATTAGCCGGCTCCTTCAATAGCATTGCACACAATATTGCCACCTCCACGCCAATTATTATCCATGTAATTACAACCTGCGCAGTGCCAACACACATTTTATTTTAAGACAATTTTTTGCATAAACCTAGAAATCCTGATGACATTTTAATTGTATGTATATATATGCGTGCATTACCAGAATTATGTTTACAAATTGGATGATTCATATTTACGGATACTCCACTGTCGTTGGTATAAGTAACCCCGTGACTTTCGTCGACTTATTAAAATTTTGTTTGTATTTAGCATGTCTAACGGTAAGCCGCAGCAAACCAGTTTATCAGCTTTGCATGCGTATGCAAATGCGACAACATGCGCACTGAATGGAAACCGTTTTGACATACAGTAGTACACATTAAAATTAACATCAACTTTATTTTCTCTTACAACTTCATCGTAATATTTTTGAGAATTTAATTAGCAACAGCAGAATGAATAGGCCAATATGCGCATGCCAAATATATGGGTTGCAGAATTATTATCTGTAAAGATATATAATTTTTTGAAAATATGCCGTGTTTCTGTTTTTTGGGCTAGACTCATTGTTTTTTCGACCGCGCGCGTACGAGAGCACAAAACTTACTTGAGCCAAGGCTGACATGAAGCGCGGTTTCCTTGTCATTATCTTTTTCTTTCCGGCCGCCAGAATTCTGGCAATACGATTAGTTTTGGTCACTAAGGCCCCATATATCATGGCGAAGCTAAATCCAGGCAAAATCCTTGTCTGCAGAGATGCAACACAAAAGTTAAACACGAAGGCGAGCTTATCAGAACAAAGTGACGTAATGCGCATAACGCTCTCCAGTATTTTGGTTATAGGTCATGCAATTGATAGGTTTTAGCAAACTGTGCCATTATTTACAGTTTCTTCCATCAGCCGTCACAAATGAAAGGAATCTTACCAGAGTAAACAGCTTACGACAATATATCAGTGCTCATGTTCCGGAAAGTGTTCATTCATAAAATAAATTTGCAGCGAAATTTCTCCAGGGATTTTATGCAAATTCAAAGAGCGCCTGGCTATGATCTATTCCGCAAATAACTCATGGGAACGAACGCTTGGCCATAATGTGCAATAATTATATCGAGCCTGTGGATGTGTGTTGCAGTGTTACTATATATGCATGATGCCGGTAGTCAATACGATGCACTTAAAAAGTACATCTCTGCAGTTACGCAGCCTTACTAGCAGTTTGCAGTTTTACATCACACTTAATTTGATACATTAATTAATTTTACAGTTGTGTTGTCTAACACTACAATAATAATAATACAAAAATCTGTTTTAAAATGCCCAAAAAGCCTACATATTCCACAAGGATAAACACACTTTTTCTGATATTTGTAACTATAGCACAGCGATAATAATTCACATCTAGCATCAAGGTAATTATATGAGCACTGAGCACATATATTTTTTCCAGTGTCCACATCCATTACTATACCTTAAGCGAAACTCATGGTGTAGATATTATTTAAAAATTTAGACAAGAAAAGAGCAATTAAAGATTGTTAAGTTGATATTCTTTGTTATTTACGTTGCAAATTGATAGGTTACGATTATTATCTGTCGATGTACGGGTATATCGCACAGTACAGCAGTCGATTAATTGTATAAGGTCAACTTAAAACGCAATAATGTGGAACGTGGCAAGTACTGTTTTCGTAAACCGTAGCACTGTACTGTACATACGAGATAGCAGGTCTCCAGTGAAGGCTTGGCCACGAGCGGGAATGTTGTGGCGTAGCTGAGCTGGATTCCCACGAGGATCATATAAGACAGTTCCCGTGTTGAGGCTTTGACAACAGTGGTGTTGTTGTGCATCATGAAGACAATTGTTGTGAAGAGTGTGGCCAAGAAACCCAGACAGGAGAAAGATATACCAACTGCCGCTTCCGTACTGTCCCAGCTGACATACTCCAGCCTGATGGGCAAACACGCTGCACATACGGCCAAGGAAGACACAAACGGACAAAATTAAGTCCCATCCAGCGACAGCTCAAATTTATCATCGTTTGTTAAGAAAACGCACGTAACGTCTATGCACTTAAGGATTGTATGTGTTCTGTATGCATAGACAACGTACCAGTGATATTCTCATTTGGTAGCCAGCCTGGAGGACATTCCTTGCATGTGAACTCATCAAGGAGGTACTCATTTAGCTTGCACGGCTGACAAACCCAACAACATTTCACGCCTCCCGTTTGGATGGCCTGTCAAAACAACACCAATTTTCTTCTCCATGGCCACTGCTTCACTAATAAGCTTGCATAATTACTTTTAGACAATGATAATTAAATAAATTACACTCGAGGAGATTTCGTTAAGAAGCAAATGTAAAACAACGTAATGCGGCGTATTCGCGCTGCATTATGATTGGGAAAGGTCATTTCCTGAAGCAGTCATGGAGAACGATAAATACGGTTATGACGGCACACCCAGGTTTGTTGTATTAGTAAAGACGGCATTAACTGGTTGGACATACACTGTAATACAGTTAAATCAATTAAAAATTCTCTTTTAAATCATATCAAAGCAAAGTAGAATCACACATACTCTGTTTTCTCAGGCAGGATTTTACCGTAACTGCATAAAGTGTACTTATTAAAACATTTATCGTATACACACAGTCACAATTGAATCCTGTCTACAGTACATCCCAAGCCATTTGCGAGCACGGAAATAATTAGCGCACATATTTTACTGCATGTGTTGAGTGACACTAAAAACGCTAAAAGTTGACGCTCAAATTAGCTATAGCATAAACGCTGGCGAGAAACATTTTGGACTAATGACCTGGACTTGTAATTACGAGTATTTTTATGTCCGCTTTGGCAGGTTAAAATTGATCAGTGCTTTAACTTCCTGTTCGATTTTCGGGTCTTTATTATTTGAATTGTTCTAGATCAAGCCTAGCGTAATGATTTCAATGTAATGTAACCGAATTACGTACTTTGACTTCGCCTTTTTTGCAGGGATGACTGCACACAGACTCCACTGTGCGATGATGCTGATTCTCGCGATTCCACTGAAAAGGCTGCTCCAGGCGCAGATGACCATTATCCCACTGCCCGACTCGATGATACTTGAATTTTCCATTTCGTTTTTGGAAATTCATGATGTCGTAACTAAACAAAGCATCGGTTATACATATCTGCTTATGAAAGTACGAGTATATATACGTGCATATAAGGTCAATCGTCTGGCACAGAGCCTAATTAAGGGCGATGATGCCGTGGCCGTTGCAGACGACGAAGGCTGTTAAATGGGATTGACAAATTACTCCTTACCGGCCTGGCGGATCCCCATTCTCATCGAAATGAATCATGTGGCCGCTAATACTAGTGAAATTGACATCCATGAGATAGTCCAACAAAAGGGATCCGTTGATCGTTTGCATTTCCGCACATAATCCCGGTACTCCATTACATACTTCGTGATGCATATTATGCAATCCATGCGCCAGTGTGTAGATGGAATCAATTACGAATCCCATCTTCGTATCCTGCTTGTAGCTCTGGGACAGCCTTTCTCGACCTATTAAGAAAAATAATTTGCGCTCCATTGATCGCGATGTGATGCAGAAATGTAACGGGAAACACAATGGACGTGCCATATGTTAAACCATTTTAAAATGATGCTTATTTCTTTCGAGTTCAGTCGTGCAGCACACGTATAGTTGTAATTTTATCCAGCTGCACATCAAACAGAACCCTAAAGTGGTAAGATCTTGTAAAATATTCAGAAAAGCATAACGCAGTAATGCTTATTTTTTGCACCCAATATTCCGGTAACTTGTATGGAAAAAGCTTAGTTAATTTCGCGAGATCTAAACTGTTTTTACTAAAGCAACAAGGTGTGGACATTAATTTTTGGCTGTGCTTAATTTTACTTGTGCTTCTTAAACAAATTAATAGAGTGATAGCGAATGTAATTTTCGGTTTACCAAACCGATACAGCACACACAATCACGTTTTTAAGCAACACAGTAACAGTTCACCGTTTTGGGATTATAGAGCACGGAGCACAGAAAGTTTTAGCTTTGCGATGCATTATACGACTTAGTAGAGTATTAGGAGTGACCAAGTGTTTTCACAAAAGACTTCAGCGGATTATGGTATCTCTTGTTGGGACTACAGTTAACATTTTTTCCTGGTCAGAAAGTGTAAGCTAAGCATTACGTGACATCTGCCGACTCTAAAAAATCACCATGCGGAAAACTCTTGGGCGCTAGAAAGGCTGTGCCCAGAAGGATGTGTATAATATGGGACATGCGATTAACCAAATGGCAAAAGGGGATTAGCAAGCCGCCTACAAAAGGACCGTTCTGATAAGAAACGTCGTTAGCCGCCAAAGAAAACTGCGCAAAGTTACTTCAGCACTGCCGCTACAATCTATCGTCTGTGAGATGCATTTGCAGTTTAAATTGCTTGATAGCTTCCGATTACAAATTGGCTGGTTGATTCATTGATTATTATGTCGTTAGCGAATGTCGTTAAACAGTTACGAAATGCCAATGTATATCCATTTTGTTTTCGTTTGCATGGGTGGGCTTGTGAAAGATCGTTTTTGGCATTTTGGTTGGAAATCTGAAGAATTTTGTTTAAAAAGTGCGCTGTTAGGCCTGTAGCCACGTACGTCGAACATTTTTCAAGATTGTTCCAATCAAAACATGTACATTATTTATTTTTTCGTGATTAGTATGTTTAAATTCGGTAGATATTGTCCGGTAGTCTTCCGTCAGTTTTCACTAATAGTCAATACGGTTATTATTTCGCGGTTTCCCGACCTCTTTCGCTTTTTGACCTAAATTATAACACAGATTTCCTTATTGTTAGATGCATTATGGAATAGTAATTTATATGTCAATATTAATCACAAAGCTAGGCATTTTGAAATCGCAATGTCGCTTGTTTTGAAACCCTGGGTTTCACGCCAAGCTGCAGTATATGAAAAACTTGTAATACTTTTTCAGTTTGTATGAAAAACCTTGCAGTTGATGCATCCAAAAAATCTGAGGAAAAGGTCACCAACAGCGCACTTCACGCGGTGTTTTTAAAGCTTAATTCGCTTTAAAAGCTTAATCTATAAAATCAGATTACAGTGAAAACTCTAATTTGTGATAATAAATGCATTTTTGCGAGTTCAGATAAACTGGAAATTACCTTAGAGACTTGATTCTTACCGGTGCATGTTCGATTGAAATAATAGTTGCCAAATTCAAAACCAGATACTGCAGAGCCTTCTGGTTCAGGAAGCAAGCAATTGAATCGTTCACTCCAGAACTCTTTGAACCAGGGATTCTGCTGGTGCGTCCATGGGCTCAGGCGAAAATAATAATCATCAAACCAGTCAATATACGGCGATTGGATGCGGATTGATATTCCACCCACTGCTTCCTCTTCCACCCCCTGCACCACATCCGTTCGGTCAGCCCAGCCATCACTAAAGAGCAGCACAAATTTCCCTGGTTTTCTCTGCCACCCGGCCTATAGGCTTAATGAAAAATCAATTTCTGTCGTTTACATGAATTTTGATTGCACTTTTTTCTGTGCGTAATGTCCGTTATTTTCCAGCTGATGTTGCATGAATATAAGTTCTGCTTCGATAATTGTGTAACGTGGTTACAATATGGTTGTACACACATATCGTCAATAGTGCTTTACCTGCCGATGAGGAGAAATTTCCCTGAATACGGTGACTTTTTTAACGCTTTGAATAAGCCGGTAACTGTTTGGCCTTCACAAAAACAGGCAATCACTTTGGCTTGAGGATAGAATTTCCAAAAGTTCTGCACGACGCGATCGTACTCTTTTTCGTCCGGATTACTCGGAATGGTTTCTAAAATTTTGAGACCGATTAATGATGATATATTACCTTACCTAAAATAATGCGTTCAAGCTTTTGCACATTTTACTATAACATTTCGTTAAGTATTATTTAATAATAAAAAAACGCCGCAAATACTCTACAAATTTTCAGCATGCACGAAATACTGCAACTTTTATATTAGGTATTTTCATATATGTACGGTTTCTGTAGCGTTCAGCTGCATGTAGTGAACGATTTCTAAAAAATAAAATTATGCAACCCGGCAGTTTTTGATTAAGCAAATTGCATAAAAACGGTCGCCAACTCGAGCTATCTGCTTATATACTGTGCGTTAATAGCTGATCGATCACATGGTATTTGTACGATACTTTTGTGACTTTCACTTTTTAAAAACCGATGGCCAGTAATTTTACTGTGTGGACCAATATATGCGTCCGTCCTTCGTTTATCAATCTGAGATTACCTTCGGTAGCAATACATATTCCTGATTTTTTGGCAAGGCTTTTAAATGCTTCCAGTCCACTGGTTCCATAGCTTCCTGAAGTGAAAAATAGTTACCGCGTTACAGACTGACAGGATACCATTTTCTGATTAGTATAATGCTTCCTTCTTAACATGGCACAAGTAAGTTCATACTAAAAAACGAAACATTTAATTTTTCTTGTTTATTACTGTTCATCCTGCTTAGTCACACTCGAGTGGGTGAAAAAATTTTACTTAAAAGCGATCCGGAGAAAAGTGGAGCATTATTTTAATCCAAAAATTTAGCACGGTTGGCTGCCTTGTCAATGACACTTTCAGATTGGTGAACGCCTCATCTGTCATCCCAAACAAAATAAATTCGACATCTCTGTGCAGCATCAACTGTTTCAGAAGGTTTGATCGTTCCCGCCGTTCTCGACATATTATTAGCGTAAGAGATAGAACAGAATAACTCATACGCTGCTGCATGCCTTTTTTTACAACCCGGCAACTTTGTGTCGAAAAGTAACTGATGTGTTTTTTAATGCCCTCTGCCTCCCTTAAAAGTGTTGAGTTAAAATAATTTTGGTATTACCTAGGATTTTACTTTGGGTCTGGTAAATGTTAAACACAAGAACATTTATTTTGCATTAACAGGTTGTCTCTGATACAATATCACTGTAACATTATTATAGTAATTTATTTCACGTGTTATTGCGTAATCAGCACCCAATCGAAAGGCCGTGGAACAAGAATTTTTACGAGAAGAAATATCTGCATTACTTCTACAAGAATGGGAATGCGAGTGAATTACACTCCCACTCCGGTCCTGACCGCGCTTGACAGGACGCTTGCGCCGGCTATAACCTTCTGCACAACAGCAGCGCTTTCAGGCTCAAATTGCTGCCTTGAGGAATTCCAACATCCTGTGGCGAGAATAGCATTCGTTAATGTACTTCTCCTCCTGTTTCTGGAGAACACTAATCTACATTTTTGCATTCGTTTGGCATCCTGCGCATCTTATTCATGTCCCATTTGCCAAAGGGTTTAATCAACGTTCTCTGCTCACTTTTACATTTTATCCAAGGGCGCAAACAAATTATGTAATGGACGTTCTTATAAGCTTCTGTGTAAAAAAAGGAAATTCACTGCACACACAGTTTTCGTATCTTATAACTATAAGATGGTTCTGCATGCTTTGTAAATATCAGATTTTGTAAAGTAATGTTTTATAACATACATAATGTCCGTAATTTATTCCTAACAGTACATACCGGTATGGATACAATATACAGCATAACTGTAGTGACAACTGTTAACTACAACAAGCCACTTTCCATACTGTAGTTTACAAATCACGTTAATTTGCTTTTTGGTTGCTGTTACCGAAAAAATGTGTAAATTCATAACATAAAAAACAAGTACCAAAATTAGGTTGGTGGCCTCGGAAGCAAGCTGTGCTGTGAAAGGATTAGGCATGTCTCCAGAGATTACCCTTCATTAGCAAATGATAGATAGTCAATGGATTTTCACGCACAGTGCTAAATCTTTACTCGCTGTATCTACTGATGACCGGCAACAATTCCGTGTTCGAAGGACAAATTTCACTATTTTCAAAACACCGTAATACGGAAATTGAAAAGGTCAAAACTAAATATTTAAATTCGCCGCTCTTTTTGCAAGAAGTAAGCAATTCAAACAGAACTCATCAATTTTCATGACATCACTCGGAGTTAAAATAACGGCGAGCTATGACAATAAAAATGCGTTTTAATTTTTTCTCATAAGGAAATTCCCTCACATAGGGTTTACACAGAGGATATGATCTGAAGTTGCAAAGGTTGCAGTCCTTATTAAGATATAAAAAACTATGTGAAAAAGCACTAGATGAACAGATGTAATGAAGGATCGTCGAAGGGCTAAATTCTTACGTTATGCATTACGGCTGTTATACAGATCGGCTATTTACTCTTTTCCTCACCTTTGGTGCACACAGCCGATATATACGTCCAATTATGATGAATGATGAGATCGAGGATGGCGGCGGCTTGGTAGCGATCACTTGGAACTACTCGTAGAAAATACTTGTAGGACGTTTTATCGCTGAGATCCGGACTAGTGGCTGAATAGCCTATTTGAGGAATGTTGAAGAGTTGCAGCAAATTCTGGACTTGGATAGCTACCGAGCTCTGTAAATGTAAAGCGATCCGATACCGGCTGATTTTTTTGAAAAAATGAACAGCTGTTTAACGGAAGCAGTTCCGGCAAAACAATTTTCGATGGCTGAAAATGCCAAATATTTAAAAATTTACAACTTGACATATGTCCAGTTGTACAGTTTTCTGTACCAGTGAGTAAGTAATGATCACGAATTAGCGTGATATATTGTACATTCGAAGTGGCTTATTACCTATAATTAAAAAGCAAAACTACGAGTAATAAAGTAATCTCATGTATGCACGGGAATATAATTTTAATAATAATTTTAACACCCTGGTGTATACGAAACTTACACTTCCGGGACCCACTATCCCAACAAAATTTTTCTTCTTTTTACTCGCAGTTGCTGACGGACTACATTCGGCATCTCGCAGCTCGGCACCAGGTATAACCATATCACCAGTTTGAGCAGCAATAGATTCGCGGATGAACTCGATGGTCTGCTCGAGTGCAACAGGAGAGTACCAACAGTCATCACGAATTTCAACTCCCAGTTTAACACCTGAACCAAAGCAAAGCCCTATATAAATGTGTTACACAAAATCGATGGGTATATTAATATGACCAACAAAGTGCTATTTTTGCTGCTCACACCATGTTTTAAAATTTAGCCAAAAAAGGCTAAAAAAACAAGCATATGAACCTAATTAACTACAAGGACAACAACAGGTAGATAAAAATAACTATGATACAGCTATAGAATATAATGCTAAAATGAATTCTAAAATGGGAAGTTAGTGCTAAAATGAGCCAGGTGTCGGCATTTCGTAAAAAATAATTTAACACGTTTACTTTCGCATGTTGATACAAGTACCAGGTAAAAGTTTGGGATTCTTATTAATGTCATCAATCGTCCGCAGAGTGGCTTCCAACCGCTGAATGCCGTATTCTTCCCAAATCTTGCCGCATGTTCTGTCTCCACTGTAAACGCGTCGATGTTCTGGCTGATGATGGACTGCGAACTGCAATAGTGTATGCTGATTTCTTGTGCTATTACGAAAATTTCCGGCATCGGCGGATATGATTTATGACAACTATATAGGTTTGTTTCGTCACATTTCATCATCGTCCTTAATTGGCAATCTAATAATGCGTATGAAGATAAATTTTTAAACTATGCTGTTCACTTTGTCGTTGCTAAAATTATAAAAGAATTAATTATTGTCGTAGGAACATCAAATATGTATTTGCTTGCGTAACCCCACATGTTCTGTACGTGAACTATGTATTTTTAACCGTGTGTGTTATTAGCTACAAAATTCTTTTGTGAATACCGAAGCAGTTGCTGCATCCGAGATGGTACAAATTACCATCAATAAGGGAGGCAGGCGCGCAGATAGAAAAATTTGCAAGTAGCATCTGCTTCTGCCAGAGGCAACTGTAAATTAAGTTACTTGAGCATTATTCTTGAATCCCATATGTTTTCGACGTTTTTGAGTAGCTAACATATAAACTGGGATCGTAAAGTAAAAACCTATCACACACAGAAACTGCCTTTAAGCTGGGGCTGTAGTACTGTAAGAGTGCCGTTCGTTAATGCAGCCAAAGCCAATGTAAAAACGTGGAACTGGCAATACTAATAAAGGGGCGCAGCTTACCTTCGGATTTTTTATTAAAAACTGGAAAAATGCAATTTTGTAGCTTCTAATCAGTTTTCTGCTAAATAATAAAGCACCCAAAACAACTTTTTGAAATTAATGCGCGGCAATTTGTGTCTTATCAACTGGAAGGATATTACCAGGGTAAAAAGAAAACAATATTGTGTACCAGTAAGTATCATGTGCCAGGCTAGTATAACGCTATCCGAGATCCATACTGTTGTCAAACTGGTGACCCTGCAGCACTGAGTTTTTTCAATTCGCTTAATTTTATAATCGTGATTTTCATATGCGAATTTTTATACTATACACAAATTTCTATACTACAATGCAGCTCAGCTATAAAATATCCGAACTAGCAATAAAGAAGTTTATTCAGTGATTTGATATCGATTCATAACGCTTTCAGTGGTTTACTGATTAACGTTCTCCTTGATGCATTAGTGTGATCGGCGTTGTGTTGTCTTGACAGATCCACATTTTACGACGATTTTACGCCGAATTCACTGACCAGTATAAAATGATTATACTGGATTGCGTGCAAACAATTACAACCAAATATATCCATTTATGACTGACATGAATGCTGTATGGATTTTTACAAGTACGTCAAAGTATCACAATAACGAACTGCTTATAAGTGATACCCCAGTTTGTCCAAACTGTATTAAAATTAATGTCCTGCCTGGCTGACAATTAGATTTCGCCCTAACACTAGTACTTACAGATATATCATAAAAAAATGGTTTGTTTATTTTAATATGACAACGAAAACAAGAATAATATAAAAATCTGATTAGAACCATTAATTAAATAAACATTATATGCACTGCAATTAAGCGGAAAAAATTGTAGTAGTTTACCTACCAGAGCGCCAATCATTATATCTCCGTCCACATAAGCGGTTTTTTTGTGACTGGATGCGGTATCCACAGTGTGCAGGGAAGAAATCACAGTAATGGTCCAGTAAATAAGCGTAATCCGTACAGTAATCCAGATAATTACAGAGGTAAGCATATTGCGTCATTGTACTGATAGTCTTCGCCCAAGCATCATCTAGCATCATATTGCCAACGGTGAAAAATAAAAACAAACAGAAACTGAGCCATTAGCAAATGATTTGGTTTTATAATTTGCTCCAAATAAACAGCCACAGTCCTTATTATCCCGTAATGGGCTGCTTACAATTAATACTGTCAACCAGCTGGTGCCGGTTTCGCTAGATGGCTCATGCACTATGCATAGTGGACGATGTTTTCACAAGTTTATCCCGTGTGTTGTTGTTATCCCGATCAACTGCCAAGGATACTTGGACATTGGCAATGAAGTGCACATTTGTATACGCGCGAAAGTGGATAATTCAAGTATGATACTAATCAACTTTACACGCAATATAAACTGTTGCAACACACTCCTTCCTGTTCATCCTTCACACAACTGATCTTGTCAATGCATATACACACAGTAACATACACACGACACAGGCCTGTTAGCAAAGTGCCAACAAGATCCCAGAGAAAGATATTCTTACCGGATACAACATACGCTACATCGCCTTATGCCGGGAGAAGTTAAAACGGACTCGTCTATTAGGACAAGATATGGTCGTATTCGCGTTTATGAAAGTGATCAGACGGATGCCAGTGTTGGATGTAACACTCGCCCGGCGCTCATGGTGATGTCTGCGTCGACCAATATTTCGCGCAACAGTAAGCACTTACACATGTACAATTGTAGTTCCCTGCGAAACGCGGAGTGTAATAAATTGTGGGAAAAACTCGGCGGTTATCCCAGTGGACCAGCTGTACTACAACTGGACCACCTCGGTTGTCCTGCTTATACGCGCTGTAAAGTGATTGGCACTTGGTAATATCAAGCGCACGACACCACAGCGCATTTGCCTACTAGTGCCAGCGTTAACGCCTACGTACTTGGAAGAAATTAATATCACTCCCCGTGTTCATATTAGGCGCCCGAACAGCCCATGATTGTTGGGTTGAGATTGACGAAAGGGGAAGCCAGCAACAGATTTGAATATGCTCCAACAGATTCCGCCTTCGGTTTTGCGGCTTTGTGCAGTCAAGCATCTGTATAAAACGTATAAAGAAAAGTTACGAGCAGTCCAGCCAGCGGTGTATTGTAGCTTATGCCGCAACCGTTTTAATAAGTACACAAAATTAGTAACATTGTCATAAAACATTATTATCTGTGTCCACTGTCCAGTGTCCTTTAAAGCGAGGTTACAGCCGGCTTTTTCCTGTTTCCTTATATTAAAAGTATTCGGTATTCTTACAATAGTTAAGTAACCGGTCGGTAGGATATCGCCACGGCACTTGCAGTATTTATAACATGAACCTTTTATTTTAAGATTAATTAAGCTGTGTATCACTGTACTGTATATGCTTATATAAGGGTTTTCTGACCCGGCGAACAAAAAGCTCTCTCTTTTGCAATGCAAACTCTAAATCATTATGTTACGGCAACAGCTGAACCATGAAAACATTCAAAAATTCTCCCACACCTAAATGATAACAGATTACTTTACTCAGCACAGCGACGGCTGAGCCGAACAATGAAATTAGTAACTACACAACTGTGGTACTAATCCAGTATTTGTTTAAATTATTACTCTTACGTACTGGATGCACGTCAGCGACTGACTAGATAGGTGTTGGCGCTCTTACATACTATATATTATCCTAATCCTGTATAGTAACAATCAATGAAATTACAGGTATCGAAAATCTGGAAGGTTGTTAAAAATCAACAACAATTGTGTCACTTTCCGAGACAATAAGGAAATACTTACCATTATAGAACGAACTGTTAACGCATTTCGAGCCGGCACATTAGTGAGGTTTTATCAGATTAACATAAACATAAGAGACCAACATACCATATATAAGCGGTTCCACGTGTTGTACAATCAGTTGACTTATGCATGCTGTAACCTTGCGGTCTAATAATTACAGTCATTACCGGCAAAATTTCTCCTTTTCGAAATGTATTGAAGCTTTGGGCAAACTTAAACCTTTAAATTTCTTGCCTCGGGGTGCCTTTAAAAGCATGTGCATTTAAACAATCTTCTTGCAGGTGCATTTAAACAATCTTCTTTCAGAACATGGACGGATATAATGACTTGTTGGTGACACTTGTTTTAGTTACGGTAGAGGCGGGTGATAACTTTTTTTACTGTTAAAACCTCGGTAAAAAAATGGGGTCTAGCTTAGCACACCAGAGTTTTAAATAAAGCTACATAATGTATGAAAGTAGCCGATGATAACCTTTAAAAATATGCCGCTTCATTACGATCAACGTTCAGGCTGTTCCATGGGGTCAGACATTCACCGGTGCAGAGTTGACCTATTACGACGATGCGGACTACGGTGCATGTAGATCACAAATCAATGCCACAGCACAGAATCTCGTACCCATCAGTCACGAACAGGCCAACGGCCAACCCCAACGTGGACCCCTTTTGCACCAATAATGTCTGTGTGAAGGCCACTTATACACCAGTCACGGTACCGGTTAAGGACAAGTGTCCGAATTACAAAAAGACGCGCATCTCGATCTCTCCAAGACGGCCTTCCAGAAATTAGCCAAATTGTGAATCGGCCGTCTGCGCGGCGCAACCTTTTCGTTTGTTCGATGTTAAGAAAATTGTAACATGTACATGACCAGCTGCTTTCCAAAGATAACTTTAAATACAACAGTTGTGTATCCATTTACGTCTTACGAGTAGCACTTACTTTGTTAACACGATCAAAATGACATGTGCAACTTAACGTTTTATCTTATATAAATATTTACAACTTAGATCTTAGATGCATGTTTAAAACTGATTCTACATACGATAATTATAATTTCTACCATGTAAATCATAGATTGCACTGATATTTCACATCAGCAGTAGTTTCTATCTACGGCCCACATGTAGCCCATGTGTTCGACAGCAAATTAAATCACGTATTTTGCCACACAGTATGCATCTGAGAACAACTTTTTAAAGATGGACATCCATAAAAAAACATGATCACGTGATTTTCATCAGAACGAAAAATCCCATTTATCAGAACGTGAAAACCCAGTAAGTCTCTATCCCGGTGCAAGTTCTTTGCTGCATGAACAATATCAGTTACATTTCCAAGTGATTATGAAGTTAATCACAATCAGGTACCAAAATGATGCTCATTGATCTCATCAAAACCAGAAATTAACAATGAAGGCATGCATGAACTTATTTATTCAAGAGCCAGCCTAAAACACGTAAACTAAATGTGTTAGACGCGTACAAAACATTTAGAATTCGATCCCAACATCACCGGAAAACAATCTAAAGAATTTGAACTCCAAGGAATGGAAACGCAAAAATTAATGTATTTACAAAATGGGATCAAACGTGCTATTCCTTGAGCCAACCAATTACGCCGCAAGCCAAACGTCCACCAGCCGATCCCGTCTTTTTGCTATCTGCAGTGCCTCCGCGTCCCAGATCATCCGCTTTCTCGTGAACAACAACGGACCTTCCGATTATAGACTGTGGCCCCACCAACGTCAGAATGTTATCACGCAGGTCAATTTGGGCTTTTCCGCTACCTACAAAATATTATACACTAATTATCTAATACCAATAATTTACACCAAACCTCACAATCAGGAACAAACATCAAAATTCGAAGCACGTTATACGGTTATAGAGCTACTCGTGTGTTAAATAATATGAATCCAGCCATGTATGTACCTTTCTCTACTGCGTTACGTTCAGCGACTACAAAGCCTAATACTCCAGCAACATTAAGACATAGATAGCACACACAAAAATGAAGTTCTCGAAACGTATGAATATGCAATTTTGCATCTCCCAGCATAACCGATTAACTTTTCCGGCGTCAGCAAATGAAACGTACTAATTCAAAAGCCAAAAGTGACTTACGGTCAGCGTTGATGTTTCCCAAATCACCGTCGTGTCTTACAACATCCTCCGGTGCTCCATGCTCATGTGCGCGAGGATTCCAGTGATCACCCGCGGACTGGCAACCATTCGTAATATCCCCTGCAAAAAAGCAGAAACCCCGCGATCAGACCAGACCCATCCGACAAGAATAATAGGATACACGTACAAACTCAAGCAGCAGCGAACTTACCAAATTTGTGTATGTGGAAAGCGTGGACACCTAAACAATGATTTTGTCAATAACAGCAGTTTACTTTTAGATGGACAATGCAAAACCACTTCAGAGCTCAGATAAACACTTGCAGTCAGCGCCGCAATATCTAAGAAATCAAAATATTTAAAATTACTACGGGTAATATATTTCAAATCAAAATATTTAAATAATTTAATTTATTATTAAAATTAGTAGCACTGGGCGAAGTAAATTAAACTGCATTTTAGTTCGGAAAATGTTGAAGATAGCAATACGTACCTGTTGACTTCAAACCTGTAAAAGATGAAACTCGTTAGCAACCTTCCAGTTAATAGAATATGGCTCAATATGCTGTTCATTCTGCGCACACAAAACCACTGTACCGTTGATATCCCCGTAGATGTGCACCGGGCTGCTTGGCTGTCCATTAGGCTGCGATATATCTTGTTCCAAATGGATAGTTCCCCACACACCTGATCCGCCACCTTGGTCCTTCAAGACTGCTACAGTTCGCAGCTTCGTCGTTTGCTGCGAAGAGGAATAGCGTGCAAACAAGAGAACGACGGCCAACAGGCAACTGCCAGCTATGATAATTCGTGCCATAATGCTGAGTTTCCGAGGGGACTGCGTGAAATCTACGAGCCTGGAATAACGCGATGCGATGTTGTCACTGTCGGAATGGCTCGGTTTGCGCCGCATTAAATAAATTGACGTGCAGCTGGCTGAGCTGGGCAAGCAAGAAGCAATGCAAAGGCAGCAAGGGCAACGGCCAATGTTCACTTTATGTGCTTAGCAAACTAGGTACGTTCATGATGTTATGCCATAGTACGCAGCCAGACGCCAGCCAGCTATGGGGAAATCCGCCGGGTGGAGAGTGATAAGGATCGATCACTCGCGATCGCAATTCGCAAATATACAATAAACCCTTCCGCCTTTGGGAATTTGCCGTGTCAGGACAATCGGACATCTGGGCAAATGAAATGACGTGAATATTTGGTAGTTAACTAAAAAATTCAACTACTGTACTGTAAGCGAAAACTAGCCATTGGCCAAGTTGACAGCAGGAAGTTAAAAGTCCTATTAGATACCAAATACTTTCGAATTTCCAATGGGATGGAAGACAGATTTTTGCGAATACCGACACATGGTGGTGGTACAACCATGAGCTTCCTTCGAAATTGCAGCCTTCTAGGAGCGGCAGCTGGCACCCGCAAATCATTACTATTGTTAAGAAATTGGAAATAAAGGTGTAAATTGAAAAGTCCTACTCACAGAGCGTAAGCATTCACATCAATTATAAAATAAAGTACAAACTAATATTACACCAAAATAAATAGTTTCAAACACGTGCATACTAAATCTAATCATCACAGCTATCAAATTTTGTAAGTTCTACTCGTAGAGCGTAAGTACGGTAAGTATTCACATCAACTGTAGTTCAAAGTATAAACTAATATTATAGCAAAATAAATGGTTTCAAATACGTTATACGGGCACGCTAAATCTACTCATTAGTACAGCTAGTATCAAGTTTTGTTTTTACAAAAATATCAGTACGTAGCTTCCTTGTGCTGTTGGTAATGCAAAGTACCGTTGGCTTTACATCGCTGCATGCTGAGACGTATGCATAAAATTAATACCATTGTACTAATCATGAGTACTGTACTGGACTGTCTGCACACATATTATAACATCATTATAATTAATTTATTACTGTACTTAAGTATTGCAGTTCCCTGCGAAGTAAAAGGGCATGATCCCACTCCCACATGCCCACTAGTCCGTTGAAATGGCTTCCGGCAGCCTTCGAATTCCGAGCCTCGTCAGATTCACGTAAATTTATGGTGCCGTTGGTCACTTTGGTTAACATTTTTTTAAACCCATTTTTGATCTCAATTAATACCATCACTAAATTATTAATATGGTTTCACAAATCATTCGCAGCACCAATTTACCAAGCATTGTTCATTCTTGCAAAAACACCACAAGCAACAGGAGGCTCCATGTAGCCAGCCATAGCCGTTCCATTCAGCGTGTTATTGTAAGCCAACTGGTTGAGCTCATTAAGACCAATCTCCCTGTACAGTTGTGAATCTGCGGCCATTTCCTCAGGTGTCACCGGATTCATCCTGTGGTGATAGTAGTCGCCTAGAGTCAACCGGTCAGAAGTGGACGAGAGGGACGATGAAGGCTTCAGTGCGCGCTTTCTCCGGTTGTTCTGGAATTTCGCCAAATAGTCCTGCAGTTTGGCAATCTCTTCATGTACTTTCTGCTTCAGTTTCGGCATTCCTTTGACTTTTTGAAGACTGACGCCCCGTCCCATCGCATGACCGCATGTCGCACAGGCTTCTTGGTGCCGTTTGGGGATGGGGAATTGGAATTCTCCTTCTCCCTCCTCTGCAAAGAATTATGTACTTGGTAAAACCAGTTGAGTATCCAGTGTGCTAAGCCAGTAAAAGGTGACAGCTTGTATCCTCCGAACAGCTCATGTAGCAACTTGTTACCATTGGCTTTCAAAAATCCCATAAGCGCGCCATTTGGTTTATGTTGTTTGCCGTGCGGTTTTTCCTCCACAGGTACCTCTTCGTTTTCTGGGGCTTTGCCTTCGACATCAACCTCCTCTTCTGCTCGCTTGTTTCGCTCCAGTTCTGCGACAAGTAAACCAATAACCCTGGCATTTTTTTAAAAGCGAAAACTTAAAAACAAGTACGCGGAGCGCCTTCTTACTTTGTTCCTTTGAGCTGGCGAACACTGATCGCTTACGCCGGGACGGCAGAGCATAAGAGCCTTCGTTGAATGCCGGTCCGAGATGCTCGCATCCATTTTGCATGTCAGCGAACTGATGCATGGAAAGGGCGTAAACCTCACCTGGATAAAACCGCATGACATCAGTATCCAGTTAGTAAGCTTTTGAAGATTTTTTCTAGGCGGAGGGAAAGAAGCATAGTGATTTATTTGAATTATCACAAATGCTGTACCTGGAGTCAAATTCTTAACGCGCCCATGCATCATCATCTGGGGTCCCTTAGGATGTTCGTCGTCTTTCTCGATGGACACATGACCATGGTCACGGTCCTTTTGGTCATCCTTGTCATCGTCTTTATGTTTATGTTTCTTGTGCTCATCCTTATCATCATCTTTGTGTTTATGGTCTTTGTGTTCATCGTGGTCATCATCTTTGTGCTTGTGGCTCTTGTGCTCCTCTGAGTCATTATCCGACGCGCGCTTTCTGCGTGGACCACCGGCTGGTCCAGCGGGCGGTAAGGATGCATGCAATGCGGCCGTGGGAGCTTCGGCATGTGCGTGTTCATGGTCGTGGTCATCTGTGGTTCACAAGAATACAGTCTAATTTATTAATTAAATATTTCGTAAACTGATTGTATTACGGACCAGAATCCCTTTCATGACCTTCGTGATCACGATGCCGACTACTTTCCGTTGTCGAGCGTGAACGGCGGCCGTGATTTGTAGTTCGGGTGGCTTGCTGATCTCCCGGATGCCTTGTTGTGTGCCGGCTGCGGCTGCGGGATGTGGTGTGGGTGTGTCTATATCCAAATGGAGTTAAGGAAGTGACCCGGTACATGGTACAAAACTCGTGCACATACACGAGTTTGAGAAAAATCATTTTTTCACTACAGTATATATAGCTTTCGTATTAAATCCGGCTTAGGTTAGTACGTCTGTAGTACTATAAACGTATACAGAGTACTTTACCATTAGTGATTCTACTCATTGTAATTCACAGAAGCACGGTACGAGTGGTTAATTACCCTTCGCGATCGTGATCACGACCATGTTCGCCATCTTCATCCCGATCGCGTCCATGTCCAACACGACGGTCCTCTAAATCGTCGTAGTCATGATCGCCATAACCTGTACAACAAAGTTTCATGGTCTCACAAAATTAATCTGGAACAAACGTAATTCATTTTAAGTGCAGACAAATTTTTGATAGTATGTACGTAGAAGAGTATACAAATATCGGTTACGAAAATTATGATTTCAGATAAACCGCTTTCTGATCAAACGTCAAATGGTACGACAAACAGATTCTAGCTAAGAAGTTGCAGCCACTTCTTGCTTGTTAGCTGCACTTAAAGAGTACTGAAGGAAAAATCTGAAATGAATCCTACCAGCCGCAAAAGCTGCTCCTCCGACAGCAGCCGCTCCGACCGCGCCTCCACCAGCCGCCGCTGCGGGGAATTCCTCCATTTCGCGCTCACGTTCTCCTTCCGGTCCGAACTCAAATTCACCTGGACGCTCGGTGGAATGGTGCGATCCATGTCTGGTAGAATCTTTCCGGTGTCTCGTCGTGTGACTCCTGGTGGTGTGCCGCCTGTCGTATTTGGATGTGGTTGCATCCCAGAAGTCATAGAAGCCGGTGGGATTGGTAACCACCTGTGTTACTGGTTCGACATAATTATTCGGATGTCCATGATAACTACCGACAGGAGCCAAAAATGCAACACAGGCCAGAATGGCCAGAAGGACGGCTAATGAGATAAATACTGCGGCATGCTGGCATTTGGTTGTTGTATTCATGATTATATTATTCTGGAATCTATATAAAAAAAGGTCAATCAGTACTTACCGCGCACTCTTATTATGCCCAGATGGGAGAAACCATCTGTTCTACGATTAGTTAATAAGATTTACAGACAAAGTACCGCATAACGCTACCGTGTTAGCACAGAAACAGCCAGGTCTGAAAAAATTGCTCGAAGCAAAAATCAACGTTTTTATGCATTGAACAAAATGGCTTGGTAGCCTGCAGACACGCATGTACAGCTATCTAAAAACTACAATAATAATACATTTGACCGGCAGCAAATGTTTGCGCCACTTTATGCCCCAGGTTAGCGTACTGTTTGCTCTTCTGCTTTTTGACATTTTTGGGAGTCTACCCAAGCCTGATAAAATGCAAGAGTGCATCCTCGAAGCCCGCTCAGATTACTTTTAAAATTATTTAATGGAGCAACTGATCATGGATATTTAGATTAAATGTTTTTTTGGTTATTGTTGGTTCACACTTCAGAGTACCATAATATCATGTTATAACACGAGTTTTTATAATACGTACATCCGTAATCCATACGCTACAAAGAAAAAGCTTTTCCGACTTTACACATTTAAATATGCTTATCAGCAGTTCAGACAGCAATAATGTTTGTTTCATTGCATCGCATCTATGCAAAGTCCTGTAAAATAGTTTTTATAAAAATGCGGTTTGGGAGCACGAATGTTGTGATCATAATTAATAAAGCTCGGTATATTGGAAACTATGTACATACACGTATGTTTGCAGTTAAGACGGTGCGGTAATTACTTACCGCTTGCAAGCCCTAAAGGTAAAAAACTCTCTGTGATACGTATATGATTTTTATCTTTTCTTTGATGCCCATCAATGCTACAATTGTTAGCACAGGAAAGCGATTGTACTCTAACTGCAGTCGTTCTAACCTGACTTGTGAGCAAATTTAGCGCTAAAATACTTTTATTGGTTTTCGTATCCATACGCTTTAGCAGCCACACAACACAGCAACTTAGTGTTCACCGTGAAAACTTAACTACAAATAAAAATAACGAGGGAGAATCAAGCAGAAATGAAATAAAGGAACAATTTGTATACCAACAACAGAATTAACCAGGCAAAATTTAAACGCTGGCAAAAATTTTATTGTTTTTTTGTTTCAGTTTTTCATAACTTCGTCTATCCAAGCTTGATACTGTCCCAAGTTAACGAATAATGCCGGTGTTCCGCCCTGACCGCACTGGATGCCGGAAACGACAATGCCAGCCAGTTGGAAATTGCCGCCCACATTGCACACCAATGGACCACCGCCGTCGCCGTTGCAGATTGTCTGGCGTCCGGTGGCGCTGCCGCACATGAAGGAGGTGGTGTGAAATTTGAAGCCGGGTCCTAAGGGAGAATTCTTGAGGCGGTAGGCGCATTCTGATCCGACCAAATGCGCGTTGGAATCCGTTTCAGGCGTGATGAAAACGGAAAATCTGCAATTATACTCATCAGATATAAATCCACAGAACGTGTGTTTTCCCAGTTTCGAAGAACTCACTTTGTCCCAGTTTACCCCATCCGCCAGCCTAAAACCGAAATCCAAGTTTAATAAATTAATGGCAAAAATCAATGAATTATTTTTATATATGCGTCGACAAAGTGTAGCTAAAAATTACAGCAACCGAACCAAACCTAATTGATGTCAAACCAGAACCTTATTCTTGTACCTGACAATTCATCCCAAAGTAATCAATCTGCCCTGGTCGACATGCCAAACAGATATTACTGAGGGTGATGTCTGCCGGTCGGTTTAACTTCAGCACCGCAATATCGTTTTCCAGAGTTTTGGCATCATAATTGGAGTGAATGTACAAATTGAAGACAGAATAGTCGCGTGGACCGGGGACTTCCGTTGATATATTGAAATCCCATTCACCTAGTCGCACAGTGATGTCCATCGGGCTTCGCCTAATGCATGGTGCACATTAAGACCTTTAGCTATCGTTTATCAGTAGGTTCAAATATTCTGAACTTGTCCATACTTTGTTACGCAATGCGCCGCCGTTAACAGCCATATTGTATCGATAAGAACGGCAGAACAAAAGTAATTCCCACTGGAGCGGTCAAGCAAGGCTGCCTAAAGCAAATCAAATACGCTATGTTGAAAATCAAATGTAAATATCACGGCGGCCAAAATTTATGGTTTGAAAAATCGGTACACGAACAGCGACATCAAACGCGGTATCGTAGGCGAGCGCACTGAATTGCCAAGCTGTTTGTACGTACTTGCCAGCAATATTCGCCAACATCAGCAAAGTCAGGATCGGAAGTAGGAAACTCTGGCATCGGGGGTCCTCCCATGGCCGTCGGATATCCATTACCCACATTCTGATTAAATCCATTGTAAGCCGGCGTTGCTGAGCCCTTTCCTTTAATACCACATTCGCCATTGACGGAATTTCTCGTGTAACAACAACTCAACTCCGGTGACGAGCACCCATACATGGAGACTTCCAGTCCATACAGAGAACAATTCCGTGCCGTTGAATACGGAACACAAATGCCGGGATGGTCCTGTATGAAACACTTATTGGCCTCTTCCAGCGAGTACGACGCATCGCGCTGCAGACCATCGGTGGAAGTATAGCAGCACACTTGTTGTCCGGAACAACCGCCCTGACGGATTCTGTAGCCCATTTTAAAGCAGTTTTGGGCTAACGAAGCCTGTATACAGGATGCGGCTTCGCCACGCCCGCCGCATACGCCCAGTTGGTTCTGCTGATTGACAGCTGCACCCAGTCCTCCACTCTGCTGAAGCGACTGCAAAAGTTGTTGGTTGTTGGCGTTTTGGTTGTTATTCTTGTTGAAAAAAATGGGGATGACAGCTTTCATGAGGCCACCGACATCCGTTGCGCTTAACTGAGGCAAACCCAGTCCACCGGAAGTGGCCGCTGCCGCCGCCGGCAGGGCAGCCGCTCGGTTCACCTGCGGCATGTTGGACAGTGGCACTGAATTGATGTTGGACGCAGCGGCTTGAAAATTTACGGGGGCATTATTGGACGCAGCAGCCTGCATATTTAAAGGTGCGACGTTGATGTTAGAGCTGGAGGAATCGGTGAGCTGCGGTGCGGCAGCTTTGTCAAAGGAAATACTCAGCGGTTCGTCTTTCAGCATGGATGGATCGACGTTGCTGGCCGATGGGTCAGATGAAAAGCAGCAGGATTCTGATGCTTCGCAACCCGACTGGACAATCTGCATTCCCAGGCCGGGACAGAGAGCGGTCAGCGAAGACGCCACACAGATGCCTTCAAATCCGTTACTGGTGCAGGACTGTAATGTACGAATGGTCAGGTTACTAATTTTTCATTCGGGCGTTCAATTCCGATGAATAATTATTCGAGAAAACAAAAATTAATAATATCTTGGCACCTTACGAGCTCGACCTTCCGGTCGGTATGGTATTCGGCTCTCGTATGTCTCTGAACCTTCTGCTACCATTGGGTCGTCGTCTTTTGCGCCCGTCGTAGCTTTAGCCTCCTTCTTTCCCATAACATTATTTATCGTATTGGCTAAGTCATCCGGCAGTCTTGCTTCTGGACTCTCTGTGCAATGCATGAAATTACTTGCATGAATTAGAACTAATTTTTTATAAGAAACTTATTACGATAAACGATTCGTAAATGCTCAAATTAAAACCTACCTTTACGTATGTAAATCTTCCTTTACGTATCTAGCTTTAACTTTATAAAATTAATAAGTTTTGAACTTTCTTTTATTTTTTTCCAACTTTACATACGAGTACAAATGATACATCACATTCGCAAAAACTTAATGATAATTTGTGCTGCCTGAAGAAAACTAAATGTCTTACTTGCACAACAAATTTTTCCAGAGTCGCAGGTCGGGCTAATACCAATCTTCAATTTCATACTGTTGCAAACGCCTTGCATGAACTGCGGCATACACAATCCTTGTCGGCCATCCAGCACGCACTGCTGCATACCGGCCGCAGCATTCTGGATCATCGGCAGCATTCCTGCTGGGATCTGATTTACACTCGTGATGTTGCCCGCGAGCAGCGTATTAGTCGCTGGATTAACGGTGGACGCTGAACTTGGAGTAGTGGTCACCTGCATCGCCAGGAATCCGTCGATTAAACTAGAGGCCATATCCGCTGTACTGACACTCTTGGGGGCCTGCAGTGCCCCCAGTACAACCGACATCACATTCCCGGGAATTGTACCCGCACCCGACGCCTGTACCTGTGAGCTGACGACATTACCAATGGTATTGGCTATCGGGTTGCCCACTGGTGCTGCTAACGCATTCTGAGTGAGTAATGCGGTATTTCCGTTTCCGACATTTTGCGTGCCACCCAGACCAAACGTCTGCGGGTTCGTTACGCTTTGACCGAAATTCGCTACACCTTGTCCGACCACCGCCGGACTGAAGCCAGTTGGAAATGACGAAGTGCCTGCATTGGCACCAGAGAGAAGGTTGTTCTGAATCGGACCGGAAGCCGGTGAAAACATTCCCTGGTTAGTAGAAGACGATGCTAACATTTGGGACGATAACGGTGAGTTTTGTTTAGCTCTCAGAGACATGATCAACTGTGCTGGATCACGACGGTAACAACAGACATCGCGAGTCATAGTTTGAAAGTTAACACATCCGCCGTCTTGGATATCGTAATTGTATAGTTTACAAACGCCTTGCAGAGACACCGGCATGCATGAACCTTTGTATCCATCCACAAAACACGGCTTCGTTTCTGTATAAAAAAGGTCACGAGATTTAATCAAACCAAACTCACAACATCAAACCAAAATTTTAAAAAATGCAGTAAAATTAATTTACCTTTGCTGGCAAACTCTAGGGCGCCATGGTCACGAAACATGCTGGATGGGTCGTTGGGAAGAACGCTCGACCTACTTTTACTATCGGACATCATGGACATCGGATCATCATAGACGCCATCCAAACCATTGCCCATACCAGGCCGGTTAAATCCACCGCCGCCGAATCGCTGAGAACCAAAACTTCCAGAAGGAGCACCACCTCCTGGAGACAAAATCAGATGGAATTCGTAAATGTCGACTCGTATATTCGAAGAATATTATACGACATAGACTTCGTCGGATGCTAACCTCGACCCATAAGCATCTGTAAAATCTGATCATCCCGACTCGAGCCGGATGACATCATCCCACCGCCAGAATACCCTCCACTCAACCCATCGAGTCCGCTGCCCATGCCGCTTAAACCACCAAATCGGGAATTCAGGGACTGCCCTCCACCTCCCAGTCCGCCTAATCCACTGAGACCATCTAGCCCTCCCAGACCGGATCCTCCTCCAAAGTTGCCTAGCCCGCCTCCTCCGCCACCGCCAAAATTTCCTTGGTTGTTGGCCAACAAAGATTGCAGAGTGTTGGCATCTAATCCGTTAATTCCGGATGATCCTAATGGATCAGACGAAAAACAGAGTCATTGTGGGTTGGTACCGATATTCACTTAACAAACGTTAGAAAAGCTCGCAGTCAAAGTGTGCCATTACCGCGCGTACTATTGTTTTACAACAGCCAACAGGTATTGCCCGTTAATGTCAAAACGTATTTTTGCATCATCGCCTTTCTTATCTGATTAGAAAAACATCTTATTTGTTTCCGGTTTATTAGAACTTTCATGACTAATTACAATCAAAGTTCCCAATCCCACTGAGATGGCTTCTTTCAAAGCTGGTAACAATGGTAGCTTCATATAACTAACATTAATGAATATACAAATTACAAAATATGGTCTCCACCGAAAAATCTGTAGTGTAACTTGCAAAATCAGAAAACTGTTGACGAACCATTAGTTCCGGCGGATCATATTTTCATTTTTTCAACACATCTGTCAACCCATTCCCTAAAGCACCAAAAAGGCCACTTATTGCTGACCCACCGCCGCCATTTCCACCGAGCAGTCCAGACAGCCCACTTCCGCCACCGCCGCCGCTCAGTAATCCGGACAGTCCACTTCCGCCACCGCCACTCAGCAAGCTCGATAGGCCACTCCCCCCGCCGCCACCACCCCCGCCCAAGAGGCTGGATAGTCCGCCGCCTCCGCCACCACCGAGCAGACCAAGTCCATTTCCTCCCGAACTAGCCGCTCCGGCCACTGCCGACAGTATTCCAGAAAGGGCACCACCTCCACCGCCTCCTCCCAGTCCACTCAACGCACCCAGCCCTCCTCCACCACCGCCACCGCCGCCGAGCAGGCCACCCAACCCGCCGCCACCTCCGCCACCCAGTGATCCCAACAGCCCGCCCAGTCCACCACCACCACCACTTCCTTTCAAGTTGCCCAGGAGTCCCAGTAGCGGCGTCAGATTGGAGAGATTTATTTGAGCGGATGATAACTGCAGTCCAGACAAGAGTAAAATTACGTATGATATGGAATATTTATTACTCGTTAAATATAACATTTTAAAGTCCGATCAGTAAAATTTCGGTAAGGGTCTCAGAAGATGCACACAAAACCGAAACAAGATAGCTGCTATATGCAATGATCGAAACACGCATAACCTACCAACTGCGCGGACTGACGAGAATGTTTCGATGAAAAGTAAGTAACACACTATAATTACGAACATGGACTTTTTTATAAATCTTCCATGTCAGTGATGTGACCGCGATTCAAGTGATGGTTTTTTTTCGAGCAGTGCAGTTAAGTAAACGCAGCATACTCATCGTAGCAGTAAAACATAGCTGCCGGTGTTAGTAAGTGCTGTAGTAAAAGTACACGGATAGCTGATACAAATTGGTAATGAAAAAACACTTCCGTGAAGACCTTCAAGCCGCGAAAACGCAGTATATTTTGCAGATACCTCATACTGCGATAACTGTTCGCTGAATGTGTTCTAGAAATAATTAGTAAAAATAAGTGCCTGTCATTTAAATGTTATTATATCATCGTAAACTGGTGAATATCTAGCAAAATGGGTCAAGGCCACACTGAACACGCTGCACTTGGTCACTCGATCGTATGCGTCATATTTATAACCACTCTTGATAAAATCTTATTTTATGGTACAGTATAGTTTATGGTTTATGGTACTTATTTTATGGTTGTGAGTCTTGTGACTTTTGAGTACTAAATTAAAAAAGCTTATAAACCAAAATCGGGGCTTTTTAAAGTAGTCCACAATAAGTGGTTTTTACTTTTAAATCACGCTTCCCGCGCGGCTGCAGCCTGCCAGTGCAGATAAGATGCTTCCTTCTCGGGTGGCAGTTACAAGTTACAACATTGCAAATCCATGCCTACTGCCTGCAGTTCGTGGACAATTAAAAAACTTAGAAACATTAGGATACCACAAAAGTTAGATCGGATAAACATTAAACATTAAACACCCATTACCATAAGATTAATTTACGCACCTATGGTGAATGGTCTTTAGGCTCAGCCGCTCAGGTAACCAAAAGCATGTCCTCGCAATCTTGGAACATAGGAAGTTGCTGTTTGAACAGTTTGATTACAATCCACGTTGACAGTCAATTAGTCATGATGTTATGGTTTTCATCCATCTTGTACTCTTGGGCGCAAAATGTACTTTATTCAATTGTACCAGTTCGCCAGCGCTTGCAGAAGAAGTGCTTGCTTTAAAGGGGTCCATATGTCCGGTCACAATCCATATCGGATGCACTCGATGTAGGAAGGTGTTTCCATTTCTACTGTAGCTTGTTGCGGTCTCGAAGATTCGAATTATCTGTCTGACGACAGTCGTGTAGGCGATTTGTGTTCCGGTAGTTTGGCTTCCACATATTTAACCAACAAAAAAATGGAAATTCTATTCGTTCCACACATACTGGATGGACGGAAACGCAGATTATCACGGAAGAAAAAATCCCGTAATTTTCCACTGCTCATCGATCCATCTTCACCTATGACGAGCTAGACCCTTTTGGACTTGACCAAACAATGGGCAGTCCATGTATCGTCACACCAACATGGCACCGGCCGGAAATTGAACTACAATAACAATTACAAGTAATTTGTTACTGAAACTTGTTTAATAGTTTAGAATTAAACAAGCTACCTGGTACATATAATGTATCAATTATATTATTCCTTACTACAACTGAAAAAATTATGAAGTTGAAAGTCTGAAGCAAAACCTTTAAGGTTTGTGTCTATGTTTCTCTCTCTTCTGGTGGCACTGCTAACCACTGGGAACACATCACCGCTTCCGTCTACTCTCGAGCCTGTAGTCTCTCACGTACGGTACTTGCAGTTGTACGTAGATGTGCGCTAACATGGTGGGACGTCTTGCGGAAATGTGGTGGACAGTGGACATAAAGTTTTACACTCCGCAAATCTGGGACTGGCGTACAACGCATGTACAATCGATTTGCCAATCGAATACTATAGAGCCACCTTGGCAAATTGAGGAACATTCAAACATGGGTATTTTGACAAATGAAGAAACACCAAACCAAAACTATTCAGTGCAAAAAAAATTGGGATATTGTAGTCTGTGTCACAGCCTCGAAGGGAAGGACTGAATGGAGCAGATGTTGCAGATATCCGTTGCCCAGTGGGCAATGTCCATCCACCTTGAGTGAGTAGATAATTAATATTATGTATATTGTATACTAGTAGGTTCAGCTGTATGTTGACCATTAATGGCGATTTTCTTGTGGAGATACTTGTAAAATATATTCTTGATTCTTGGAAGTATCTTCAAAGCTATTCATAAAAAAATGGTTAGTCGCTTGATTAGGAGGCGGTGTGTACTTGTACCAATTTTATCAGTAAAATAAAACTAATTTGTTTAATACAAAGTAATACGTTTTTGATATAATTGTAGTTATAATATAAATATTTAATTGTAGATTGTAGTTATAGATTTGTAACCGAATTTCGAGTGCCTTAGAGCAGCAGACATCCGACGCGGTAGTGACCTATATCCGAGTACGCGAGCGATGTTTGCAAGGCACCTGTCGAGTGTCGAGCGACATGGAGAAAGAAATGATTCGATTTCGTTTGGGATGAGATTAGTTCATTATCGTCGCCGTACAACAGGCAGATTAAAATGGCTACCCAATAGGTACATGACATTCTCATGTAGACGCGGGGAAACCTTCACAGCGCCTTGCACTGGGCAGTTAATCCGTTAATACATTAATTGTTTACGAAATGTTTTCTAAATAAACACAGCGCACCAATACGATGGTCGGCGTTAGCCGTTGTATTTGCGCGGGCTTCAAGGATTGCTGTCGCGAACCTTTACCCGCTAAGTGCCCGTATGTAAACGATGGCTAGAAGTTTTTTTTACATAGCGCCGATAGCATCACTCTACTTTAATGTATGCACCACCCCTGATATGCAGACACTGTAGGGATCTCTTGATCAATTTATAGTGGGACCTTTGCCAGCGTCCACTGTACGTCGAAACGGTTACGAGTTACGACTTCGGTTATGTGATCTTTATTATGACTCGATCTCGTCAAGTTCAAGTAGTTAATGTTTGGTTACAATTAACTGCCGCAACAACGGCATCAATTGTAATTCCATAAACCTTGTGTTTGGACCACAAGGACTTTTTGTTAATTTCTTGTATGCCGTGCTTGGCTTTAATGCGCCATTAGGACGTTGTTATATTTTGATCAACATCCGAATCACGCGTCTGATCTCTACGAGTGCAGAAATCTTGCAGATATCCGGCACGTTGGTCGTGCTGTGGAGAGAGACGGATCTTTCTGCACCTCAGCCTGTGAGCGGATGAAATGAAGCCGCGGAATAGATCGTCTAATGTTGTGGATTACTGCCGGAGCATATCCGTAAGGCCCTATGTTATTAATTTTTGCAGGTTTATTGCATTATTTGCTCAACAATTCAACATCAAATGGCATTGCTTCGGCGAACAGTGTGTAATGAATAATGTACAATAATTAATAATTGGCAGAAAACGCTTTTAAATAAATCCGGGTAACTAGCGAGGTGTACGAATCAATTTAAAAGCTTTTATGGCAGCTGCGATTGCCATTTATTGCATATCAAAATCAAAGCAGAAGCCGGGTTATGTTTCTCATTATTGTAGTTTCGGAAATTCAGAAGCCCCCTGGCATATCCGCAATTCGGAAATGCGAGCTCTTCCGGCCCCGATTCCAGAGAAGCCGGTAATCATCGGCCCATCGCACGGACTTTCGAGAGCGAGTACGGTTTATGTTCCAACAGCGCCAGTGAATCCGGCAGTCCCTATTCCACAATGGAACGGCTCCCCAACCATTCGTCACGGGAGCCGATGATACGGCCGACTTCCGACCGGTGCAGTCGGTGGACGATTTTCATCAGCTGTTCTCTTGCGCTGATCGCTCTTGTTGTTGCTGCAGTAGTTACCATAAGATATACCGGTAAGTCAGTGCTGGATCGATTAGCAGTTTAGCATAATATATTTCCGGGTGTGGAATGGACAGAGTGACCAACTTTCATTAGTCTGTTGTGTGCGACGGTTAAAGATCAACAGGTCCACTTGAGATAGTAATAAGACAACGGAAGTTTTGGTAATCGATCCACTTTTGCGGCTACGGTGCATATGGAGTAAAAGAGCCTTTGATGATTATTCGAATACCTTGCAAAAAATATCGAATTTGTAATTGAATAACTTTTTTACAGATACCCTTCAAGTTTCATTTTGATCTTAAATAAATTGCACAAAATATTTGAGTTTCGTTTTTCGCTCGATTTGGCTATTGCATTAATCAAATAAAATTATTCTCTAGCTTCCTTTAGTTTTCGAAACGGTGCTTATCGATCTGAACCGGTTGAATTGTCATACTTTTGCGATGCATACACAGATACATTAATGGTAAGCGTCTGAGCGTTACCACGGACAATAATTAATTTTTACCAGTACAAAACGGTAGGTCACGAATAATATCAAAATATACAAGTTTTATATTCAAGGCATTTATTAAAAAATTTCTGTAACATGGTACTAAGTTAGCACTTTAGGAGAAAGACTTGCGCTGTGTCAATTGGGTGTGATGTATTCAGATCGGTTACATAAATGTTTGTTAATTTATGAAAATGGTCGCGTTGACTTTGAACTTTGTCAGGATAAATTGTTTATAGATATACTATTAATCTTCAAGAGATCATCAGTAGCACTATAAGAGGAATTTCACTCATGAGCATTTTGTAATGACCGTTAATTTATTCCAATTTTGTTTAGACAGCAATCGGAATATATTTATTCAATGATAATTTTCTGTGTTATGCAAGGTAAGCGTGTTTATTTTTATTGATTAATTTTGTTCCAGTGGGCATGGCGGACTCCAGTGCAAACCTTAATTCCACTTCTGCCATTTTGTCCCAAGAACAAGAAGCCCCGCAACAGCCATCCTTTCAAGGTAAGAGGCGCGCATTTGTGTTCAGGGGTTACCGTGACCCAGTCAGATTGTCATAATAAAAGGCGCCACTGAGCCATACACGTGCTAGTTTTGCGCATGGCTGACGCGTAATTGACAATGGTTGCGTTTTTTGACAAATGTTGACGGGAAGAGCGCAGCCGGCAAAGGTGCTAAACTGTGTGACGTTTAGGTGTTTAGCTAGTGTGTTCACGTGAACATGTATTTTTCCCGTACGTACACTGTATCAGCGTCAGCGTGGCCATCGGAAAGAGCGCGGCATTTTCATAATGGCCAGATTACTATGCATTACCCTAAGATGTTGTTTTTTCGTTGACCTCCTTTTTGGTGGCTTGTGTTTAGGCAAATACCTTTATGAGAAAGACGTGTCTCAAATCGGTGGTAATCTGCACTGTTCATACACTTTTCAGCTCAAGGTTATGTGTAATTTGTCGCAAAATAGTGTGTTAATAATTTCATCAGAGGCGTTACGGTGCAGCGCTACTGGTCGCCATCTCAAGCAAGGTCTGCGGGACCTTTTCATACCCGCACTGGCGCTCTCAGCGCGGTTTTGCCAAAAGATTTAGTGAACCTTTCCAGCTGAACCTAAGTAGTGTATTACCGCATCTCAGGTTCAGGGTTTCGTTTCGCGCGGCTGTTTTCCTCAAGGATTACGCAAGCTCCCCTCTGTGCGCTAACTTGCTAAGTGCCCTTATGCCTAGTTAGTACCTAGTTAGCACCTACTCCGCTGATTACCTGCTTCGAAAGCAGTCTTGCTCCACAACATGGCACTGAGCTGCTAGTCTGCTACAAACGTCGAAAAATACCGCAGATTTAATTTTAGCGACGGTGTTAAAATGATTTGAGAAGTAATTCAGGATAATCTAAGCGAAGGTCAAAATGATGCACTAGTGCCGGTAAACTATTTGTTTTCGTGGTTGCCTTAGTATGCGGTTTTATAAAGAGCCGGGTTAGATAGATACTCCAAAAAACTAACTTAACTAGTGTGTGTACTCGTACTTTGTCATTATCGGTACACCTAACTGTGTAATGTATGTTTTCGTTGGGTTCGACTTGAATATCTATATGTCGCGGTGATTATAGCTGGCCATAACTAACTAAATTTATACATTTATGAACTATATCTACTTTGTATATGAATATTTCAAGATCCTCATTACAAATAACATCTGAATGTTGATTTGGTTTTAGCTGCCCCTCAAACTTCAGTCAGAGTATTTAATGGAAGTATGCGTTTAATCACCGGTGATGATTCCATTTATGACAAAAGCTTGGAGAACTCTGCATCGAAGCGCTACAAAGCTCTTTCGGCAAGGTGTAGGACAATGGTATGCGGAAGAAATAGTTACGGTCACAATGGCATAACTCACGGTCAAGATTACGTACAACATTTTCTGATTTGCAGTTGGACACAGCATTCCAAAAATATTTTGGAGGTTTATATTGGTTTTCGGACATTGTGGGGTTCAAGTATGCTTGACTAGTTGGTTACCAGCTTATCAAGCTGATGTACCATTACAGTAATGCTCATGTGTTCCAGGCAAGGAAGTGTCGTGGTTTCTTGGGTTAGTTGGTTCGACGAGAAGGGAATAGAAAGTGATATTCCGGTGGCAATCGAAGCATTCCATGTCAGAGAAAAACTTATTACTGGATTACTTGAAAACATTGAGTCGGATGCCGGGATTGATTTGGAATCCATACGTATTACAGGTACAATATACGAGTATATCTATATTTCTGTCTGTAAGAGATCTTTTAGCAATTGTACAGAGTACCTCATTTTACTGGCAATAGCCACCGATTTAACAATAAATACGAGCGCCATATGCGCCAAGCACATTACTTCATATATTGAAAATATGGTTTTCATCAAGCTACTTAATCATAAAATACTTAATACTTAATGAGACATAATAATAAAAATTTTGTAATTATAGTTGTACTTATTTATGAGTATAAAAAATTTAGATGCACCAAATCAGAAGTTACCGGTTAATGTTTCGCCTCCACAATTCCGTGATTTGACCACCAGCACGGCTAAGCCAACCATTCCTACCACAACCAAAAAAGCCCAGACAGTTGCTAATGGCAATACTACCGCGCGCTCTACTAGTACTACAGCAAAAGCCGAAGATCCTGTGGTTTTGGATTTTAAAACTATCGGCGCGCACGACGACCAGGAAAATGTGGCAGCCAGTAATCCACTTGAGCCCGGCGCTCCCATGATGAGACCGTTTGAATATGCAGCAACCCGTATGTTTTCTGAACAGCCTGTGATCAAGTCGTCGCCTTTTACTAAACTGGATTTTAATAAAACGGACAAAGCGAAAACAGTGGATTTTATACCGCGTTTTCCGACGGTTGAATCATTGTTGCCATTTCTGCAGCAAAGTTTTCCGTTGAATCGTTTCTTTATTTTCGCGCCATGGTGTTCCGGGAATTCCCGCTGCTCCCAAAACGTCAGCCATGCCGGCGACTACACCTGCAACAACTGCGAAGGTACAACAGAAAACTACAACTAAACCGCCGACAACGACAACCGTGACGACAAAAGCACCACTTCCAACAACTGCGATGACACTGTTAACATTTCCTATAACAACACTTGCGCCAACCACAAAGGTGACCGTCGATTTCAATTTCACATGCGACGACGGCCATTTTAAATGCCGAAATGGACATTGCATACCGCTGTATTTATACTGCAACGGCGTGGATAATTGTTTGGTATGTCCATTTTTGTTGGCGGTCATTAGTAATTTAGTACCAATAGCAAATGTTGATTTTCATTATGTGGGCGTTATTTTATGACGGCTTCGGATTAAGTATTTAATGCAAATGCCTGTTAAACTTCGAGCTAACTTTAATTTTGATTTTAAAGTTAGCGACTTCTATCGAATAAATTTTATGGATTTTCAAGGTAGTGTATATAAACTTTTTTTGCGAAGCTGCCGATAATAAAAATAATAAAGTGGATTCTTTTGGCGATTAAAATTATTTTGAATTTTGTTTTGTACGCATAAATAAAATAGCATGCATTTTGTTTTTAGGATGGCGGTTCGGATGAACCCAGCGGGTGCAGTGCATGCGGCGCAGGGCAGTTGTCGTGTGGCGACAACAACTGCTACACGCTGAGCCAACGGTGCGACGGGAAGCGTGACTGTTCAAACGGCTTAGATGAAACCGACTGCCAACAGTGCCAGGCAAACGCCGTCCGTTGTGCCGATGGCCAGTGTAAACCACTGTGGGTTTGGTGCAACAAATTCAACGACTGCGGCGACTGGTCAGATGATCCGCCAAACTGTGATTGCCGCGATGGACAGCTGCGCTGCCTGAATGGTCAGTGCGTGATCGGCGAAACATGTAACGGAATCCGGGAATGCATTGACGGTTCCGATGAGCGGAATTGTACATGCTTAGACCGACTGATGAAGAGCTTCCCGCGAAACGCTGTGACGGGGTAGCTGACTGCCCAGATGGCTCCGATGAAAACAACTGCATGTTTCGGTGCAGTCGTGATCAGTTCAAGTGTAAGGAAGACGGAGGCTGTATCAGCAAAAACCGAATTTGTGATGGTAAGGATGACTGTCTGGATGGATCCGACGAAGAATATTGCTTTCAGTTGTCGGCCGATGGGCAGAAGATCAATAAGCAATTTCTGGAGATTCGAGAAGAAGGTGTGCTGATGTGGAATATCGATGGCGACTGGTATCCGGTGTGCGCACAGTTATACAATTCCTCGCAAACACCATCCGTCTGCCGGGGGCTGACCTATGCGAAAGCCAAGCGGAAAGCGGGATTACGCTGAGCACGAATCGCGGCTATGCTCACTATGATTTCCAGACGAAACGGTATGTCATCCGGAAGCAGTGTCATCGGGATATCGTGGTGCATCTGGCCTGCGAAGGGCTGGTCTGCGGCATTACACCCACCACCAATCACTGGCGCAACGAAGTCAGACAATCGGCCCGCATTGTCGGCGGCGAGGACGCGCTACCCGGACAGTGGCCTTGGCATGTGGCGCTGTACCGTGATGGTCATTACGCCTGTGGTGCGACACTACTGGACCGGCAGTGGATGATCTCAGCGGCACATTGTTTCTTCCCGCATATGTACCGCTACTGGGCCGCACGGTTGGGCTCGTGGCGTCTCGAGTTCCATGCCACCCAGCAGCAGTTGATCAAGATTACGCATGCACTGATCTACGAAGGGTATGATCATTTTGGCAGTTCTGACGGAGATATTGCGTTGCTACGGTTGGATAGACCGGTGGATTTGAGCAACTGGGTGAGACCAGTGTGCTTGCCGAAAGAACCTCCATGGGATCACTGCCAGGCGAGGCATGCAAAGCGATCGGTTGGGGATTGCGAGCAGAGGACGGATCGAAGGCGGATATTCTCCAAGAAGTTGATGTGCCGGTTTTGAACAACACGGACTGTAATAGGTAAGAGATGGTATATAGCACATGGAGGCAGTTTGTTCTGATCAGTATCTTATTTATATAAGCTATTATATTAGTGAAGATATCATCCAACTTCTGATTACCTTTGGCAAGCGTGATTCATGGAAATACAGACAGTTCGCATTTTAATTTGTTTTTTTCGCTTTATACTATCCTTTTTTATGGGTGTTTATGGTATCTTCATTGGTGTTTGTTTTCAACGCGTGGTTTTATTTTTGTTTTCAGCCTTCAAGATCCGGAATACTTCGGGAAGATCTCGGACTACATGTTGTGTGCCGGACAGACCGGACGTGATAGCTGTCAAGGCGATTCCGGCGGGCCTCTGTTGTGCAGTACGGACAAAAACTGGTTTCTAGCAGGTGTAGTGAGCTTCGGTAGTGGATGCGGTGGTGGACCCACGCGACCCGGTGTGTACTCCAGAATATCGAAATTTTCTAAATGGATCGAGGGCGTCCTGCTGAATTCCAGTCGTGGCCCTTTGCCGGCCAATTCTGTATTAAAGCCCTTCAACTGCTTCGGTTACCGCTGTGCCGATGGAAAGTGTCTACAAAATATCCAAGTCTGCGACGGGATTGTTAATTGCGTAGACGGCATGGATGAGGTCAACTGCGAAGCGCGTAATGATACTGGAAAGAGTTCGGTTGGTGCAACCGTGGATAAAAAAGGCTCAAGTCAACATCTTGATTTATCCAGTAAGCACACGACCGGCAATTAAAGATTTTCCGTTTAGTTGCATTGGCGCTGGGCATAATTTTAATAATTTTAATGAAATTCAGTTTAACAACTGATGAAATCTTTTTCAGTGATGTGCTACGAATGGAATTATAGCTGCGACAATGGAAGGTGTATAGACATTCACCTGCGTTGTGATGGTCGGGATGATTGTGGAGATTTGTCTGATGAAAGAAACTGCCAGAGCGTTCTGTCAACGAAGACACCGGCCGGGGCACCGACAAATGTACCAGAGATGCCATCTATGGAACCGCCCGAACCGATGCCGAGAGGAATTTGTCCGGCTGGGTTTTTCCAGTGCAGTGATGGGGACTGCATTTCCATTAAGCAGCACTGCGATAACCGACCACATTGTTCGGATGGAAGCGATGAGTTCGGCTGTCCGACGGATAAATGTGGCAAGGATCTGATCGAATGCACTAATGGACAATGTATCCCGTTGAACGGGTGGTGCAACGGGTACGTTAAAGCACTGCTATAGACTATAGAGCTCAGACTTTCATATAGTAACCGAGATCGGAAACTTTGTAAGTAATGTTATACATTTATATTCGGGAAAGGTTTTACATTTCGAAGCGGTTAATACTTTTCATTGATTTCTTATTTTAATGCAGTGGACATTATATAAAAAATAGTGGTTAACGCGAGCTGACCTTTTGCAGTTACAATGATTGCGGAGACTGGTCGGATGAACCCTCGAATTGTACATGCCAGCCTCGACAGTTCCGTTGTACCAATGGACGTTGCATTGACCAACGCTTCCGTTGCGATGGAAGCCCGTTGTGTACCGATGGTAGCGATGAATTCGATTGCCCATGCCGGGATCTTATCCGACACACGGATCCATATAAACTTTGCGACGGCTACCCCGATTGTTTGGATGGATCGGACGAGAAGGATTGTGTGAAATGTGGTCTGGACGAATTCCATTGTCCCGGTGGAAGCCAGTGTATTAAAAAGAGTCGGATTTGTAATGATATCGAGGACTGTCCAGGCAAAGAGGACGAAAGCAACTGCATGATGTTGACCGAAAACCGGACGCTGGATAATGTGGAGCTTGATGTTACGGCCCAAATCCGGCTATCTGTTTTTGAATATCAACGGTAGCTGGCTTCCCACCTGTGCCGATGGGTGGGATGGATTTAGCGATGTCTTGTTACCGGTTGTTTGTACATTACTTGGCCAAAGGTGGGTACATTTTGAATTCCGTTAATAGCAAGAAATGAGATGACCTTTTCGAAAATGTGCGCTGTTTCTTTGCAGTATGACTGGTGCGCAAGTTGCTTTTGAACCAGCTGGAGGATACCGTAATTTTGCTCTGGTAAAAGGAGCTTCCTGCTCCGAGCGTAAGTGCTTGATTTTTGAGTGTATATGCTTTAAGAAATGCTTAATTGCATTCCGCTTTTTAGAGATCGATGCACACAAAACATGATTGTGCGAGTGACCTGTGGCGGCACTAGTAAGTGGAAATTCCTACGGTTTGTTTTTCTTCTGCTGCCACTGTCGTTTTTTTGCAGCTTGTGGACTCATCCAGGGAGCCATTGCGCCCATTACACGCTCGCTGGCTATGGGTCGCGAAACGCTGAAGGAAATTCTCAGCGAGAGATATGGTCGAGTAGGATTACGTATTCTTCGGGGCGAGGCCGCTTCACCGCAAGGCACGCCTTGGCATGTGGCCATTTACAAGAATGGAGAATTCGTCTGCAGTGGGTCGTTGGTTAGTGAAAGCTGGATTGTGACTGCGGCACACTGTCTAGAAGGGTAAAATACTTTAACTAATGCATTTCTATTCCCATAAAACTGCAGTGATCAAATTGGTTGTATATTACAGGATGCACCAGTTTTACTGGACAGCGAGAATGGGCACATGGCGGCTTAATTCACACAGCCCGTATGAGCAAATCCGACGTGTCCGTGTTATACTAAAGCAAAACCACAAAGGCTTCCTGACATCGGATGGCCGAATAATGGGCTACAAGAACGACATCGCCCTGCTCAAACTGGATAGTCCCGTGTTGCTATCGGACTGGATTCGCCCGATCTGTCTACCGGGCGTGGATGCCAAGACGGAAAGTCGCATGGTCATGGACGTGAATGAGAACATCGTCACGCAAGAGCCTCCGGGAAGGCACCCGTTGCCGTATTACTGGGTGGGGCCGTACCGTAGAGGGACCGGTTGCCAAGACTCTCCAAGAGACGCACTTCACCGTCATCGACAATGAAATCTGCAACCGATCCTACGACGGACAAGTACCGGACCAGATGTTATGCGCGAAGAGTGTCGCAGGAAATTCCAGCTTCTGTCAGGTAAATTTTCGCACTTATTTTGAATATCAGTCGGCAGTTAAAATTATGGTAATCTGTTTTTTATTATAGAAAGATGCCGGTGGCGGGTTGGCTTGTGCCGAACATACCGACCAGTCGATCCTGATGGGCGTTGCAAGTTACAGTCCATGCAGGAGTGATTCAGCACTACCGGGAGTTTTTACTAATATTTACGCCTTTTTACCATGGATCAAAGCAGTGTTGGATAGCGGAACCGAACCTTCTGTGCCGGAATTCGCTGCTTGCTCCGGTTTCCGGTGCCAGATTGGTACATGTTTGCCTATTGCGATGCGTTGCGATGGTCAGCAGCAGTGCCCGACTGGTGACGATGAAATGAATTGTGAACCTTTCTACCCAGGTAAGCATTTCACTGTTTCCCCTTTATCTGGTGGTTTAACAGTTTGGTTAATTTTGTTGTTTTATTGCGTACGGTTTCATGCTCTCGGATTTTTAATTGGTGATTTTTTTAGCTCTCTGCCGTGATCGCGATTTCTTATGCGCAAATAACCGCTGCATACCGGGTCAGTTATACTGCGATGGACACGATGATTGTGGAGATCGTTCCGATGAAGGAAACAACTGTACTGCCTCCTGCGGCAATGGAGAATTCCGCTGCATAATTAACGGCAAATGCATCCCGAATACCTGGCGATGCGATTCGTACGCTGATTGTCCAGGCGGCACCGACGAGGTCAACTGCACCAGAGACTGTACGCGCGGATACTACAGCTGCCCAGATCAACGGTGTATTCCACCATCGTTTGTTTGCGATGGCATTCGCGACTGCGTTAATGGAACGGATGAAACCAACTGCGGATGTCCAGCCGGCAACTTTAAATGTCGAAATGGTGATTGTAAACCACTCGCGCTGTTCTGCGACGGGAAGGCCGATTGTCAAGATGAAAATGATGAAGAATTTTGCAATCTGACGAGCTGTCTGGTTACGCAGTACCAGTGCCGTTCTGGAGAATGTATCAGTCAGAGATGGTTATGCGATGGAGATAAAGATTGTCAAGATGGCAGTGATGAAATCGATTGTGCATCCAATCCGGCCAAGGTTGTTTGTCCGCACGGATACACGGCGTGTCCAACGGGAGGCTGTATTCGATCGTCATGGATCTGCGACGGATCTCCTGATTGTCCTAACGGTATGAAGCCGGGGCAGCAGTACAATACACAAAAATTAAATTAGCAATTAACAAAAGTTCAAAACAGCTTTAAAACAGAATCAAATTCTGAAGAGTTACCGGGGGCAATCATTTTGAAACGTTATTGAAAAGTGAAGTGACCTTATGTTATGTAAATCGGATTCTACAGGAAGAAACGCACATTTTTTATTGATCAAAATCTAAAATGTTGTTGTTTCTGTAGGCGAAGATGAGGACATGTGCCACACCAGTACAACACGCCGTTCCACACCGCCGCGTCGCACAACACGCATCATACCGACCACGTCACCAACAACTTCCACTACGAAAACCACCCCTGTGACAACTATAACAACGTCCACAACTACCACTACCACCGCTACTACAACCACGACTGCCACTACGCCAACGACGACCAAAACAACAACCACCCCGACAACTACTACTACTACCACCACCACGACCACTACGGCACCAACAACGACTACATCCACCACAACAACGCCAACCACAACCACGACGATTCCCGAAACCATCCCTACCGAATCCACCACTTTTCGCAACCCATCGAACCGGACGTTGTTACCAGTTCCACCGGCAAACCGACCACCGCTCGGTCCACGCCACGGTCTCCGATGCGCCGACCGACTACCACAACAGTAAAGAGAGTAATATCCAGCACAACAACGGAAGCGCCGGAACCGTTTACGCTGGCCACGGAAGATGCGGATAATACTGTCGCGCCGGATGGTAAAGCGACGCTGTGCGGCAGTTCCGGACGGTATCAGTGTCCTGGAACGGGTTTCTGTCTGAAACAACAGCGTGTGTGTGATGGATACCCGGATTGTCCCCAGGCGGAAGATGAAAGCCAGTGCAGCCAGTGTAAAAATAAAGCACTGTGCTATCTGTCCAAGACTTGCATTGCCAAGGAGCACTGGTGCGATGGAAACAGGGACTGTCCAAGCGGAGAGGATGAACTGCACTGTGTCACTTTATCAAACAATGGTACTTTTATTGATCTTATATTGATGATTGAATTTTTTTAGGGTTATCTGTAATTTGTAATTTATTTGTGACCTTTAGATACCACACGACAATTAATTTTTTTAGTGGTATCTGTAATTCATTTGTCACCTTTAGCTACCATACGACAATCAATTTGGCAATTCTTGCAGGTACGGTTGAGCGCAATGGACTGGCCCTGCCAATCACCGGACATTCCGGCTACGTCATGGTGCAGCACGCCGGTGACTGGTATCCTCTTTGTGCGACGACATGGACACCGGGTCTGACGCAGGCTATCTGCAAATCCTTATCCTTCACCGACGCAAAATACACCACCTTGGTCAATCATTCCAGTCTGCCGCAAGGCATCAACCCGGAATCCGTGTCGTTCTTCTCACCGGAAGATGTCCGCCCGACAGTTGAGTCCATCACGGAATCACGGCCGCAGTCACGGACCGATACCGATGTGGTTGGTTGCCAGTTTGTTTACGTGGGTTGTTCCACCTTCTCGTGCCGGGATACCGGAACGATGATGGGAGCACTGCAGCGCCGCAATGAAGAACGACGCCGAGCGCGCACGGAAGCCGCACCGTTCGCGTATCCGTTTTACGCGAATATCTACGCCAACGGCGAATATGCATGCGGGGCATTTATACTGAACGATCGCTGGGTGTTGGCCCCGAAAAAGTGCGCTCAGAATGCGGAGGACAGTGTGGAATACTCCGTGCGCTTCGGTGTAACGCGCTTGCAGTCTTTGTCGCCGTTTGAACAGACATCGCGGGTAACGGCCATTGCCGAACATCCATCGCAACCCATTGCCATTCTCAGCGTTGCCGCGCCGCTGCGATTCACTCGCTTCACCAAGCCGGTGTGCTTCCCCGATGCCAATCATCTGCACTCTTTACAGCTGGACTCTTGCAAAATGATCGGCTACAATACCGATATAACCGATGTCCTGATGGAGGCCTCGGTCAGTGTGGTGTCGGAACGGCACTGCGGAAAGATCCCGGAAAACCAGACGTGCGTTGCCTCGCCGTCCGGAATATGTCCGAATCTGGGATCGTGGTTGCTGGCATGTAAAGCCGAATCCGGATGGATACCGGTGGGATTGCCGATGTATAATGCTATCGGGTGCCGGAGCCCTGCCCCGACGGTCATGTTTGTGCATAATGTCAGCCATCTGGGTGAATGGATCCTGGAGCAGATGGAGCGGCCTATTGAACGGAGCTTGCCGGTGTGCAATGGTTTCAAATGTAAACTGGGCAACTGTGTACCACCCAAATCGGTGTGTGACGGCATTCCGGATTGTCACGACGGCATGGACGAAGTGGGATGCAAACAGAAGCCAGATCCGGTTGATGCGTGCGCGGAAGGTGATCCGGGATGTGATTTGAACACGAAATGCAGTCTTTTGGATCCGACTTGTGTCTGCCACGAGGGTAAATAAAAATGCCACTTTTTTTCAATAAAATAATTGCATACAAAAAGTTGTTGTTGGTTGTAACAGTTATTTGTGAAAAACATTATAAACGTTTTAATTAATTTATATTGAATTTATGAAAGATCAAGGGAAATGTCTAAAACGGTATTGTTGCAGATAATCTTCGCTGCGACGGTTTTTGTTTATCGGGTCAGTTGACCTATTGTAACGGACGGCCGGACTGTCAGGATGGTCTCGATGAACCGGCAAACTGCACTTGTCTCCCGAGTCAGTACTTCTGCGCTGCGGATCGTCGCTGCATCTCTAAACTGTTTGTTTGCGATGGAAAAACCGATTGTACAGACGGCGCAGATGAAGCCGAATGTGGCCGGTTAGTTCACACCGAACGCACGCTGGATCTGGAGTGCTCGGTGACTCGTCTGGAGTTCAGTTGCCCCGCGGCGAATTCAACGGGATCAGCACCATGTCTGAATATCGTCGAGTGGTGTGATGGCAGTAAAAAATGTCCCAACGGGACGGATGAACCTTTTGGGTGCAAGACCATGTGTCCCAAAGGTTATTTCCACTGCAAAGCCCATGCTCCTCTGAAGAACTGTGTACCGGAATCCGCTTGGTGCGATGGCAAAGACGATTGTGCGGATGGGCAAGACGAGTTGCCGGAATGTCAGTGTAAAGATTCACAGTTTCAGGTATGAGATTTTGAATGCTTGCTCCTGTTTCTTTATTGTAAAATAAACGAAAAAGTTTTCAACGAAATCATATTGTCAGTGAATTTAGTTTGCAACCATTGTTAAGAGGCGGACGGTCCAGAAATTGTCAAAACGTCTGACGTTAATTATAGTGTAAGAAGGACGGAAAGTGTATCTTGAAGAAAATGGTATGCGATACCCAAGTCGATTGCTCGGATGGATCCGATGAACGTGAATGCTCCTGCACGAAAACACTGAACGCGACGATGCCCAGCGCACTGTGCGATGGATATGCCGATTGTCCGTCGGGTGAGGATGAGCTGTACTGCCTCGCTTGCCCAGAGAACGGCCAATTTCTCTGCAAAGAATCCCGGCAGTGCCTGGACAAATCGAAGTCTGCAACGGAGTGCCGGACTGTACACTAGGCGAGGACGAGCGCAACTGTCTAGCGTTGGCTCCTTCCGGCGCTGTCCCATATGATCCCTTCAACGCCGTTCCGCTTAACAACTTCGGCTTCCTCATGGTGAACATGCGCGGCACCTGGAACAAGGTGTGTATGGACAATTTTGACCGGAGCGCCGCTAACCTGGCGTGTCAGAAGCTAAATTTTGCTACATCAGCGATGACCCTCCCGAAGACGATGCACAGGGATGATAACGTAGCTTTGCACGCGGTCGAGAAGTCTAAGATCCGGTTTAAGTATGCCGAGACATGCCGGGATAAATCCGTGGTGTATCTTTCCTGTGAGCAGATGGGATGTAAGTTCACACAGAAATCGAATGGAACGAAATCAGAAGGCATTCCCTGGCATGCGACCGTTTACACCAACGATGAAGCCGCGTGTGATGGGGTGTTGGTCCATGAGAACTGGGTAGCCACCACCGGAAGCTGCATCGCTTCCTTCACCGATCCCTCATCAGAACGACACCGAACGTCCCGGTGTGGCCATTCGTTTTGGTGCCATCCGTATGAAGAGCAATTCCGCGGCGGAACAGACTCGTTTTCTCTCGGCCTGGATCCGGCATCCCAAGTATGTCTTCCAGCCGGGCGTGCCAGGCCGGTTTACGGTGAAGAACGATATCGCGCTGTTGCGACTGTCCAGTCCGGTGAAGATTACCAATTACGTCTATCCCTTATGTATCGGAGATTCATCAACCGCCGACGACCAGGCTTGCTATGCCGTGAGTTTCCGTAACCAGGAATTATCCGCCGAAATGGTGCCGATATATAACTCTAGCGTGTGCAACCACCGTTTGCCAGTGTTTGAGCACGCCATCAGTTCGGATCAGATCTGCTCGTCGCCGGGCGCTTGTTTCGGATTGAGCGGGAGTCACATCGCCTGTAGGGATGCGCAGTCCGCATGGACGCTTAAAGGTTTGATGAGCTATCGGATGGCGTGCAATTCACCGTACGGATACCCAATTTACACTTCTATGGCCAGCTATGCGCGCTGGATTGAGACGGTCGTGACGAACAGGTCATCACCCAGAGAATGGATAAATCCACCGTGTTCCGGATTCCCTTGTCATCTGGGAAAATGTATTCCATCGGAACTTGTTAACGACGGCAATTGGGATTGTCTGACCGGGGACGATGAACGAACGCAGGATTTTGAGGAGGATTTTGCCAAAGGAGCCGGTGAAGGTTGTCCAGGTACAATATTCTTCCAGTTTTTGGTGACAATCATAATAATTTGTTGGTAAGCAAGTAATTACCTCCGCCGGTAACTTTGTGTTTCTTGATTCGCTCATCCCGGAATCTCGTTTGGCATAGCCGAGTTTTAATCCAAACTTGCTTTTCTATGAATAGGAGAAGAATTCCGTTGTGGCTCCGACCAGTGCATCGCCCAGTCTCGCCGCTGCGATGGTGTAGTGGACTGTGCTGATTTTATGGATGAAATCAATTGCAAAAAATGTGGAGAACACGAATATCTTTGCCCGCGATCGAAAACATGCATTCTGCAGACAGCTGTCTGTGACGGACTGCAGCACTGCGAGCAAGGCGAAGACGAGACCAGTTGTGTGGTTTTGGCCAAATCATTTGATGTCCGACCGGACAGTATGGGTTATCTGGAAAGTGCCTCTGAAGGTTACCTCATGATCAAACGCAAAAGCGAATTCCAGCCCGTGTGCACTAATATATGGACACCATCGCTCGCCAGTGCAGTTTGCCGGCATTTGAATTACGAGTAAGGCTAGCCTTCAAAAACTAAATGGTTTTCTAGACACTTGTGAGTCTATGACTTTCCATGTAATATTTGCCTTATTTTTGTTTTGCAGTACCGTTAGACGAGTGAATACGTCGGAAATCCATGAGTTCCCGATTCCCTTGCCAATGACCTGGAACGCTGTAGTACGCACACTGCAGGCCATGGAATCCGTGCAGGCAAATATGCGCGCAGCATCCGAATGCAGCAATATTTTTATGAGCTGCGACCAACCAAGTAAGTCCCAGGCCAGTTTTGTTGCAAGGTACTTCAAGTTTTCCAGCAACGGACAAATAAAAATTGTTTTAAAACATAATGTTTTTTGTACACCGTACAAAAAATCCGTCTTTAATTTTGTCACTAATTTGGCAGGATGCGGCGTGATTTCCACATCGTTTTCCGAGCCTCTTCAGCCTCCACTAAGCCGCTCTGTGGAGAAGATGGAATCGTTTTGGCCGTGGGCGGCATCGCTTTATGAAAATGGGCGGTACAAATGCTCAGCCGTACTTGTCGAACCTAGCCTGCTGGTATCCAGTTCCGCTTGCGCTAAAGGGTGGGAAAAGCTTTTTCGGAATTTTGTTGCATGTTTTAACAGTTGATATATTTGCAGAAATGAAGAAATGATAGCCCGGCTTGGTGCTTTCCGTTTGGATTCCCGTTCTCCATATGAACAACACATTCCCGTTGCCGAGATGATCCTCCATCCGGAATTAGGCACCGGTCTCAGTTTGTTCCGTCTACAATCGTCCGTGCAGCTCAGCGCAACAGTTCGTCCTACCTGTCTAGCCGGCAACGAAGACCATTTCAGCGCATCACCACAGCCATGCCGCATTATTGGTTGGTCGCTAAATCGCGGAGCGGACGGTAAGGCAATTTAATTACCATTTTCTTGTAACCAAGAAGTCTTAGTCAAGAATGGAAAAGTTTAGCATACGCAGGTGATCACATTTTTTTGCGCTGATTTAACAGATTCGCTTATGGAGATCTACGCCCAACCACAAGAACGAGCTCTATGTCGCAGTAATACTCAGAGACTGGGCGTGTCAGGACGATTTCCCGTTATTTGTGCGGAATTAATGGACACCCGAGTGGATGTGTGCGAAGTACGATTTTTGTTTAATTTTTTTCAGTGTATAATGTCTGCTTATTTTTAAAGTGTATTTTTAACATTGTGTTTTTCTTGTAGAATTTTACCAGTTACGCGCTGTTTTGTCCTCGTGTCAATAACCGGTGGATCCTGAGAGGAATCGGTGCCAGCCTGATAAACTGTTCAATGTTCCCCGTTACTGCTACTTTCGTTGACGTCAGTGATTTGTCAGAAAAGCTGGAGGTTATATCCAGTAAGTTCAGATTGTTTCCTTCAGCTCCGGAACGCTGAAAAATTGGTCTATGGTGAATTAAAATTTATCTGTTGCAGGTAGTAACAATACAAGAGCAGAAGCTTTAAAGGTTCCCACCGTGAACTGCGATTTCGAAGACGATTTCATATGCGGCTACGATTCTGACTCGCCAGACAATATCCAGTGGAAACAAGCTAAAGCCAAATATAAAGTGAACCGAAGCAATGCATCTGTTGCCGATTATGGTATGTTAATTCATCTGACAAAATTTCCTCCATTTTTATGCCTGCTTATCAGAAATTTAAAAACGAAGTTACATTGATAAGAACGCTTTCGTCAAAAAGTGGTGTTCCGATATACTTCTGCTATTTATTAATTAATTTAACTGCTTATTAATTTTAATCAATTATTTGTCAACCTTTAAAAAAATTCCTGGATTTTTTTGAAGGTTTGAGCATGAAACTGGAGCTGAGCGGACGTTTGCGCAATGTATCCAGTCTGCACGTGCGCGGCAATCTGGTCAGTCCATTAGTGCCGAAAATGGCCAACACAACCCGCTGTTTACGGTTTGATTACAACGCTGGACCCCGCGGTAAACTTTTCCTGTACCGACGCCTGGACAACGGTGGGGTGTACCGTATCTGGCAGTCATCCTACTCGCGCTTAGACCATGCAGCATGGATTGAAGGGGACATCGACATTCTGAATGGCGGTTATCAGTTGATCTTCGAGGGCGTCCTCTTAGTCGCCCGACCGGAATACCGTATATCGGTGTCGGCGGAAATATGGCTGGATAACGTCAGACTGCTGCCTGGATCTTGCTCAAACTTGCAAACGTAACGCGCGCTCGGGATAGTTGTAGCTTTTTTTGTAGCACACAAAATGGCAGCTTACGAGATTTTCTGACAAAGTTGTCGTTTATGGCGGGTATGGTTGAAGGACACGGACGGGTATATGGACGGGCTGCCAGCGAGCTGGAACAATTTCTGTTGTCTTTATACCGTATCTAATTGTTTTTGTTCATATTTCTGTGCAGTTTTTGTTGCTACTGTTTTGTATATTATCATTTTTATTGAAATAAAATATTGACCAGTGTTATTATGAGGCGTAGTGCGATGTTGCTCATATCATTCTTAATCAGCACAGAACGACACATATTTTAATTAAAGCAGCATTTTTACAAAATTTTGGCTATTTTTATTGTACAAATTTCACCTACGAGCCGTATTGAATATAACAAAGAACACGAGTACTATCCAAAATTTAGATCCTTCAGCCCGGTGTTGTCCATTTGTAGCCGCGTTGGATGGATACCTCGTTGTAGGATTAACACAGAAATTTTCGTGGAACAGAACTTCAAGTAACTGAACACAGTAACTAAGCACTCTGCTGTAATTTGAAAAAAATATCTATTTTTTCTCTGCGTCCGTGCATTCGACGTCTTGGGAAGCAGGAGTTGCGCACGTGCACGGATAGGACGGGCATCCCTTGGAGCTGAACTGGAAAACCTTGCAGGGAGTTACCAGATTGCAGTATACTGTAGGCCGTTTGCAATTGCTTTTGGGGTGTCCGGTGAGGATTACTGAAAATGTAAAATTGCAATATGCATGCTGCAGCGGGAATGTCCGGTGGCAGGTTTGATTAACGTAGTACAGGAATGCAGTGAAGTCAAAAACACTGTACAGATATGTGTTCTACCGTCATACATAATACTGTATATCGTATATTAAATGCCGAATATGCCATGCAGTTTTTTGCTTGTGTGTACGCACTGAATATTAAGCCGTTTCTGACCTGCAACTCCCGTTGTTACGTTTGCTCCCGGTGCATGAAACTGTATCTGCCTTCCTTGGTTATCCGGTTGTGCCATTGACAAGCCATCGATTATATTACCCGGTAATATTGTCGTCGAGTTATCAACCTTGCAGACGAATCCGAAAATTGGATATTTAACTATAGCATCTGCCGCCCACGAAATACCGGGACCAGTGGCGTTGCTATAAATGGTCATGGTTACAGTCATTCTGTACGTCACGTACATCACTTTAAATTTTTGTTGAAATTTTTACAATATATATCTGTATATGAATTGAGCAATATTGCTTAACATACTCGAACAAAGTCTGTCCGGTAGAATCGTCAACTTTTCTTAAGCGGAAGAGCTCGACATTGTCCGGTCGTGATCCGTTGTATACAGGAAGGTTCTCTCTCAGCTAGAAAAACATTAATTTTTTACGAAAATTTATTTTTTTACTGTACCTTCAGAAACACAACTGGCTAAGTTTTAGTACGATTTCCTTCACTGCCGTTACAATACACTTGAATACAGTACCACGCGACAAGTTTCCAGAGGTAAAACGTTTTCCCACAATAAGATATTGTTATAACAAGTAAGTCACAACACTTATATACTAGATGCGTTTTAATAATACAGGTTTGAAGTTGCGGGTGTGTAAAAAACATTTGTAAATTCATATTTTTATTTTAATGCTTACTAGTGCGCTGTATGATTCGTTGAGGCCTGTGTTAGGTGAATCGCCGGGAAGGTGTGCGAAACGCGACGTAGAATTCGTGTGCATAGCATTTCCACTCGTCATCTCCCGCTGGACAATCAAAATTCCCATCACACCAAACGCTTTTGGGCATACAGGTGTACCCGTCTTGGCACGGCAGATCGTCACCGGTACACTGCGTCCCGAAATAAATGCCCAGAATAATTGCAGCAATTATTCCCACGGCAATAATGAAACCAATACCAATGTAACCGGCTTCCTTGGCATTGCACACACGGTTGGAAAATTTATGATAGTCCACTCCCTGAAAAACAGAATCATTTCATGTTTTTCTATCAAAACTATTCCCGGAAATAAAAGTAATAACAGATTCACAACTTTCTCACCGACATTGTGGGAAATCAGTACAAGTGACTGCGTAAAGAATCAAGCTAAGTACAGCTTCCTTGTTTAATTTGTACAAGAAACGTTTGAGAAACCACTTGAATTACTGATTTGAATTCCACTTCATGTGTCAACAGTGTTGATGGGGCGCCGTATATACAACTGGCAATAAAGTAACTGTTGCGCACATGGATTCAGTAAATATGGTTCCTCAAATTATGCGTCAGTTGCTGAAGCAAACCGTTACACTCTCTGTCTGTCACGCGCAATAAAACTAGTCGTATAAGGCTGTACCTGATTTTACTATCAAGGATTTTAAAATGGGCGATAGTGTCATAGCGATTTGTCCCATTGTTATCGGTGCGCTACATTGTGACGTGACGTTTCTCTCGATAATGTAATAATCCGTACCAAAGATAACACCTGCTCAATTCAACAAATCAGAAGCACACATTACAGATTACAACCTGAAACAATACTGTTCTGTAATACATGTTCTCAGTTTAAAACTTAAAACTTTTACCTAGAATTCAACTGCAAAGATTGCGTCGAAAATGTAGTGCTTATGCTGATGTATTATACAAGCACTAGTCATTATACCAGTGGTCTTTAAGTACCATTTACAATATCAGCTATGAGTTCTGCAGTTAATGCAGCCAGCTTACGCTCGAACAGTGAGAAATGTTTTACCTTTAAAAAAATTAACGGTAAAAATGTAACTAAATACAAAATAGGTTTGTCGTACTTCAAAGTTGCGAGCTTGCGAATAAACCCAGGTAGTGGACTATACTGGTGTTGTACAACATGAGATTTTATTATATCTCGGTATATTCATACCGGTATGGGGTATCAGTATGAAAGGAGTATGGAATTATACATAACCGTGTAATTCCACACTCCACAGTCGACCGATATCAAATGTTGATTTGAAAAAATTGCAGAGTATCAAAACTAAGTAATATACCGACAATAAAAGATCATGTATTTTTGTTGCTTTAATTTGGTACTGGGACTGCTAGTCTATATTCATGTAACTATATCGTATTGCGTGCGGCAATTTAAATTTTTTTAAAAATCTCCAATCGCTCGTACGTCTCATTTTCGAAAAAAAACTAATTGCGATTTTTACCTCTCAGTGTTGCCTGAAATGTGTCCGCAAGTTCTGTGGATCTTAAACTACACTTTCATATGATGGCGTTCCAAAATTTAAACCAAAAACACCGGACTTGCTGGGAAATTTTAGGCACCGCCGGGATGTAAAAATCATGAATGATTTTTCTCGAAAACAAACCGGGTCACCATTTTGCTTGCAGCAAATGTTATACGTTCTGGATGTGCTTTGTTAGGACATAGAAAAAATGTCAATAATTAATCCGGCTGAATCTGCAATGTGCAATTTAGCGGTATTGCTGCAACCGTCATAGACGATTAGGAACAGCAATCATGGAACCGGGTTCCACGGTACACGCCCCAGCTGGCATACGCGGGCAATGTCAGAGTTAATTAACAGTCTCTAAACATTCTCAAAAGTTGTTCGAACATATTGAGTGCATTACAATTGGCAGTATTATTCATCAACATCCGCTGCAAGGCCGCCGGTCGGCACTGCGCAGCCGGTGATTGTGCATATACGCCGTACATATTTAGCCCAGACTACATGACAATTTACTTTCTTCCTTTCAGCATATAGCCAAATTAAAATGTGATTGGATTCACATGTCGGTTCTTGGGCCGGATTCGTCCTGTATATGTGTACGTGTGTGGTGGCGGGAGATACCAGTAATAAAAGTGTAGTGTAGTGCCTGCGCACTCTCTGTCTCTCATACATGTTTCTTCTTCCACACGCCGGGTCATTAGGCCTTCGCCAAGGATGGCAAAAAGTCATTCCCAGTGGTTGTGTTAAAAAGGAAAGTCACTAACCGTTATCCAATAGTTTAATTTGGTGTAAATGAGTCCTTCTTGACTATCTGCCCCACAACACACACGGCTCCTGTAAACACTGCACACACGCAGAGATATATTCTCTTTGTGTGTATATATAAAACGCGCCTACCGCACAATCGATTGCCAATAATCCAGCACCCGCGTAAAACGTGAACATTGTGGAAATGAGCGTAAAGGGCTGCCGTTCGCAAGATATCAGCGCACGATACATCATATCCCTGTCAGACAATCGCCATGGACAACGCGTCAGCCAATGTCTCCAGCAGTACAACGGTTGACCTTTACCGGGCGATTCCGGTGTCGATCCTCTTAGCCGTCATCGATCTCATCGTCATCTTCGGCAACATTTTGGTAATTTTGGCGGTACTGACCACCCGCACACTGCGGCAGATAACGTGTAATTATTATATTGTGTCCCTGGCTGTGTCGGATTTACTCTTGGGCATCTGTGTACTGCCATTCAGCTCGGTATACGAGATTCTAAATTACTGGATTTTTCCGTCGTTCTTTTGTGTCATCTGGTTAACCGCGGATGTTCTTAGTTGTACGGCTAGTATACTGAATTTATTATGCATCTCCGTCGACCGGTATCTGGCCATTTCCAGGCCGCTCCACTATCACAATTACAGCTCCACCAAATTTGTCTTGATTATGATTGGTGCGGCGTGGGTGTTAGCCATTTTCGTCTCCGTGGCACCGGTGTTTGGATTCGAGAGCGGTGCCGGTGATGGTGCGGGACGGACGGACGAATGCAAAGTGGCGGCGAGCGGCTTGTTCTGGGCTTTGTACAGGTGTGTGTATATGTTATTTTGCGTAAAAGCGTTCTGCGCTAAATGGAGCAATTAATGGAAAAGTGTTGTTGTTGCGACCCATTACGGGTATTTGCGTGAGTATTGCCATGCGGAGTTTTCCGCTTCACTTTGGATATTCACGCATCTTCTGCATGGGAATGCAGTGTTTAGTACGGTCAATGCTTATACTGCACAAAAGTTACAATACAGTCAGCTCGCTGTTGGAAAACAGTTTCGATGTTTGTTAGAATATCGATAACCGTGTATATTTTAAGCGTGCAAGCAGTCTTACTCATACCACCATGAATTCATTCGACATTGGGAATTTTCGTTATTCCTACACCGACAAGTTTCAGTTACTGCTTGCGTTTCTTTGACCGCATCATCTACTTAAAACATTACCTAAAAGCTCTAAATATGACACATTTTACACAAATTAGCGTATTACTATTCGAATTTTTATGTTTTCCGGATTTACTCAGTATTTTAGACGACAGCTGTAATTGTAGTTTGAAAAATTGGGGCAATTACCATACATGATACAACATCTAGGTAAGAAAAATTTATGAAGTTTCACCGAAATTTTTTATTAAGAGCTTAAATGGATTTTTGAGATTTGCAAACGTATTACAAACGTTTTACATCAATATAATAGTAAATTAAAAATTATCTCTTTTTCGCACAGGAGAAGAGAATCTTTTTAAAGCTTGCAGAACTTATGGCATCATTATTAAATGTATTCTTTTCTTGATTAATTGCTCATGACACCCTTTTCAAAATTTGACAAGTTCTGGTTAGTCGACAAACGCTTTCAGTACATAAACGCAACGACAGTACGCCATTATAATAATTATATCTTATTTTTACATGACTTAAATTTTGCGCGCAGAGATGCGATGTATATAACAAAGTCCCAAAAGTGCAAGGTTGGCTCAGTTATTATTTCGTGAAAGCCTCTCAGCGAAAGGGTTATTGATTTCATAAATCCTTTAACACTAAGTAAACGTGCAACACTGAACTGCCAGTGTAATGCTGTTATTGTATTGCGTTGATTGCAGTTCCGTTGGCTCATTTTTCCTTCCATTATTTATCATGCTATTCCTCTATTATCGCATTTATTTGGTGGCGGCCAAACATAGTAAGTTTATGCGGGAAGAAAGGGAGCGTTTTGCTTCGTATGCACTGCCGCGGGATGAAGTGCCGGCGCCGACAACCGCTGTCGCCGCGGATACCGGTCGCAACATGTCGATAGCGGACAGTGAATCAATTGCGGCGAAACCCGATCATCCGCGGATATCACGGGTGAGCAAAGTCACCATTCAGTCGGCGGAAACACCACAGGGCGACTATCAGATCCTGCCCAAAGACTCGGTCCAACTCCAGCCGGGCACAATGAAAAGGTCAACCCTTATGAAACGACTGCGCCGGATGTCGAAGGATCAAAAGGCGGCCAAAACGCTTTTCATTGTCATGGCTTGTTTTATCGGCTGTTGGCTGCCGTTCTTCACCGTCTACCTAATCGATGGGGTGTGTAAACAGTGGTGCGCCATTCCGTCATGGATATTTAAAGTGAATTTCTGGTTGGGTTACTGCAACTCCATGTTGGTAAGTTGCACGATGTACACTGACGCGCGGGTGAGGAATTGCAAGTTGGCTAGATTTTGGCTACACTTGTATTACGCTGGCAAAATGGTAATCAGCGGTGCCGTTGTGTCTACAGGAAATGTCGAGATTGTTAATCACTTGTGGCACTTGTGCCTGTTCCCGCCAGTTGCGTATGCATGTACTCGTACCTTCATCGATTTTGGTTGGTTAATGAAATCGTAAAATGTTTGATGAGACGTGATGGGAAATTGTAATGCATTTAGTCAAATAAGTTTTTCTAACGTATACAGAGGCCCTTCTTGCAGATGCCGGTGCGCATCCGCCCATACAACCATGAAATTCTTGAATGAAAATGTTTGCATTGTATGTATTTTATTTTTCTGAAAGGTTAGACGCCGAATTTTTCTTGCAAATGAGGTCATTTTATCAGCCATTTAACATTTCAAAATTTTCATGGTAAAAATTTTTAAAAGAAATTAGTTTATACTAATATTCTCAGATCAGCTATAATTTGAGTAGGTTGCACTCACAATCAGTTACTTGAACTAAAAACTAGGCGTAATTAAACGGATGCTACGAGTTTAAACTACGGCTATTTTAAAACTCGTATCTTTCAACACTGGATTAAGAACTGTCAGATCTGTCACAGGCACATCACAGAAGCAAAACTTCTATCACACTTACTGTACTGTATCAAGCGTTAATAAACTTCGAAGTTAAAAGGAACCGTTTTACTTCAGAAAAAATAAATTAATGCTAAAATTATTTTACAAAATAAAGGAAACGATTAATTAAGGTGGAGCATGAAACTTGTTTTACGCTGGTGACTATATTTCGATTGTCCATAAACCATTTTTCCCCGTTACAGCTTTGTAAATATTTTGTATTTTGGTAGTGGAGAATGGTATCTGTAGACTGGATACAGCGAAACTGCAATGTAATAATAATTCTTTGTGTTACTGCCCGTATACAATGTGTATTATTTTCTCGCATTTAAATATGTATCTCCGAAAAACCCGAACAGTACTTATTTCCGCAGTACTTTGACTTCATTTACATACAGTTCTATAAAACTAAATATGTATCTGGTACTGTAACTTATCAGTGTTCGATAAATCATTTACAAACACCGAAAAGAAAGTTATAATTTTGAAGTGGATAACATATGACATATTTGAATTACGCCTGTGTGGACAAAGTGGCATTTTTCACAGAATCCTGTGATATACGCGGCAAGTTCGCACGAATTTCGGACAGCATTCCGTCGCATCCTGCACTGCGCACTGAACCCCATTAACACCGACCAATTTGCCGAAATGGACCATCATCGTGCCCAGAATAAGATGGCCAGTAGCTCCACGGGAAACGCATTATCAACCGGTCGACCAACTGGGAATGGCTTGTCAAAAACGGCTAATCGCTTAAGACATTGTGTAGCATCGCATTTTATTAGGAAGCGAACTAATAACAGTCATGAACCGGCAAAATCTGATCGATTTCCGGCTAATACCAATGTTGCCGGCGAGAATTATCCTCCTGTTGTCCAACAAGATACACGACTTTCCCCAATTACATCTCCGGGACAACAAGTCCGGAAAATTGCAAATTTAACTCTTGAGAAGCAGCCTCTTGAAATCTCATCAGATGCTAACGCGACCCTTTCCACGGCCGACCACAGATTAGGTAAAGTATTACAGTAGGAAGTGCACTGCTTGCAGTAAGGGATAATTAAGCCATATTTTAGATGTAGGTAAAACCATGATCTGACCGGCATCATCAAAATTTCATTTAGAAGAATCGCTTTATTATATATTGATCGCACAATATAAAAACTTTTTCAAGGCTATTTGCTGTAACAGAATAGTTAAAATATGATGTAAAATTTATGTAATTAAAATTTTTGAGGAACAATTTGAAGGACAGATCGAAAGCTATATCATGATCAAGTTACATGGTTAAGGTTAAAGCGCATTCCGCTTAATTTGTTTGATCTTGGACGTTTTGTAAAATTCTAATAACATTTGCAATATTTTCCGTAATATTTGCAATATATTTGAAATATTTTGCAACGTTTGCGGTATTGACATAATTATTGTTAAGCGAATAACTGCATGCTGAAGAAAATCTTGCCGTAAGTGAGAGATTCCCTTAACATCGTGCTCAAAACTGAAAACATTAATGGTGAAGGTTAATTACGTGTTTCTTGCGCCTTCTTGGGATTGAAATTCGCATAATTTCTCCGATGGTCCGGCAACTGCGGTTACATAATAATATTTATTTCCTGATGTAATGCTTTCAACAAGTCTATTCTCTTCACCAGGATCCAATCAAGTCAATAGCCCAGTAAAGTATCCTTACTCGAACACATGCGCCAGCGGAACATATGCGTCACCGGAAGTAGTACCTGTTGTTGTTAATACAAATACGCGTGCGCAAGTGCTGCTCACTCCTACATCGCCCAGCGGATCCCTTACGCCGGTCCTTACACCAGACAGCGCCTCTGCCGCCGCCGGAAGTCCCGGTTTGCCTGACCGGGAAAACTGGATAACCACTAAAAATAAAGCCAAACGCGTTGTTGCCATCCTGGTGAATAAATTCCCCCACTATAACAGTCCAGAAAAGAGTCCCATTACCAATGGCGTAATACAGCGCGTGGTAGAGGTGGCCGATGCGGGAATTTCCACCAACGAGCCCGAGGTCACCGACATCGGCGTACAGACCAGTGTATCGTTTGTGGATTTAGGACTTATTTAAACTCACAATTATTTGTTTTTTTGCTCAAACTTCTCATGATTCGAGACAAAGTATTACTCTGCAAGGTGCAAACCGAGACTAATAAGCAACTCGAAACGCCGGATTGTTAAATGCACATGAACGCAATGAATGGAAGCGGGCGTTTTTTAGTTAAAAAGTGCACTGCTTATTAATGGCCGTCTCGCACAGTATGCGAGGCGTTCTTAAATCTTACGGTGGTTCGCACTTCCAAAGAACGCGTTTCACGGTTGAAGACATTTTAATTTTCCTGTTCTCAGATCTATCTATATCTTTCCCAAGAAAACGCAAAAAGGTGAAAAACATAAAACTGATCATTCCCAGAAAAATGAGATCACAAGAAAATACAGTCACAAAAAAGACATCCATAAATGATAAAATCTCCACCTGGCGTCACCAAAAACTATATCCACCAGGAAAAATTTTTCCATAACCAAAACACAACCGAAAGTGCGTTCTGTGAGGTAATAAAAAAATAAGAAAAATAAACATCGAAACTGCTGTCAGAAAAAACCGACGATAAAAGCTATGCATACGTACACCGAAATCTAACACAGGTTCACACCGTACATTTTCCCAATCCAAAATTCAGCTGCGGGATGCCATGGCCATCTGCGCCCAGGCCCGTTCGGAAAAGGGATTTGGCACCCACTCTAAAGAGAAAAGTTAATGCGATTAATAATCCAAACGTTGCCATACATACCGGTTACTGGATGATGCAATGGTTACTTGATTTCTTTCGCGGTTTACTCTGCGCCATGGGCTGCACGACAACGTACTGCGGACGCGGCTCCTGATATGGCCGCGAACGCACCACCACGGTTTTGCTGGTTTGTAATCCCATCGGATGGATGCCGGTAGGCAGCGTCCCTGTTTTGCTTCCCACCGCCACGGGATACGGCACACGTTTCACGGAGACATTCGCACCTAAATCAAATCCCTTGTCCATGACATACGAACTTAGTAACGAATGCTAGGACAAATTACCGGAAGCAGCTTTTTTAGATTTCCTGTCTGCCATAGTAATTTTTGGTTTTGCCGGGGCCTTCTTTTTCTTCTTCTTTATCGGTTTCGGTTTTCGAAACACTGAAAAGAAAGGTGTCGAAGTGGCGGCAGTTAGCGAGAAGTCTAGCATTTGGAGAAACGCCTTAGACGCGATTCAAAATTGACTGTACTCTTTAATACGACAATAAAGGTTAATCAAAGCATTAAGGTAACGCATGAATACTTGAAAAGAAGCATGGCTTATGGTAAGCATAACAACTTACGAGGTAAAGAGTTGCGACTGCAAATGACAATCCGTTCCCCATTTCTGAGCGCCTCCAGATATGTGGCTAGCCCGGATGACGGAGCAGCGGTCACTTCGGGACACGGCGCAACAGCCGGGCGGTTTGACTGAATCCACAACCGCAAAACCAGCTACGAATGTGAGTCATAAATAGTGGATGACCAACAAATGTTCCAGAGACGTAGACAGGCACACTGCATAAAAGACTTCCCTAAAAATTTACAGACAACGAATGTCAGTCTTACTTGGTTCTGAGAGAGCACTGTCAGGTGATTTCGGTTCCACAACTGTAACTGCTTTTGCACCGGCGGCCTAACGATAATCACATTCGGCTTCTTTTTGGTCATCACTTCTTCCAGCTTTTGTTTCTTTTGCACTGGACCATCTGGCGATTTCGCGCTTGACAACGAAATAGTACCAGCGATTGTAGAATCTTTAGCCTGGACCGCCTTTGGAACGTTACGGAGGACAGGAAGTGACCTAATCACTGGCTTTCGAGCAACAAAGCCGTTCGTCACACCATCAATGAGTGGCCGAATCGGCAATTTTGCGGGAACCAGCCGCGGTGTAAGGAGATTCACGGCATCTTTAACGCGCTTATCCAGCGTCTTGGGGCTGCTAGCAAGCATCGCAACGCGCAAGAGTAGCGTAGGCACTGAAAGCCCCGTTCGGATTCCACAAGTCATAAGCTTTCAGCATAGCTATTTCGAAGTCAGCCGGTGGTTTCAGATCAGAGAAATCAGGGCGGGAGAGAGGCAGGTCCGTACGGAGAGGTTGCGTGCTGCTAGTGCCATCGCTAGTTTTCCCTTTTTTGGCAATTTCAAAGTATCCAACGGTTTCCAGATCCAGCTGGTCAGCTCGATCACCAGACAAGAACTTCAATGGAGCTGGATCCAACTTCACACCGATCTTCGACGGAGTAATGGGAATAGCTTTCTTCAAAGGACGCTTCTTTGGAAGAGGCTCATCAGCATCGTCCGGATCAATCTCAGGTTCTCGGACTAGTATTAACGGCGTGTTAAAAATAATACAACTCAATAACAGCTGGTTCCATGATATGTAAACATATTTAATATTATAATTAATTATAACCTTTATCTCGAATACTGTACCAAAATGGCACCAGCTACGCTATAAAATCTTCAGTTGTGCATAGAAACTTACGCTCTCCTGGGTCGAGTGCCGCTTTTGGCGTAAACAATAGTCCAGATCCAGATTCTGTAATCAAGAAAATGCGAAATAATTCACACTTACACGACCATTCCAGCGCGGATCTACTTGGCGCGGTTTATTAATTTTAATCTTCTGCATTCTGTCGTAGTTCGTATAATATTATTATTATTTACTGCTACGAAAAGTCACGCACGATGACTGAATCATTCGAAGTCAAAGCAGTATCAGCTGCTAACCAGCTAGCGGAGGCGGTCACTGTTGCAAACCTTACTAATGGCAACGGACAAAGAAAAGCAACGAGCTTTTCAAAGCAAGTCCGCTGTCGGTTTAGATTATTATCGAAATCCATCACTTTAACCGGATACTAAAGCAAAACAACGTACACACGTCTCATTCTTAATTTCGGTAGGTTGATTTCCTCAAAAGACTAAAAGTCAAAAGTCGGCGATCAAGATCCTGAAAAGACAGAACCATTCGAAACAATAATACTTACTCTTTGCATTTGCGAGCTATGGAATTCAAAGCGTCTTCGAAGATCAGGTATATAAAAGCGAAACAAGAAAAGCGCTACTAAAACAATTATAATACAGAAACCAAATAAAATGAAAAGAATCACTGAATCAGATAAAAGCTGGTCATTTCGCAATCCAAACGACCGACTTCCGCAAACTTTTGGCGGCTTGCCAGCTTTAACTGGCTTGTCCGCTTGTTGTACTTAAATGCCCACTGCCAAGTTGCCAGCTAACTGTGAGACGTGAGTGCCAGGCGAGTTTTATTAAATTGAATGCAAATAGTAAGTACTGCACTTTAATGCCAAATTACCAATCAAAATGGCCTACAAGTGAGTGCCGTGTGTTGCACAAAAGTAATTCCGCAGGTAGAGAAACATAAAGGAGCAATAGTGGTTTTTTAGTGGAACAATACTGTCTGGAGAATTACAGGATTGCGTCTCAGCTGAGAATCTACCGTATACAGAGCACCTACTGTACAAGTAAGTACATTTTCAGTGTCGGCGCTTCTATGGTCTGCTCGTCTGCGTAGTAAATTATACATTAGTAACAGCAACCAACCTACCACGCTTGAAGCTTCTGTTTATTGGTGATTTAAATTTTAATCAAGGAGAAGAATAGGAAGAGTCATAAGAATTTAGTAGTCAATTTACTAAACTTTTCAGGTGGCGAAATTGAATCACATGAAGGACAAACAGCAGCCTACCCAAATCAAAATCCAAAGGATACGACGACGGCTTCCGCGGGCTCGTGTCTGCGCCGCTATCTTTATCGATAAGATCTCCGGTAGCCATTTCAAAATCCCACGGTGGCCATGCGCTACTGTTGTCCAACTGCTCATCCCATTCAATCTGATAAGAGTCATAAGACGAAACAGAATAATCCATTACGGAAGCGGTTTCTTTTTGTCGCTGCAATTAATTTCACAAATCAATAATGGTCAGCACATGCAAACAGGCAGCCAGAAAACAGCTGTCGGTGTGCCCCATTTTCAACAATGAACAGGCAACTAAATTCAACTTCCAGCAGTTTTTAAACTCTGAAGACCTGCTTTACTTTAGCAGTAAGGAAAAGCAAGTTACTGAGCACGTAGTCACCTCGAGATATAATCCACAATCATACTGGAAAGAATATATATCCAGTTATTCTTCTTGAGATGATGATGGACATCAATTACCAATTGAATGGAAATCTTCGTACACGTTACGAAACACCTCCGCAAACGAACAAATCCATCAGTGATCTGTTGATATCCGTCGGTGTTTAGCTGCTTCTGCCGTAGTTATTATCGACTTCGGAAGCAGCACAGCTAGAGTAGCAAATTTAATGATTAAGCCCCATTTTCTTGGGTCTGTACAATTATCTCCCCCGAGGGCTCGTAGTTCTTAGACTGCCGCAATCAGAAAGATGTATAATTCGGGAATTCGGGGATCGGACCAGTCAGAAACTGCTCATAAAAATCTGAACTTAAAAAAAATTCATACTGAGCAGCTGCAATGCGGTGGCTGTGGATCAGGATATCGGGAGTGGGTGTAACAGTTCCGATGTCCATTGTTCTTTACCTGCCAATCGTGGGCGAGCAAGCACGGTTGCGCAATCCAACCGGCAATCACGGTGCACGCGCACACCACACTGCAACATTTTACCAGAAAAAATTCTTCTTGTTTGAGTTGTTTCACGAATTATAAATTCACTACGGTCTCAAAATTACTGTACTATCATAAATTCATAACTGATTGAGACAATCAAAATCGTTACAAGTTTATTAAATAACCGGCAAAGTTACACTTAAACAACTGCTGCATTTTCCTTCGTTGTAGAGTAACATAAATTAGAACATCCATAGACTGCCGATTCGTCTTTCTCCAGACTTCTCTCTCCCGAGTCCAGGCGCTCATCTTGTCGACTTGCTTTTCCGAGGTTATCGTACGTACGCACAATATTAAATTGTACAATTTATGTGTGTTAAAAAAATAAATTAATAAAATAAATTTTAAAAAAATAAATTATTAAAAATAATTAATAGATCTCATTCACTTTGAGTCTACGACTGATTCCAGTCTGCCAAATGGAACAACGGCACATGGCACATTATCTGTAGGTAGCTGCTGTTAGTTAGCAACGAGCTAGTAAAAATTTTTACTTTTTTCCCGAATAATTGAAAGCTTACGAATGAAGCCGATTTCTGTTATTAAATTTTGGTGGCATCGACGCAAGTATGCTAGCCTGTCAAGTAATACTAATTTATAGGTGAACCAGTTTACTTTACCGGAACTGCAAATTTGTTAGGCGCAAGAAACAAACTTTCGCAGCGGAACGTTGCTCCTTGAGAAAACAGTTTAAAGCTTTCTAAAAGCAAGCAAATTTAGACTTTAACGGACCAGTTTTGACAGTTCAGCAGTGATAAAGTATAGTAAGCGTCAGGTACAATCGAGAAACATTTTGACAACCGTCCCGGAACCTTTCGGTGACCCTGCTGCTTAACAAAGAAAATTATTTACGAATAGAGACTGTTCTCACAATAAAACGTCAAATAATTAAAACTCACAGCTTTTAAATTACACACCCCGAAATCCAGAATAATTCAGACAAAAAACTCAACGTTACATTCTGCATTAAATTATTGCCAGACATTTCACGACTCCTAACAATTTCCCACGCGATTACATATCTCCAAATATGCCCGCAAAGGTCCGCTTTAGATTCGACATAGTATCATCCGTGTCCGTACTGCCCGCCTGGGGAGGGCGGTTCATCCCGACTGGCTGCTGACCGGCGCCCTGGTAAGGCGGATGCCCACTGGGCGGCCCCATTCCCGGTCGTCCCATTCCTGGCGGTATTCCGACGCCGGAAGTGGCGCCGGGCATCGGTTGGCGCTCCGTCGAAGATGGACCAGCCCCGGCCGTCCCGCCGCTACTGAAACCCTGCTGTCCGAAACCACCGGCGCCCGATGGTCCCGCGGGATTGAAGGTGCTCGTGCGTGAATCGGATTCGCGGCGACTTAGTGGGGCACCCGGTGCACTGCTGCTATCCCGGCTGGGGGGCTCCCTGCTGCTGACATCCCGAATATTGGAGTCACGGGGATCGCGAATGGGTGGGTCGCGTGAATAGCCACCAGGTGGCGGTCCTATCTGGGAGGCTGGGCGCCCCGAGGGGGTGGTCTGCTCCCGGGAAGGACCGGCCGGCGCTCCCGACTGTCCCAAGCTTTCTCTTCGGGGAGGTATCCCGTTGGGGATGGTGGGTGCGCCCGTGTAGCCCGATCCCGGTGTCTGTCCACTTGAGGGAGTTGGTCCACGCTGCTGCTCCATGGGCTGGCCGGGCGTTGTCTGCATGCTGTAACGGCGCCGGTTGGCGTCGGCGTCCATCTTGCGATAGACAATTTCGGCTATCAACTGTCGGTCTTCCTCTTGTGTTTCACCGAGCAGTCCCATGGTGGAGGAGTCGTTGATGCCGATTATATGCTCCTGCCCGTCTTTTCCCACAACGGCTTCTATGGCGAACACGTCCAGACCGCCAAATACACGGGAGCACTCATCCAGCCACATGCGGAATTTTTCTTGAAGTGGCACTTGTTCCAGCATACTGGAGCCAATGTTGGCTTTCCATGAACCGGAAATGCTATCAAAAAATCGGATTAGCACTACCGTATTACAAAAACTGTATAAGTAATTTTAAAATTTGATAGGATTATTTCAATCTAGTCTAATCATAAACTGTGCTTAGTGCGCCAAAAATTGTCTTCAATATTAACAGAACACCATTTAAGTACTGTTACGCATGAATAATCATCAGCTGAATAATAGTATCACAATAATGTATTCCTACCTTAAGACCGCTTTCGGCTTTCATACAAATGCTGCATTCTGGTACTACATTTTATACTTATTCGTACCTTTTTCTGATAAAAGCTTTGTACGACGGGCCGACTTTTTGCAGATGCAAATCATATTTAGAGTCCACGAAGGGTTCTACAGTGCAGTATGATCCACAACTTCCCACAAGACTAACAACGTCTTGGAAGTCGTAATGATTGTCCACACGAGTTTTGCCCAGTCCGCCATGACAATGCCCTGCAACGTAACCACACTTATTGTTAACACCAACTGCCGGAACTCTCGGACTTGTTTGTTTCCGGATTACGCACTGTAACTTCCGGTCGGATTTTTCCGGATTTGTAAAATCAAGAAACAGACTATACAACTACACACTGCACTCCTAGATAATAGATATGTAAAAGTACTGAATTTGCACCTTTGAAACTATGTACGTATGTAATATTATCATATTCAAGCAGAAAGCAGTGTTAAACCGTCCGTTAAATAGCATGTAGATGTTGCAACGACGATACGCTGATAACGCTAAACCAACCGATGGTGAAACTAATTGTTGGTGGTACAGTTATTTGTTTTGCCTTGAAATACTTAACCGGCAAGTATGTATTCAAAATTTATAATAAGCAGTGGGCCAGTGGCACAGCCATACCACAGCTAAATGGTTACTGCATGCATGCATGGGTAATCCTGCGTTGGTTATACCAAATTGTACGTTATCAACGATAATCACATACTCTCCTGGTCATGATTGTAGTTTACGATATTAGAGGGCATTCGTATTGCCACTTATTTTACTGCACAACTGTTTCAAACTATCATTTCATTTTAATATTATTACAAATCATTTTACATGCCGCTCGTGTATGCGATCGGTGGTTAGCGTATTCCACAATGTGCTACATTTTTACCGATCTTAATCACGACCGGAAACTGCGTTGACGTCAGCATCTCTCGGTGGTTGGGGTAGAAGGACTGATGAATTAGAGGGAACTTCTCTTTGCCTAGGCGTTGTTGAATTTGGATGAGCTGAGAGAATATAATAGGCTTGTCCAAAAACATATAGAGACTCTCCAGTGAATTTACAGAAGGAATGTTGGAATACATTAATGCCAGAATGAAATGTCGATAATCCCGATTTGCATCGCGAATCGGCTGGCGAATCAATACAAAGTCTGGTCGGAATGACCTGCAATGTATGCAGTAACATAAAATAATACAATCCCATATGGACATGTACTGCAGTTGTACACACATGTCAAAGATTACGTAAAATCAATGTGCAAAACGACAGTGAATTTTAATACGGACTACGGAGTGCAGAATCGGAGGATTCCTGGTGTAAGGTCTTTCTAATCAATAATTTGTAGCGTACAGAGTGTACTTATGATTTTTTGACTTGATTTGCGTGAATCGGAGTAAAGGCCAGTTACTGTCAAGAAACAGCTCCTAAAATAGTGTCATCCAAATGTTAGGAATTTTTTAGAATCGAAGGTAACTTAGCTAGGTAAGGATTGAAAGTTTAAGCCATTCTATTGATAATTAAGTGCGCAAAGAGTATACTTTATGGGATTTTGCGTACCGGACTACTTTGGTTCCCCCACGCATGATTTCCATATCAACAGCCAAGCCCCTGTCGGATGTGGCGGCCATATTAATCTCATTGAATTCTGCCTAAAGGCATCCAGTAATCACATAATTAAGTTTTGCACACCATATAATTTTGGCAGTTATGTCGTTATAACCACATTAGAAACATGCATAATATTAAATGCTACAGTTCTCACTTGTTCTATGCGGATATCCCATTCGTTCTGGATACGCCGGCCACGGAAATACTTAGACCTATAAGTGCAATATTAAGAATAAGCCATATTTGGAACTGAAATCGATATATTCCGGCACACAGTCTCGCAAACACTGGAAGAAGCATTATTTGAAGCAATTATAGATACCACTACTAATTATTATCCTACGTTCTTGATTACTCGGTATATATTTGCTCTGACTTACCAGTCTGTATGTTGATCATCAATAACTAATAGAATTTTATTTTTTTCCCGCGAACCAGTAACACTTCCTGCTGCCGCAACGGTTTGTTGAACCAGATTTGTAGTAGATTGGCTAACTTGCCGGAAAAAACTTCTTGCAATATCTGGAAATAATGTGTGAAGATATATACGGCAGCTTAATTTGTATAATAAGTTATAAAATAAATAATAAGTTTCAGGATGCTAAAGCCTAAGTGTAGCATAACCGCAGTAGCCGCACCCAAAAAGGTTACTTAGACTTATTACGTAGAGAGCCACGTCAAACAAAAAAGTGACAAGAGAATCAAATTGTGCTAAATTTAATATTTAATATCATAATTATTTAATATCGTTTAATATCATATTAAGTAATATTTTGTATAGATTATTTAACAAACCATAATAAAATAACACCTGCCTTGCGCAAACTTTTGTATATACCGGGACCGTATGTCCAGCATAATAGGTAAAAAAATATAATAATGTAGCTTTGATTTCAAAAGTAACGTTGACACTACATGAAAGTGATAAAATAATTATGATACATACGATGTAAAGCAATGTCTCACTCTCCACCATGACGTGTCTTCTCGCGTTAATCGCATTTGTTACATTAATTTACTAGACTCGATCGATACCCTTTCGCACAATGAATTGCTTCGGCTCAGGATCGAAACACTCTTAATTTACTACGCTATTGATAGAAACGGCTGATCGAACTAGTTCCACCCAGCTGGCACGCAAGCCGATGACCTTTAGGCGTAATATGTTTAGTTGCGTGCAACGCATACTTGCTCAACCACCTTTCTATATTTACACGAATCCTGACTTTTGCGGTAGCGACTACTATTAATGCCTCATATAAAAAACGAACGTTACTACAGAGATATTGTACCATTAATGGCCCATTAAGAAGTTCCATGACTTACTTGCAGGAGTGTAGTTTTTATTCGGCGAGCTGGGAGCGCTCGTTGTTTTCGGCAGTTGGCTTTGCTGCTGCTGCTGCGCCTGCTGTTGTTGCTGCTGCTGTTGCTGATAACGCATCTGCTGTTGCTGCTGCTGATACGCCGCGGAATCGCGCGATGGGAGATTAGGATGACCAGTCGTCCCAGGAGAAGGACTGGAAGATGATGAGGTAAAATTGAGACTCATATTAGGGCGATCGCGTTGCTGCTGGTGTTGCATGGTGGATGATGTCGCTTGCGAGGAGTGCATAACGTTTTGATTTGGTCCTCCGGCAGCCGCTACACTGGATGCGGACTGTGCCGATGGGTTAGATAAACCGGGTGCAGCGGATGCAGGCAGTGACTGCTGCTGCGCATCAGCATCCTCGTCGCCCTGCGAGAGAGTGCAACAAAATCCAGCAAAAAAAAAATTAGCCCACACGCGTGCTCAGCAATAAGGAATTTGATTACGGGGCAACAATGTATAGCAATCTCCGCTCGGCGTTCGTTGTAAGTGCTCGCGCCTTTTGTCTGTTCACATCGTTAACGGATGTATTCACCGTGCGCTGCGCTTTCTGGATTTGTGCGCTTGGCTTACATAAGTAATCGCAGTGCACTGTGTTACAACGTGTGCCCGAATATAAGCACAGGTTTTCAGTTTTCACGATTAGTGTGTGTTTGATCAGACCAGCTATAGCACTGCAGGCATCCCAGCGTTTTTCCCGTTAACGTAATAAAATCCCCACATGAAACTACGCAAAAGCGCCCTATACCGTTTAAATGCTGGACGTTATCGTATTACATGGGGAATTACTGATTGCATATGGGAAATAATACCGCAGCGCATACAAGGTTTAATGCAATAGAAATATATAGCGTCAATGTGTGCATGATGCGTACCTGCATTTCACCTTGACTGAACCGGCGTCGCAGCTGGTTCATTTTACTGCCAAATCCATCCCGGAGACTGGCAAAGGAGGCCATTGTATCCGACATTTGATTAGGCCGGACGACACCTTTTTTTCCCGGGAAAAATGTATCCGCAAATGTCAGTTCCCGCGGCTGGCCAATCCGACAGAATAAACGAATGCGACTGTCACAATGGCGGTGGCAGCTTTAGTCTTTAATAATAGTCAAGGAGAAATACAGTAATCTGCCGTCGCAATCCTGTGTGTATTACGGCTTCAGCCGATTAAATCCCCCGCAACAGATCGCACTAATTTGGATAGCTCAGCGTTTCTCCTCATCACGGATCCTGTTGGGCTGTCAAATGGCCAACAACAACCACATACGTCGCCGCGTACGAATCGCGCACACATTGTACATAAAATCGAATTTTTTTTCTAAAGCGGAAGTCGCCCAAACCAAAATTACTACCAGTTAAGGCTGTACGCTGAGCAAAGCCGTCATATCGTATTGAAGAGGCATGCCAAGCATACGTGCTTCTGTGATGTTTAGGAAACTGGAGTGCCAACCGGGAGAATCGAGAAATTCAGCGATAGCTTGTATTGATTTCCGATAACGGCTTTCGTAAAGTACTGAATATATGCTGAATCTTTGAATGCGGCAATACAAAATAATGTAGTCTCGGGAAAATTTATTCACATGGCGGGCGCACTGGGAATGCTGATGCGCAGCGCGTTATGACTACTTCTATGTGCCGACGGCACAGCACTGGCCGTGTCCATATGTCGGGACTTCATGGGAGGAAGACCGATCAGCAGACAACTTTCTCTTTCTTATGACAATGATAAGTTACACTCGAAAACTTGATCTTGTGGCCGTGTCCGGGTCAGTTGCAAAAACTTAAAACTCTAAAAATTTACCGTCGTCTTCCATTAAAGATTCTCTACCATCCTAATGTCTGTCATATGTACAATAATGTGTATTAACCAGCCGCCAAAAAATATTAAACGTCACGTTTGCGTTGGTATTTTTATTTGTCTTATTTTATTTACGTCTTATACTAGAAGATGTTTACTGAAAAATATTAATTTTAACTTTTATTTACAAGCAAGTTTTTGAAGGACCGTAACATGTTTTTAAAACATTAAAGGTAGCTAGCGCGAGTTTTCATAAATTTCGACACAGAATGAAAAACCAAGTAATAATAACGGGAAGCAAAGCAATTACCCCATTTTTTGTTGCGCGTTTGGCGGCGTTAGATGTACGATGTCGTTTTTTAAGAGAAGCAGTAATTAGTGGTCTGTGGAGAGACTGATGACTAAATTATTCATGAATTGGTTATTAAATAGTGATATTTATTCATTCAATAAGTCAGTATCTTCGTAAATTATATAAGTGTTCTACAATACTTTACACTGCAACGCATGTACTTGTAAAGCTGATTTGTGAGAAAATGTGATTTATTGACAATAATTTATTTATTCGCTGTAACAACAACTCGATAGGTAAAAGAGGAACGTTGACGTTATAGATCTATGTATCGGATTGGGGAACACATCGATGATCAATACAAAAGTACAAACGGGACCCGTCACTATTACACCAAGTCCCATCGGGGAAGTAGGCTTCCTGTCCCAGCATTACCGCCACGGCATTCTTTGGGTGCTTATAAGAGTCACCTGCATCCGTTTTACAGTATATGGCACATGCCGATTCCGGTTTATCTAAAGCAAGCCAGAAACGACTTTTTTCCTCAATACACATTAAAGCTCGGGCTGGGTGGTATTCATGGCCTTAATGGACTGGCACAGGATTTGCTTACCGCTGTCATAGGGAAATTGTTTTCCTTCAGGCATTATTCCCGTCACTCCCGCTGTGTAGTAGGCCTGACATTTTTGGCTGGCATAGGCACTGGCTGACTGTCGTGCGCCGCAAATCTACGGGATATACATGCAGCTAAAGTCAACAATATGGAAGGGACATATAGACGTGGGAGCAAAAGTTTTAATCAGGTTCGACAAGCCAGAAGAGAGATACATGCCGCCAAATACCGCATTATCCGAACAGAGTGACACTTGATGATTCTCGCCGGCACAACCCGTCTCCGTGTTTTGCGGCTCGGGATTATTGCACAGACGCTGCGTGATTTGGTATCCGGTGCCGTGTTCAATACAACCCGATTCACAGGCGCCTTTAGCCCAGCTGGACCATCCGGGATCCGATACCGGAAGGTCACCTGTCCACGGTACACAATCGCCACCCGAACACCACTGTAAATGAGGACCTGATTTTAATACGAGTATTGAACTACTCTGTACGTACTTATTAAAATAACATATTACTGTAGTATCCGTTCATAAATCGATAATACTGCAAAACTAGAGCTCATGGACCCGGATTTTGACCCCGCACGAAAAAAAATAAAAATTAAATGCACGCGCATATTGTAACGTTTAATAATTTTTTATCTATAAGGTTTTCACCCTATCTCACGTTTTTAGATCCACAATATGTTCCATCCAAAGCCGGTCCAATAGTTGATGTCATGCCCTTAACGCTGTTTAGACACTGGAGGCTCCCGCAAATCTCCTAGAACCACATTTATATTTACATAATATGATCATAAACTATGTTGATTATTTCTTCGTCTTCTTTCGCAGTTGTTCCATCCAGTTGTATATAACCAGCACATGTACAATGTTGATATAGGTAGGGCCGTGAACGTCGACACAAAGGGCACTCCGCTCGGCCCTGTTGTGAATAATATACGGCTCATCGCAATAAATATTGGTCGTTATACTTACGCTAATTTTTTGTATGGGATCTCGTACATACTGCGGATTTTGCATTTGCAGGGCACACTGCGCGTTGGCTGTGTATATCTGTCCCGGAGGTGAAGGAAACTTTGCAATGTTATTTTCTGATGACATGGGTGATGAATTGGTATCGTACAAACAGCTGCGCGATCTGCAATAAAATAAATTAGTAATCAGTGACGGATATAATGAATTTTGATGCGGGGCCCGATTACTACTCTACATCTTATGGTCAGAAGTAGAATCGAAGCTGGTGCAAGCTAAATACGTACTGTAATTTAATCGTTAGAAGCGGTCCACGCAAAAAACCTTGACTTACGCTAGCTTTTCTTGCAACGCTGTTTTGCTGCACTCTGACCACAACGTCTGTCCGGACCATCCTCTGCTGCCCGACATGATGTATTTTCCGGTTGGACAGCTATTTCCGTCGCCATCATGCATCAGTCCTATACTGCATTATTTGCGATTATTTACAAGACTGTATCATTTGGCCGCAGTTTCACCACCAGCTAAAAAATGGGAGATACCTATGACCAATCTCATGGGCAACCATATACGCAGCCATAAATCCAGAAGATTGCACAGCGTTTTGTAGCTTATCTTTTGCTCCTAGTTCTGCTACTGTTGCACTGTAATCCGGATTGCAGACAGCTCCGACGCGTGACATCCCTAATACATCCCAAAAATTTGTCATATGTCCTTTGGAGAAGAATTCACTTTGAAGTATACGGGATTTAAAATTACTTGAATTAATTTTATCGCTTTGTATTAGAAAAAGTTTTAAGCACGCTAATTTTATGGAAAAATTATTGGGACACTTACCCATTACGGTGTAATCTGTGCCTCCACGAGAAAGTTTTATGCTGTGCAAGAATTAATAGTATATAAAGATAATGCTTTCATGCGACTGTAATATTTGAGTGCTTTTCTCACCTTGTCAAATAAAGTGCATGATCCCAGTGCGATGGGTCCGATTCTGGTGCCGAATTAAGATTTTTTTGGTATGCACTAAACGCTGCCAGGGTAGTTTCTATATCACCACTTGTGGGAATATCAGTCTAAAATATTGAAACAAAGTAATTAAGTACTGAATTAGTCCTGCAATCAGTATGACTAGATTAAAACCATAAAAAATACATGCGGAAATTACTGACGTTCCAGCGAAAAGCAAAGTAAAGGTCAATGTCGTACCGGTTGTGACGTCAGCATGGTCAGTTTCACTAATTTCACGTCTACAGGCGGGCCGAAAGTCGGCAGATGCAGCAAGAGATCGACCTGCGCAATTGACCATTAAGCGAATCAAACTGCACCATACTGCTGTAATTGTAACTACAATTTATATATTTTTAATTCTGCATAACTTGATCTAGCAGCTCACACCTGATGTAAAAAGAGCAGAAGAAAGTCATGCATAATAGCGGTGGAACCTAAATAACCCGAAAAGCGTTTATAAGCCTCCGCATCCAAAAACACCGATAATTCCAGAGTAGCTCGTTTGCCATCATTTGTTGATCCGGATCTGCCAAGTCGTTGGGTCTGTGTTTCATAAAGGCAGCGTCCTAAACATTAAATACTGTACATACGGTAAAAAGCGACACTGCACTAATTAACGCTTAAGACTTAGCATATCTGTTATGATTTGCCTAACTTTTTTGATTCAATAACGCTTTTTCAAGGCACGTATGCACTCGTACGTGCAAGTGATTACAGTACTAACGATTGCAAAAAATAAGTAAATAAAAATTGTAAAACAAAATTTTATCAGTTAAAGTACTTACTTTAATTATTATACTTATGACCGTAGTTAACAATTACTTCAATATTAAGCGAATATATCACGTTGCCAAAAAGCTGGTTAAGTATAACTTGCAACTTGCCGTTAGGACATTCCGCTTTCCCGTCTACCGCACATTTTTGGGCGTTGCTCCATTCAGAAGCATCATCCAAACTCTTCCCCATTCGCGTCTTTAACGCCTCCAAATTCAGGTTATGAATGCCGAATACGATATGCTGGGTTTTATAGTTCGAATGCAGTGCCCGTTTTCGTAATCGCGGTGGTACTGGAGAAATGCGGTACAATTCGTCATTGTGGGAAATATATCCATTCTGTAGAACAAGATAACAGCATGTTAAATCAGCTGGTAGCACGAGGAATCCGGATTATAAACTCACAAGTGTATAGTCCTGTGCGACAACATGAACCGCTGCGGAAGTATTGTGGTCATTCATGCGGTAAGCGCAAATATCAGACTTCGCAGTGACGTCGGTGCTGTCTAAGGCATCGAAGATCAAATCATCCCGCAAATGTTCGCTTCTGGACAGCTTTAACCTGACAGTCTTGTTGAACATTTTGAGAGTACGGTGCAACGTCTTGGGGCATCTGGTTGGCCACCGGATTGACCTTTCCACGCGGGCGAATGGATGGTAGGGAGTGATGACCTCGTAAGATGGGACTGCAAAACATCAATGGGCAAAACGTAATGTAAATATATCGAGAACATCAATGCGCATGTGTCAGCCTGTGCGCAAAACGATATCCAATAATTACTTATATAAATGCCGGTTACATATAGAGACGTATATGATCGTCGTTTCATCATTAACATAAACAACTGTTCATTCAGTCATTACGCAGATGTGATATATAAATCGATATTTAACAGTATTATAGATATAATAAACATCCTAATTTCAAAAAATACCAACACCGAAATTTCGCCGGGTGCAAAACACTGACGGATGGATGATACAATGCGCTTTCTTATCCAATTTTTTTAACTATTTTTATGCATTAACATGCATTCATTAATCCCCAGAATCCAAATATACAACTTCCTGCACACCTTTTATCAGCTAGTAATCAAACGACTGACTTACCATCCGGAAGTTGATCCAGCAGATCCGGATGTCCAAAGACAGACAAATGTTCTGCCCGTGTCAGCTGCTGGTGCAGCGGTTGATTCTCGAAATTAGTGGACTTTGCAGTGCTGAACGTATATCCTGCCAGAAAACAGCCAAACAGTAGAAAATCCATATTGTATCCCGCAAAAGAATGAAGGTATTTTACAGAAGCTGAGGAACAGATCGACAGAACTTGTTTATGATATTTTAAGAAAAAATAAAAACGCCTATGTAAGAAGATATCTGAAGAAAATATAATATGTTATACTGTAGAATATACAAAATTAGTAAAAATTATATGAGTAAAATACTGTGACTGTCGGGCAACATATGCACGCCCACGCACATGCGTCCACTAACACGAGAATCCCCGGAAAGGTCCATTTGTAATGCGAAACAACGAGTTTTTATAGAAGTTCAACAGTTTTCCGATTAACCATGTGATGTTGTTCTTTTTTTGGCGAAGATTTCAAGAGCAGGTCTGTTTGTCTTTTACTTATCAACTTGACTTTGGCAATAATTTCTTAGTTTTATAGGTTTATACCATCCTATTGTGAGAAGTAGGGTGCCAAGTTGGCGACAATTGATGTAGCAGATCTGCCGTAGCGCCACTGCACTTGAAAATTCAAATTATTTGCTGTATTGTTTTATGTGTATGTTAAGCCATGGTCCATGAACGCTGCAGAGGAAAATGTGAACTGTAAAATTCACCAGTACTATAGGATATGCCTCGTTGTACAAATAGAATACCATACCATACAAGAATACTGTATCAATGCGTAATTTAGGACCGTAATCTTGGAAGCGCGCATGTAGCCAAGTGGCAGTATTTTGTTGGAAAACTTCCTGTTTGAACATATCGTGCTATCAGTTTTCTCATTATCATGAAACAGTGAATATCAAGATTTTTATTAACACGAAGCAGTGAATATCAAAGTAGCTTACCGTAATTATCGAATTTGAAGCCCCCCAAAATACAAGCCCCCCCCGTAATTAGAGCCCACCCCTAAGGTCGTTTGAAAGTTAGCCCCCCCCCCCCCCCGAAATAGAGGCCCATGGGCTTAATTAAATACCGTAAACCCCATATTAAAAAATGCCAAAAAGCTGGTTTGAAAAATTGAAGCCCCCCCCTAAATACAAGCCCATGCCCGTAATTGGAGCCCACCCCGTGGGTCATTTGTAATATTTGTAACCCTGGGCTTCTAATTCGATAAATGCGGTAAACTTGTTTAATTAATGTGAAAGTATAATATACGTTTGACTATTGTATTGCACGATCAGGATTAGCCTGAAAGCAAAGCGAAAGTGGATGTGTGTGAGGTTTTGTGGATTTGCTTCATTGATCGGTGCATTAGCGCAGCATCTGTACATCTTAACTTTAACCTGTATAGATGTACGAATTAAGGATCACAAGGAATTAAGTCACGAGGTCAATTTAATCTTTAAAAGGACCAAAGTGAAGTCGAATTCTCTGAAGTGACACACAACATCAGTAAAGTTTGTGGGATTTTTTATTGATCGTGAGTTATGCCAGTATTGCTTTTAGCGACGCATTTTAGATACCTCATAGCGGAATATCTTGTGCTCGTACCTACTGTACTTGCAAGTTGCAACAATTATGCGCAATAATTGTGTATATAATTATTTCACTAATTAGCCGAATAATGTCGATGTAAGTACAAGAACCATGCCATGAATGTAATGTTTCTTGACCGCTGGCTGCACTGCAGATAAATCGCTACAATTTATTAACAAAATTGCTCTAGAATGTTCTCGCCTATATTACAGTTAATAGAAATTTGCATTAAAACGACACAATGCCGACGAAAAGCGTACTTATTGTTTTCTGGACAATTATTTGCGAATCCGAAGCAGTTCTGAACAGTGGCACCAAGATATTGGCAAAATTCGATATGAGAAACTATCGGTCTTAAAGACTAAAGATTTATCCAATGTCTGGCCCTGATGGCACTCCGTTGTTTGGATTGTTGGCAGGAGGTATATTTCCGTTTAAAAATGCTAAAAGTAAATATAGTCGTTATCAAGTTTTTAAAATTTGAAATTAATAAATTCATTCAGTGTGTAGTCAAAGTGTACTGTAACTCATAAGCTTACGGTTTTGACAGACTGTCGTAGCAATAGAGTACAAAAATCCCAATGCCTGGCAGTCTTGTAGGCTGAGTCTTCCAGAATTAAATATGGGCTGCCCGAGATTCGCGTCAATTATACTGTCTCCAGGAGTAGTTGTGAACGTTTGGTCATCCAATAGCGTTATTGAATTATAGTCCATCGTTGCACTATTACTAAGAACTTGCGATGGATTATATGGTGCAAGGGATCCAGCCGCCTGAGCAACTAGAATAGAAAGCAGAACTGTGTATTGTAGTGGTCTACTTAAGCCAGCACACGGCTTACCCGGTGTCATGACGGTGTTGTCGAACGTAATAAAAGTATCCCGAGAAGGTTTTCTGTGCTCTGACCGCAAACCCATAAGAGAGACAAACAATCGCATAGCTTGCCGGATGTTTAGCAAACAACCGTCTCTGCCGGGTACCATGGACATATACTGACCCACTCCATTCTGATTGTACACCATACCGGGAAAGGTCACGCATGTTTGAGCCGGCGTTCTAATACGAAATACGTGTACATATGCGGCAATATTGCCTATGTGGATATCACCATTACGCAAGCTTTCCTGGATTATAATAACTCTGCCTTACTGTGACGTAGATGATCCGGATCGGGAAATAATCACGAAGCTCTGACCATTGTTAGCGGAAGATGTCCGTTGTATGAACTGGAACTGGTTGCCCATATCGCTACTAATCTGCGTCATGGCCGCTTGCATGAGCGTCATTTCAGCTTGACCTATAAAAAATTATAGAGGAAGATATCAAAACTGCAAAAGAGCCGGCGAAAAGTTTGACAACTTTATTATTTATGGAAATGGGGAATTAATTCCGGAAAACAACTTACTGTAGTCCCCTGGATTGAAATAATAGGGAATGGTTCTTCCGGGCCAACGCGGATATGTTGGATCGGTATTGATGACGAAACTGTTGACTTGCGAAACTTTAAAAATCCTCAGAAAGCAAACAAGCACTGCACAAGGGAGCTCCATAATTGTACAACAGATTGTAAAAATACTGCTGTATATAAACTTTTTGGTTCTGAAATCTTAAGCTGATTACCGGTTAAAATTTTAAGAGTTTATGATGTTCATGTCGAGGGAATAAATAAATTTAGGTTAGATTAACCATAATTGTACTTGTACGTCAGCACTGTACTACGTGTGAGTTTCTGAGCACCTTACAATAGTTAGATGAAGAAAATTCAAGGGTGTAAATCCCGGTATGATTTTAATTGGTACAGTTTTTGATGAAATAGCACATTTTGAGCCAAATTTGAATGGCCTTCAAGTTGCAGCTGACTTCCAAATCCAGTCAGTCGTCCATTTAATTGAACCAAACGGAAAATTCATTACTGTATATAATTACTGGTACGTATTCTGTATGGTTACTACGTATTCCGTAACTTTTAGATGATGCATACTATAATGGTAACGGCTATGCATAAAAATAACAGAAATACGTAATACATGATAGTAACTAAGCAGAGCAGTAGATAATTTTGTTTCTGTCGCAAACGATTATAATGGCATATATGGTGTTTCTAGATGCAGTACACGTTGTGCCTGTGAGCAGTAAGCACGTGAGCAGTTCACCATTACTGGTAAATTCTAAAATCTCGAATTACGAATTCGGTCGCCATTTATAAACGTATACAATTGCACTGTTGGTTATCGAATGCAAGTTGTTGGCATATTATGATAAAAAGGGTTATAATCGAATTATTACATAGTTTGGCGATAATAACAATAATTTTGCGTAATTACGGTAAGTGTTTATCCAATGTCGGTCCCACCGCTCCCAGTGCTGGGTGAATTGGCAGGCGGAATATTCCCGTTCAAGAACGCTGCAAAAATTTAACGAGATAGAAGAATATAGTCTTTACATAGTTGTTAATTTTTTATGCTGTGCACGTATTAGCTAAATTCGGCGCAAATCAATAAATAATATTATTAAGAGCTTAAACATAGAATACGTACGATTTTGGCAGACGGTGCTTGCAATGGAATAATAAAAGCCCAGTGCTTGACAGTCCTGTATACTAAGGCGTCCGTTATTGAAGATGGGTTGGCCGATATTGGACGTAATAATGTTCGTGCCCGGAGAATTGGTATATGTTTGGTCATCCAGTAAAGTAATAGAATTATAATCAATTGCTCCAGGATTATAAAGAACAACTGAAGTAGGGTATGGTGCAGTGGCGCTGGTGGACTGAGCAGCTGTCGAAAAATGCCAAACCTCCATTAAAACATCAAACTTTTGCTCCCCTTAATTTTATGCACGGATGTTAAAATTAATTATCTTCTGCACGTACGCTGTGTCATAAGTGCATTGTTGACCGTCAGTAAATTATCCCTCGTCGGTTTTCGATGTTCCGAACGCAATCCCATTAAGTAGACGAATAACCGCATAGCCTCCCGAATGCTACCTAAGCATCCATTTGTCCCACTGATCATAGCCATGTACTGCCCGTATCCATTCTGATTATACTGCATGCCCGGAAAGGTTGCGCACGTCGTAGCCGGAATTCTAAATTTATGCGTTAAAAGGATTTTGGTGCTACACGCACAAAGCTCCCTGTTTATCATTATGTACACTTACCGCGAAGTTCCCGATCCAGATTTGGAAATAATTACAAAGTTTTGCCCGTTGTTAACAGCAGTTGTCCGTGGTACAAAAGTGAACTGACCGCCCATATCACTGGTAATTTGTTGCATAGCTGATGTCATGACGCTGGTTTCTTGTTGAGCTTATAAAAAAAACCTTTGCAAAAATTAAACGTGCAAATAAGTTGTACGCTAAGGTCACCTTACAGTAATCTCCAGGCTGAAAATAATAAGGAATTGTTTTCCCAGGCCATCTTTGATAAGTTGGATCGCTATTCAAAACGTAACTATTCGCAATCAAGAAAAACTTGCAAAGGACAAGAACTACTGCGAAACTGTTCATCGTAATCCGTTGCAATATCTACTGACAATTAATAACAAGCAACAAATACTACCCAGATTTGGACTGATGCACAGTTGGCAAATCCCTGTTTTAGTGCTTGATCGTTTTACACCATGACGGATATTGTCTTCATTAAACAACATAAGTAAGAAACATAAGTAAGAATCTTCAGAAACGCCGGTCAAAATTAAGGCAAAAATTGTTGCAGTTGTAAGTTGATTAACGGCTTACTTCATCAACCTTAGACAGTCACAGATTTGCATACGTTTCTTAATTTTTGGGAAGACCTGACGCATTTAAGCCTTGGTTTGGCTGTTTCCGGTTATTTCGGTGATGATGCGCCAAGATTTTTTGTGGCTGAGTCGGCTGACTAACCAAATGAGCACGTGAAATTCTTTTTCCTAACAGAGAAACTAACATGCAAGCTTAATAAAGGGTTTTGGTACTACAATTTGTTTATTGTTTGCAGAGAGATCGTTAATTTCTGAAGAATAAGTACAAAACAAAAAAGTATTTTACCCTCTTACTTTGCAAAGCTATGTACGAAGTACTTGAGTTAACAGGATCAACTGAAAAGTATAACCGATATCATCATTGCACTGTCTGCACACTGCACAAATTTCTTTACTCGAATGCTGTAAATCGTTGTATTCTGCAATAAGTATATTAATATTTTCATCAAACATTCACTTGTAGCTTAAAGAGCACCGTCGGCATATTTGCATGTCTCGACTTTTTTGACGCCAGCCGGAAATTTTGTCCCTGATATGGTAATAATGCAGAGTTGCAGACAACTGATCTCTCCAACACAATCGGTTCCAAACATTTGGTAGTTTATTGCATCAGAAAAAGCAAAATTTGAATACAGAACAAGTATGCCGATCAGACTACAAACGTACAAATCGCACAAAATAGCTCAATCGCACAAGAATTCGTTAAATCACTTGCGACCGAAATCGCCCGGATTTGAAAATCCAGAATTAGGAATATTGTTATTGGGAAAATTGTTGTTAAACGGATTACTGGGATTGTTCGGGACAATGTTGCTAGGGATATTGTTATTGAAGGGAATGTTGGGATTATTCGGCTGCAGGATGTTGTTGTTATTATTACCGGGAAAATTCAACGGGTCATTAGGAAACAGATTGTTGTTATTGGTCGGATTGAAAGGAACATTGGGAATATTGTTGTTTAAAGGATTGTTATTGGGGATGTTGTTATTGGGAAAGTTGTTGGGAAAGTTGTTATTGGGAATGTTGTTATTGGGAAAGTTATTATTGGGAAAGTTGTTGTTGGGAAAGTTGTTATTGGGAATGTTGTTATTTGGAATGTTGTTAAAAGGGTTATTGTTGATGGGGATGGTGTTGATTGGCTGCACGGGAATCGTGGGATTCTGGGCTCCTATCGGTGGGACTAAGTTGGGAGTCTGTGGACCGTTATTGACGTTAACCGAGGGCTGGATATTCGATGGAAAAGTGTTGATTGGCTGCTGTGGATTAAATGGCTGCTGCGGAATGAAATTGTTGATTGGCTGTTGTGGATTCGTCGGATTGATTCCGGGTATCTGCCCGCCAATAACCGGCTGAAACTGGCCTCCAATTGTCGGTTGTTGACCAATCAAATTGGTTGACTGCAGCCCGATCTGACTTGACTGGGCACCACACTGTGGCATTTGTGTCAATCCACCAGCATTGTAAGCTTTAAGAAAAAAAGCGGTAACCAATCACAAACAACTACAACACTACCGTAGCTAAAAAAGTCTTACGATCAGGACAATTGTTGGCGTTGCAGGAGCCTGATTGATCGCGGTAGTATAAGGCAATGCCTTGGCAGTCTTTGCGGCTCAGTTGACCCGTGTTGAGCAGCGGTCTTCCCAGGCTCTGAATAACCGGAGCGCCGTTCCCGCTGAATTGGTTGGGATCAATGAGAGTGATGGAATTGTAATCAAAGTCGGGGTCAAAGCACACCCTGCTAGGGTCGTATTGGTTGAGAGGCACATACGGCTGTACGCGGCTTTCCACGTTGGAGGGATTAATTTGGATAAACTGCGCGCGGTTGTTCGGTTTGTTGTGCTCGGACCGTAGTCCGATCAGACTGGCCAGCATGCGCATCACGGCCTTGACGCTTCCCATGCAACCGCTATTTCCACCCTGTATGCTCATGTGCTGACCTTGTAGTCCAAGCTGACCGGCGATCATTCCGGGATAGGAAAAACATGTTGGAGAAGGTGTTCTGCACATTAGTAAAAGACATTAGTAGTTTGGTACTTATAGAAGCTTGTCGCAAAAATGCGCATTAAATGACAATTTCCTTTTACTTGAATTAACTGTAAAGCCTCTTACATACCGTAACTAATTTTAGGTTTATGTCTAATTGTAGGATTTTCTGCCCACAGAAAATGGTAAAACAATCCGTTCCCTGAAATGATATGTGCAGCAAGCGCATGTTCCTGTGGTACCCTACCCTTCTGTATTATAAAAGTTGCACGGTGCAGGTGATCGAATACGGAACGAACGTCAGATTCCCGGACAATCTCAACTGGTTACAACCAAAAAAAAAATTTTAACACGATTTGCAGATAAATTCAGATAACTCCATGCCATAACTGTAACCTAACACCTAATCTCGCTTCGCACTGTTTCTCCCATTGCTTCATTTTCTAGTTTGTTTCCTTTAACGCACCGGTCTGGCTGATTCGGAGCGGTATAAAAGGCCTGACTTCGCCCTTAACGATTAAGTAAGTATGTAAAGTGTACGCGTTAAAACATTTATGTTTTACAAAGAAACTGCGTTGTAAAACAATCTATAGTAGATTATTATGTAAACTACGGTTTAACGCTCGGTAATCAAGTTCATCTCACGTACTTGATGGCTTCCTACCACTGAAGTATGTGAGTAACAAAAGAAGATCAACAGTTTTAGTCCTTTCTCTTTATATTTACTACTCTAAGTAATGTGTCCGCCAACTGGGTTTTTACTGATTGACAACTACGTAGTCTATCTTACTTTATACGGTGACGAAAACTGCACAAAATGTTATGTGGCCATGCACAATAGTCGATATCTTGCTTATAATATAGATATGCCTATATTAATACCGGCGAAAAGTACAATAATTAACATGTACTTGCACACCGTGAGTCTGTTGACTTACCCAGGTCCTCCGTTTTTGGAGATTATGACGTAGTTCATAGTACCAGGAGTCGGAGGAGAATTAAGCAGCTGGAATTGTATGCATCCTTGAAGAAAGCATCGAGCAATCAATAGTGCGCAGGAGATATTAAAGTACTGTACAGATATGTCTGTATGTCAAACATTACGCATCGAAATTAGTGTAAATTATACCTCCTGTATTGCTCATTATGGTCTGCATTGCTTGCAAGATTAGGTTCCTTTCATCGTTACCTAGAAAAATTAAATGGAAGAAGCACATTCCTTCGTTGCGAATAGACGTACAAACATATCACCATTGACAAATAACTTAAATTGTTTTAAATCATATCAATCAATGCGTTCGTATATTTATATGCAGCGTTGAACCGATATGCCTCCAAATTGAAGACTAGGTATAAATTTATCCCGGACGGATACAATAAAAACAGTTTCTCGTATTTTTGTTACCTAAGTGGGTAATTTGTCTAGTTATAAATTTATTAATGTATTTAGCTATAAACCAAGCAAAAACATGCTTACTGTAATCGCTGGGAGTAAGGTAAAATGGTATCCGCCCACCAGTCCATTTGGTATATGCCGGGTCATTGTTGATTACACAAGATTGAGCGAACAATAAATGCAGCCATATTAACTTCCAAATACGGAACCATTTGGAGAAAGACTTCATTTTTAGAATTCTAAAGACGATAGAAAAAACCAGAACAATCAAATGTTAAATGGTTAATAGTACTACAAGAGACCGAATCACAATAACAGATGAATTACCGACATCCGGTCAATTACATAAAATATTCCTCGTTTGCGATTTTGATCACCGGGCCTTCTGATTACCGTAAAATACTTGAGAATTAACGCTGACCAAGTTCATGCCATACGTTTTTCTTCCAAGTCGTTGAAGTGCTGTTTGCGGGAAATGAGTAATAACGCGCAGGTGTACATTGTTTCATTTGCTTACGGTTACTGTAGGTGCAGCAATTAAAATTTAGCGCTGTAATTGTTTATCCGCTTGTCATTAACGTTTTAGGGACACGCAAAGGGTGAAGCTGCTACCAACTTCCACCTTTAGCGTAGATAATAATGTATAGCGCCATACATCACAGTCTACACAATATATTATTACAATTATGAAGTAATAACCAAAATCGATTGTACAGCAAAGTACTTGGACGCTGAAAATATTATGCTTGTTTTTCTTTTTACACCGATGTTATTAATGAAACATTGAGACTTCCGCGTATCTTTGCCAGTGGCATACGTACGTCATTGCCCTAAAACAGCACGGAGAGTTTCTCGTCAAAATTTTGGTGACTAAAGAAACTTATATGGAACTGGAGAAAAAGACAGTATTTTTACAATTATCACAACTGCAACTCAGAGAAGCACATCAATTTTCATTTATTTCTTGAAATCTGGCCGTAGAACTGGTGTTGTCGTAGTGGTTCCAGCAACGGTCGGCGCTATTGTTGGTGCAGGCGGGCCCAGAGTGAAAACCGGAAAAGCGCTGTTACCATACACTGTAACACAACAAAACATTCATTCACATAAGCACCTGTTTTTTAAAATTTTTTGTAATTAGATACAATGGCGAGGCATTTGCGAAGTTCATTGTTTCACCCACAATCTGCGCACTGGACGGAAGGGCATTGGTACATGACTTTTATTGCGGTGCAGTCCGTAACGGACAACCTCCCAACGTTTTGAATGTTAAATCCGCCTTTGGCGGTAATGGTTGGATTTCCATTGGAGGTAAAGGTAAATGGATCCAACAGTGTTATGGAGTTGAAGTCAAAATTATCCTGGTCGAAAATCACTTTGTTGCGATCGTATGTATTAAAAACTTGATTTAACATCCCCACTATAGAAAGGAAAACATTAGCACAAAAATTAATGATCAATACATTCGGGGTAACCAGTCAGTACAAAGTGATCGATATGTCACAGGAAACGAACCAGGATTAATGTTGTTCGTGTTAACAAGAAGAAACGTATCACGATTTGGTTTGTTATGCTCCGACCGCAGTCCGAGCAGGCTGGCCAGTATGCGCATGGCTTGGCGGCGATTGCCCAGGCAGCCATTAATACCGGGTTGCATAGCCATGTACTGGCCGCGTCCATATTGACCGCTTATGATACCCGGAAATGAATAGCAGGTAAGGGAATTCGGTCTAAAAACAACAGAATATTGCCTGGTGGTCCGCTTTTAGGCATAGAGTAAAATTTTTTATCAGTCAGTATTTTTATTGCCTTAGGGTAGGATTTTGTGTACTCGTACCCACTGAGCCCTCCCGTACGTGTGATGACCACAAAATAAATTCCAGGTGGGGCTGGAAGGCTAACTTCCCTAAACCGTACGCAGTTTCCACTGTCAGCTTGGATTTGCAGCATTGCCTCTCGAATCACGTTTAATTCTATTAGATCTGCAGATATAAAATATATAAATCAATGACAATGTCATGCATACAGTAATTTTGCCCCATCATGCAGATAAAGCCGTGAAAAAATCCCCGTGATCCAACAAGATCTTTATAATCGTACATTGTACATAGTCATAAGCTGCACTTGTATAGGTTACATCGGAATCTTTATTATTAGCATTGCATTGTATTAAATTACATACTGTATTCGTTTTGAGGTATGGCATAATACACGTCTCCTCCGGGCCATCTTCCGTACGTCGAATCGGTGCTGATCACAAATCCACACGTCCCCTTCCATAATAACAAAACGAGGATAAAGATAGCCCGCACAAACCGTTTGATGAGATCCGGCTTCCGACTGGAAGAATGTGAGAACAACCGTTCTTCCATGATAAAAACGAGACCGTACACTATATAGAGGAGACGTGTATAAAGTTACATCACATCGTTGCAAGATTTACTGTATTTCCAAATATAGCGCAAGCTAGTACAATGCATGTCAATACGTACATCACTACTTGACGATAATTCTTACGGTTTTGCCAAATAGGCGATTATTGAGATAATATATTCATAAAAAGTTCAGCAGTGATACAAATGTCAAATTTTGGCACACCTTCGAAAGCATATAACATAACCAAGGAGGTTTACGCTCCTCTGTAGTTAACAATTTCCGGCCTATTCGATCAATCAGAAAATATTATACCTTGGAGTCAGTAACAATGGCTCAAAATATACGAGTATTTTGATTGTTGTAGTCCGTTTTATCAGTCCCTATTTTTCTTAGAGCTTATGCGGCCCGAGCGTAAAGGTAACACATGAATTGTACGATCACATATTGCTACTGTAATAGCATAACTATGTACAGACAAACGTAGCTCTCGGTGTATTTTTTATTTAGATAAAAGCGATTGCTTCATAGATAAAATTTAAATGAAACATCCTTCCCAATCAGAAAACAGCGCCTCAACTTTTGGTATTCCGTAAGCGTGACAATATATTCTTGTCATTGAACAACATATACATCCGGTCAGCCTTGGTTGGAGCAGATTGGAATAGTAGAGGAAAATGGTCTGGGATTATTCATAACCTAAGAGTAAAATTACCATCGTATAGCCTTTTCTGGCGGGCCTCAACTGTAGACCAACTGGTTAACGAGCTTACGTTTAAACAAACTTGGTTGGAAGAATTCACTAGTGTTGTTGTGGAACAAGGCGCCGCTTCAAAGTACTGTAAAGGTCGTCCGTCCGTAGGTTGATACAGGAATACTAATCTTTCCTGCCCGTTTACCGTCACGCTGTACATCTCCCGAATCCCATAGTTGTTTAGGTCACTGGATACGGCCGTGTTGGAGCTGAACACCGAAGCTAAGGTCACAGCCGCCGACTGTCCCTGGACGCCGGTAACAACAATATATCGGCCTGTGTTCACCCAGTAAATTCCAACAGCGTTGATGTTGCTAGTGGCACTAGCAGTGTTTCCGTAGGCTGATGCGCCCTGAATGTTGGTATATCCACCCGTCAATTGGGATACGGGATTACCGTTTTGATACAAAAATACATTTCCATTCTGTAAAAAACGTCAGCAGTTAGCAGCCACCTGCAAGAAATTAAAAAACACAGAGCCGGTAATATAATGACTCTTTGAAATAGTATAACAGGATATTTCTTTAAGCTTGATTGGACTAAATCAGACAAAAAATCACAAAGCGAATTTCCAACATTACCGAATCGAGTAAATACGTTAATCCTGCTTGATAGTATCCAGAAACAATATTGTTGGGAGCACTGGGGAAAACACTGGTTAACGGCACACCGTTCTCCATGATCTGCCCGTTCTGGCTGCTTACGCCATACAACAAGTTACCGCTAAGGTAATAAATTCTTCCCCGACTATAATCATTCCAGGCACCGTTGATTTGTAAATTTGGGGAGCATAAGCCAGTTTGCGCAACGGTGGGAACCACAGTTACTGACGGTACTGTTGTAACAGGTTGACCAAAGATTACATTGTTGGATCCATAAACTAAAATGCAGACATGCAGGATTATACAATACTTTAATGCAGGCTACTAGCCTATTATAGCTATGCCAAAGCACGGGGTGAAAATTTTTCCAAATTTGACTGGTTAGCGTATGATTAATATGCAAGTTGTTTTTGAACTGCATACCGTCTTGGCAGTTGGCAGAGTTACATCCGTATATGTAAGCAAGTGCCTGGCAGTCCCTGATACTCAGCCGTCCCGAATTATAAATCGGGAAGTTAGCTTTGGAGGTGATAACTGGCGCGCCCGTTCCACTATACGTATAGGGATCAATAAGCGTTATTGAATTGTAATCAAATTCAGCTGAATTATATATAATGGCCGATTCATTGGTGATCCTGTTGAACACACCCGATGATGCCGCAGCTGGAAATTTACATACAATGTTAAATTCACTAAAGTCATGCGACATTATTATACGGGAACCGATCACAATCAATCACAATTAAACACTGTAAATTCTTCAATTCTCCTATAAAACTAAAATTTAAAAAATTTCAATAAAAGTAACAGTAATTATGATTAGCGTGTAGCATCGTACTGTATATATATATGATTGCGTTTGTTTACTGTACAGCAGTTTAATTTTTAGACCCTAACAACGTAGTCGCGTAATGGTCTGAAAACGAACCAATATTCAGAGCGGACGGATTTGTTGTGACAAAAGTGTCTCGATTAGGCTTATTGTGTTCCGGTCTTAATTCCAGCAGGTACGACAACAAGCGCATTATCTGCGCCTTGTTCTGCATACAGCCTCCCGCTCCTGGCTGAATGGACATATACTGGCCGGCACCATTCTGAGCAGCCAACATCCCGGGATACGAATAACATGTCGGTGAGGCTGCCCTGAAAATTCGGTAAAAAGATCGTCATGGTCTAACTTCCAGGCAGTGTCAATTTACCCGGGGCCTCCGGCTTTGGAGATTATGACAAAATTTTGTCCGGGATATAATGGATTTCCCAATATTCCAATGTTTTGCCAGTTAATGCAACCGCCAGTATCGGAACTGATTTGTGCCATAGCTGACTGAATCAGCAGCATGTCATTACCTAAGAGTGCAAACTTTTTTTATACAGATACAAATTTACCACAAATAAGTTTGTAGGGTTGTGGTTCACCGGTCTTTTTTGATAATTTCTACATTTGTAAAAAATCAAATTGCAATAGTTATACACATTTTAAATTTATCTAGTCTTATGAAATATCAGCTGTTGATAAACTTACTGCTGTAATCTCCTGGATTGAAAACATAAGGCACTAGCCGATTTGGCCATGCTCCAAATGTAGGATCTCTGTTGATTACATACGCATTTAAGCACGCGAAATAAAAGACGAATATAATATAAAAATTAAATTTGAACATGGTAATGTTAGTAATATGCCGTAAATGGCTTGCCGGTTATGTGAGCACTAGCTAAAAAATACCGTAGCGATATTCTTGCGATCAATATTTACCACTCCTTCAAAACAGCTGCTTGAAATTCTTTTGCTGATTATGATATTCTGACGTGGTTATTCGGTATTATTGCGATGATGCATGTTTTGTATGTGCAAGCAGTAAGCACAATGTTATGTGCCTTTTGTGTGTTAAATTATCTATCCTTATGGTGTCGCAGTAACGATCTGCATCTACGAAGCTTAATGCAAACGTTTTTAGCTGTATCTGTAGACCATTACTAAAAGTGATCATCGATATCAGCATCTGTGTCAAAATTCAAACAAAATACGATGTTAACTTTGGTCCTTTTTATACTGTAGATCAAACTCCTTATGTACTTCTTACACGCATACTCGTACGTATCGCTACCTTACAGTTGCTAGCCAAACGAGTATTCCTGTGCCGACAAGCCTCATTTAATTATTTTACACTTTAATTTTTTTTTGTTCAGCGTACTTCATTTGAAGATATTTAGACATTTTACTTAATTAATATACGCTCTAGTTTAGATGTATGGTAATAAGCGACAGTTCTGTGCCGCAGTCATGGGCCAACCACCATCACCCTGAAGTTATATGAATTTTGACCTTTTGCCTCGAAAACTCGTCTTCATAAATATTGAAAATATCGGCCAGCCAGTGCAGCACAATTACGAAGCAGAACTTACAGTTTTAAAGAATAAATGCCATTCAATCTAGTCAAAACATACATTACTGCACACATCTACATGGAATACACCAACGGTGGCCCATGTCGATTAAAGACTTGTCTATTTACTTTAGACATCTGAGTCTGTCTCTGCAATTTTCTCCGCGGCTTCCATCCTAAAATAAACACATGCTCTGGCAACACGGATATTAATTTAAATTTTACTCTATTCCATATGCGTGCACTTAGCTTTTCAGGCCATAATTTGCTGCGGCGCACAATTTACTGCTCTTATGTTCACTTGTCTCCCATTCTGCTTCCTAATGGTTAAGTAACATCTATTGTGGGCAATCGTCATGTTCGCACAAAGTGGTCAATTGCTGTGGACGGCTCCCGCTGTTAGCCTATTCATCTAATTGCGCTCCAGTTTATTCCCTAACCATAACATCTCTCTCTGTGTGTACGCTATCGCCGGCCATAATTTAATTCTAAGTGTTGCATCATGATGAATAATCTTAAAAGCATTTATCCGGCATTTGTTCTCTAAAGACATTTGAGAGCACTCTCGTGTGGTCCCGTTCAAAGGGTCTTCTTGTCCACCATAATTTCATAATAATGCAATGCGTTCATTCAGTGTCCTAATATTATCGTTGACAGATCAGTTAATGTTTTCGCCAAATTTGGTGCGATGCCAAGATATCTGAATTGTTTCGATTCTTATTGTTTCAGATTTAAAGGTGTTATCATTATGCAGCATCTGTCACTTTTCGTTAATATTTTGTGTGCTAAAAATGCATCGAAATACGACAAGAAAAAGTTTCTGTACGAGTATATTTTGCGTACCAACGCCGTGATATTTAAAAACTAAAGCAAAACAGAAGAGACGTAATTGTAAAATTACAATAATTTTTGCCGGTAACTTGCCACTTCCTTTAAGAAATTCACGTAACACGGAAATAGCCAAATTTGACAAAAGGTAGCGTGAACCAACAAGGCAACAGATTAAAAAATTTAATTTAAAACATTTAATTGCTATGCGTTCTCTAAAAACCTGACTGCTGCAACGGATATTTTTTTGTATTATCCGTCCAAATTCGACGTTTCTCCATGTGGAAGTATGCGATTTTGGGACACACAATAGTCGGCTGATTGTTCTCGTGCTCTTATTATGTACATGTCCAGAGACAAAAAAATAAAAGTACCGGCGGAAAGTAATCTCCATCTATGCTCGACCTGCTGTTCTCGTTTGGTTATTCAATACTGCTAATTTGTTTTCAATATGCGTATGTTTCTGCAACTTCTTACGATCGAGCTTTCAATACGTCATATCAGACTACTGCAAAATTCAAAGTAGACGATAATCGTTATATCGGGCCTGTACAGCATCCGTAGTTAGGAAGTTACAGAACCTTGTACTTTTTGGATAAAATCAACCAATCATAATGAAGCTGCCACACATTTCAGCACACATTCCCGGTTATTCTAAGCAGACTTGGTGACAGACAGCGGAAGGCTGATTGGTGAACATGAGCAGATTGCTCTTGTCTTCCACAGCAACATCCCACTCTTACTGTTAGGATGCAAAAATGCTAACATGTTGCTCTTCAATAAAATCTGCGAAAATTTAGTGGACGATTTAGCCGTCAAAGCTGCATTGACCTAACCATTAGTAAAGTTATACCTACCCGCGTCTAAATTTCATCGGATATTCCTCTGGTATGTTTTCTCAATGGAGACCAGCAGCAAAATATCATTTCGGATAAGCGATATTCTTGATGAATTCATCACTGGTGTGCCGGGTAGGAAATCTTTGAGCAGCGATGTCACTTCCATCCCTAAAACTGAGAATCCAAATCAGCGGAGAACTACTGACATGCTGGGCGACATGGACGATTGTTACAGCAACCTTTCGGATGATGAATATCAGTCAGGCGTCAGTGTACTACCCGACGATATGATGAAGGAACACGAAAAACTGGATTCTCCTGATAAATTTCTAAACAAAAGTCTGGGTAGGTGAACATGTTTGCATGAAGGCACTGAACGGCGGACTTTAATATGGACATGGCAGTCATACCACATATCCGTGTAGTACACCGTGACCTTTGTAGATTTGTCTGCTTGTCTGATGTAGTTAATATGGCTTTCGCTTCTGCTATAGCTAATATGGCAGTACAAGATGCATAAGAGGATTGTTCAAATTGAACCTGATTCACGCACATCTATAAACTTAGTTGGAACTTTGATCCTTCACACTAAAATCTGCTATTTAAATTTTAAATATATAAATTTTTCTCAGTACCAGTTTATTTTAGGGTTTGTTTTCAGTGTTGTAAGGATGCGATTGTAAAGTCTGTTTAAAAAATTTGCGACCACTGAATTTTATTACTGTTAATATCAGAGTTTTGTATAAATGTGGTAAAAGTTGAAAATTATTTTAGGAAGAAAATGCAAAAGCCATTCAGATCTCGAAGCTGGTCCGCTCGTACATTCGACAAAGCCCAGAAAAAAGCGTTCTCGCGCCGCATTTTCCCATGCGCAAGTTTTTGAGTTAGAGCGTCGCTTTAGTCATCAGCGCTATTTATCTGGTCCAGAAAGAGCGGAGCTTGCAGCAGCCCTATCCCTAACGGAAACCCAGATTAAAATTTGGTTTCAGGTAAGCCGAAATCGCACAATCCTCGGGTGAAACCAGCGTTGTTTAAAACATCATTTTGTTACTGTAACCAGTACTCAAACAGTAACAAGTAACACTAATAGCTTTAGAAACTTTCATTTGCTCGTTTATCAGTTTTAATAATAATTGTAACAATATAAGCGATAAAGCACTAAAGTTGTAGGAGTCTCAAAGCTATGACATGTTCTTCGTTTGGACAAAAAATTAACATAAAGTTGAGTAAGTTCATTGTAAAGTTTTAAGTTGATTTTGAAATTCATTTAAAAAACGATTTAATGTATCTGCATTATTATTATTATTATTATTATTATTACAATGACCCTTTTCAGAATCGCCGATATAAGACCAAGCGGAAGCAAATGCAAGTTACAGATACAGTGACGGCCAGCCATGTGCACGTTCCGCCGACTGCCCGCCGGGCACAAATCAGGCTGATTATGCACAACAATCAGCTAGTGTGTCACCCTGACGACTTGCCACATCCCGGGATAATTTATCCATGTCCTCTTATGCAGGAATGGATTGGTCATTCTCGTTGGTGGATGCAGCACTGTGAACAGTTTTTGACTTAGAAATCTGCATTTGGTCTGCTATAAGCCTCTGTTTTACTCGAATATTATTGTATACATACTCATAAGCAATAATAATTACCGCACATTCGTGCTGCAGAAGTGATACGAACACTCTTACTACAGTTTGCTGGCAGATTCAAGCCTCAGTTTCTTATAGAAATTTAAGTTTCCTCACAAGATTACATAACTAATTCTGTATCATGATCCTGTATGCTGTATTGCATTAATTAATTTTAAGTAACCGAATATGCCGTACAATTGCGTATGCAAATAAGTAGTATAAACTATGGATATTGATTCGCAGTTGCACACGAGAAGCCTGAAATAAAACACAACTCATCTGAAGCTACCCGACCGTGTCCAACGTAACTTTTTAAAATGTAAAAAATGGTACTGGTATGTGTAACCGGTAGGGAGCACACAAAGAACATAAAAATTAAATCAAAACAAATTACAAACACCAGTACGGTGAATTCTTTTGCAATAAAATGCCGATTATGTTAGCTTGCGGCATTGCAAGCCGCCTTGTGCAGCTTCAATTTACAGTCCATTACCGAAATTTACTTATGTTTTATAAATAATGAACCAGATTCCTTAATATGTGCTATGACAAATCGAGAGTTTCATCAGTTGCCTTGTTTCCTTCATATGACTGATTCCCGAACTTTGTGCAATTTAATAACCAATTAAAATTCTATAGGCGCTTGTTAGTGCTTAATGCAGTTTTTTTAATATTTATTGCAGTTAAAGAATGTGCCAACTGAAATTCAAACGTTATTGTCTGTACGCGCGACAAAATGTAAAGCTGCTTCGGTATTTGTGGTGCTGCTACTTGTACACTTATTTCAGCAAATCATGAGAACAATATTGTACGTACGTGTTAAATAAAGCTGATTATTAATTTTTATCTGCTTGAATCTACCGTACTGTACATGTAATGGATAACGTTGTCCATGTTTAAAAATGGTCGGAATCCGAATGTAAAGCTTGCAAGCTGGATGAAATACAAGTTCAAAGAGCGGGTACCAGCAACGAACTTAAACATGCCGGCTATAAGACGTTAGCGCGTAGTGCACCGTCAGATGATCAACGTACTGTATTCGCCGTACAGACATCATTCAGGAAAAAACATCATTCAAGCAAAATTTCAGCTGATTCGCGCTAGCGGCGGTTATTAGCACTGCATGGTGTGTAAACTGTAGCCTCGTTTAAAACTGCCGATTTGCAGAATGTCTGCAAGTGTGTAATGTGGTGCAAGTCAAAAAAAACTTAAAATTTTCCTTCATACTTCACTGTCAGATACTAAGTAGCCACGCGACTATTAGTGCACACTTGATTACGGAAATTGTCCATATTAGTTTTGTATTTCAACATATTTTCGTTTAGTCCTATTTCGAAATAAAGTGTCAAGACCTAATCATGGCGGAAAGTTCTACGAAGCGAAAACACGTGCTGGTGCTCAATGTTCCTGCCCATGGACATATGATTCCATTGCTGGAATTATCGCGAAGAATTGGTCATTTTCACACAGTAACATTTGCCGTATCCAAAAGCCAAGCTCAAAGTCTGCAGGAGCGGGAATTCTCTCGGTGCAGTCCGGCGAAGACGTGACGCTGTTCCACATCGAGGACGGAGCCAATGTAACGTAACGATAACTACTTGTATAACTGTATCATACTACGGTACTATACAAAATAATATTATACTGGAGCGTCACGCTATACTTTATTGCTTTTTTACAAACATTAAAGTGCAGCCATTACTAAAACTTAAACCTATTTTCGCATTCTTATTTGAATGTCTAACTCGTATTTCTTGCTGGTAATGATGCTGAGGTATATATAAATTCAATTTAGGTTGATATAATTTATTGCATATGTGTGAATGTAAAACAATCAATATAATAATTATAGATATGCGCTTTATACGAATTCGAACGTACTTATTTGCTAGCTTTATATAAATTGCACCTTTAATTTACTGATTAGTCTTAAAAAATGCACGCATTGTTTTTGTAACAATTGCAGAGTGGATTTCATGCCAACAATATGAAAGAAGCCTTCGATAATTTTAACCACGTAATCTGTCCAGGAGTAGAAACAGTCCTGAAAGACATTAACACACAGCAGTCCCGAAGCAACGGCAACAAAAAATTGCATTTATGTACCGGACAATCGCTGCCCGTCGTGGATGTTATTCTGTTCGATATGTTCCTAACAGGAGCCGTGATGCGGAACAAAATCCCCGGTATATTATACTACTACTTTAATTCTCCTCCCGCCATATTATTACGTTGGTTTCTGATGTTGAACGATAAAACACCGGTTGTGGCGCTGGAGGATCACGATTACTTTCACCGCATTCCGGACGAAGTCGGCCAGCCTGTGGTCGGGCAGATGGCGGGCATTTTGGAGCTATTTCTGCCGATTGGTCAGTTTCTTCCGGATGTGGACGGCATTGTTTGCAATTCCTTCCGGGCCATCGACCAAGAGGATTTGGATTTATTTCTACAGGATCCGCGGATGAAGGATAGTAAAGCCGCGATCTACTGCTTGGGTCCGTTTATTCCCGAAGTAAAATGCACTGGACAGACGGAAGTGGAGAAGTGGTTAGGGGATAAAGACAAGAGATCGGTTATTTATGTTTCCTTCGGCTCGGCAACGGTTCCACAACCCGAACAGATAAACGAAATCGGTTGGTGTTTGATTATAATCGTTAATATTGGCGAACAAAAGCTATAACCATTGCCATTTAAAAACTATCCAAGAATGACATATATTTATTTTCACAATAATCAAAAACAGCAATAAATTTAAATGAATTAACAGAAAACATTGCGAAAATAATATTACCGGCATACTGTTATTATTTATTAATAATTAACCTATTGTATGGGACTATATGGAGTATCTTGTATTTGGTGCTGAAGGAATAAATTCTTAATGGGAATATGTAAAGAATGTATTAATGGGAATATGTAAAGAATTTATTTTCCACAGGAAAAGCTTTGTTGATGGTTGATCAACCGTGCATCTGGTCCTTGAAAGCCGGACACGAGCAGCATGTTCCACCGGAACTAATATCCAATGAAGCGAAAGCTAAATTTCTGATAGTACCTTGGGCACCGCAAAAAGAAATCCTGGCTTCTCCGGCCACCAGCGTAATGCTCAGTCATTGCGGATGGAATGGAACGCTGGAAAGTCTGAGCTGTGGCGTTCCTTTGGTGTGCTTTCCGATGTTTGCCGATCAGCTGGATATTGGCAAAATGCTGGCGCGAAAAGGTCTTGGACAGTTCATCCCGGGAACGGGACTGAAACCGGAACGAGTGGTTCCAGCGGAGGAAATTACTGCTGCCCTGAAACAAGTCGGCGAATTCCGCCACGGTGACCAGGGGAAATTTCACCAAGCAGCTGCGCGGATGGAAAATGAGATCAAGCTGGCGCTGAGTGACCAGGGAACATCGACGAAAGAGTTTCACCGTTTCATCCAGTTTAAGGAAGCTTAATATCCATACAACGGAATAATTAACCAGTATTTTGTGGGGCATTTTTAAAGTTCTTTTTTAAATACAATTATTGTACGTGTTGGTTTAAGAAGGTGTCGTTTGTCGAGGCGACCAGGTTGATATCGCAGTTTTTTTAGTGAAAAGCAACAATATTTTTTAGCAATTCTACAATATACTTTGCATATATGCTCGAGCGTTGCGAGTTTAATCATAATCATGTTGCACATAAGGTCAGAAACTTAGTAAGATTATCAGAGTTCGCTCATTATAATATTTACGACGTTAAAATTGTACGCGGTTCGGAAATTTTGTGATTATTGCAACTTCGTTAATTTTAATCGCTTTAGTCTAGTCTGAAATACATACTGATATCGAAAAGGTTATTCCACCATTTCAGATGATGCGGCACAAAATCACGCTAAACAGCAATACAACGAGCTCTACTCTGTACTTCTAATTCGGTTGTTTTATAAGAGCAATCTGCAGTTTTGTACTGTAAATTTTTTAACCATGAAAGTACAGTATGTATCCGTACTTCAGAAACTGAGTTGCTAAAACTAACTAATACCTTGTATCTGAAAGAGACATGCGCCCAACAAGAAGCGTAGCTGACGTGTATCGACGTATTATCATGAAACAGATTTTCTACGAATAGCGAAGGGTTCCAGTAATATTGTTATCGGAGGTTCCCGTTAGAACAGTAGCGTTGAAGGTGTTTATGATGCGAGATGTATTAATAAGAGCTTCCAGTTTTTCAGTTGGTGCGCGGTAGTTTTCGGATCGTTCGATTAGGAAGCAAACGAAACCCAAAAATCCCATCACCATCTAAAAATGCTTTTACATAGAATTATAATATAGGCATAGGCGCATAGCGAAATTCAAGTTACATATACATATAATAAATGTTTTGGCAATAATCTGTATATTTTTTTCTGGGAATTCTGAGAGTAAAAAATGAACCAAAGGCCAGTACCGGCGCACAATTTGTATAAGAATTCCGCGGCGTTGTAAAAAAACAAAACAAAAGTTCTCACCCCTAAACCAAACCCACGATCGATGTTAATTATTCGTGATAGCTTCAGTGAATAGCAGTGATGGTCGATAGTATGCAAAATGGTCAATAAACAACCATCTTCATCCGCCGCTTCAACCTGCAAATATTGAGAAGGGTCACATTACTTGACGCTTACCAAAGTGTTCCGCCCGGTCGAAATTTTGAAGTCGTAAAACTATAAGTACTCGTATACTTTATATATTTGTATTTAAAGACAGTATTGGCCGTGCAATAGTGTTATACCATACACCTTCTAATTAACAAAATTAATAAGCAATTGGCACAATTCCCGATTGTGTAAAAACTTTACCTTATCTCGGGTGCGCTGTCGACAGGTAATTAATTCCTTCCACAGTGGTTTAGATCGGAGACTCTGGAGAGTACTGCTTTTATAAGTAAGTACGACTATATATTTGTACAACTTATTTAACAACACACACATCTTATACTGGAAGAGTTTAAAAAAATTTGTAGGAAAATACGGTTTTGCGCTCATTGCTAGACCCTTAGAGGTTAATCTTTTTGTATTGTCAAAATCTACAAAAACCACATGTTCATGCTCAGATTCCTCGATTATGGACTTACACTGTAATAAAGATGCTATCATTCTTTGGTTACTAAATTTTACCTGGAGAACGCCTCAGAACAGTTTCTGCTACCATAGTAAGTAATATAAATTCTGCTACTGCAATAGCTTTCACTTCTATAAACGCACAGACTCTTTTGGTTTGCTAACCTACGAGTAAAATGGTTAGACCGAAGACGTTGCTGCGCTCCCCTTCATACTTAATTACCGACCAAAATCGTTATTACTTATTAGGATAGCAGAACAGTAGCGGTCTATTTAAAATTTATTATTAACGTTTTTAAAAATATATATGCTCGAAGAAAGCAATGTCCCGGCGTTCATGGAAACTCAGTCACTATGTTTACGCAGCTGATAATATCCGTATTTGTAGTATTTTATACATTGAGCAGCTTACTGTACTCGCACTGTCATACCGTACCGTTTCCTCAAGGACAACTGCGAAAAGCACAATGATCATCAATCCAATGAGGGGCTGACTGAACTGACCCACAAACAGAAGCATCGAAATTATATCTGTAGTTTTCTGTGCCGTAACGGTAAAGCAGTAGGAAGTCAAGGACGCCAGGATGGCCAAGCTCCCGAATATTAAGCATGCCAGGGTGGAAGACCAAGCTTCGCTCATGTTGTTGGATGACGTAATTAAGGCTTCTTGTTTGATCCGCAGTTGTCGCAAAGTTTGTTCAAAATCACTGCTTTGCGTTGTCCGTGCATTGGCCAGTACCCCGGTTTCAGACGGAAGTGACATTGAATGAGTCGGTGGTTTTGTGTGCATCGCAGTTTCCGTGACCTTTGCGAGTGCTGCCTGTAACTGTTTATTGTACCTTTGCGCCGAACTGGTAAACACAGAGCACGTATGCACATAGTACAGATAAATAGGTTGGATACTGATTTGGCTCAAAAAGACGGCAGTACCCCGTAATAATTCAACAATGCCCTTTGGAACAGCCGGCATAAACAGGAAGACTATCGGTTCCCAGAAATTGGTTCTGTTCATCCACTGTTTGATGATGTAACATATTAGTCCCACGAGGCTTTCCGCTGCTAAATACAAGATAGCAAACCAAGCTATTTTTACACGTTTTCCATGTGTCCTTGTAGTTGCGTTTATATCAGGGTTTCGACGCGATCCATGCTGCGATTTTCTGGACTTTTTCAGATTTACTTCGTCTAGTTCCTGTAGAGCGCCAGTTACACGATCCAATTTGCTGATAAACGTAAACGTAGCAGCGGATGCCAAGAATGTGGTAAACATCACCCGAAAAAAGGTCAAGCCGGTAATGATTGGGCTCTGCGGGAAATTATCGTTGGGATCGTCGTAGGCGATGGTCTTCAGTTTGTCGCCTTGGCTTAACCAGTCCATGAAGTCCATTAAGAAAAGTGAAGTGACAATGATAGGGATAAAGTATAATCCGCAGTTTTGACAGCGCGGTGAAGATTGTCCGCAGGTCGAGGCGTTTTTGTTCTCCTGGTGCTTCATCGTAATGATCAAAATAAGAAGGCCGTTCTTTGAAGTTATCTAATTAAGGAAAACAAGTTTGTCCTCAAAACACAAGCATATATAAGGTAAAAGAATTAAGCCTGCTTGTAACCTTGCAAATGCCAAACTGTAAACCCTGCTTTTGGTGGTGGAAAAACCGCAGGAATTCTCGCAGCCGATCGCAGATGGATCGCCAATCATGAATGTTTAGCTGCGCTTCTCTCCCGTTACTCTGGGATGACAGTTTATTTAAGGTCCTTGAGGTTAAACGATAAATCGTCGTGTTGCAGGTGAATAAACAAATTCCTGCTTATTGCAGATGTGGAAAAAAATGACCTGCGTACGTATGGTTGCAGACTTGGAGTACGTCAATTATACTGCGATGGATAAAATACAGATAAGTTAAACACTGATCAATACCGGCACCAGGCACATGCTCGAGTTCGACAGTACTAATGGTAAGGTTCCCAATACCTACGACGCTACCCTTTTTTGTTTCTAGTGTCGATAGTGAATCCTTTAATTTAATAATAACAAAAATTAAATTGTGCCTTGCCGCTGCAGTATTAGTTTTAAAATGCTGTAACAATTCAAATTTTAGGACTTACTGTCAAAATAGCGCCGCGGTTGTACTGTTTTGACTAATTACTAAAGATGTTAATAACCTGATTTGTATGGCCTTACGTATTTTTTCTTTGCTGGTTACTTTATTTACAATGAATTTTAGTTTTATAGGAACAGCGTCGAGCATTGCCGTAGAAATACTACATATGAACTCAAGAAATTTTTGAAGTTTTATGCGATGTCTTGGTGCAATAATATCCACGTAAAACCGCGGACACCTGCTGTTTAACCGCATCATAATTCTATATGTCCGTGAATTGAAATATTCAATATGCTTTTCGGGATGTCTATATCCACTGAAGAACAGTTGCAGTCGATTCGTTCATCGATTTTCGCGTCCAAATTCAAGTCAAGTTTGAGTTGAAAAACAAGTATCTGATAGGTGAGGTATAATCCGAAGAGCTGCAACAGAATAATAATTCGGATGACACAATATTAAACTTAAGTACTTAAGCATAATAATTCATATTTCGGACTTAACTACGTACTCAAATAAATAACTAATGCGCTTCGCGGTAACTACTTGTATAATCACCAAAATTTCGGTAGCAGTTATATCTAGCAATTAAGCAGATAAAAGAAGCTGTCCAATGTCTCTAATTAAGTTTTACGGCACAATCAAGCTTATGTTTTTTGCTAGTTGAAAGTAAACTCCAAGCAACTTTGCCGCACGGGATACTAAATTATATAAAAATTTGAGATTTCTGCACGTACCGTTACAATGGCACCATAATTCACCGTAAACATTTTCCAAGCAGTGAACCCGATGTTATTGCAAGACAGTGCGTTCAAAAACGTTTGCAGTTGCAGGGTTTCCGTAATGGAAAGACTTGTTTGATCAATCTGATGGAGATTAATTGCTGGTGAGTGGGCCTGTTAAAAACAATAGCAACATCATAATTGAAAGCGAGGAATTAGTATCTGCGTTTTATTTTCCGTGCACGAAATATATTGGCTAATAATATAATCTTCGGTTGCGAAAAAAGTAGAAACTGTAGTTATCAGCGATCCGATGTAAAGAAGTGGACATACGAGAAATTTAATTCTTACCGCATCATGTAGAACAGCTCCAGCAAAAAGGATTAAACAGAGCTGGAACAAGTACTGCAGACACCAAAACAGCAATGAAAAAAAGAATATTATCGTTGCGTTAGTGATCTGCGATATATCCACCAAAACGAAAATTCCCAGCAGGATTTGAAAAACCGCACATATAAGCGATACCAAAATAAACGGCGACATTACATTGTCGGCAACTTCCAGCAATATGCACAGCGTGTTATGCGATGTTCTAAACCATTCGATTTTTGAACAGTTTCCATTGCTGCTGATATTATGTTTCAGATCATGATTGATGTGCATAAAATCCACGACAAAGAAAGAAGCAATCATAACAAAAAAATACGTGGGAACCACATACAAGAAGCTAGCGTAAAGCTGCCGATAATCAGGATGATTTTGAAATATGTTGCACTATCCGGTGTTGAACCTTCCATAAAAGCGTCTCGCATCTGCTTATACAAATTGTCATCAATAAAGACCGGCGCCCACAGTGTAAAAATTTGCAGCGCCAAGTGTAGGACACAAATAACGGTAATTATATTTCGCCTTCGGACGGCCTTTTTATGAAAATTAGCCATTTTGCAATGGGGATCGGTGCAGCCGCGATAATGAAAGAGATCAAAGCAGAGAAATAATCGAAACAACGATGTTTTTTTCGCACAGGAAATCAGGATTATTAGATGAATAATTAGTAGCTGGACAACCCAGAGTGTGTAACTGATTGCCGTTACGATGTTCACCAAACTGCGATTCGTTACTCTTCCGTGTAAAGTGTAATGCACAAAATGCCACGCCGTATAAATGAATTTGGCGCAATATAGGCCTACCACAACAAAAACCAGCATGCAGTAACACATGCTGATATTTTCAAACAAGGAATATTTGGCAATCAGATTCGGATGCACTATTAAATTAGACCCCACTTGACTTCCATCAGCGTTAGGAATAGAAAACACAGATCCTTGTGGCGTCTCCATCGCAGCTACTTTGCGCAAATCTCGCATATTGCCAGACGGGATGAAATACATTCCTCCAAGACGTAAAAGAAATAAAAACGGCCGGCATACACTGTATAACAAATTCTTTCTCAGCTCATAAAGTCTTGGTGCTGATCCATTAGTGTTATTGGTAGCGATATTTCCATTCCCATTGTGCACGGCATTTGCGGTTTCCTCCATTTTCCCAGCGAAGCAAGGATGTGGGACTTTGAATGTAACCTTATATGTTTTATATCTCTCCGAACGTTACCGAAAGACGAATGCGCTTTCAAAGAATTTTAAAATACAGTTTAGCATGGGCGGTCACCACGGCACACGAAACTGACAAAGATAATTTTATTATTTTGAATAACAAAATTAATCTTTCATATTCTACGCGTGCGGGACAGTACGTAAATAGTATTTGCATGGCGAAGTCGAATAACCTCCTAATCGATACTTTACTGCACCTTACGCACTGGTCTCTACTGCCTGCTATGAAACCTTCCAGATCGTTTGCATATTTGTTGCATAATCTGATCAGAGTGTTGTAAGGTACGCTGGTATATTGATTTATCAATATTTCTCACCTTATTAGACAAGCAACTGGTATAGGTAGGCGAGAATGAAAATGGAAAGACCATTGTCGCCGAACTGTACGTACGTAGGTCGGCAACAAAAAAGTAACACTATAACAATGTCATATGAGTGAGCACAATCTATTATACAGATCTGTGGATAAGTACATTTGTAGATCGGTACGCGTACGTATGCGAATTATAATAAGCATTAATTATTTGTTCAGTAAACATTATTGCTTGGAATACAGAAAACCAGTGGAAAACAAATTAATTGTATGTACTCACTCCTCAGTAGTTGTACTGCTTAAACAGAGAGCTAGCAATAGTTATTTATCTCATCGGCTCTTGACGATCGCTACATCGTCGTCTTAAAATAACATAATGCAGGCGAAATACGTAGTATAAGCCGCCAAATAATTAACGAGTAAGAACAACAACTAGACATGCACCTAAAAATGTACTTTGGGAAATTACTGCACTCAAAATTTGAACCATTATAAGCCCAAAGTACGTAGCTCACAAAGATTTATTGCACGTGGTTACAATCGCGCTAATAAAAATTAGCAGTTTCGCTTACAATCAGGTACTTGTTAACCGGCACTTTTTCATGCACAAATATGGGGTTATATCTCCATACAGTGCTGTTAAGTCTGTTATATTGTTATTGACCGTATGATGTGCAAGATTTACCCTCAAGGAAATTCGGCTACAGCACTGCAACATGTGACATAATATTTATTGCGAACCAGACAGTCTGATAATTATTACAGCATTACGGTATTCATACAAATAAGCGCCCATGCATTTCTACTGACACAAATTGTAACATAAGAATAGTTCTAGGTAAAAACCTTGGTGCGACAATGGATGTACAGACAGTATACCTGGTTATCCTCCTGTTTCCGGTTTTGTTCTATACCAGCTTACAGTTGCAGTTTCCATGGGTAAGTTTCCAACTACAGATATGTACAAACAAAGGCTTTGACTGGAAATGTATGTATGCACTATGCAGGTCTCTATACAATTAAACTTTAGCAGAAAAATATGCACTGCATATACCTAAAGTATATTTACGGTAAGTTGTAGATTACTTGTAGATTACTTGTAGTTTTAAGGCGTATAATGCATGGTAAGTGCACATCTAAAATTAAAAATTCGCACTACGATTTACAGAGACTGCAACGAATTCTGTCGGGAAAATCTTATATTTTACGTTAATACAGGCGACACCAGCCCAAGACGCCACGGAATCTTCCGCGTCCGTATATGATCTAAAACTTCCAGATGTTCCAGGTGGGTCTTTGTACATAATCTAAGCAAATTTGCTAGGTGTGAGTATATAAGCAGGAAGAAAAGGAGAAATTGTGTATGTAACGAAATTTTGAAGGCGATAATCATTTGTTTCTTTGGTACGCGTACTGCATTTGTACAATATACAGCGCATGTTGATCATGGACTGTACCTAACAACTGAATAATTGTGATGCACAGGTGATCGCGTACAAGAATTTCTTAATTTGACTGTGGCTGGAGTCGATTATCCCATATTTGAGCACATACCGGAAACCAATTTTTCATGTACTAAAGTGGAACAGCCTGGATTCTATGCGGATCCAGAAACAGGGTTTGCATAAATTTAGCGATAAAAAATCCGTAGTTAGGCTGCAGCAGTCATAAGAACATTATGCGAAATGCTTGGAAGCTAGATTAGTGCAGATGTGCCCGGTACTCAATTACTCATTTAATATAAAAGTTTTGGCTGCAGTTATTACGTAAGGACGGATACTGTATACTTACCTTTGGTTTGCACAAGTATGTAACAATTTATATTGCAGATGCCAAGTCTACCATCGATGTGATCCGCAAGGAAAAAAGTTTAGCTTCCTGTGTGCAAACCTGACAATTTTTGATCAGCTGCTGCTAACCTGTGACTTCTTTTGGAAAGTTCAGTGCAAAAAGTTAGTATATTTTAACCTACCTGTCGTCAGAAATTGCGTTTTTATATTGTAATTTGTTTGCTATAATTTAAATATCTTTTACTTTTTTGATACGAAGTATAAAGCCATAATCAGAGTCATGCGGACAAATTGGCAACGTCTTTCTTGCCGCGGCCGATAAACTCGTTAATTCAGTTCAGTACTAGTTTCCCTCAGAATTAATCAAATTCCTTACGAGATACTCAATTTTGATTTGGATTCTAATTTTAATAAATTAGCAAAACAGAGCTCGAGAGTAGAAGACACTCAGAAACAAGTTTGTTTGACTTGAATGAGCATGTTCAGTTGAACTGATAACACTTCACTTATTTTGCAGTGCCGTTGGATTTTACAACTATGCCAATGTGCATCTATACAGTCAGGATGAACTGTTACAGTCTCCATTTCATGATCAAGGAAGTGGACGTTGAGTTCCTCGAAATATGTATCTATCCGCATAAAACAGTAACTTACCGGTTTGCTCAAAGTTACAGTTTCTGAGACAACATTAAATTCTGTCTACTAGATTTGCCTACTATAATATGTTGTCATTTTTACAGAGTATGTACAGATATACAAAAGCACAACAGCGGTGTAATTAAATTTGCTGTGTTAATCAGGCGAAGTCTGACTTTCTGTAACCTGTGACCATGTATGCCTCACGATGCTCGATTTTTACGAACAATATCATAGATGTAGCATGTGGTCATTACATTGTTGTATAAAAAGATGTGTGACTGTTTCCGTATGTATTTACAAACAGTTTCGTATCAAAATTTAAGCAAAGTACATGAAAATCTTCGTTTTAATCGGCAACAGCCATAGCGGCGTAATACAACGTAATTCACGGTCCTATTAATGATAATACGTGCATGAATAGCAAAAACCTACTTGTGGTATTAGTTTTTTAACTTTTCCCTTTTCCCGTATTTGTTTTCTAACTTTTCCCGTTTTCTAACTTTTCAAAGGCACGCTTAGTTACAAACCAAGCTGGCTGAAAATTAGAAAACAGACGAAAATATCCTAGATAACTTGTTTTTAAAAAACGTATGTATGCTTTCCAAAACCAGTAGTAGAAGGACGGAAAAATCGGAAGCCAAATGGAAGATTTTTCCTTAGTTTTTATGGTTTTGGTCGTCTTTTGGAAACAAATCGTGAATATGGCGACTGGAAAGACAATTAATTAAACCCTCCCCCTTTCATGTTCATTCATTTGAAAACGTGTCACGGCGAACATATGAACTTATTCACAAGTAATGAACGTCTGGCAAGTCTTAGAAAAATAACAATGGCAAAGTGATACGTCCTTAATAAAGCAGCTGACAAACTTTCAAGGATGATAGCAAGTCGTTACCGGAAGATGGATGACAAATGTCGCAGCTTGAAATCGGGATTGCAGGGGGTGGAGAATGTCCAGTGCAGAAACACACCTTTATGAACCGGCGAGCATATTCAAATGCTTTCACCTACGATATAGTCGCGCATCATTAAATCGACGCCAGCCTTTTGTATTATGTATTGTTATTTGTCAAAATATTTAAATGCGTCTAGTTTCCTGTGTGACTGACCAAGTCAGTGTCAGTAAAGCCAATCTTCCTTGTAAGCCATTCCAGGTTTTCCTTTTTAACCACCAGCCATTGTTCATCACTAATTCGCAGTGTATCGAAAACAAACATAATATATGGATCATAATAATATAATAATATCATAATATCCTTATACACCTTGATAATATCATACTATCCCTCGAAGTTGTAGTGAGTGCAATTCGTTGTACGCAGCCTGCAGTATGCTTTCCCGTGTAATTAATAAGCTATATACTGAAGAAAATTATTAATTTGTGGTGCTGCATCGGTAACGGAATAAAATACTTCGTACACTACCGATCGTGAAACCGTAAAGCATGGAGAAGTTTCGAATTATTAAACTCACGCAATTTATATACGAGAGTTTGAACTCTCGTACATATATATGTTTGCTACAATCGCATAGTACAACAAATGATAAACAGCATATTTGTACTGCAAATTTTTCGGAAATTCGGGACGTATTGTGCGTACGTACTGCTGTACTTGCACAAATCGCTTATAAGTCTACAGAATAATGTTAGAACAACAGGAACATCGTATTATGACATCGCTACGCATTTCCGTCAAATAGTACAATGGGTGGAGATATGAAAAATATGTTTGGTATTATGTCTTGTATTATGTATATGTTCGGTATTCTTTCTTGATGAATTAAGCACATTATTTCGAATAACGAGCCGATAATTAAAGGATAACAAAACACGGCTGTTTTTAACAGCAAATGTGTCTTCATTTATACTCGTAGAGTTTTTCCTTCTAAAAAATAATTAAGCAAAGCGAAAGTTTCTGTAACTGTAGTCGCTTCGCAAAAAAGGGCACAGAATTTGGACAATAACCGAACCATTGCAATGTCCATGTGAGTGTTGTTACTGATCAGTGGTCAGCGCGTAAACAGCTTTTATCTTACACGACAGCAATATTTTTGACGCCGCGCGCCACAAAACCTATCAATGCTCATCCTCCAGAGAAGACGCCCAGCAATTAACTGCATTTGGCTCGTCTTTTCAGCGAAACGTAATCCATCGGGCGGCAGTCTTTGAGCGGCTCGGAGCTTCTTGATATGCTGATCTGTCCCTCGGGGTGGGTAAATGTGGTGTGTTAAATTGTTAGACAATGATTATAATTTGGATAATGTGATTAGTCCATTGATTAGCTGCTTTTTGTAATTGAACCGCGCGATCGAATTCTATAGCCGGCTGGAGGCTGCTCTGGCTCCATAATCTGCCGAAAGCAACGCTCCATTGTCATCGGCACTAACTGCAGCTGAGGGAGACAATTTAAATGAGACTATTTGTAATCAGGAATTAATCAAAGACATACGCGCTCCGTCTGACTGTCTCCGTGGTCTCCTTCAATGAAAGCGTCCGCGACAAACATAAACTAATCTTTTCCGAGAGAGGGAGAAGAGTGACGCTGCCCAGAGACGGTTCCGGACCATTGCGAGGAGGGAAGCGGTCGCCCGGCAATGTTAACCAGTGCGCAACCCTTTATCTGAAGGCTATTTGGCACTGTCCACTCTCTCCGTGTATATACAGATCCACAGACGATGCCGGTACTGGCGCCGCGGCCACGTCCGGGACGGCTCTGGCCTTTCATATAATGTTATCGCTGTTTAATTGATGCCTTTATAGTCCACGCTCGTTAAATCAATGGCTTGATTAGAAATTAAGTTGATTCTGACGAATAACGTCCCTGCCGCTCTACACAGTCTCCATCGGGCACCATGACGGATCGTTTGTCTGTATAATTAACGCAGATGTGGTTCAATGGTAAATGGTAGCCGAATTAGTCGGCTGTATGCATGTCGCCCAGAGACGGTACTTGGTTGTGGATTGGAAATAGCCCTAAGTCATGTACTGCGCCGCCGTTTGATTGGCCGGCAAAGTGGTAAAAGCATGCAGCACGGGGTGGGGCTTGATGCCGCCGCGGAATCGCTGTCGTACCAGCAATTGCAGTTTACGTTACGCTTCTGTTGACAATGAAATGTTTACAGAAGTAGTTGGATCGAACAAATTAGCTAGGAGAAATATCCGAGCGCGTCTTTGAGCTGCACTTTTTCTCCAGCGCTTCTGACGAGATTGAGTGTAGAGTGTGCGTTGGCGATTTGCAATTGGTACAGCCGTCGTCTTCCTTTAGTGTTCCGATCTGTCATCACTTTTGCAGTTGGACTGTGCTGTCATTTAAACTCTCGACACATCCACGGATATGGATTCTGTTATGAAATCCATATTGTAATTGCACCAGTCAGGCTTAATATTGGACGCCAGCTGAAATCTTTAACGGTGGTGCAATTGTTCATGACACGACTGCAAATGACGATGTCACAATTGGACAAGGAACAGAAAAATCACCATCCAGTCGCGCCTGTTGTTCCTCATCCTAAGCGGAAGCCAATATCTTTTACGGTCGATTCCATTCTAAGCGACAATGGACAACGTTCACCTTCACTATCGCCGCGATTGTCCGACTCATCCTCGCCAATTTTACCAGAGGATGGCGATATCAGTGGCATGAGTAGTCCGACGGGGGAATGTGGACAGAACACTTTCCCTTCCGGTCACGCCTGGATTAGTCCTTCAGTTATTCGGAATTCATTTTGTTCTGGAAGTGAGTGCTTAACATTATTACGTCATTTCAAAAGCTAATAAATACACAAGTATATAAAGTACTAATACATAATTATAAAACTTGTTCATGCATTTTGGCGTAGTTTTCGTTTTTGGTGTGCGTTGAACCGCGCACGAACTCTACAGGTACGCGTTCCAAAGCTCGATAAGTAACAAAAGCTTCGGAAAATTTGTATTGGCAATTAAGCCTAATCAAAGCGAAGAGGCTAGCCGGCAGTGGTACCGGACCATCGCCGATAGAATCGTTTTTAAGTACAGTACTCTCGCTACTTAGTCTATCTTCAAACAAAATCTGACACTGTTCTGAGCAAATGCCGCTAGTCGTGCCCTTTCGAGCTCTGTCGGAGTAGGTTCAATCGTGCTTTTTTGGTACAGTATCTGTATCTGTACAACGTGGTGACGCTGTTTCGAATGCATTTAATCAGAAAAATATTTATTTCTGCAAAACTACAATAATTTACAATTATTTAACGTATTTATTAACTGTCGTGTTTTAAGGAAACCGTTACCGTACAGTTTTCGTAGTGAATGTAAAAGCAATCGAACTGGCTGGCAACCGTTTAGAATATGGCAATGCTGGCGCAGACGTTTGTAAATATACCTACCACTAATAATTATTATAAAGTTATTCACAATTAGTTTATAACAACGGATTCCTTAGAGTATGTACAGGTTTCGACCGCGCAGACTTCAAACTTGTATTCCACACAAATTTGTAAAAATGTATCTAGAAAGGTTGTTTCTCGCAAGTTCTATGTTTTGTATGCATATAGTAACAATAAACGAAGTTAGACGCCCCTTAGCCAGTCTGCCTAACTTAAATCGTATTTTAAATTTGCAAGGACAGTGTTATCAATAAATTTGTCAGGATATCAAAAGTGGAATGCATACATCATTTGGAAGTTATTTTAGAATGTAATTGGATTCAGCTAAAATACGCATTTGATTTTAGAACCTGGTGATCCACGACTAATTAACGCTCAGAAGTGCGCCCTTCGCAAGCACAAGCCGAATCGGAAACCACGAACGCCCTTTACGACTCATCAACTTTTGGCATTGGAAAAAAAGTTTAAAACTAAACAGTATTTGTCGATTGCGGAACGTGCCGAATTCTCTAGCCAGCTTACGTTAACGGAAACTCAAGTCAAAATATGGTTTCAGGTACGTAATGATGAATGTAATGTACTAGCAACCAAAACACGCTCTTACACCATTAAAAACTCCGCATGTATAGTACATATGTACTTCGAGAAATCTTCTGGAAAATCGGTGACATTAATTCGTATGAAGCATTTCTGTCCGTAATTACTGGAAACAGACTGCTAGCATTGTAACTTGCATTCAATGCGAATTGAGAAGCAAAAATGCACAGCATATATTTAATTTCGTTTCGAACTTTATGTTTACTCTACGTTCTAAGAAAATAGGTTAACTAATGATTCTAGACAATGCTAATCGAATCAGGTAAAAGCAGCTGCACGCATTGGTAATGTGGCGCCCATAAATCGGGTTAGAATTTAATTGCATCGATTAATAAAAACGACGAATGCAATGAATATTTTATCAATGCCTGTTACATATTTTGACACGCTGGCTCTGATTATTGATTTGCGAAACTAAATTAGCTGTGATGACTGCGTTCGTTTTTTTATACAATTTTTTGTTAATAGTTTCCAATTAATGAGATGTTAGCCAGATATAAAAGTACTCTACAAATGTGTTTATATCTCTCGTCACGTTTTATATTAATATTCTGAAATATTACCGATTGCAGAATCGACGAGCCAAACAAAAGCGTATACAAGAAGCGGAAATCGAAAAGCTGAAGATGCAGGCCTCTGCTAAGCCGTTTTTCCCGCCCGGAATGGCCATGGCCAATGGCTTCGCAATGCCACCAATCTTTTCACAAGCCGGCAGTTTGGCTTCCCTTGCGTCCACCCTGCCTCAACAGATTCCGGTGACGTCGGCATCCTCAGCATTTCTTCCGCCCCCGGGATTTAGCTTATTTAATCCATTTGCCCAGCATCCGATGATGTTTCCGCCACGATAACCAGAATGTGCACTGTGCAGTGACCTTTCAATTGTGTAATGAAAATTGTTATACTTATTACCGTATGTATACAAATGTATTATGGATTTACCTTGGCTGTTATGGATTCTGTATTTCCTCTTGTTTTAAAATCAGAAAATATGTTTGAAGTGAATTATTGGTATTATTCCCAACTTGTATTAAAACCCTGCTTAAATGACCAGTTCGCCAAACACCGTCTTTTTAATGCAAAATTACTAGATTATCGCATTATCGCTTGCTGATGAGGAGGATGCGTGGTGCATGTGTCAGGAAATTTGAGTCAGGAATCATGGCAAAATGTAAAAAATGCACATCACTGGAGTTGTCAGTTTTATGATAGGAGATTTATTGGCCGGCTCATAAAGTGCCTGCCACAACAGATCATGCATGAACCGTATATATACCGGCTTTAACCTAATCGTCGGCCGTTTGCCACTTGGTCCGGCGCTTTGAAAATGTTTATGGGCGCATTTAGACAGTCAACAGACATCTGCGGCCTCCTGCTGCAAATTTATATGGAATACATACAATAACTCTGGCCGATAGATCAACGATAGTTCATTTTGACTTGTTCCTAATTTCATCCCGCGCATTAGAATAAGCACACCCGACACGGTGTGAATAATATGCAGTCAATGAAAATTAAATAGCACGCCACGTGGGATGCATACACTGCTTGTTATGCATGCTTGGTTACCTTTCAGCTTAATAATGGACTCCCAGCTAATTTTTCCTCTTAAACCTATTGTTAGCAGATAGCTATCCTAATTTTTGTCAACCTGCACCAATCGATCACAGGACTATCGATGTACTGAATATTATTATAATGTACGCGCAGAAGTCCAAATGTATTTTCCCACTTAACCATTAAATCTGTCTTTGACACGCCAAGTTCATCTCGTGCTTGAATGAGTCGTTACAAAACCTACAGACATATCATTGTCCAAGAGGTTTTTGTTAAAGAATGAATTATTGACAGTAGTTGTTAGTTGTTCCCTCGTATCGATAAAGTTCAAAATCTGTATTCCAACATTCGCAGTCAATTAATTTTAGCTATACAGCAAAAGCATCTGAAAACATCTTTTTTATAATAATTATGACAGTGGAAACAAAATTTTCTGTGTTTCGATGAGGTTTAATTATCGTAGCCAGATGTTTGATACGGAAACACGTACTGTACGTCTGTCAATGCGGTGGGTACGCGCATGGCCGGTTGCCGGTTGGTAATCCTTTTCGGCAGTCATCATACAATCAATGCTTCTGATTTTTACAGCGGTATGTAGTCCCTTTAATCAAAAAACGATTTAAAGTTTCTCCTCGGCGACTACCGTTCTGCTATGCCTACGTGCAGTACTTCGTTCTTAGAGCTCATTTGGAAGTGAAATGCTACAGTTAGTCCAGCTTCTCGTCGCTTAATTTTGTCAGTGTTCGATAATAAGCCAGAAATATGGAGGCTGAGATTACGCTAGACGATATGCACTGGTGATTTGGCGTAAACGTGTTAATGTATGGATCCTGCTGATTCCGATACCCATCTCAAAGTGCATCGGCACATCCCAGAAAGGGTCATCGCAGTCATCTTCTGGCTTTTGGCGGCAGCAAAGACTGGGCGCCAATTTGACATGCCGGGAGTTAATCAAGCAAAATGTGGTCAGATATCAGGTCAATATTCCAGCTCCAAATAGCTACCACCCATAAAATTGAGTGCAGAAATTTAAATTAAAATATCAGGTTATGTCTGGAAAAGTGTAAACTATAAGACTGCCGTCTGTGTGATCACGATCGGCTGGTCTACCGGGCACTGGCAACTTGACAAGTGCAACAGCGCAACTTTAAAGTTTAGACCGCCATATGCAATACAAGCGGCAAGTATAGACTGTACCGTTGCACTGGTCCAGCTCACATACTCTGTAGTTGAATTTCTTTATTTCTTTGTAATTATTTTTGTATCACAGTTGTAATGCGTGTATCTGTTCTGAACTATAAGTTATGGTATATTGGTCAATTAAAACTTAAACAACAAGCAGAAATATTGCTCTAGATCTACGTAGCTTCCCAATTATTAACAATAAACCATATGCTAGGTTCGAAGTGTAATTAGTGCAATTATAAATTCGTAATAGCGCTGATTGACGAGATCACAGGGCATGCAGCAGCGCCAGCAGTATCTGCTACCGGCAGGAGCTTTTAAGCCGAATACCATTTGCAGCTAATGATAGCGTGACATGATATGATTTCACGGAAATATAGTATGCTAAATTTTGTCATGCAATACCCATATTAGCCTCCTGTAACATGTCCGCGCCGTCAGCGATCCTTCAAATATGACAATTGTCCGCAAATTGAACATAATGCTTTCTTCAATTGAAAATGGCACTTTAGAGGTTTCAGTATATCCAAACGGAAGCCTCTTAAGAATCATTGGAACAGAATGAGCCCCACAAATGCACCACATACGGACCAGCGACTAGAGCCAATCGACATGATCGACGAAATGTCAGAGATTAATTAACAGCCACTTTTCCTCTAAACGACGATCTGGGAGCTGAATTTTTCAATTATGAGATTTCCTGCCGCAATGAGAGCTTGCGCATACCGGTAATTTCTTCTCTGACAAACTTCCGCTGTTGTTCAATTTGACAGTGATCTGTTGTTGACCTCCGTGTCCTCTGATATAAATTGCTTGTTGAACAAACCGGTGTCAAAAATTTAATATTTAAACACTTTAAAATTTTTATTACCGCACTCCCCGTATTATTTTATTTAAACCGCTACCAACACCATTTATTATACTCATATAGTACAACCGCAAAATTGCGTTTTGCACATTTTCTTTTACTATCATACAATATTTTTGCGGTCTGCAGATATGTGTACAGGCATTTGCAGAAGGTAATTCCGAATTTTGTGTGTAACACTTATGAACATTCAGATACTGTTCAAAAACAACTGGCAAGTATTTCGTAGCTCAATTGAATTCTGTCATTGCAAATTTTTGAAGTATATAATAATTATCTTGGAACTAAATACACACGGGAAGTGCAGTTTCAGTCCTTTAATTATAAACTGATGCCTTTTACATTGCTTTCTGTCTGGTGACCTTAAAGTTTTTGCACCTTTCCTAACACGACGGAGCTGTTACACTTGTCGCGCCGCCAGTGCTAATTCTGTACTCGCCTTCATTGACGCAATTCCTCGAGCTAAATAAATTTTAGTCCTAAGTCCTCTCATTTCCGTTTGGCCAAGGGGATATTCATGGAAGTTAAATGCGTCCAGTTGAGTTGGCTATTACCCAGTGAATTGATTTACAGTGCGGCACGCAATGCAGTCATCGAAACCGAGATAATAAGGCCCATTAGTTGTTATAATCCTATTAAGCTCCTATTTGGATAACATCAGCCACGAGGGATCTATGGCTCCATTTCTTCTCACTTACAAAACGCTTTCCGCCCATTAACAAGCACCCAAACATATATCATAATTATGCGCTAATAAATACCACATTGCCGCAGCTATAGAAATGGGAACTATTTCAGGTCGAAAATATCATGCCATCAGCAAGAATTGTAAAAATATCACTCGCTCAACGTTAATGTCAACTGGATCCGTTTCTTGTTTAGATTGCTTTGCCTTTTAAAAGGCAACGGGCCTTATATTCACGTATTTTGGCCGATCATGCAGAAAAACCAAAATGCATAGCTTTTTTTAAAATTTTATGCTTCCTGCAGATGAAAATATTTTATTAAATTATATTTCAAATAAGATATAAATAATTCTTTTATTATGCTATATTTAGAAAAAGTGACCTTATGTGCTATCGCGACATAGGTATTGCTATCAAGACCATTTATTATAAAAGCTGATTATTGCAAAACAGGCTTCTGCTCCGGTTATAAATTACACTCATGAAGTACTGTGTCAGGTTATTCAATTCTTATTTAGTAATTAGTTCTCATAATTGTTGCTGTGCGGCACTGATTGCTAAAGGCCTAGAGCTAATTAAGCAGCATACACACACCTTTAGAAACATAACTCAATAAGTAAATTGACTAATTTGTATTAAAAAACTAAGCATGTTGTCATAAAGGTTATTACGAAGCTTGCAGATTTGCACCAGATCAAATGAAAAAATTTTCAAAAACATTTGCTTCTGGTGTTATATTTTTCGTGAGTGTCAATACTTTTTTTGCTGTCACCGACGATCACTGCAGAAATTATGCGCAATTACCACTTGATGGATGGTCCGCATCGTTGTTTTTGTAATTAGCTCTAATTTCGGAAGCCATCAAAAGCCTGCAGTCGTGTTGATTGTCAGAAAGAATGCCGTTTCTCGTTTTCTTCAACGCAACCTTAGCACCGACAATATACCATTTGACATACCGCAGGATTTGGCAGTCTTTGAGGTCAAACAGCTACCGCCTCGAGAACTCATTTCTTGCTGGACCACAGTTTGATTAGCTACAAACTGATCATAATCTTGACACGACATATTTTATATCTAGAGGTAATTTAAGCATTCATTTTCACCGACACTTGCAGAAAGCACGGTTTACTTTTTTTCAGTCCTAATTGTACAGGTACAGCGTACATATATAAGCGCACATGCGGTACGATGAATTGGAGATACTGTAGGAAAAGCGGCGTCATTTATAAAGCATCGCAGTTTTTTCTCAGTTCAGTGTAATTTGCAGGTGACTAATGAATTTTATCATAAGACTTGTTTAATTAAGAAAACTGCTCTGATTAATTATTGATCAAAAGCATGTTTTGATCAATAACTCTTATCGATATATAGACGCTCTCACGCCGGTTACGAATGCATAGTCGAACCAAGGTGGTCGAACTGTATTAGCATAAACATTTCACATAACAGTTTTCATATTTTACTTATAGAGCGGTTGTTTCAAAAAGACAATTTTAACATTACTATGCCCCAGAAAACTGAAACTTGAAAGAAATCTCAATCGAATCTTTTCTCTCATCTACAAGTATATTGCAGTCGTGTTATTGTGCTCTACTGTATTTGTGTAGTTCGCGACTGACTTTTTTGGCACACAAGATATGGCGCGAGTATCTTTTAATTATACTCGTGCCGCCTTTTCCCGCTGTGCTAAATCAACCGGCTGCCATCTTGATACGGCGTGGCATCCAGCAGGGATGATGATATTTAATTTTCAGAGACCCGCGCTCAGCCTCCAAAGATTCATTTGCCGGATTGGGCAATAAATGGCTTAATCGAATTCGCGTTCAACAACTCTATTACCGTCTCAATACGCTCATCAGAGTAATGTGGCAGAAACGTTTAGAATTAAATTATTCATGCAGTAGTGGAGCATTAGTCCCAGTGCCGGATTGTGCAGCCAGTTAGCCGAACAATCAATAAAAAATCCCAACACGACACATTCACACGCGGGACGTCATATGCGTCCCACAAACAGTCGGCACTAACAGAATTTAATTATACAGATCATCCAGAAAATCTTTTCAGCGCAGCAGTCCAAGTGGAAAATGATAAGACTAACAAATAGTTTTATGTGCTAATCTGCCTATAGATTGATTTTTAATCATCTGCCATATCGCTTTATTGGAGTCGACATTGAGCGGTTAATTTAGCTCACCCCCTGCGCGACCGGCATCCGCCTGCAAAGAATATCAACCGGTCTTCCATCATATGATGCATTGACATTTTGATCCTCGGCACGCAGCAGCACCCGGAAAACTTTCGAAATACGGATTATCATTCCTGTCTCTATGTTTTTACGTGTTTGACGTGCGCTGCAGATTATAACGACATAAACTATAATCACAAACTGCATTTTTTATTGCATTAAAGCATGTAGTACAATAGTGCATTGTATCGTACTCGTAAAATGTTTTAGGATCACTTATTTTATCTTTAACAGGTACAGTTTAAAATGGGTTTGTGTACCAAGATTATTCGAAACAGTACTACAATTCTACAAATATATTAGTCCTGCCACAGATGGTACGCGTTTTTTTATCAGATCTAGAGTCATAAAAATTATCATAATAATATTATGGTATCTTGTTCCGTTTCTAGCGTAACGCCAAACAACAAACACAAATTATTTCGGTTTAGTAAATGTAAGCTTTTCTTCAGTCGGCTAAAAGTTTGCAGTATTTACCCAAAAAACTGCAGGCGCACTGTAGTTCTTTCTATTAAGCAGGAATGTATCGTCGAGAAAAATTTCGTCTAAGGATCTGGAGCCGGTCAGTTCAGGCTGCCATAAAATGAAATACTGATCATCCATTAAATGCGGACGACTACGGTGCGCTGACTGCCGCGAAAGTTATTTCCACAGAATTATCTTTGTAGGCACGCTATCCCCCTGGTTAATAAGTCAAGCACGTATTTAGTCATAAAATAGAACTTCCTGTCGTTAAGTGCAGAGCCATCTGTTTCTGTGTAGTTTGCGTATCAACAACAATTTTTCATCAATTACCTTCTCATTACGACTGTCATAACTCATTAGGCTTTGCCGGAAAATGGTTGCTCTGCGCTGGTGTTTATTGCTTAATGCACGCGGGCGCCATATTTCGGCTATTACCGCCAAAACAGTCGCTGAACTACAGCGCTTTTCTTTGCCTTTAAGTTTAGTCCCGCTGGAATTTGACTGGCGAACTGTAAACGGGAAACATCTTTGTGAAACGTTGGCCAAAAATGCCGCTACGCGACACAGGTCTTGATATTTCTGGAATAGACCATTCATTGATTCTTTAATTACATAAACGCAAAGTACGTGACCAGGTGACCTATATGCTACTGTATTTATATTTTTAGGAGTGTATTATTCTGCCATGGTGCTCCTACTACGATATATATTCTGGTGCTCGTGTATATTCTGGATCGTCGATAGCGCGCCGCCTGCACATATAGCAAATTTAAAACATATAGCATTGAGTGCATGTATTGTACAGAGTATTGCGATGGTATCTCATAAACATTTTAGGCGAATAACAGTAAAAACACAGACATTGTAAAATACCGTAGCAGCATTTTCTTATGCCGAGATGAAAGGCCTAGGAATACAAGTTCTAAATAAGTGCGGAGGAAGCATTTTTTGTGACCTCGTATTGGTACCCTGCAACGCTCTCACGTTTTGCGTGCCAGAACAGTGAGCATTAAAAAATCAAGTTGAGAAATTGCAATAGTTACGATATTAATTTCGTTAAATTTGTATACCGGTTGTTATACTTATTTTTTTCCGGCTACTCTGGATCTGGCTAGCAATATTTCCGAACTATTGACTTATTTTATTCTTAACATACGTATACTTCTATGCACGAACTGTTTACAAACCTTAACATAACATCTTTTGTCAGTGTGCGGATACTTGTAACTTGGTTAGCATTCGCGAAGCGGAGGTTGCTTTTTTTAAATTTGACGCACCTGTCTGTGTATTCGTAAATTATACTGTATATACGTAAGTTGTATCGAAGAGAATATATCGAAAGTCTGCAGTGTGAATAAGTCAATAATTATTCATGATAATACTCGTGCCATTTGTAACATGTATTAAAACGGGCACGGGTCACATTATTATTCTTCACAGTCGGATACTTATTTACCGTTCTGCAGATCTCGCAATCACATGCATGTTACAACTTCCTAAATGTTACACGTATACCGATATAAAAGTAATTGAGCTCAATATGTACAAATATTGCCAAATTATAGATGCGCATTAATATAATTTGACACTGTCGATAAGTGTTTGCTCCTGGATTTTAGTGTTTACGATCGCACAAAGAATTGAATTATGGCGGTGTTATTGCGATTTCGAGTGTTGTGAGCTGCGCCTGAACACTGTTCTTTGTTGGTTTTGACTTTTATGACGCCTGGAAGGTGTCATTTAATGAGGACGAAAGCCGTTCCGATAGATCCTGCAACGCTGCACACACGAATTCTATGGCATCAATTACCGAACATGAGCGCAAATTAACAAGATATATCGCTCAAATAATTTTTAGGTTCATTCCAACATGCCGTTTGTAATAGCCATCTTCGGCTTGGCATATTCCCCATCATCGCAGATTGTCAACTTTTACGTTTGCGTCACGTTTGACATGCTTATTAAGTTAGAAAACGTAACCACTGTTTGGTTAGAGGCATCCACCCGAATAACATTGCCATTGCATGTACCATGTCCGAGCTTTCTAATAAGCTTATTAATTATTACGGTGCTAGACATGGTATTACTTTTATAACATTGCCTATATCCAAATGTATGTACTTATACAGAAAAACAAAGAAATTAGTGAAAGTGAGAACTATTAGTTATGTTATCCACAAAGAGTAAAAACTGATTTATAAATAAGAACCTGACCCGGCAAGCGAAGCTGTCGTAGATGTGGGTTATTGATTCGCTAGCAGTTAAGAGCACTGATGTTACAGTAGACCATTGTAACAAGTCAGTTGCAAGTACTAGCTGTATGCGGCATGAACCATATAATTAATAATGATTTAATATCAATTAAATAACAACAAACAATTAACTGATATCAAGCACCGAAGCAGTTGTTATTCACTGCCGCACCTTCTGTGGCAAACAGAAATACTGAAACCAAAATAAAGCACTACAAAATACTAACTACAAAACCCTTTTTATCCAGCGAAAGCCAGTACAGGCAAAACTGCCTGCGCTGAACGTTAATTAAAATGGTACGAGTTAAAGCACTGAAAAAAACAACCAAAATCGGTATTCCTGGCCTTGGAATGCATGGTTAGAGTTCCCAAAACGGCTGCTGCATTTTCATCAACTACCGCTATTATTTTTTTTTATTATTATTCATCGTGGAGCAGGTAGCCCATTTCCGGCTAGAGTGACATACTAGCTGGGATTTTAAACCTGGCCAAACAGTAAAATCTAAAAGTACGAGTACTCTGTACAGATAGACAGAAAAGGACTCCTTAAACAAAATTCACACGGTTCAAAGCTTGCTTAAAAGCACCAATGGTACGAATATCGAACAGATCAGAAAAATTAGAATCAACAAAAAATGTCCACAATTTATTAACCTTCCAAGCAAAGGTCGTCTCGCCAACTTTTCTTCTTCGCTTCCGCCGCTAATGCAAGCTCCAGCGCTGTTTCGAAAACGCCGTAAATCGAGGTTTCCCGGTAGCTTCGTGGATTTTCCGGCTGATAAAACAGATCATTACAAACATACAAAAATGGTTAAAAGCAAGAAAACAACGCGTATGCGTTCATGACCTGACCATTTAAGTATGTATAGTTACTTTCGGGCTTCAAGTTTTTTAACAACTTCAAGGGCATTTATTTATTTATGAATGATTGATGTTTTTTTCAACAGATTCTTTCCCTTTGAATGCACATTAAAGTTGAAAATGTAAAACTTTTATTGTATACTTCTAGAGACTGTGCTGCGTTATTTAGCCGTAGTAGCTCGCCTCGACAGTGGTCCCTTCACTAGACAAAAGGCTCGTTGCGGCACGAGCTCATAAAACTTTTTTATTGTTGTCGACAAAAAGCAAATTATTTTTGAGCCTTGGATCCGATACAGGCTTCAACACGCGCCAGATATGGATGCGAAATCTGTTGTTACAGTTCATAAGTTCATATTCATAATTTATAATTATTATAACAGTTGCCTTTGTTATATTTCTTTCCGGGTTTTCTCCAAATTTTTTACTATGAACTCGTTAGTATCGAATGATTATTTGCAGCAGATCAGTACAGTACTTCCCCTTCATATTGTGGAGCAGCCTGCAATGATTGCCACGCAGGTTCCGCAACCAGCAACCAGAAGGAAAGCAGCCAACCTGGACGGTCAGCCTGAAGCCAAACAGCACGTCAAGTCCTTCGCCCTGGTTCACTGTTTCGTCAACACGGACTTGCCATCGTTGAGCCTGCGACGCTGCGATGAACTGATCGCCTCGGTTGACCACGTCTCCGATCACTTGTTGCACGAGATGTACGAATGTTGTCCGGATTTGTTAGCCCGGAAGGAATACCCGCATCTCTATACGATTCTCGACAGCACTTCATCTTCCTCCTTCGCTAGATGTATTGCCTACATAAGGAAGCAGCAAGCACTGTATATCGCGTTGGACGGGCGATATGCCAATGCGCAACCGGGGACTGATGACGAAAAATTGGACCGTAGCTACAAACCAGCGGTGCTGTTAATTGCTACTGAGAATTTTATTTTTATCTTTGACTGGACGAAAATGGATACCGCGTTTGTCCGCTCGATATTACAGCCGCTATTCGCTGATCTCCATGTGCACATCGTCGTGCATGATTTTGCCACGAAAGAGAGAATTTTGTATAAAAAGTATGGGATAAAGGCGTACAATCTCTACGATATAGCCGAAGCGGAGAAGCGCCTGGAAAAGAAGCAACATTTGAGCGCTCTGAACACGTACAGCATCGCGGATTTCCAGCAAAGATACCACAGTAAAAGCCGTATATTCGAAAAGTCATCCCACGAAACATTCCAGCATACTCCCTTGGAAAAACTGCCAAAAACTCCTAGTCGGGGTGTGAACCATTATTCACCGGAGATTTTAGAAGATTGTATGAAACAGGTGGTGTATTTGCCCATCATAAAGTCCTTGCAGACGGAGCTGTTCATGAGGCGATGCCGACAAGCGATGGAGGATGCGCTGCTGGACGTGTGGATATCGAGCGAAGAGTGGGCCTACTGCACAGCCAGTTCCAATACGAATGCGCCCATCTTTCCCAACGAAAATGACGAGACTGAGCTCACGGTGGACTGAGACCCTATGGAGTAGTGTTTCTCATACCCGATGAAAATCTGAGGATTTTTTATCTGTTAACTTAGAATTGGTTCGGATGGTGGCACTGCGTATCGTTTTATGTTTTACAGTTTTCGTTTAGCCCTAATGCAATTTCTGTTGTATTTGTTTACAATTGTGCCGGGATGAAAACAATGATTTGAACGATGTGCTAATCCATGTTATCAGTCATGAACATCTCTCGCAGTGCAGATTTCTGACTCGTGGAAATTCGTGCTCTTTTAACGATTCAATACGAAATTCACTTTTTCAGCATATATTGTTTAGTTAGAAAAATCGTTTACCAATGTCTGCCCATTCGCCATTTTACGCCAATCTCTACCAAAGCGTTTTACTGTTCCAAATTCTTAACAATTCTTATCACAAAGAAAGAAGTCAACAAATCTAACCCAAAATTATGCACAGCAGTTAGTAAAATTTTACCTTTTGGCAAAATATGTTAAACAGTAGTTGTTCGAGCTTTACACATGATTCAAAGGTGAGCTAAAAAACGGATGCAAATCGTTGAAAAAAACTTCCTGATCACGTTTAGCAGCATATTTGGAATTCTTCGCGCAGGGAACAAACTCATAATCACTGTTCAACAGCATATGCAAAGCGTGCCGAATGGCTTTCCGGTACCCCGGGACTTTCACTTGCCGGGTCATGGGATCCTTCATCACGTCCGCACCAAAACATCCACGGATAGAGTTGCGGATGATACGGACAAACACCATCATATCTTCATCGATCACCGTGTCGAAATACATCACAAAGTTATTATCTCGCAGCAAACGTCGGTGACGATCCAGGCTACCGCGAATGCCAATATAATTAGACTTCCCGTTTGCTTCGTTATCCTTGTGCGGTATCAGACTGATGGCGTTGGTAAACAACAAGAAGACTAGGGCCGAAAACTCCGGTCGACCTTCCAATAACGTCGTGTTTTCTAGGATTAACTTGTTTTCCTACAAAAAGCGTTTTCTAACTTAATATCCTCCTGAAAAGTTATTAGTTTGTGATTAAACTCTGAAGTACTGCACCTCACCATAACACCTCAATGCATACAATATTTTTTGTTCATATATAAATACCTACCATCATGCGGAGCCGACAGGATTGCCCCTTTACCTTAGTTAACTGCGTATTAATTTTAAAAGAATACTGTTTTTACAGTAGAGTCACCATACCACGGAATTGGAGGAAACATCAGCGGCCACAATCCATCGCTTCATCTTCTGTAAGGGTGCATTATTCAGAGTGATGCTGTTGACCGACGACCGTTCCATCCGGGTCACTTTCAATTCCGTTCCCTTCGTAATTCCACAGAATTCCCGAATTTCCAGTGAGCTTGCGGGTCCGTTGAACTGCACCACTTCGAATTTCGACGTGGCATTGGCGCTGGACGCGGCAGAATCGGTTCGTATGCTGCGTGGTTGCAACATCAATTTGGGTCGAGGAGGTTCTATGCACTTCTGGATATCCCGGTTATCGCGCAGTTTTAAAGACCGGTACACTGCTTTTGGAACCTGACGAGGATTGTCTCCGCTGAAGAAGACCGTGATGGCACCTTGCTCATCAATTCGAATTTCGTTGTCAGGATTAACTCCGATATTTTTATGAAAAAAAGCTTTCACTCCATTTGTGCTGATGACAGACGAATCCGATACTCGGGCATATAGCTGCACACACCTGATCGAAAAAATAAATATGTTCAAACTTCAAAGCCATTGATGTAAGTTTGTTTCACCATAAGCAATCTAATACAGACCGTTGCTGGAAAAGGAAGTACTGCTAATTCTAATTCAAACAAGTGTAAGGTCAGCAGTAACAATGTTGTATACTCGAAAACGTCGCATTACTGTGATATTCGTCACGACTCACAGTTAATTAAATTCAAAAGACATAGTCGTCATACTACACCTCCATCACCTTATTTTAACTAATTTACCATTTCACATTGTAACAAACTAACTGCTGTATTTACGTTGACAACTTAGGATTTTTCAACTTTCAACTAACCGCAGTTCATCGAGAAATGCATCACCCTTGGCGGCCACCCGTTTCGTGTCGCCGGTTCCATGGAAAAAATTCGGATAAAACGCCCCAGTAATTACCAGCTGGAGCAGCAATCGCTGGTCAATCTGATCACCAGCAGTGTCCCATTTAGATGCTTTTCTGTTGCGGAAGCTATGGGAATGGCCCACACTGAACTCTTTAACATGATTTTCCAGATCCGTCACGAGAGCGGAGACTTCGTTAATGCGGTGCCACGAAATTGAGTATTTGTTGCACCATTCCCTTTCCTCATCAATGGAACTACGAAAGACCGTGCTCTTCTGATCATACCAGGCACGATAAGCCGCTAACGCTGCCAGGGGATCGCTGCACTGCCCATCGTCCCATTCCAGCTTCATTTTGTACTTGTCATTTTCCTTCCCGAATCCACTATCCAAAAAATTTCGCGACGCAAGGCATGCCGCTATAATTATTCCTAAAAAGTCAAGGTACTATGCAAACAACTGTGACGGACAAATAGCTGATATATGTGGTAAAAGAAAGTTAAGAAACCACCAGACCAATAAAGCATTTTGTGTATCTCAAATTTAAATGAAGTAGTGTAACTGCCAGGTATAAACAAAGTTCAAAAGGCATTTTTCCAATCCAGTATTACCTTCTTCGACGCAATCAAAACAAACGGACAGAATAATCAATCGGCTCAGAGCAATATCCAGCGGTAAAGAAGCCATAACGTGTCCGAAAGCTGTCAGCTGTCCGTCGACTCGTTGCTCCCCTTTGTCATGACTGGGATGATCAGGAACCGTCAATGCTTCGGCTTGCATGAGCTCCAGCACATTGCGTTCGATATCGTTTGGATTAGGCGCATCTATGACGCCCGTCAATATTTCATATATGGTACTGGCAATTCCAAGTTTCTTCACCCTCAAAATCGTCCGATGTAGTGGCACCCGTAGCATTTCCGGTGTGGCGTGAGAGGGCAGGGTGTCATAAAACTCTCTTTGAACCAATCTAAAAGTTTGTAAGTAAACAAGAAAAAAAAATCAATTTACCAAACAAGAAAATTTTACAGCCGTAATAAAAGAAATACAATAAGATATTAATTAAAACACAATCCACTCTACAATCTGAAGCATGGAAAACGAAGAAAGCCTTTTAAAGCACAAGCGGAAACGAGAACGTATCGAAGCAGGAAGCACAAAGGAGCTTACCGGTAACAAATCCCCGACGAAACCCGCCCCGCACGTCCCCTTCTCTGCTCGCAGTTGGATTTCGACGCCCAGGTGAGATTCAAGCCAGTAAACGATGTGTTTGCCCGTCGTTCCAGCTGCTTTGTCAGGCAGAGATCCACAATATACTTCACATCCGGAACCGTAATCGAGCTTTCCGCAATATTGGTCGATACGATAATTCGTCGCACTGACGCTTTTTTCGGTTGGAAAATCCTTCGCTGGTCTTTGTTGGCAATAGTCGAATGTAGAGGAATAATTTCCCACTCTGCTCGCCGTCTAGCGCTCTCACCTTCCAGTAGCAGCATAATGCTTTTTATCTCCTTTATTCCCGGAGCAAAAATCAACACCGATCCCCTTTCAGTCGAGCGATTGCCTCTCTCCGCCTCGTCGAAGTAGGCGACCAGATTGACCAGACATTCGGTAACTACTGGCTGCATGTACGGGTCATCCAGGGAGAATACACCAAAGCGGAAACCTCCGAAAGGGATGTCGTCAAGATACTTGACTGTGACGTCAAACAGTCCGCTATTCAAAGCGATGACCGGCGGATTGTCGAGGTAAGCCACTAACTTTTCCATGTGCATTGTAGCTGACATAACAATTAACCTGACTCGGCAGTTCTTGTCTTTCAAAACGCGTTTCATCAGCAATAAAGCGAGATCCATCTCCTCCTCGCGCTCATGAACTTCATCCAAAATCACGTGCGTATAGTAGTCCAATCGTCCTTGATCTGTTACACAATTGTCAAACTACTTTTCATTTTCAGTGCCTGTATCTGCTTGTTGCGTCAAACAAGTGTACAAAAGCGGCTTCTATGTCTTTTGTCTTCAGATAAATAATAGCCTCTTAATTATTGGCGAACAAGAGGCAAAAAATCGAGAAAACTGAAATTCAAAAAACCAAAATCAAGAACTTCAACATCGAAATTATCCAATGCTTAAATGAAGTTAAATCCTGAAATGAAAAGCACGACGGACTACTGCTGTAGTTTGATAGTGTGAAACAGGACAGAAATCCAGAATTCGCATACAAATAAAATAAATCATCATGCTGCAGTAAGCGGTCAGGGTCTGTATATACAGACCCTGAAGCAGTCAGATAAATTATCTCTTACTGTGCACAAGCTTCTCCAGAAGGACCCCGAGAGTGCAGTAGACGACCCTTGTTTCGGCACTTTGAACACTTTCCTGGGCAATCTGATACCCAATCAGACCTCCTAATGTCCAACCACGCTCCTGGCACACATATCTACGAATTCAATTACGTCAAAAACGCACTCTTTCACAACCACGTTCTTAAGCGGCACATCATGAAGCATCAGTGAAATGTTTAAGTAAAATTCATAACAAAGACCTGCAGGAACTTACTGGGCAATACTGACAGCAGCGATGCGGCGGGGCTGCGTGACCACGATATAGGGCATTTTGCCCCGCCTCACAAAATTCTCCAAAATGTACTGGGGAATCTGTGTGGTCTTTCCGCAACCTGTTGCTCCATGGATCAGGGTAACGGGTGAGTTCCTCACCGTGTCCAGTATAGTCTGACGGTATTCCGCAATGGGCAGTCTACCATCGAATTGGATGCCCTTGCCCTGGCTAATGCTATCATACTCGTTCTTGATTGTAGCAGGTGGTGGACCGAGGTTTGAATTCATGGCTGAAGCGTAAGTGGAAATTCCCAGTCAATTGCCCAGCAAACCAACGGTAAAGGCCAGAACAAGAGACACCTACAGGCTACAGCACATTGCATACAACTCAACGAGCCAGCGGGTCAAGCAAACCAGGCAAATCACTGCGAGTACTTACTGCTTCAGAGGAACTTACACAAAATACCAAATCCCCACTGAAGACGCACGTCTTTCAGGAATACCAAACACTGAAACACGACAAATCTGATCTTTGCGAGATGGAAAGAATTCAACGGATAACTTATAACTCAGTCGAAAAAAGTATCGAGTTTGACAAAATACAAATGCTGTCAGCTTTTCGGCGAATAAAAACCAAAAATGACGCGTGTCACGTGCGCCGACTACCAAGTAGTAGTTTCCAGACAGGTAAACCGCTCCTCTAAGCGGGTTGCCGTAGACCCCTGCGTATAGCGTAAAATAATTTTTTATTTTTTAATCTTCAAACTTTTTTGAAGATTTTTTCAGATAAGTACAAACGGGTTACAAAATTCATAATGGGTATGGGTATATAATATATATACCCACCTTGCAAAATTAAAACCTTCGTGAAACACGCACGTCGAACCTGCACGGGTTGTCTAACACGGTGCATCTGGGAAACAAACGTTTAGCTAACGTATTTTTTACAAACTGTTTTACTCGGGTTATACGGTTAGTCATACCAGAACTCTAAAGCTTCCGAAATCGCAGCGCGTACGTTTTCTTAATTTATTTTTCAGACTCCTGAAAACTCGATCTCGAGCGTCATTTATTAACTCTTGAATTGAAGATGCTTGAAATAAAAGCGTTATGTTATAACAATGTATGGGTTTTGGATACGCAAACGAGACAGTACCATCCCGCCCAGCGCGCACCACTGCAGGCATTGAACAGCTGCCGCCTCGTACAAATTCTGATTAGTGAGTAAAGAACGTAACAATAAACATAAGCGTAGAGTTACATATGGAAAAACTGACACGTAAGGGTATTGCATGACGAAGCACAGCATATGACGTCCAATATAACTGATAGAAAACTAGAGTGTTTTATATACGTACTTATATTCTGCGTAGCCATATAATACGATAACGTCCCATCATGACAACGTTGAGAAAGACATTTAATCTGCGAGCGTAAACAATGACGTGGGTGCATGAACAGCTGTGATTAAAGCAGCATATTAGAGCCAGTGGATTCTGGTGACATTAATTCGAATGTGGTCATCACAGTTTTGCGCGTGACCATCGGTTCCTGGTAGCGCATCAGCGGCGTCCAGGCGGTTATCTGAAAGGACGCGATGACCTCGCCCTTAATGACCTGCATGTCGACACTGGTGTCCTCGTCACTGTCGTGCTCCACACGGTTGACATCGGTTTTAACGGGCGCCACACTGGTCGTCGGGCCGCAGTTGGTGCTACCCGTGTTAGGCGTTGATGGCATCGGTGAGTGCTGCATGTTACAGCTGAGATAGAGATTGGGGCGTTTGTCGTACTCCGGCGGAGAGAAGTTTTGTGACAGTTTATAATTGGAACAGTACTCGGGCCGGTAGCTGGACTCCCGCGGTAGCATCAGATTCGGTGTGCTCAGTGCGTCGGATTTGTTTTTCGTACAGCGATAACAGGCTTTAGCGTAGCTCTGCTTAAAATTCTCACTTAAAATGGCGTATAATATGGGATTAACAGCCGAATTAGCGAAACAAAGGCACTGCAGTATAAGCGATAAGTAGACAATGCGCTGACTAGCGCGAATTTCCGCGGGAGTCAAGGGACAGGACAGCAGATGATTAAACTGGCTGGATGCGCTGAAGGAAATGAACAGCTGACTTCCCCTGGAAAAGGCCAGACAAGATTAAAAAACTGGAGGCAATGAACTTAAAAGAAATGCTGAGGGAATACAAACTGCAATAGTTAACAGTGTTACAATTGTAACATACTCCATATTTGGTGGTACACCATTCAAGGTTCGTTTTCCGATGACAGTAATGTGAACATACGGCGTGGCCATGCATTGTTCGGTTTGTGCTGTGCATTTCAATATGATACAAGCTACTGTTTAGTGTCTTTCAGAACTTCACCCCACTTCAACAAACTAAACTGGGAATTCAGTTGCGCTTTGCTTCGAATTATGCACATATTTTTCCTTTGGAATTTTACGGTAGCAGCATCCCCGCGAGTTTTGACATGGAGTCGAGTATCTTTCGCGGCAGAATCGATATGACATCACTGAGACGACTCATCGGATGTTGGTTAATCTCTCTCGGCTTACAAGGATACATAGTCTTAATTTTGTGAAGAGCTTCGCGAGATTGTTATTAATTTTCTGTGGCCTCCAGCCTACTTATGACCGGCCATCGAAATTATTTTTGTGCACTTTTGGGAAGCAAATACTGCAGTGCAACAACGATGCATGACCTTTCCTCGGCAAACATGATTCCACGTAATGGTATTTGCTCTACTTTTATTATTTTAATTTAATCCACCAGTCTTATAATAAATTTCAGCAGTGACCGAAATCGAATGCTCACTTCGATTTCAAAACGTGTACAGCTAACATATTTCACTAGCCTTAATAATTAAATTTAACTGATTCAAATTTGTGTCATTGAATGAAATTTGTTGGACGTATTTGCGCAAATGTCAGCGTAAAGGTGGCACCATTATTAGTTTAACCTTACACCGTTTAATAGTAATCTGCGATATTGCAAGCGTTGACCTTACCAATAAGGCGTCCAGCACAGCAGATAAACGACGATTACCACAAATATCATGACGGTGACCCTACGCAGCCGGGTCCGCCGTTTTGTAACGGTGGGATTGGGTGGATACACTATGGATGAAGTGCTGCTGGGGTGATCGTGCGAATTATGACGACTGCGCAGTCGCTGTACCACCAAGCCATAAAACGTCAACATAAAGGCCACCGGAAATGCGTAACCCAAGACGAAACAATACAAGACGAATGCATGGTTTCCGGAAACATGAAAGGAATCGGGCCAAAATATGTTACAGTGGGTTACGCTGCCATCTGCGGCTGAATCGGTCTCGGCGTACAAAAACACCGGATACACTAAAAAATTTATGTGGGCTGTCAGTTGTAACATCTGTGAATATTCAATTTCGATTATGTATTCCCGTGTACTGCCACAATAATATTGCTATGACACTGTACAGGCCACAGATACGCAGTCTGCGATGATTTCCTTTTCATTAAGCTCCAGAAAAAAACTTAAATAATGCCTTGAAATTCCTAGAACTACTTGAAAAGTCTTGTGAAGAATTCTTCAGTATTTTACTTCTCGTTTTGAATTATAATTGTAATAAAAAGGTTTAGCGCTAAATGTTGTATGTTACAAATTCTGCTTAGTTAGTAATCTGTTTTGCTTCATACCCTAAAGCAGACTTACTGAGCATTATGGCTAATGCCCACACCAGGGAGCATACAAAAACAGCTGTTCGTGTTGTTCGGATCTGACGACTTCGAATTGGTAAACTGAAATAAAATCATAGATAATTCAACCATATTTTTCACCTATGCATTTGTCGGCTGTGCATATATGTATGATATGTAAAAATCGAGCGATTCTCTCAGAAATTCTGATGAAACAATAATAAGCAGTTCTGTAGTTGTACTCAAAGCAACTGCTAAAACAAAATCACCTGGGTCTCTGACGCCCTTTGTGTAAGTTACGGCTACAGTAATTTATTACAAATAAGCCTATGAAATATAAAGATGTATTTTATTTTTAATTTGTAGAACCGTTAACATTGACTAAACAAGAGATATTATTATGCAATCGTACTTTGTATTTTGCTCGTATATACACCAAATTCAACGCTACATCATTATTGCTCCTACAGACACTCACCATATTGCTACGTAGCGATCTGCAGACATCGTGACCAGGAAGAAGCTTGATGCAAATTGATTGACCGTTGACATTGAATAATAGCTGTCAGAAACAAAATCCTTTTAGTATACGGGAAAAATATTTTGACGCATATGTATATAATGACAGCGTCTGTATGCATAATATCTATATACGCGTACAAGCTACAGAAATTTGCAAGAAAAGTTTTTGGATAAGCAGCTGCACTGCCTAACGGCGATATGTTTATAACAGCTACATTACTTTCGGAAGGAAACTCTCAGTACATCTAGAGGAAATGAACAGCTTCCAGACCGGAAGCTTTAAAACTTTGAAGCTGCGAGGGATAATTGTCTGCCAAAGATCCGTTCCATAAAGTTAGGTGCACCCGGGGAAGAGGATGTGAAGATAATACTGTACACTTTAAACTTCCCGTTATGGTACTACAACCGCCTTCACTTTGCACTTATCATAAAATTATAAACCCCATACCAGAAATTAGAGGGAAAACGTTATGTAAAGAGGCGTGGCACGAAAGCTACCAGTCGTGCTGTATATTTGAAAAAAGATTTTATTTTAAGAAGTCAGTTTTCATGATTTGTATTGGCATAGTATTTTTACTTATTGCGGAAACAACTGCAATGAAAATTTGCTTAAATGCCATGGTTCTTTGCGCGCGAGCTTACCATGAAAATAACTGCGCCACAAACAGGTGACCTAAACTTTATCTTCGAGGAAAACGGTATGAATCTGCGGCATGCACCATTAAAAGTCAGTTGGCACTGAACTTGACACATTTAAGTTAACACTGCGACGACTGTAGCAGTGACGACAGTCGATGGCTTTGGTGATTACTAATATAATGTTCAATACTATGTGAGTACAGATTCAGTAAATCCAAAAATTGTAAGGAAATTAGAAATAGGCAACGACGCACAAAAGTAAAATATGATTCGAAATTAACATGAATAATAGTATCAGACACCACAACGCACAAAAGCCAAAGATATACAAACCCTTACATTTTGCAGTAAATGTTTCCAAACGGCCAGTGTTCAAGTATGGATGTGGTCATCAAGAAAGGGATATTGACGAGAAAAGCGATATCAGCCATCGCCAACATCAAAATAAAAACGTTTGTTACGGTGCGCATTGCCGAAAACCGGCACACCACATAAAACTACAAAAGAGGAAACCGATGATACATATAGACAAATTTGTGTGCATTTTGCGATGAACTGCTATCAAACGTGTATAGTAAATTTCTGTACTTATAAGAAAGGCATTTCTTAATGTTCGAGCATCGATTATAGTAGTAGTAATTAAGGTATGGTTATTAACATAAAAAGCAAATCTCCTGGCTCATAAATGAGTTACTGCACTTATGTATACCGTGTACGTAATGATTAAATATAACAAAAAAAAACACAAAATATACATTAAGCACTTACAACTAGAATATTTCCGCTTAATCCCACCAAACATATTATGGCATTTATTGCATTAACGGTATACAAAACCGCCGGACTCGCACTGGTCGCAAAGATGGAATCGTTCATGCAGGCATGCTGATAATCGTAAACAGAGCTGGGGCTGGCGCGCATCGTGGGTTCCGGATTAAGCGGCATGGTATACATATGTATTCTTCAAAATGTCAACCCCAAGAAGTAAGCGTAAAGATGAATGCTAATAATGAATCTCTAAGTAGCTCTGAATTTCCGTTGTGGATAATATTATTTTAACTGTTGGATGTGAATATTATTTTCACGTCCAGAAAGCACACAGGCGTTGATTAAATTTGCTGATAAAGAGAGCAACGGTAAAGTGATCCTCGAGGAGTACCGTCAATATCATCACATGGCCGGAGATTGGTGCAATATGATTAAACGGGAGAATACATATGCATGTATTCAGATGTGTGGGAATGCCGGGTGTCCTCCGCTCAGGACACGTGCTGTGCCAGCGCGACGTTAAGAAAGGGAGAGAAAAAAGAGAATTAAAACTCACCGTCGGGAGTAAATGGCAGTGGATATAGCCGGGACGGTTTACACTTCACACTGTGTCATTGTAGCGGGATAAGTGTGGATTTAATATGCGCCTATGTGTGAACGTGTAGCACCGTCAAATCATCCAGTCTGATGTGCCGGGGCGCCAGTTGTGTTAAGTAATAAGCACCATGTACGCACTGCATGCGGCATATACGCGTTCCATGTATAACTAACTGTATTACAGTTTACCAGGAAGTAATACGACAGCACTGATCCGGCTTCCTGGCATCGTCCGGCGCATCCTCTTTTTCTCTCTATCCCGCTTCCCTGCGTCTAACGCGGCGGCGGCCTGGATTACCTTGCACGAACCGAAGGGAAAATAATCAAAATATTGCCTTCCTTACAGCGGCTTCATTGCCACGTCGACGGAAGAATTAAAAAGCTAAGGGATTTATCGCCTTGACCGGCATTTGCGGTGCATTGTACAACAAATTATCAAAATCTTGCTATTTGACCTTATATATAATAATGCGCGCTGATTTTCCCATTCAGGTGCATTTCGGTGTGTATGTGAAAAAAATCCTTATCATACAAATGGATGCAGTTCACGTGCGTTTCTACGTACTAATGAATGCAATTATGCTACACTGCGTCTTAGCTACGTTTCACAGAAAACGAGAATTTTCTGACATAACAGCCGTTGCAAGTCAGATTAAAGTGAGCCATCATGTGCAGTTTAACGTCAATTAATAACATCAATAGCGCTTTTTTCACTTCACGGAATTTTTAATTAAACACATTCAACAAAACAGACAACAAAATCAGATCGTTTGTAACTGAGAACACCGCTAATAAATACACACTATACGGAGAACAAAAACTTCTTCCCACGTAGAACTCTTTGGTAATCAGACTACAATTGTACATGTACAGGCATCGGACAACCAAAAAAGCTTTTCACAGTAGTTTTGTCTGCTGACACAGAAAATACAAATATGCGACAAGTATCAACAATTAATAAACTCAGAGGCAGTTATTGCATTAAGGTCCTTCATTAATCCTTCCAAATTGGCCATTTCTTGGGACAATTCTTCCGTGCTATAACCATGCTGCGAAAATAATCAAAGGGTCATTTATTTTTCAGTGCTACTATTTCATATACCATATTTATAAATTTGTTGTTTCAACGTACTGTATTAAAATGCTCTCAAGTCTTTTATTCTTTACCAACTCGATGTTAACGTACTTAGTTTAACTGTCACCACACAATATGATGTCGATACTAATATTATGGTCTACAATTCTACATACAACCAAAATATTTACCAAGAGTACGACAGCAATCGCTTGAAAAATTGCTTATAGCGCATTTTTTAATTTTTTCCTAGTACCGTCTGCACGTCACTGTTACAAGCCCATTTTGGCTGTTGGTGCACTTACAGCTGATCTTCCGTCTTCCTTTCTAGGGAGATCGGCGAAAGTGACAGGTGGTTTATGCGCTTTTGGTTGATTTTGTATAGGCACCGTCATGGGAGCCCGCTTATACGGACTTCCGTTCATCATGGCCGTCAACGGTGGATGGACAACGGGAGGCACCGAGATTTGAGCCAAAGGCTTGGCAGCTGGAAAATTAGCCACAGTTTTCAAAGTAATCACAGGGTTGGTCATATATATTTCTGGAATAATTAGGTATACGCCCTGGAATGCCGCGAAAGATCCATACGATTACCTCCATTCAAAAATTCAAATAATTCTAAAGTACAATAAAGTCATAAGGGTTTCTTTTTTATTAAAATTGTCAAGCAGTGTGACGCCATAAAATTAGTTTCTGTGGAGCTTTTCTTTAATACAAGGACAGTCATTATTTTAAAATATGTGAATGCGTAGCCTGAAAATTCCCTAAGGTGGCATTTTCACCATCGCTTGACATCATCTGACCATGATGGCGTCGTTATTTCTTTTTCCTTACTTGAACATGTGTTCTAAATGAATATAACTGAGCTGTCCATTTTCACAGAACCCCACTAATCTGAAACGTATTCCCCATTAAATTTGTTCACTTAACAATAAGAGATTTTCTTCCGCACGCTTGATCCGGGTGCAGTGTATTTCTCCGCACAACAACAACCATCACCCACAATATCCCGCTTGAATTACACACCATACAATGGGATCTTTATTTACCTAAATGCCTCGGAGTGGTAACAGCTGGCTGCATGGCCCCAGCGGCGGCCACGGCACCGTTGACATGATGATGATGATGCTGTGGAGGCGGCGCAGGCACGCTAAAGCTCTTAAGCGGGTGGGGCACGCGATGGGATGCGGAGCGCAGTGTGTCGGATGATCCCTGCGCCGCGGCGCCGGAACTCCCGGCATCGAATGTCGACGGTGTGGAGGGATCGGGTGATGCCAGCGATTGATGCGGACTGCATTCAATGGTCGGCAAGCGTACAGTGCCGCCACCGCCGCCGATTACCGGCTGACCGCCGCGCAGTGGAAAGATATTACGCTGCATGCTGTCAGGAGGATTAATGCGTGCGGCGTTATTGGCTGTGTTGTTCGGCATACCCACAACGTTGGTAATGGCTACAATGGGAAAAAGACAGCTTAACCATTAATGCCCATTATGGGAAAACGTGGAAAAATTTATTCGCCAAGTGGCTGTTTTGTTTAATTGGGTTCCAGGGAAGGCCGTTTCACAATTTCGCCATCGCGTGACAGCGGCGATTAAATAGACATAAATTATGGCTAAAAGCTAAAGTAAAAGTGATCCAGCATTAAATACTTTCACCGACCTCAAGTTGAAATGTTAGCCACTTCACGTGCCACCAATTTGCTGTTCGCTGAATAATTAAGGCAATTTTTCTTTTACAATTTAGCAGTCGCAGCGCAACAAATATTATAATCAAGCAGAACGATTTCCGATTACGTAACATGCATTTTGATGAGCAACAAAAGGTGCATGATTGTTATTTTTGTATTCTTAAACCACACTGAATCCATATTGACAAGAGATCAAAATAATCGAAAATGTCAGCTAAACGACGTAGTTATACGGTTTCCTGTGTAAATTACCGGGAATGCTGGAGGAAAGGGAAGTAAAGAGATCGTCATACACCGTCGGTGACCATTATATATGACATGTGGTATCATATTATCGCTTGTAAGTTTATTTTACGTACGCTCTTTTTGTGAGTGTTGATCCAACGTAATTTGGAAAGGTCGCTGGGTCCGCCGGCTGAGACTGTTGAATTTATTCATGTCATTGTAGCCTCGGCCGTCAATGTTGTTCTTGATATCTAGAATAAAATCGAAATTCTTAATTACCTAATTCAAATTTCTTGGTACTATTTTCTGCTGCTTAATTATCCAAAGATTATATAACTCTGTTGTATCAAGGTGACCTTCTGCGTTTGCGACCCGGAGAGTGCATTTGGTATTACTACATCGTATATTGTATGCAAAACTAATGTGTTAACTTTGCTGTCAAAGTGTTACAACTGCGCCTTCTTGTTTGTTTCCAGTAACCATTAAAAATCATCGCACTACTGAATCCCGATGTATTAGCTGAAAGCAACATAATAACATAAAAAGCACAAATAATAAGAGTCAAAACATTTCCTCAATCGTTTAGTCCGATAACCCTCAGGGCGATTGTTCCCAGCGCATTCAGGGGTGTCTAAGAGGGATTTTTTTACTGACACTCTCCCGTCAATCATGTCATTACACCCGGCCCGGCGACATGTTGGCCTTGTCTTTACTGAGTGGCATCGCGTAACGTTTTTTCCCACTGCTTATGACTACTTACCAACAAATGAATTTGTGCGCTTCTGTAATCGATCTAAAGTGGCTGAGAGATTGATGTTATTGGTGTATTCGTTGGAATGCTTGAGGATGGGGACAATTTCATGGGGGGATTTCTCCGCGACATGCTTCAGCTCCACATTGTCGGCCGGATGATGGTGATGATGCATCCAGAGATCGGGCGCTTTGAGATCCGTCTGCTGCTGGCCGGCTTTGTTCTTCTTCGAGCCCGCCTTGTAACCATTGGTCCTATGTAATACAAGGACATTACAACCATTATTTTTTTCCCCGCGTCGGCGGCACTAGACAACAGGATTTGGGACCCACCCTTTGCGCAGATTAGAGGGTGCCTTGTGTTTCCGCCAACAGCAAATACTAATTATTATGACGATGACGACAGCAGTCACGCTGGCAACGATGGCGATAATTATGTACAAGGTGTTCATGGCGATCCCATGGGACGAGCCAAATTGAAGCAGTTCTAAAATCAAACACGACCCTCACATTACAGTCCCGACAAATTAAGTACTGGAACGGATGATTGTGACGCGTGCATGCATCCGTTTCATAATCGAATAAATTGAAATATTTACGAATTTTACTAATTAAGCCGCTTGGAAATCAGCTTTCTCGTTAACCCAGTAATCTTACTTACAGCGACTGCTAATAAATTCATTAAAGTTCATTAAATTATTACTGAACATTATTTTTACCAAATTCTCGCAAGTTTGCAAAATTACAGGTTCATTTTCTACATATTATTTAGCATTTTATTGCTTATTATAAAAAATAATGCATTTGACTGCCGTTTTCAAGAACCGTTCATTGATTTCTTCGTTTAAAGCAGTTTTGCCATATTTTTTTTTATTTTATAAAATGAAACAAAGTGAATTATTATTAAAAATTAGTTTTCGTAAGTCTGGATTGCCGAATTCATACCATCGGAGTACGCTCGCGGATCCGCATCTGGCGGTGCCGTGATGAAAGACACTACCGCTGATGGAGGCCCGTAACCTTTACTGTTGCGTGCCGTTATTTTGAAGTAGTACTTGGTGTTAGGCAACAGGCCGCGGATGACCGTGGTTAGTTTATCACCCACTACCGGCTCTACGGCCCAGTCGCGGTCGTGCTGGGAATTGTCGACGGTGTAAAAAATTACATAGCCGGTTATCAATCCGTTAGGTAGTTCAGGTGGGGAGTAGTTAATCATCACAGCGGTTGGGTTATTGGCCAGGGACATAACGGTTAGATCCAGCGGCGCCGAAGACGGTGCTACAAAAACTCTAAGTTAGTATTACGGGAGATATTAACGAAAATTTTAATTTTTTTTCTCTTTACCTTACTAACAGTGCGCACTGTTAAAGCAGCCAGAAACGGCCATAAGAAAACTACAAAAATTTTATGAAGAAAAGGTACAAATTACGAAAACATGAAGGTCACAAAATATGTGGCAAAATACTTTAGCATCACCGCTTATCCTAATAACGTTAACTTAGTTACGTACCGGCTTCGGCCGTTCTGTTGACGACACTCAAACTCCATGTGCTCTGCATGCCGCCACGAGTCACTCGGACTTCGAAGATGTACTGGGTGTTGGGTCGCAGTCCGCTTATAGGACACTCCAGATCCGTTGAATCAATGGTTTTTGGCCGGGAATCACCATGCAGTTTCGAGTAGCGAATAGTGTAAAATCGGCTGTCGGAGGGTGGCTGACCGTTGGGCAACGAAGAGTCCGTCCAGCGTACAATGATCATGGATTCCGAGATGACCTGTGCCTGTAACCCAACGGGTGGAAGGATGGTTGTCGCTGGTTCGGCTGGGGCTGCAAAAAACAAAAATCCGTTTGTAAGTAAACCCGGTTTCCGTTTGACCGGTTTGTGTTGCATTATTAACGCACAACGGAATACGTATATTTTTAGTGTACGAGTAGTTTTGCTAGGTAATGAAAGTAAAACGATACTATTGGCAGGCATCCGCTGCTCACGGATGTCCGTCAAAACTTCCATAAAATATTTGTTTACCTGCTACTGCCGACAGCGTCAGTGGATACTTTTTTACCATTTAGCTGCTGTATTTGTCCGATACATGTAAATCAGCTTTTCAGTTTCATGTATGCCGGTTTTGCGGTTTTACCTGATGGAAGCCGGGTTGTAACACTTTCGTAAGTTGGCCTTCCGTCACCCATGTTATTGAATGCTCGGAGACTTATGACGTATTCGGAACCGGGTTCTGAAAAACAAATTAACGGTTAAGACCAGCCAAATGAAACGATATCCAATATTACGCAATACCGGCACGAGGAAAATAGCGTTAAAACAGTTTGGTACTAAATGATCCGTACATAATTGATTTTGTTTTGGATATGTGATGAAACCAAAAACACTAAAGCGTTTCTCCGGTTTACGCAATTTCATTCCGTTACATAATGCCTTCGTAAAAATAACCTGTCACGTGGCTGCACTGACAGGTGTACACCTTCCGGAACTGGAAACTACTGAAAATATTTGTGTATTTCCGCTCACCCGAGATCCTCGATGGAATAAAACCGCTCCTTACTATCCACCAATTTGGTGTAAACATCCGGTATTCCAATGCCCCACCCAATGGTGTAGCCGCGCACCACCACATTGGAATCACTGGGCGGTGACCAGCTAATGATAATGCTTTTGGCGGTGGCACGGGCGCGGGTTATTTTTGGCATACCCGGTTCTTTCAATTCATCCACGTCATCGCGGAATGTTTCTCCAGTCAGCCATTCCGTCGGTGGACCTGTGCCATTGACGGTGGCCGCCGAAATGCGGAAGAGGTAGGGCTGACCCCGTTCTAAACTGGTGATAGTGTGCGTCCGCCGGTTACCGTCCACAGTAGCCACTTCCGTCTTCTTTGTACTTTTATTGCGGTAGCGAATTTTGTAGCCGGTGATTACGCCGTTTTGTGACGCCGTGAGCGGTGGTTCCCATCGAATTGTAATACTCTGTGAAAAAAAACCACAATCATTTTTATCAGTTTGATTTCATTTTGTAGTTTAAAACCTTTTAAAGTTCTTGTACAAGAAATCCATACAAAAACCAAATAGCAATAAATTCTACACAAAACTCACGTTTGCGCTCGTTGGCTCAATTACAACATTCTCCGGTGGAGCAGACGGCACTGGAATGTTTGGAAAATATTAATTATTTGATTTATCATCACCTGCATGAAAGCCGAAGAAATGGAAGAAATAAAAATTCACTAACCATCAGAGTGAGTACGAACGTGGACATCGGTCGAACTGACGCCAGGGCCGTTTTCGTTAAATGCAACAACCGTTACCGCATATTCCGTGTACGGATTCAAATTCGTCAAGATGTACTGCTGCTTTTCGGTATCTAGTTCTTGTGATGGTTGTACTGCGCCCACTTTCCCGTACGAAATCCTGTATTTCTGTATGGATCCACTGCCATGGTGAGGCCGGTCCCATTCCAGTTTTATCTCGGTGGTGGACAAGGGATATACGCGGAAATTATTCACCGGTCCCGGTACATCGACTGTACAAAGAACAAACACATCGTGCAAATAGCGGAGAAGATTATTTATTTAAAAGTGTGAAAAGCATTGTTACCTATGTTCTAGTTACCGCAAATGGCAAAACATTATCCTTCTAACAAGTAAATGTGAGGCCATGTAGTCCCATGTCCATTAGCAACCTTGCTTTAATATTGATAATCTGATCTTAAAATGCAGCGCGCAGGTGGCGATATTAATGCGAAAAAAGCCCACACGTTGCAACCATCTCTTTGTCCTTGATTTAATTATTTTAAAAACTGAATCCATTATCCTTGATTACTGAATCAGTAAATTTTGTGGCTCATCTGTTTACGATGTCAAATGCCTTATACTTCGAACGTGAAGTTTGAAGTATGGAGATCACATTGACATCGGTGACGCGTCGTTATGCGTAATCTATTACTGTACGTTTTACAGAGCTATTAATTTTGTATGATCAGAGCTGGTCATTATATTAATAAAAACAATGCAATAATCTGCGGAAGTTATACAGCGGAATTTTTACAAGTTTTCAGCAAAACAGGTTATGCAAGCGAGTCGCTTCTGGTCGATTAACTTGCTAGTCACGTAAAGCCTTAATATGTGCCTCGGATAAACGAACGCACGGCCTTAATGAAGAAATTATGTTAACAACCAGTAATGACCACAACCATTACCTTCAGGATGCGTCCGCACCAGTACTTCTTCCGATGACTCTCCTGGGCCGTGCCGATTGTACGCCACCACCCGGAAAGCGTAGTTAGTGTCCGGACGGAGGCCTTGAATGTTGGCCTCCTTGTTGGCGGCGGATGTGTTGAAGACCCGCTCCCTCGTGGAGCCCTCTTGTTTGTAGTAGACGGAATATGTCAGAAGGGGTATATTAGTGGTAGCAGGGGCTTGCCAGGTTAGTGTTACGAAGCGTGAGCTAATTAGATGCGTAACGACATTCCGCGGCGACGAGGGAACATTAGTTAAAGAGGACGCTGAACCTACACGAGGAGCAGGAATATTATGGAATACAGGCATCGTCCCATCTGTACGAAAGCAACCAAAACACAAAATAATGCAACGGCACGTACAAACAGAGGAAGCAAAAGCTTACTCAATTGCGGTAATATATAACTCAGGCAAATAAATGCAATTAGGTAAACAACAACGTAAAACGAAAGAATATAATAAAAATTCAAAACTGTTACTGTATCTATAACGAAAACAGAATCGGAAGTACGGGGCACCATTACAAAGTAATGACCATCGGCAAGCCATTTTCCACCATACCGTAAATCAAAAATATACATTTTACACTGCTTACTTAACGTTCTGACTGTAAGAACAAGCATATTATAAAACCCAAAACCGTATTATCTAATTATCATACCAGCATCCAGTACGACCAACTGTGCCGTGGCCTGCACTGTTCCCTGGACATTGCTACCGAAGCACTGATACACTCCGCCGTCGGATTTAACCAAGCCCAGGATCCGAAGATTCCTCCCGTTATCAATTTGAAAATAATCACTCGGAATGACCATATCACCATTTTTGTACCACTGTATTGTCGGCTCCGGTGCGCCCCGGATTTCACATTCCAGCAACACATCTGAATCTTTCTGACCGTAGGTATCCACAGGTCGTTTAATAAAGACCGGCATTTCTAATGAACACACAAAGAACATGGCATTAAAAAGCCGGAAAAAAGGCGGAAATCACAAACCACAACGGCTTACCATGAATTTCTAGTGATGCCGAGCTTTCCACTATATCAGCGGAATTTTCAGCTCGACATTTATATTGTCCGGCATCATCTAGTTGTGCATTATCAATCTGGAGATTTCCCACGCCCAGAATAGAAAATCGCGTGTTCCTGGTATCGACCGGAAGTCCATTTTTTAGCCATGTAATAGCCGGAACTGGATAGCCATATGCCGCGCACTCCATAACCGCTTTCCCACCCCGTAACACAGTCACTTGCTTTGGTCGCATTGAAAATACTGGTGCTTGCAGTTCGGCATCTGGATCTGCCAAAAACAAACTTCAAAATACGGTACGTGCAAAATATCTACACATACACTGTAGAAAAACATAAAATACGAAATTTTAATTGTGTGTATTGAACCTATTCGCAAACACCCTTGATAAAATAACAATTAATTAACAATAACAATTATTTGCCGCAATTACAGGATATTATAGTGTGTATCACATATTAAAATTTTTTTTACGAAACCAAAAGACCATTACACCCTTAGCATACAGCTTATGCTATTAGGTATTCCCACTTTTGATTGATGCAAGCAGCAAAAAAGAAATTTTCGTTCTAACATTATTTGGTCTGTTTGTGAAATCTCATGAAAGTTTGGAGAAAAACGATTCCCATATCCTTTTTACGAGCCGCAGTGGCGCTGAAGTGATACATGATCCTAAGCAAAATCTCCGGGAAAAACCACGCTATTGAAGTATCCCTAACCCACTGGCATAGTGTACGTGCTATTGTATCGCTTTCCGGATCATGTTATATAACGGCAGTGGAGCACCTAGCATTTCTGTGCATTGATCCTTTTGACCTCCTTTTCATCCCTGGCTTTAATCAAGCATTCATATCGCCCAAATACCTGGATCAGTGTCCACAGTTAATCGACCAACAGAGCTGAATTTGCTCCCGTCAGCGTTCTCGGCTTTACACTTGTAGTTCCCAGCATCCGCTGCCCGCACACCGCCAATCTCTAGTGCACCACTTGGTAGAATAAACATCCGAGCATCCAGAATTACCGGCCTGTCGTCCCGGTACCATGTAACGCTGGCCGACGGAAGGGCCGGCGTGTTACAAGCAAATCGCGCCGTCTGCCCTTCTATGCGATGCTGGTTCTGTGGTTCATCTTCGAATGCCGGTAAAGCTGAAAAAATTGGTCAAAAATTAGCTTACGAGTTAGTTTAAAGGTTAGTTTAAAGTTAGTACCACACCACTAGCTCTACTAAAATATGTGAAGCATATATGCGAAAAAATAGTATCATAAAATTGTAATGATTGTGGTAAGCCAGCATTTAGTCGTAGTAAATGTTGCAAATTAAATTTACTGTTGCAAATTTTCGGTCATTTCGAAACGAGAGCACCCAAAATCTGAACATATACGTGATTGTAAAATGGTGCAACATTCCTTATGTACAGTACCTATAATACAAGTACAGCCATATACCAGCAAGTACACAAGAAAATATTTTCGCTGTGAACCAGATTATGAATAAAATATGTTTTGCTCGTTAAGTTGATTATAATGACAGGCTGTTGTAAGATTTCTCAAATGCAAAGTATATACATCCGCCTGAATGGTTTGCATTTGGGCATTTATCTATTAATGGGTATCTTTTATCCTTTTCAGGGAGTTTATGTCAAATTTTGCAGCGCCCCTTGCTGTTTGTGACAAATCGATAGCACATGCTGTCTAATGTCCTCCTATTCGAGATAAGAACCCTTAGTAATCTTTAAGAAATCGCCAGATCAATACTGGAGTGGACCAAAGTTGCTGATCCAGGAAAACGTCCGCAATTACGTAGGCCACTAGGTCAAATTTCGTTAGTGGCACAACATTATTATCAGCTTTTACTGCACTGGATTCTGCAACCTGCCAACTGAACAACAACTTTGATTCAGACCATAGTTAAATTAACTCAAATCACACTACCGAACATTCGAACGCATTATATCTGCTGTTTTCCTAATTGGTTGTATGATATATCACACGATGCCCATTTCTTAATCTGCATACATACTAGTACGTACTTATTTTTTTACCATGAAAACAATACAACGCACAGCAAACGCCGTACAAAACTAAAAGCAAAAGGCACTTCATTCGCAACTATTTGTTTTGTTTAGTTTCTGGTGGAAGAAGTATAACAAAATTTATTATTTATATTTCCAATCCCAGAAATAGTCATCTGCAATAGCACGAAATAACAATGACGCTATTTGCGGGAAGCATACACAATTGCAGCGGTAATGCAATTTCTTCCTAATCTAGTTCACTTCCGGTCAGCGCATGCCGTTCCCGATATATTGCCGCTATATTACTCATAGCCCATTAATGGATTTTCAGCCAGTCTAAACAAAGTCCTGTAACTTAATCTATCACGCTTTTCGGAGAACGTTTCCCTTTTCACGGCATTAATGTCGCCATAAACAAGTCGCAAGCAAAGTGGTCCGGCCACTAGTCAAACAACTCTTTCTGCAGCCATGAGCTTGCCAGCTTCTGCTGATCTCATTCGGAATGGTTCTCGTGTTCCTGCTCGTGTGCATGAACCAGTACATGTGGCAGCAGTCCCTTGGGCAGTCATTTCCGCTTAACGAACTTTTGCTAAATTATGTTCGCACAGTCCACTAACTAATTACATGGCCGCGGAAACGGGCTAGCATCTATTTTTGTGAATCATTTCTAACTTTATCGTATTTCCATTTATTATGACTAGGCTCAGAAAATAACAGTGTAACGCACAAGTTTCTTCTCGTTAAAAATTTAACAAGCTCTGCGCGTAACTATAAATAATTTTTGGGGCTTTTTTAGGAAACCCACAGACTAATAATTTTTTCGACTTTTTTGCCGGCACGATGTCGTTGTATAGCAGTGCAAACTAAATTCTAAACTACAGAGCAGGTGAGCTTTGCCGAAAATTCGTGTTTCACGCTGACCTGCTTATGTCGTAATTTATGGACATTGCGCAAAACAAAGCAGCCATAAATCCTCATATCGCGGATGTGTCGGTTACACTCGCTCATAAATACCATCTGTCGCATTAGACGTGCACAGGCATACATAAATATCTATTCCCTCAGCGGCTGGCCACCGCGTATGTTCCTCACACTTCCCTAAAAGTCGGCACGTGTCCTTCTTTATTACGCGATATTGCTGCAACAAAAGCGTTTTATCGCCTACGCATGACCGCCGGCACACATGTGCCCTTTCCGTCACTCTTCCCCGGCGCACAGCGCACCACCCCTCCCGTTCCGTTATTCAACTTACAGGCAATCTGCAATTTGGCCGCTCGACTGACGATCGTTCCGATGTTGTTGGTGACAGTGCACTGATAAATGCCTTCATCTGGTCGATCTGTCCGACTGTGAACGATCTTTGTGAAGAACAATGATCCGTTGGATAAAACCGACCTGCAAAACGTCCCACAATCACAGATTGAACCCAAACAGGAAACAGAATGTTTTCCCTGCTCCGAGGGACATGCGCATGCGGGACGACGTGACTTATGAGCACAATCACATGTTTATAGCTCTTTACCGAATTTTCCTAAATCGATCGTTGTGCATTCTTCAGTAATATGATATCCAGATGTCATAACGCTTAATGTGTCGAAAATTAATCATGAAAATACTGTACGTGTTCAATGAAAAATCTATATAAGAAAATTTTTCAGATATTCGTAAATTTAAAACAGTTAAAACACAAAAAAATTATACATACATTCGTAATACGTCTGTATCGTTTGCTCCAGTTGTAGTTTATTTTCGATTAATCATGATGCTTGGTTAACGATTTTCTATCTGGTTTACAACATTATTTGCAAATATCAACCTTCTTCCGTCGGCGGCAAGACTGATGGGAACTTCATCCCGTTTCCACTGCACATGAGCATCTGGTTGACTGGACGTTGAGCAATTCAAGAGTAAAGGCCGATCACGAACAGCAGTTACATCTGCCGGTTCAGTGGTAAAATAAAATGGCTTAATCTTGTTCTGACCTGTAAAATAATATCATCCATTATCGTAATTGAATCCGATTGATATTAACAAATAAACCCTATTGTATGTTTATACAGAATTACTTTTTTGAGTATTTCTTGTTTTTTTTTCGGTTGCATTAAAAAGCAGGTGGACAGTGCACACATGTACTAATATCATTGTACCGGAACGCCCAGCCGTAATTCAATTAACGCTATTTTTTTAGCACATGCTGACCGGTTTTAAGTGCTTTGGAACGAAGAAAATCAAATCAAGACCCCCAGAGTAAGTGAACAGATGGGCAAAATTGAGCCCAACTGTTTGAATGGGGACTAAATTCGCGTGGGACCCTGGTGGTCTCGCTCAAGGTTCCTTATTAGTCCCATGGGATGCACAAACGATTACCAAAGCACTCTCGACTTAGCTCGCACGCGAAAGTATTCATGAGACGCTGACGCAAATATATTTCATCAAGTCAGAGTTTTCCTAAGGAAATCTGATCAAAACATCAGAGGCAATAATCTAAGTGACACAAGAGGCATTTGCATCCCAACGATCTGCGCGGGTACCGTAACTGTGGCCCGCTGGCCAGTGGTGACTGCGCTGACGCTGCAGCCGCGTCTCTCATTAAAATGCAGCGCAGAGGTTACTGACTTGCAATGTTTTGATCTGATATGGATTATCAAACTGTCATGATGATTTCACATGGGTACCCCATCTTTCTTAACAGTTAAGACATTGAATTTTGATGATTATACGATTGCGCAGATGAAGAGAGTGAAATCGTTAAGGAATGACTGGGCAGTCAAAATTCATTCTGGACTTCTCGTAACGCTGCGCAACGCGGCTCCATCAGCTGTGTGTTACTAAACCAACAAAATTGCTCTGCGCATGTTTCTTGGGAATACGAATCAATAGTCGGCTATCCCATATTATCTGACTAGTAGGTCACTGTTTAGTTTTAGTAGAATTGTGCAGAATCAACCGGACAAGAAGCCAACGCTAATGTCTTCTTAAAACAGCGGAAGAAAACAAACAAAAAACGCCATGATTGACTGCTCATTGAAATGTAGGAATTGCATGTTTCAAGAGCTGCTATTGTCCGCTCAACCGGCTGTCATATTCGTTTTATTGTGGTCTGACCTTAGACGTTCGCTAAAGAAACGACCAATCCGTCATACATCATTCAAGCCGGCATAATGAATTGTCGTTTTAACACCTGACGACTGCGTTTCGCGGTAAGCGATCTGCCAACGGAAACGACTGCGAAACATTTAATACAGCACACTGTGAAAAGTGCAGCTAGATCGTATGGTGCTGCGGATATGATTATGCGTCCTTTTTCTCTTCTTAACACCCATCCAAAGTGAAGCGCCGTTGGCTACTTTGTTACAGCCACTCAACTACATCACGTTTGGTGTTTCTTGTCCATCAAGTGGCTACAATATGCAGCGGCTTTCCCAGCACGATTCCGCGATGCGCCCTTGCTGTGTGCAACTCTGACCAGTAACTGGAAAAATAAATCACTCAAATGCTTCTGTGTGCAAATCTCCTACTTGAGGCTGTGTGTTGCCAGTGCAGTCAGACCAGCTGAGAGTGAAATATGGATCCTGCTGGCCGGACGGCGGCGATGATGGAACTAGTGACCATTACCGAAGCGGCTACCCTAATGATGCCACAACTTAAATATGCTAATGCAATAAAAACCGATATTCTAGTAACGAAGGCATGCAGCTATAGAATACACCGCGTTCGGTCGATCCGTCTAATTTTCCATCGATCGGCCCGGCTGTGCGTACCGTATAAATATTAAAAGCATTTGATGAATGGGAATACGAGAGGCAGTGGTCAGTTAATTTGGTCAACATTGCTATCCAGCTAGCACAAATTCACAGCCGATAATTGCGTGTACGCAATGCAGAAATCCAATATCTGCCCACTGTCGATTTTCATATTGTGGTCAGTGTATTTGGTTGGACGACAGACACCAGGCAGTAGGCATGTTCCGCGATGAAACCGAAACACTCCAACTTGCAGCAAATATCTATATTTACAATTTAGCACAGAGTGTTAGCTAAAGTATTCAGTTCAGATTATTATTTGGGACAAAAATGACTAATTCATGAGTGATGAAAACCTGCATGTTGAAAACAAAGTTACTGATATTATCAGTTTCATAAACGCAATCAGCAATTTATGTCAGAAATTAATTTGAAAAGAAATACTTGCACTGACGATGTTGAAAAATTTGATTTAATGTTTCTTTCTTGCTAAAAGTTTTTGGAAAGAAATTGTAAATCAATTTTGAATTTGCAAGCTGCAGTCCAGAACTTTCAGCGCGGGGACTACATATTCCCACGTGAACTGCACTCCGACGCCCAGAAATCACGCAGCCTAGTGACACAGCCGGAAATCAATTGGTTACTGCAACCTCACTCCACAGGAAAGATATATTTCTTTCAAGTAACCTATTCACTACATGCATCCGGTGCGTTGCTCCCTTGCAGTGTCTATCGTCCACCTGATTGCTGTGCCTCTATTATTTTTGGGATATTTGAGAAAGACAGATTTTCATAGAGATGTCGATTTTGGGCCAAAGGTTAATGTAGCAGACTTTGTAGCAACAGGATCTCAACCTGGTGCAGTGTGTCCTAATATCGATAACTCGCGCTTTATTAACAATCGGCTACATGAGCCCGCTGGGAAGATAATGACCACGAAGCTGATTACACCCCATTTCACTCCTTTAGTATTCAGCTGGACGCGTTGTAGCGCCTTCCTGCTTGCATGATTAACTAATACCGAACGTTTCTTCTTCAATGACTGCCGTAAATGAGAGGCTTCGCAGCCTTCGCTGCAACAAGACAGCAACTTTTTTATTCTAAAAGTCTTCGTTTAATATGAAATAAGCTTTCGTTTTGGCAATAAATAGTGATACAAATTAGAGACCTGCGCAAGTACACAATTAACGTTACAGCGGGAAAGATGTGTACAATAATATAACATGCGACCATCTGTCACAATGGCAAAATGGAACCCTAGGGTAGCTTTAAAAGTTTTCATATTTGTAAATGTAAATTACAGCATTAGAACTATAATTCAAGTTTGTGTAATAAGGGGGTGTTTGTTAGAGGGGAAATTTTGATGGTAAATATCCGCTGTCGGCCTTCTGTTCGTATTTTTCCACTGTTTCGTTTACGTCTGCCCATATTTATCAGAACCAGTATTTACGCTCCTGATAGCTACACATTCTGCTGGCTAGCATCCCAGCCGAACTGCTGGTGTTATCATTTAACAGGATGCTATCGTTTACCGTGTGCATTCGTCCAGATGGACAATTAATAATAAGTGCCGGCCAATCACCGTATATCCGGGGAACACTTGGGATTGATTGCAATCAGCTGACATATTGTAGGTAAACGATAAGGCATATTTAACTGCACTGTACCCCCGATCATCCTTGAGTTCTACTGTAGTGATTCGCACACAGACTAATTACTTCAAATTACAAGTATATTGGTTACGCTACACCGAATGTGAATGAAACATTTCAAGGAAAACGAACTGAAATTACTAGTTTCCTTTAGGACAATTTTTTAAAAATACAGTACTGCAAAAATTTTTTTGCAGCTGATTCATTTGCTAAACTATTTTTTGTTTATCTTTTTCTAATGTCACTGAGTACAGTAATGTAAAATAAGGTGTGTAAAATTACTTGCTGTGCTACTTACTATAGTGTGAGGTAAGTAAGTTCCTGGTGTGAATAGTAAATAGTGTGAGGTAAATAACTACTGGGTAGCTATAGTAAGTTCCTGGCTGTGCATATAACGAATTATATGTATTTTTGTTTTATGAAAATTAAACGCTAACAAATTTGTTTATCAGCGTTGCAGCTACCAGTCCTGCACCACTACTGCATATTTCTGATTCTGGCATCTATTTCCAATTGAGAAGCAATCATAAAAATAAGTTTACCCTTCGCCCAAAATTTATTCATCCTAAATCAATATCATTTCTCGGCTATGAATGATTGGAATTCCACTGACCACTGCCGACAACCGGTAAGTACTAGTACGCAAGAATATTTTCCAGATGACGAAACAAAGATGGCATTCTTGACCGCTTCCCACATCTGGAAAAATTGTCAGATCGCCCCACCAGAACGGACACCCGATGCCGGCAACCATACCGAAATTTCAGCAGCTGTCCACATCAGCGATCACTTATGCGTTCACTGTAAGCGCAATATGGCGCTTTTAAAACTGTTCGATTACGTTTTCTAAATGCTGAAAAATGTATATAAAAAATGGTGTGGAACTGATCAAAAACAAAGGAATAACAGAAGGTCGAGAACCAACAAACACCTTCAGAAGAACTGAAGCTTTAATCGGCACTATTTTATTTTAAATTTCTTAAAGTGAAATCATTAGACATATATGAAGCACCAACCGGCTCGAATGCGTCAACAAAAGTTTCAAACTGTAACGAACTTTTTAGATTACAACTACTTTGTACCTGCAAAACAATTTAAAATGTATTAATATAACACCAAAATCGTGCATCAGGTATTTAACGTAAGCTAAATGTTTATTGCGACTGGCGCACCAGCAGAGCAGATCTTTAGCATCAAAGCACCAAACACACAGCTTTAACAAAGCCAAAAGTCAGAAGTTTAAGCCGCAGACAGGTTGATCATTCTTTGTACTTTGAGAGTGCAGGACATGTTTAAAGCAAATGCAACATTAGAACTGTTATCCTTCCTTTTACAATCAGTTGGACTAAGTACATTTCACGCGCCGTGACTGCACCTGCCAATTTATCCAAGCTGCGCAAAAATACCTGATTCCATAAATCCTAGGGTACGTATACCGGCAGTGGTAACACCGGTTGCCGGTTAACATATTATTAATCGCTATAAACTCGTAACTTTGGCTGGAAATTATAGTTTAATGCATGTATAACAATGTGTTTGTATGCTCTGGTAGAGGGCAACTGTTGTAATTATTCGACAGCTGGATCGACAAAAGTCAAATCGATCTACGACAGCTATACGGTTAACTGAATGGATATTAGTGGTTATAAAAAGTTACAACGGTTGTTCCGATGCCTCACTGGGTAAACATGCTACAGCAACATACACGACTGACGGATGGTGGGAATCGTCACAGCAGAGTGTGGTTCCATGGCTGTTATAGCTGGCCCAAAAATCAGCACATTAAACGAGCGATTCTCATGGGGTAGGCCACACTTTTCAACTTGGCTGAATCAACCGGAAGTGGGGACAAAAATGGAAAATTCGATCACAAAAATTTAATCAAGTTGATGAAATTGAATTTATCATTGTTATTCGTTTTGACAGTTCCGCACCGTTCTGCGTATTGACATGTAAACGGGCAATATTTAACTTCCATCAATATGGTATCTGTAACTGGTGATTTTCTCGCCTCCGCACAATCTTCTCCAAATTTAATGCAATTAGCTTAATCAAAAGTACAGGACAAACAATCTTCCAACAGGTACATATTGGCACAAGTGCACCTGCTACTTAATATTATAAGGAAAAAAATTTGTTTTGGACTCTAAAGCTGCTGATTGTAAAATTATTTAAACCTATGAGAATTTTTTTGGAAAACTACTGATGCAGGATTGCTGATGCTAAATTAAGTAAATACGGAAACGGCAATTTGTTGCAAAAGATGATTTAGTTAAAGACTTGGATTTATTCCGCTGGATCAATGTTTTAATACGGATTTGCCAGAGAAGCAGAGCCAGAATACTGTACCTATCTTCACACTCTTAACCGGCAGCAATCTTCAGCATCAGTTTTAAGTGCGCATAAATTTCATCAGCTTAAATCAATATTGTGCAAAGACGGCTTAGAAAAAGATAAATATATGTTTAAACTAGATATAAAAACAGAAGCGGCTTTCATCGGCATTCACTTCGGTACACATATTTTGTTATAAAGTACTCAAAAGACAACACGGGCGTACTACCAGAAGGTATCGCAGACACCGGCGTCTGTTCTGATGGATAGTCGGACCTGTTGTAAAGCACTCGCGGTCTTTTATTATTGAACTGTCTTGGCTTGAACAATATTTCAATCTCAGTCCGAACACGGACAACAATAACCGGACGACGGATAGGCAATAATGCCCGTGAAAGGGTCAGATAACTGTTTCTGCCTGTGGGGATTACTACTCACTTCGGCCAGCATGGCAAAAAGGTGCCAAGCAGAAAAGGATGTCAGAGTGGTCTATTCTCCTTGAATTGGAATTATAAATGCAAATGACAAACGCGGTCAGCACTCTGTCGCTCCTCTCTATTGCTATGCACAATTCGCTTTTTATACGCATGTCAGAGAAATTCAGTCGTGCAGGAAACAAGTAACTGCAGAATTCATTTGGGGTGCCCCATATACAATTTTAATCAAAAAATTAAATAAAACAAATCGCAGTGCAGAGCGGTATGTTTTCTAATGTCTCATATTTTTTAAAAACAGAATTTGGATACACAAATAAGGCACGTTCGTAGTGAAATTATTAGTACGAACGTGCTAAACTACTAACATAGTGGCTCAGTAGCCTCAGAAAAATACGAAAACAGCGTCTTATGGATGTATCATGTCCCTGCATCGTACCAAAATATCACCACCATCAGGCTGCTGAAAATTTTTATCGTTCATGTTGACTACATCGGAAAAAACAATACACAATAATCTGGTAATGAATAATGCACAAGGTAATTTTGGTTGAAGTTGAACGATTCAGAGCGGAATATTAATAAATACAGAAACCAATGTAGCATTCACAGTATTAAAACCACAGCCCAATAATACTACTGCTGCGGTGAAACTAATAAGGCACGAATAACAGATAGATCTGAAAATGAATCCGATTAGAATTTTTGCGAAACTGATATCTGCGCACTGATCTAGCAAACCAAAACGACTTTCTAACAAATGTTCTGGCTAGTATCCCCCAAATAGTTTTTCCCATTAACACAAACTCAATCAACAAATAAGCTGGTCTGTCGTGCAAATTTGTTTAAGAAAAGTCGGCATCTCAACTGGTCACGTCATGTTTTTGTTCATTAATCATTTTCTTTTTATCTGACTTTAACTGCACTCCATTTTTGTAATTCAATTTTTCATTGCAGCCTGAAAAGAGGTTACGCCACAAAAGCGCGGCATGGCAATCGGAGACGACCAGCGAGACCGGCGACTGTTTAAACAGTAAAAAATCATCCGGATAAACATCACTTTTGTGAAGGGGGGTGTTTTTTCAATTGCTATCATTTAAGTCAAAGATATCCTGTGCCTCGTGTAAGGGACTATTTTCTATATGCAATACACTACGCACACTATCAAGCCGAGAGATTAAGCTCACCATTTCCTGCACTTGCTAATGCCGATTGCCGGATTATCCCGAAATACATCATAACAATCTGGGCCAATGGCCGTAAGGCCCATAAACATTGGCATCCTCGGCTGATGCGCAGATGCTGCCGCGGATACGGCATCGCGGTTCCGCTGCACAGGGGACTCCTTCGCACTTGGTCTATGCCAATAGATTCCTGTAGCCGCTGAGCATTAAGTTTTCTTCGCAGCATGTACAATGCGTCCTCCCATCCGGCAGTCCCGGCATCGCGCGCGCTATTCAACACACTGGCATCTCACTTTGTCCTCATCAAAACAAATCCACCCGCGTTTTCATCACCGGCTTCTTCCCGCTGACAATGGGACATACAGATTCTTACCGGCTTATTCAAACTTCCACCCGCCGCGGTGACAACGTGATTCATCCAGCTATCGTTTATAGCGCATGTGGGCAAATGTTCCACTTAGAAAAATGTATGCTGTTTGGCGTTAACACATATAGCGCTATATCCATACAATAGGCGGAGAAAAATGATCGATCAGGGAAGCGTGTTCCTGCTTGGACTTTCGGCTTTCATAAATTTAACTTTACTGCATGACTGTTGTGAGGAGACTTCTTTTTGCGCCGTACGAGAGACTAGTCATCGCGCGCTACACACATCCACCGATTAAACTTGTCTCTTTCCGCCACAAATTAACCTAAAGCGTTGCTTCTAGATCCGAGAGGAATAGCTCAAGTCCAGCAGCATTTCTCTTCAATCAACTTGCGCGCGCTGATCACTAAAGCTGGAAGTGGCGTAACGAACGTAGTCCGTGTTTATCACCCCTTGCTTAAGGCCCTCGTGCACAGGAAAACTGCAACAACTCAGTATTGCTTATAGTTATGATTAAGTTACTGGAGAATAAAATCATAAAGCACCGCTATATTTTTAGTTAATAGAGACGAATCACAAAATCAGCTTAACCGAAATACGATACCCGTTTCAAAACGCAAAAAGGATGATATAATTCTTTGCTTCGTCGATTTTGTGTGATGACCCCACTCGCAACGGTCCCGTTACGCTGGCTGCTGCGAGCGCTGCTAGACTGGTTTACATCGGACACACCCCACTTAATGCAGTGGTAGCCAATAGTGCGCTCACCACTCACCAGTAGGGATCAGCAAGTAGCGGTAAGTACAATAATAATATTTAACGGTTTTGTACGCCATATCGGGCTCAATACGAGTATATATATGCGTCGTCGATATGGTCAGCGCCGGTGCTTTCGGCTGACAGTTCATAAAGTGATTGCGTGCGAAAGACTGGTTATTAGGAGATGCAAGTAAAATGCGATAAAAACATCACTTTACTGGTTTTCCTCCTCTTGCCGGAAACCTAATTTGTCCTGATTCGGTGCTTTTGAAGCAACGAAATCAGATTTTGACGGCTGCATTACGAAAACAAGAGGCACGTGCGTGTCGCAATGGCTTTGGACACTGCTGTTATCGCCATCACGAAATTCGCCAATGGCAACCGGTATCCATCAATCTGCCCTTTTACAATCGGCATCCTCCGTGATTGTATACCCATCTTTGGCGCTTGCGTTTTTCAGAATTCTCGGTTGCGTCCGAAACAATTTCTGAATACTTTTTGTGTAATGTCGTACAGATTGCAGGTGCATAATTACGTTTATCTTCGTATGCAATGTTCGGTGCTACATGCTGTAGACTGTCATCGAAACTAAATGTTGCTGTGGATCGAAAATTGCGGTATTTCCGGCTCTAGATTGTTTAGACGCACGTCTAATGATATTTATCATTAAAAGGAATAAATGTTTTGGTTTTATTTTTATATTAATTTAGCTCACCGGCTCACCGTAGAAAGAACCAAAAACCCACCCTTAAAATTTAAAAAATAATGTAGACTAATATTGTTTATTGTACTGTACTCTAACAGCTTTGACATGGATAATTGTGCGATAATTTAGGTTTTGTATCCCACGTTGGTTGACCGAAAACGCAAGCTTTTGCATTCATATAGTAATTTCGTTGAGTGAAATTCATTGTTATTTGCTTGATTGTTTTTTTAGGCGAATGGATACTCGGTCGTCCGGAAGAACAATAAAAATAAAACCAATTGCAATTAAAACAGCGCCCACAATTTCCAGTTCCGCAAAAGTTTGTCCCCGTGCATACGCATCTATAACTGAAGAAAAAAATATATATTATAATCCGCTGTCTATACTAAACGAGTTAAAAAATAACGTCCTCGCAAACTAAAACTGCGCAATTTTTATTTAACATAATTTTTAATTTTGAAATTGTAAAAACAGTGGATTAAAGGCAGCGTCTGTGTTCATCGTAAAACGCTCGCTTTGTGAAATCTTGACTGTCACATAAGCGTCTTTTAAAGAAGTACTGGCACAAGTTGCACATAGCTACCAAAATAAACGAATAATTTTTTATTTATATTGCTAGTCGTATTGAGTTGTGAAAATTCTCTAATTTGGGTTCGTTCTTTACCCAGAAAATTGTTTATGCACAGACTATAAAGTAGATTTAGATACTTGGCCAGTTTCTAGAGCAAGTCTTATTATTATTACATCTATTATTATTACATCTAAGATGTTAAGCGTACGTAGATACAGCCTGGCCACGCCAAGTTCGGACAGCTGCGTAAAATAAATTCAAAAATACTTTTGTTCGTGATTATGTTTCTCTTTTAACACTTTTTTAGCGTAACTTTTTACTGCGGATCTAGCGATATCAAAATTGGAACCTTCTGACATATCGCTAAGCAGGTAGGCGGTGATGAAGTGGGCGGGGCAGTGGTCGTTTTTAGGGTGCTTATAACTGCCCTCTAGAAACTTTAGGAAACTGAATTTTTCAGTGAATTTTTTTAAAAACTATATAACTGCTCAAAGGGTGTCCTTTACGGTTCAGCAACTCAGCCCTGAGCGATCGGCCCTAGAGGTAACCCCAACTCAAAGTTCGTCTCCCATAGACTTGTATGTTATAACACACCTGCCGACGAACGCGGCTGCCTAGCACACAAATGTGGGAGATTTGAAGTTGACCATTTCCTTGGATGAAACATGGGTCCAGTAACATGATTTTAATGAATCGACAGCTATCTATCATACATGCGGGAACACGCAAGTGCCGGACAACTGGAAGAAGGATCTGACAAAGCGGTGATTAAAAAATGTTATGATTGATATCATAATTCGTTGGTACGAGGCGCATCGGATTTTTTGTGAGAATGGAAAACTTAGATTAGACGAATAGCCGTCCATAAACAAGATCTTATCAAGATCAGATAGCTACGACCGCTCACCGCTGTACAGCGAGCGCCCAAAAAAGGTCATCCCACATTTTGGAGGTGCCCGCAGGAAGGCTGCAAAGGTCACGTAGTCTTGGTAAAAATCGGGCGGTATTAGGCACCGTCAGAAAGAGAATTGGTTGACCAATACCATGAAATTAATTAGGCTGGACTAGGAAAGGGTGGAATTTTTAAACGATTTTTGAAATGGGAGCTGCATCCCAGAACAAATGGGTCGAATCGCATTTCGAAGCTGGTCCGTTCCAGTTTCGATCTCACTGTAATTCTGGACATGACTTCAGCGTAAAACCTTTACATGCAATAGTTGCTGGATACATACGCTGATCATACAAAAATGTAATACGGTTTTAATTCTAAACGGATGATTTCTGGTAATTTTTGGGGAAAAGTGTCCGAACTTGGCGTGGCCAGGCGATACATCGGTAATATATCTGGACATAAAAATCAGTTTTACTTACGATTGTTAATCGGGATTCGTAGGAGGTTGTACATGGACATGAAGAAAGGAGTCGCAACACTTATACCATAATTAACAATAATGGCAGTAGCTACAAATAAAAGTAAATCACCGAAATCATACTGCCATAACACTGTGTACGAAAATTAAAAACTAAAATGCCGCAAAGTATTTCAATAAATATATGATGGTCCGACCGCTTTGAAATACGGAGTGATTTTGCTTTTCATCGAAAGGATTTTCTTACCCAGGGTGGCTCCTCCCGACCCGGCAATCCATCCCCAAGGAACCGAATCGAAAGACCATGTTTCCATACCGGCGATCCACAAAGTCAACGGAAACACCCATCCAAACATCAAAATAAAGATTGCAGTGCTGGACATATACAACGTGATTTGTCCGAGCTTAGCCGTCTTTAGAACGTATTTCAAATAAACCTAGAAAATTTTGCTTAAAACCATAAAATTTCATTCCTTACAAAATGTTTCAAACCTTAACAGTAAAAGTTAAACATCAAACACGAGATATTTAAGCACACCTGGTTAACCGCGTAAAATGTCGCAGCAACTAGGGTCACGGCAATGCCAGTTATGGAATCCGATTGAAATCCTTTCACATACGCTGTGAGTGCCACACCCGTGAACGAAACAACTGTAGCAATTATCTGTAAAGAGCATTTACAAAGTTTTAGGAAGTACGGAAATTCAATGCACATGCGAGTGAAAACCGAAATAGTTAAAAATACTATTGTGTAAGAAAACTGCTCGTTGTCTCACTACAACTGTCATGCTCTTTGAGCATCACATCATAATTATAATAATAATCTAATTGCTAAGTACATGTATGCAGTTGTACCTTTACTAGCAGAATCCGTTGATGCAGAAATATTATGCTGATGACATAAACTATGGCGATTTGGGAGGTCATTAACGTTGTCGACTCCGAAGGAGATATATACGACAGTGTCGACATGTACAGGCCCAAACTGACAATGCTACTTGCTCCTAGGACCACGGTCACTTTGAATAACGAAAGTAAGGTTACGCCTTCGGGGCCATACACAAGTATAGCTTTGCTGTAAGAAACAAAGCTGGACAATGCAAAATCTCAGGAAATAAATTTTAATTTGGACTTATGCATGTATCACAGCTGTAACTTGTTCTTCTGAGTGTCTATGTTTTTAATTTACAATTATTGTTAATATAACAGCAGATGCATTACTGCCGGTTCGCTTTTATTTTTTTGTTATTGCAACTAATTTATGAAGACTTGGAAAGATCACGATCAACCTTTTACTGCCGCCTATACTGGGCAGTGAAACCTTGCACGGAAATATTTACATACTTAATTTGCTTTTCAAATCCAAATGACCTTCGCTTTGCAAAGGTAACTGCTCCGGAAATTAATAAAAACAATGGGAAGATCCAAACTCGAATCATTTGGCTTGTGTACATCATCAAAAACGGCGCGTTAAAGTCCTCTGAGTACGACTGCTTTGCTAGCTGAGATTCTGCAATACTGGTTCCGGTTGCTCCAAGTACTAGTGCAATGGATAAAATAACTCTTTTCCCGGTGCTTTTTGGAGTGAGTTCAGGTTCCGGCGTAGCCACAAGTGGATCCGGAAGCTCCTCCGATATGGCAAGCGATCCTTTTCTACCTGTATTTCTAACATGCCCAGATTCGTCTAAAAAAAATTTTCGAATAGCTAAATCCCAGAATCTTTTAATTAGGGATTCCGACAGTGGTCAAATCCTGAGCTCAGGATTTGACCAGTTAGGTATATGTACAATATATATTGGCATTGGGCAGGTAAGCACAATTTGTTAACAATTCATCCATAAAAATATAATACTTTTATATTACTGTAGCAAGTGCCGAACTTTTGAAAGAAGAATCTGCGCATGACAATATGCAAATCGAACTTAACCTCTACCTTTTTCCATAGTCACACGTTTGTCGGAATCCATTTTTTCTGGATAATGCGTCGCACTACTGGACGATGCCAGCACTTCCATGTTGTTTCCATCAGTTTCTTCTAGATCCGCTCGGGTTGCCATTTTGAGCATTCTGTACAGTGTACTCGTATTATCCTTGGGTTTCCGATTGCATATACTGTATTTTTACTTCCAGCATTCAGAAAAGTCCCATGGAATAATTGTTTAAAAAAATTTGTAAGCCTTACATCAGAACATTCTCCACCTAGCGTTGTTCGAAAACGTCATATGCGATTGGTCAAAACAAACATCCTGGACAACTACGTAGAGCTTCAAATTTTACGGAAGCCGCTTAAAAATAAATAAGCGTCAGAAGCTATTAAGACCGAAGGCTGGTGAAATTCGTTCTTAATTGTACGTAATAATTTGAGTACATTGTTTTCTTATCAGACACTGGTGTATTTGTATAGCATTACTATCCCTAATCAGAGATTTCTTTATGCATTGCCGCGGCAGCGGCATAGCACAAGTATAGCCAAGTACAGCGAGCCATGCAATGTGCTGAGTCGTTGTTGGCTGTCATAGGTCGTCACAAATGCAAAAGACGGATTATCGGTACGAGTCTCGAATCAGTTTGAAATTCACCATCCACTGATATTCAGTAATTCCAAAGTTCGTAGCGGCACTCTATATAATTAATATTGTCATTTTCTATCGAAAATGTCGATCTGGTGCATAATGGCATCGCGCGCGCATGTAGGGTAACATCTAAGAAGTCGGAAGAAGTAGGCTATCTCGCGACCCTTGCGTAAGATTGTGGACAATGTTTGATGGCACTGCCTGTTACCGGTGATTTACGACCCCCACCAGAACAAATGAACATGAGAGGCAGCGCATTAGTAACGAAAAACAACATCACGCATAGCCAAACCAAGGTGGATAGGGTACCAGGGTGGTTACCCTATCCACCTTGGCCAAACTTTAGTGGACGGAAGGATATAATAAGCTCGAAAACAAGTTAAATTATTTCACAAAAGTGATACCGTGATGTTTGCGCTAATTATTGTTATCCACGGTCTGACATGTGAATAAGAAGTGTACAAGAAGTGCAGTACGTATATCCCATCGCGAGATTTAATTATATTTTACGGTTACATGTTACCGCTACATTTATCCACATCGCGGCTGCTAATTCCAGTACAACAACCCCCGCATATTTTATCTAAACGTCTATGCATTATTTATTTCTTTCTCTTCCATGAGCTGTGCCATATCGTTGCTTGGAACACCTTTCTTTCGATAGCTCATCATCAGCGGCACTGCTTCCTTAGAAAGGTCACATCGAAATCCGTCAGGCTTAGTATCCTTGTAGGGCGGAAGAGCAAGCGGGTAGTTGTTATTGACCTTTTCATCCTCCGGCAAACTTGGGTTAACAGGCTGACCATCCCAAGCTGTCCGTAGCTGTAGTTGGCTGAGCGGTGGCCTTTTAATGTTGCTCCAGCGTCGCTGAAGTTCCGCTTGTGGTGGACTACGGATGCTGACGAGGAACGGCTGGTTGCCGGCATTTGGAATATCGCCCATGGAAACAATGTTACGTAGCTGGTGCTTGTCGGAATCGACGTCGTGTCCCAGTAACCAATAGGTCAGTTGTTCACCCTTCCCTTTCATCGGCACCAGGCCTCTGGCTTCGAAACAGTATCCACCCAGAGAATCCAAAATTGTTTTACATTGTGGACTGCAGTGTATTCGTAAAGCTGCGAAAAAATAATATTGTCATGTGCATACGCAAAATCGTATGAATTATTTCAGGTATAAAAAGTTGAGCTCCATCATCTTTGCTTCGTCGTCATTTTTTATCTTATTAGAAGCAATAAAAACAGCGGATTTTAAAATTGTCATTCCTGACTGTTACAGTTACAGCCAGTAGCAGTACTCACGTTTCCCGGTTGATTCGTAACGAGACGCCGTGTTCACAGTATCGCCAAATCTATTCAAAAGCAATAATTAAGTTAGAGCCGGAAACGATCATATTGCTCGTTTCTTATTGTTGCACATAGACTGACAAAGTACTCGTACAACAAACCAAGACTGCAACACCATGTCTTAAGACCTAATTTGAAAATTAAGTAATATGCTTCACAAAAAAATTTGACTAATTACAGGCAGTAGCGCGGCATCTTAAGGCCCACAATTCCAGCCACGCATGATCCGCTGTGGATGCCGATACGCAGTAACAGCTGTTGAGAAGGACGATGACGTATGCGGAAGCATTTTATAGCCGATAATAAATGGATGGAAATGTCAGCAATTACTCCCGCATGACGCTTGCCGTTTCGAATGGGAAGTCCGCTGACCATCTAAAAAATTATAGCAAATGCTTGTGTTAAACGGAGGAAATTTTTAACAAGCATGACGATACGAATTCATTTAATCCCGTACCATGTAGCTGTCTCCAATCGTTTCCACCTTATAAGCGTTTGCGTACAGCTCCAGCATTTTATCGAATAATGTGTACAAATCATTCAAAAACTCTACAACCTAAAACGGAGCAACGGCGTTACCCGCAAATTTTTTTCAATCATTTTATTAATCAGGCAATAAAATAAATTATTCCGTAGCATACCTCAAAGGGTGTACTTCCGGCACTTAAGGAAGTAAAGCCAACAATATCGGAGAAAAATATTGTTACGGAATCAAATTGTTCGGCTTCCACGGTCTTGCCGTTTATTAGCTTTTCAGCAACAGGGCTACACATAAACGTGAGTTACGTAGTACTCTAGTGTAGGGAATCTACGGTTAAACAAATTATTTGCAATCAGAATCCAAGTTTTTAATTAATTAATATTGTGCTCTAACGGAATCGTTCAGAATGGTTACCGTGGGAGCATTTCATACAGCAGGCATTCCGTGCGCCGCTTTTCTTCCGCCAACTCCATTGTTCGTTCAGCCACTTCGTTTTCCAGATTTGTGGCATATTTCTGTAGCAAATGCACCATGTTGTCCAATATTGTCGGCTTCCTGTGGAAACAAATTTTGGACGTTTTCCCGTATATTTGCCCAAGATGGTGTATATACACCATACAAAGTTTATGTATAAAATGTATATATACCGGTACAGTACATTGTATTTTTATTTGCATTATTTAATAATTAAACATACATTCCCTGCTTTAATAATTTAATTCGCTCCATGATGCTGGGAAAACTTGGCCGCGCAAAGGGGCTTTCTTCCCAGCAACTGCGCATTAACTGAATTAGATAATGCGGCGTAGTGTCCAAGAGGTGACTGAGGGACGGTCGAAATAACGCTTCGCCATCTCCATCCCTAATTTTCTTAATAATCTCGTCGTTTGTTAAATCGGTGTGGCCGAATGGACCCTCTCGGCCGATGATTTCGTACAGAATCAGACCGAATGAATAAACATCTCCGCTTTGTGAGCCTTCTAGAGGCGGATCAGTCATTCGGAGAAACTCCGGTGCCATCCACAGACGACGTTGTTGCGGTTTGGACGATGTTATTTTGAACTTCTTCCGAAACTCGATCAAACCGAAATTCGTAATTTTCACGGTAAATTTGCTGTCTACTAGTAGATATGCCGGCGATAAGCTGCCATGGGTTTTGTATACGCTTGCGTGAAGATATGACATTCCCTAAAAATGAAGAAAAAATCGAATACGCAAAATTAAAACGTGCAAAGGTAAAACTGAAAAAAATGGTACGAAACAATTACCTTGACAATGTCCACAATAAATGACCAGATAAAACCTTTGCAGAGCAGCGGAAAAAAGTGCCCGTAAAGTGCTTCGGTTAGTGAACCGCGCTGGCAGTATTCGGTTACCAAACAAGCCGGTTCGGTGCAGGCGCCGATGAAGGCGCATAAATTAGGGTGGGCCAATTCTTTCGTCTGATAAAGACAGAAATCCAAGTTTTCTTTGTAAATTACTTGCAGTACGTAATTATCGCACAATTATACTAGTGTGTTCGAATTTCCTGCCACTGCATTACTTTTTTTAGATCTTGTTTGATATCGTCGGTTAAATCCAAGCAGCGAATCCAGCAGAGGCGCTTGACCGCCACAGCTTCCCCTTTGAAAAGGCCCACTTCTACGCCGCGCGTGGCCGTCACGGCTTGCAGCTCAACCAGCGCCTCCAGATCCAGGAAGCTGGAGTAGAACATCTTGACCATCGTCGGCGGCAGATCTCGCGTGCACAGATAATTGCGTATGCGCTCCACCTGCAAATCCTTCCAATCCTTAATTCCAGCTTCTGTTCGTTCCATTCTGAATATTGCAATCAAATATTTCATATACGCAATACGCAATCTTTTAAAATGCGGTACGTTAACACTTTGTACGTACGTGCTTAATACGTGTTCAATACGGTCGTGCTTAATACGGTTAACACAGTCGTGCATTCATCTTTTAAGGAGACTCAGACTTTACTTTGTTTCCTGCATGTGATCATGATTATTACAGAAAAATAAAACGCGCAGTGAATTATATCATACTGAAGAAGCGCAACTGCTCGCACCTGAAATAACACACTGAAAAAATAAAAGTGACGACTAAACTGGGAATCAGCAATCCAATCACCCATCGCCAAATGGTAGGACAATATTCGTTGTCAAAACCGCAGCGCGGTTCATCTGCTGGAGGGAACGGATATGCCCATGAAACCTCTTCGCCATCTTTCAGTACCAGAACCTAATAATTGACCGCTTTATAAACACCCCCATAATATTACGTACGCTACAAAAAATATGCAAAACATGTTTATTCTAGGCGGATTAGGCAACAGGCTATCTGGAGAAAGGTCACTATGGTAGAACAGATTTGTTGTCTTTACCGGGAGGTCGCTGTGGTAATCGTGTCCCACAAAGAATACTCCGATGTCTACCAGACCGAATCTATCGAATCCATCCAGCGATTCCTGTTTCCTCACTGCCAACAATGAATAATTTCCCTGTGCTATTCCGTTGCTGTCCATGTGAACATCGTATCCCATGGCGCTTTGGTAAGTTCGATTAACAAAGTACTTCATCAAACTAACGCCATTGTGAGGATCTGGACACTGGGAACGGTTTTGCAGACATTCATGCAGCGCTATCGAATACTGCATAACCGCATCGTGCAGATACACCGCTTCGGTTCGGACATTTCGCGGAATGTCCTGTGGCCAAGCGAAACTGAATGGCGGCAGTTCGGCAAATTTGTTGACATTCTTGGTGAATTCATCAAGGTTGACCTTGTCGGTTTTTGGTGGCGAGGGAATTATTCCGAAGAACGACTGAAAGGCTTTAATAGTTTCAGGTTTAACCTTTTCCAAGAACACTCCTAAAAATAAATACAACGAGATTACTTACTGTTTTTGTCTTGGACGTGATAAGTTTTAGAAATTTCCCGATTCATTCATAAGCACAATCTCGTTTTTCTACATTATTACTCATAAGTTTACCGTTTAGGTATTTTGAGGCTTCTCTTGAGCGATATTGCTCCAGATATATCCCAACAACAAAATACAATCCGGTGTCCAACAGACCGGCCTGGTCCATGGCCTCCATAAAGCCAAGATGTTCCTCGATATTGCCGATTACAACATAAACTATATATATTCAGGAATACTGTAAATTTACTTAAAGTTTTGATTACTAGATTTTATTTGTCGAAGCATGTTATGTACGAGTTTCTCAATTCTGCAGCGACAGTTTGAGAAACTTTTGCCGGGTACAAATCAAACTTTGCTAGGAAAACTCACTTCTTGTTAAATGTTGCGTGTTTTGTACAATTTTCTTGAAGGGATTCGGTAGTACGCTAGGCATTCCCTGATAGAAACAGACTGAAATTGTAACTGAACGCTCCAAACTCATGTATAGCGACGTGTACCGTACCACGAAGTAAGTTCCTGTCCAGGTTTCCGTATGGAGAACCTGGATACCCTGTTCGGTGATTTGCTTTTGAACTGATTCGCTCAGTCGTCTGGACTTCTCGCTGTTATACAGCAACGTGACCTTTTTCCAGTTATATTTTAGCAATAACGAAGCAAGCGGCTTTGCAACTTGTGATGCCGGTGGTTTAACGGAAACAAAGGTTGCGTAACCTCCAGCCGAATTATTACCATCCTTCAGCGCATTATGGCAGAAATACGACAGCATCAGCTTGTTGAAATCGGCTGCCAGTCGGGCTTCATGCATGCACCTAATCAGTTCACGGTCAAACATAAGATGGAAAGTTTTACCTTAAATGCTTACACACGCAGTATACCGGTGTTATTTATGTCACATAAAATGGAGAAAATTTATTTTTTTCGTTAACATGCCTTAAAATTTTTGCAAAACGTTTTAGGCAAGTTAACTTAAGAGTGGGTGGCATTACGTTTCTTGTGGCCCAATGATGGCGGAGAAATTGTTTACACAAAATCTCGCTGTATGTTTCATGCTTTCCGTCTCCAGTCCGTAAGTTTCTGCGTATTCGAACTCCAGTTTGTGCCCAGCAAGAATGCCATCTGGAAAATTGTGATATATTTTGTAGACAAACAGACCATTGAAGAATTAATTATCACCATTAAGTTTTACTGATTTCATAAGTAATACATCACATGCAGCGTACTACTACTACTGGGTGGCCGAACAAAATGTCGGTCTTCTTTTGGTTTGTTTCTTGCGAACCACTTGTCGTAACGTTAACTATTTAGCCACGTTTGATGGCTCATTTGCAATGGTGCAGGTTGAAATTGCGTGAAAAATTTGCGTGTCCCAGCTTGCAAAACGTATGTAGGATCTCGTGGCATTTCTTTCCGTACGGACTATTTGAATACTTTTGGTAAATTGCAAGACATATACTTTCAGACTTCAGTTGAATAAAAGTTGTGGACATGCTGCATGCGCTGGATGAGTTATGCAGTCAGCACACTTTGTGACTTTCTCAAAAAATGCCGGTTTTTGAATTTGATTTTATTAGTATTTTCATTATAATTTTTGGCTGCAGGACACGAGACAACGAAAACTGCCGGATTTTATTTTGAATATAGCATTTACAGAAATAACAATTCGTTAGATTAGCTTCCTGAAGCGTTGGTCAGAAATTCAAAAAACCCTGCTAGGGGATTTCACGAGAATTACTCATGCGCAGTTTTAGTCATCCCGTGTACTGGTCAAACACGGTCACCATTATACTGCAGTTCCTTACAGTAAAAAAATATAGAGACACCCCTACCCAAAACAGTAACGTGAAATGCTTATTCTAATGCATTATTCATTGTGCAGTTTTACCTGGGTGGTGTTCATTAATTTGATTAACAGCCAACGCAATTGCACCGCTGATTTGATATCCTGGTCGATTATAAGTAGGGAATTCCCGTAATCTTTTCGACCCCGATATGTAACCAATTCTGAACGTCTCACCGTTTACAAATTCACAAATAAACAATAAAGAAAATTTCAATATTAAAATCATAGTTTTGACAGAGATTGACAAAATGATTTTAATGATAACAAAAAAGCAGACACGTAACGATTCGAATGCGCATTTTCCGCGGCCCGCACCGTGAAAATCCGACTATCAATATGCACGGTCAGATATGCAATCGAAATTCCTGTGGCAGATGGCAAAACAGAGTAACTTTCAGAACAGAACGTTTTGAGTACGAGAACTGTTCAAAAATGAGATTCTTATTATCTTTATGCGTATATATAAGAAAGGCGTCTGCAATTTCGTCAGTGAAATCCGGTCGTAAACTTTTTTAGATGTTCTGATACCAGTGAAGAGAATTTTACGTGGATAAAGTGCAATACTGTAATATACAGTACAGTATAAATATCAGCCAGCATCACTCAGTTTTTGCACACATCAACTGCATTCACAGCCATAAAAATCGCACAGCAATACGAAAACACTTCTAGTGTAAGGATCTTTAATTGGTTCCAGGAAGACCTTCGACTCTAAACGCCGGTGTTGGCCAGAATCGATTGTCAGGAGTTTCTTCCAGAGGTATATGGTCCGGTTCCGCTCTTTTTCTGATTCTTCGTTTGGCCTCGGCGACTGCGTCTTCCACACAGAGAAATATATTGCGTTCCGGTATGGTTTTCAACACTTTTAAGCGCTTGATCTGATCAGTGATGGATCCTGAAACAAACATTGTTCAACACATTTGACCAGGTTGCTGTAACAGGGCTCAGTAATGGGTATTAAAGTGACCTTTTGATTTTTGCACATACGAGTATAAGCTGTTAATCTCTGGGAGTTACCTTTGTTTTGGCTTAATAATATTTCCACTCCCAGCTTCTCAAGATCGCTGGCGATTTGCTCCAGAGCCCGCAGTCCAACGGAATCAATGAACGATGTCATGTTCAAGTCGATTATGGCTCGGGTCAAATCGGTTTCGAGCTCGTCTAAAGTATCGGTGGACGCTGTGGCGGAACTGGAAGGTCGCATTAACGATTTAGCTTTGTTCGGATCATTGACGGAGAGTGTCAGTTTCTTGAAGGAAAATTTTGTCTTTTTGCTGGACGGTTTGTCAAAACCTGCCTCTTCAAATTCTGAGAAATCCGCTAAATTTGGAGCGCTTTTGGCAGTGCCGAGAGGAATTACCTGATCAATTCATGTATGGAAAATTTATTGTTTTCCTTTTATGACAAGTAAAAACGTTTCGAAAGTATCTGTGTTTAACCTGATGATTTGTCTGTTCGAGTAGTGGCCGAGATGTTTCCTGGTCGTGGACACGGTTCCTTTCGATCATGACAGCCGCAACCACTGACCGCCTGCGACCAATAGGTGACTCTTCGCGCTCGTTGACAACAGTGGCAATATAACTACCGGGATCTGCCACAGGAGGTGGATTAGGGTCGATTATCATGCTTTTGATTTTCTTCACCAAATATTCAGCATTCCCAAAGTGGAAGGCGCTTTGAACTTGCAAGATTTTGATACCCGGTATTTCCGTTGCCTATCCAGGATTATACAGACGCCCAGTTTAATCTTTTTCAGAGGCGCATAATTTTATTATTGTTCGTCCTTATGTTACTGTATATGGTTACCTCTCTGTATTCTTTTAGTGGCAGATATCCGGCTGATTTTTTTATTCTCCCGAGGACGCGGACTTTTGGCCTGTCAGCATGAAGGAATTTAATACCTTTAACGCTGATAATTTTGTTAACCAATAAGTAATAATGCGCGATTAATTGTTGAATACTCACGTCCCGAAATTGTGATTCTACTGTTTTTAAGTGCGCTATACAGCGTTACATATATCGTATAAAATCAGTTTTAATTGAACGCACCTGTGACTTCGATAGGTAACAAAAAATAGAGAGAAAGTTATTCCAATGATAAGTCCCACTCTGACATCCAACACAATGCAGGCAGTAAATGTGATAATCCAGGTAAACTGCAGCAGTGAACATACATTATCGGCGAGCGTGCTACTGCTATTACGGTATATACGAGTATATACTGTGATTACTGTCCAAACTGACTGCTGCATACCGTGTCTGGTTTGCTGGCTTTCCATAAAGTTGGCAGGTCCCCAAAAATCTTCAGGGTCATTATTAAGGTCACCACGATATTGGCAGAAACGATTCCCTGACAATACACACCCATGGAACGTAGGTTTTGCAATTCGAAAGAAAATGTAACTTACAACCGGCAGGTAATATAGCGACTGGCCGACAGACAGAAACAAAACCATCATGAACAAACAGCCAAAAATCGTGGATAGCTGGCTCTTGCTGCCCATTGACTGGTTGATAACTGATCGGCCGACTGGTGCGGCAGATATGAAACAGGAAAAGAAAGACCCAAACACATTGGCCGATCCTATTGCTATCAGTTCCTGACTAGGCGAAATTTTGTTTCCTTCCTTGCGGGCGAGAATTTTAGCTGCAGTATCCATTTTATGGAGTGAAAGATAGTCCACATTGATTACAAATAGGTAATTCGACATTGATTAAGTATAAATATAGCCCTGTGCTTATTTGTTGTACCTGAAGATATCGTTAACCCAAAGGACACCAAAGCATTTATAAATCCCTCTCCCAAAACATGCGGTATATAGTCCATAGGCGGAGGTTGTGGAAGGGGTAAGCTGAAATTATAAATCGTATTAATCATAGTTATTGAATTAGCGTTGAAGTGAATGTGATCACTGGAATCACTGACCTTTCCGGAATAGCACCTAGAATTCGCACACCAAACCGTTCGTTGAGATTGAACCAATATGATACTAATGCACCCAGTACTAGCACAAAAAACTCAATCGGGTACACAATGTTGGTTTTGCGGAAAAGGATGGGCTGGAGAAATTCCCTAAATCCCAGTATGCACGATGCCGCCAAGACGGATATCATTGTGTCATATGCATTGATATTCTTGATGTTGATAAACATATTTGACACCAGCTGCCTAATCAAAATAAACAATGTCAGTCACGATTATTTTGAAGATCGCACACATTTTAACAACATGAAATTGCTGGCACTGCACATAGTTTTGTTGCGGATTTTGTGTACTTGCCCATGGATGCTTTGCTAGTCCGCAATAGGGGAACAATCCAATGCCCAACATGTTCGGCACCTGACCAAAAATCGCCTGCATACAGCAGGCCACGGAAAATGGATCCATAACATTCGTTGAAAATATATTCGACAAGAATCCCAGTTTGAAAATTCCCATTAGCAGCTAGATCATCAGGAAGGCAGTTAACTTTATCAGTTGACACCGATTACGTTTATCGTTATTCGTTACCGATATCGTTAAGCAACAAGTATAGTACGAAAAAATTAATACCTTGATATTTTGGTCAGTACCAAAAGAATTTACCACAAAATGCACAGTTACATAGTTCATGCCTAGTGTAGTTATGTAATTTAGTCGGTTTACAATACCTGAAATAAGCCAGCTACCAGTGCTACAGCGCCGGCAATTTGGAAATGCACATCCAACATTTCCCCTGCGTTGGTTATTGTGTAGTTTTCTGGATGATAATGCTCACGAATTCTGGACATACTGACGCCAGTCAATGCAGCGGTAATCGGCATTCCACCAACAGAATTCTGTGGTGAACTTCCCAGAAAGGCGTACATAAGTCCAGGGAAGATGGTAATGAATAAACCATGCTGGGGTCTCATTACGGCTGTCATCGCTCCAGCCATGGCTAGAAAACATTCCGAAATGTTCAAAATGTTGCTCGATATTTTATTTATATATGTGTCTTCTACCACAATAAAACAAGGTGCTATGATCGTCAGCAATATGGCAACTGTTTCAGTGGTTTGGCAATAAGAGAACTGTACAGATATCAATCAGATCGAATCGGATTTAAGCATACGGCTTTTTACCTTGCGGAAGATGAATCATGGAAACAACAGCGCCGCTGATAAAATCCTTTAAAACCCATGTCCATTTATAATTCAAAATGTTCGAGATTAAAGGAAACAGGGATCCCAGGAACTGAACGGGCCTTTGGTTAAGTCCATAAACACGCCGTTTTATCACCGCTCTACAACGTGCACGCGTGTCATAACTACAGTACTCGTACATGCATAAACCATTTGGGAAGGTACAAACCACCTGTGTATGTATAAGCGATATTCATAAAAAAAATTTGCTTACTACGCCGAAACTGCAATACTAAACACAAGAATTATTTATTGTGTACAGTTTTAAGTAGTTTATATGTAACAGGACTTGTGAACTGGACTGATACCAGCATTACTATACCGGTTGCTGGAAAGGTCAGCGACTAAGCAGCTTACACGCTAACATCTACATGATATTTATTACAAACACCGTGCTAGTCGCAACTCGAGAACTGGATTACTTCGTGTTTTTGGTGAACTTATCGACGGAGTCATCTTTTTCGGATTTTGTTGTCCAACATCCGACATCATAGCACAATAATCTTGAAGCGTGAAAATGTTTTGTGCTGGAAAGAGTTGTCTGCGTACACTTGTCCTTTAGGTCGGAGCTTCCTGATGAATCAGCTGCAATCCCATTTAATATATTATATTATAAGTATGCACATAATGCAACATTACCTAACAATAAGTTAAGTGGAAGTTAACGACAGGCAACTCAATTACGCAATATGAAATTTTTGCTTTTAAAATTTTAAAGACGAATTAAAAAAAGAAAGCTTTATTATCGCAAAATTTGATAAAAACAAGTTTGTAAAACTGTTAAATATAAATAACTGAAAGTATGCTTTTGAAATTATATATATTTGAGCTTTAACTAGCGAAAATCAACTCAAATGAGCCTGATACCGCGTGAAATAGTATAAAGGCACCACTATACATTATAAATAAAACAATCCCTAGTAATGACCGTTTTCTCTTGCATCGTCTTATGAACTGTATTAAATGGTGACCGAGAAAACTGACTTTTTTCATGACTGCAATTATTGCCAAAAAAAACATATTACGCATTTATTACACGAGCTTTGCGATTTAGAAATGCTTTTACGAAACACAAATCCAAAGTGTCTTACCTTCCTCTATAGAATCCATTTATGGTGTAAGAAGAATTTGAAAATTATACTAGAAGTGAAGGCATGTAACAATTTGTAAAATCGGTATTACAATTATACGAATATTCCTAAAAGAATGTTGACTTGTTAACGTTTATTCAGGCTGTAAGCAAACGAACCATTTTGGCATTAGTTCCAGATACGCAGAGCGGTGCTTACTAAAGATGGTAGACCAAAAATTTTATGTTGTTACGTACACTGATTCATTGAAGGTTTTCATACTTTACAGAAACCGATCTAATAATCGTACCTGACAATGATGTTTCATCTTGCAAGTCCGGTGATAGGATTGGACTTTCGCTGTCCGTAGTAAAATATGGTGGACGATTTTTGGCATAAGAAGACATTTTTCAGAGCACATAAACGCGGGTAATAACAAAATGTTTATGTCTAATGCAACTGCATCATTCACTGTGCGTACTTTATGGCTACTACAAAAAGTTATAGTGTATCACCTATCTTCGCAATATGAAATCATTGAGGTGCAGAAGAATTGTGGAAGTTATGTGTGGTTTTTTATACCAAGTAGGAACGATGTACCATTTACCGCCGTCGCGTAAACAATCTTAAGTCCTGAACATTTATTATTGTTATAAGAAACTGTTTATATACGCACAAGTGCATTGTGCACTATAACCAGCACTCCTCGTATGTTGTGGTTTACTAATATTTCGTGGACAATGGAAGCACGTACGATACGCAGTTTATCACAATACTGATAATTCCCACGCATCACTTAAGTGGACAATATTTAAAAGTCCTGGAAAAGCAATAACCTCAACTTATTTTGTAGGTCGGATAAGATAAAAATATCGGATTTACAGCAGCTGTATGTATGGTCCATAGCAATCAAACGTTATCACAAAACAGCACACCGCAGATTGCAATAATTACAATTTCCGTCTAATAAATTAACTAAAAGTGGCAGAGTCGGTAGCTGATTACAAACTTGATGTTATGGCAGACCGACATACGAAAAGATTTATGTGCCTAGTGCTTACTATTTCAACATTTGATAAACATTGCAATCTTAAACAGGATGCCGGCATCACCTTCGAAACTTCAGGCAATAATATTGTAACTATTGTGTTCTTGCCGAGTGCCTTTGACTGTCAAACCTTCTCTAGATTGAATGCACCGCATCGTCAAGCGCGTCAGGTAAAACAGTTTTTTTCTTAGGAATTTAGGATATACAATAAAATAAACACCTGATCATAATTCCAGAATTATTTAGCGAAATCAGTTGCAGTACTAGTATAAAAGTACTTCAGACTGCGCCTGCGGTGGTCATTCCGCAGCATGCCATTCAATTTCCGTTTTTCGCCATATATAATGGTATCCACTATTATTCCACTCTTATAATTTATCTCTAACTATTGGTGTTTGTACAAAACAAACCGCACAAAACAAACAAATAAAATTTTTTAGTAATAGTATCAAACAGTTTTGATTTTAGTAATAAACAGTTTTTAATTAACTGCGTTTGCTTGTTTGCGATGCAAAAACATCACTGCGCGCTGGCCATATCATGATATCGTTGACTAGCGTACAGTCATACAAAGGTCTGCATTTGTTAAATAAATTCAATTTCGCTGCAAGCATGTCCATACAGTCCTTTGTGCGTATCAAAAAGATCCCGTAGAGCTTTTTTGTACTGCTGGTGAAGCTTGTCGATTTGTTGTTCGGTCGGGTGAGAAATATGTGGCACAGGAATTGGTTTTCCCACTACATAAAATGCATACAGTGTATAAGCTGACTGATGATGAATTTTAAAAAACGTACAATATCTCAGTACTTGCAGATTTGAAGAACACACTAGCTAATTAATGCCTACCGACAATGTTGATAGGCCTGCGATAAGGATACCAGAAAGGTATTTTGAGTGATCCATAAACATAAACTAATACAGGAACTCCAGTTTTTGCTTGGACCCATCGCTGAACTTTTCTCCACCGGGATCCGACGGGATTGTTAAATACTTGATCATAGATATCATTTTCTCCAAAGCCGTAAACGGGAATAAGGTGACAGCTACAAAATAAAGTGGGTAATATGATCAATAACATCCGGACCAAAAACAATTTATGTGTGCATGCTTATACCGTTACACGCATTACGATCATACAGATACGTGTAAATATAATTAGTCAATATATTAAAGCTGAGATTTGAAAAATAAAAATGCTGCAAAAAAACTAGTTGAATAATATCGCTATATCACTGCATAACTAAAATGTCTACACATGGGTGTTTTACACCAGACGACAGTGCAATCTGGGATAATAACCACACAGCGATTCTGATTCATTCCAACCATTTCTTTTAGAAATAAAGTGACCACTACATCTATAGCAAAAACAGCTGTTCAAACGCTTAAATGCAGCAAAACTCTGATAAAAATGGAAAAAGTTTCTTGTGCAGGCAATAATTATTGTTACTATGTACCCGGTTTTTAAAGCCGTTCGCACAAATCCCTTCCTGTCTTTTAGCACCAGTCTGTGCATTCCTGGTCGAGCGTCCAGCGTCTCCGCTGCTCCCCCGATGACCAGCACCATGGCATTTCCGGTGCCCTTGTTAGCCATGTACCGAATATTCTCTTCTGATGCATTGGCAATTCCTAGAAGCATCAAGAAGTCCCGGAAAATCGGATGGATGTAGGCCAGACGAGTACTTAATTGCGTGAAGCGCATTCCAGGAAGTTTCTTGCTAATATCTACGGCTTCCGTTGCAAAACAGCACAGACATCCGAATCCGACGTAGCCGTGGGGATGGTATCCAAAGATGTAATTTTTGTCTGGAGTAATATCGGATGGGGAGACAATATGCACTTTCAGGGAAAAGTAGTGCCTCCATAATTTGAAAATACTTAATTTCCTCAGTGGTCGATAAAGCCGGCCACCTCGGTTTGGAGCTTTGTCCAAAACTGTCCACAACAAAAGTGCGAGAGATACCCAGAAATAGTTAGTAAACAAAAGTTTATACCATAGCATCCATGTTAGCATCCATCCACATGTAAACCAAAACGTGATTAAAATCGTCACTACGGATAATCCAAAATTATATACCAAGGTGCGCATTTTTTCCGACATTCCAATTTAAGTAAGCGCTACATCAGCGGCAGTCTAACGAAGGATACAAAATGTTCGAAAAAATTAAAAAAATCCAAAAAAACTTTTGTTTATTTAATCTGCAACGAAAGTAAATACCAATACATGTATCGATTCTATTTGCACAGTATTACGACTACTCAGGAGAATATAGCGGTCGCGCTGCAAGCTTTCTAAACGTTGTTGTATTATGCTTTGGTCTTGTTTTAATTTTGAAAAACTAATTTAACGTAGTACGAGCATCTGTTTTGACTCGAACATAGAAACTAATTAAGTGTTAGAAGTACGAGTACTGAATGTATAACACACAGTTCTAATCAACCCAGCCTCCTAATCAAGCTCAAGGGTCATCATCGCTAGAAATTTCCCAGTAAGTATGGTTAAGAGAGATAACACAACATGCACTAAAACTTCTGACCAATATCGAAATACGAAACCAATATCGAAATCCTTCTAGCAGCTGCAGTGCTTAATTAACTGCGCGAACGAACCGAATTTTAGGATCTTCTTCTTGGGCTCACCTAAAAATTAATAAAAACGGTCATCATGAAGTGGTGCAGGCGCGTGTTATGTTCTGTACGAACAAAATGCACTGTATTAACATTAATAAGGATATAATCTGCAATAAATTTTATTCTTTGCGCTCTTTTCCTCGTTATTATAGCCAACATCGAGTAAATGCATGTCGTTGTCGACTGCCAAACTGCTACTTTGTAAAAAATAAATTTATTTGAATTTCAAAAAGGATATTTTGTGGGTTTCAATAATTTTTTCTAACTTTTGTTACTTGTTACAGAAAACATATACAATATGCAGCTGTTTGTTACTTTGCGCAATTATGAAAGATACGTATTTCTGGCAGCTTGGCGTTTTTTTTAAACATGCGCCTAGTAATTGATAAACTGTAAATTTCCAAAACAATTAGCGTAAATCGCTTTACGCTTACATACTAGGGGCAAGCCGTACATTTTCTTATATTATCATTCGTTCTTTGCTGTAAGTATTAATACATAAGAATAATCTTGAAAATTATTGCACAGCAAGTTTCCTGTCTAAAAAATTAAGCCAATAGTTATTTTTTTGAAACTATTTTCACTGCAATTCTGCGCGACTACCGAAAATATGGAATAGCAGTCATTATTATCCCAACCTAAGGCTGTTGTTAAAAGAAAGAAGTTGGTGATTACCCAGTTCGATTATGGATATCCTTCACATGAAGTAGAACTCTTGCACGAAGCCTGTTCTCCCTGGAGGCTCGTCTCACTCCTAACCGGCAAATAAAGCAGCCCAACTTGTCAGTCAACCTTCAACTAGATTAATCAACTAAAACTTTAATCGCCACATTATTATGGATTTATTAAGCGAGGCAAATACGCACTATACCTATCACTTCGCAAACAACACCGGCAAGCAACATAGCTTTATCTACAATACACACGTGTACTATTATAATCCATCAGCATCATCCATCAAATTTTTAAATGTATTACTTAAACTGATCTGACGTTTAATTTGGTCAAGTTGCACCGGCTTATCCATTTGTAATGTCGGTTTTTATGACAGCGATCATGGATATTACTAATTTAAAATAAAAACATTTACCTATCGATTTGTTCTGCCAGCCGGAAATCAATTTTTTAACAACGCATTATCATGAGGGAAATAAGGTTAATTAATCATTAATCTGAAACCATACGTAAAGTCACATTTACTGATTCGCAGATGAAAAGTAAACGTAACCACCTAACAAGGAACATCCTCCAAAGTGTGGTGGAAAATCCTACCAGTGATGATTAGATTATACGATGGACAGCCAGTATTATCCAGTAGGTAATTTCTCTAACCTGTGTAACACTTCGCATTTCCGGTGGCGGATGCGACAATTTGATATTTGGAAGGGCGCAGGTGGTTGGATGGCAATATCCGCCCAAAGTGTCAGTAATTACATCAGCAGCTGCATCTTAGTTACGAGTTGCGTCTTCTCATCCGGCTGATTTAAGGGATTCCCAGCATATTCTATACAAGCACATCGTACAGTTGCTTTTTGTGCTTGTTATCCAGCTAATCTCCGGTAATCCATTCCATCGCATAAGTTAAGCTTCCATTTTCGTACTTTTATGTAGGTTTTACTTTGATTCATACCCGGTGACCTTTACTTTAGTGTTGCTTATACACAGCTACCATTAGAGTTATGATACTAACAAAATTTGAGCACATACGACAGCAGCACTCTGTTAACAACTTTTTCTGTAATCTATTATGACAGAAATTTTTGATTACACATATTGCAGTCTCTTTAACAGTTATCAATTTTTTTATAATCAGTTTTAACTTTTCTGTTACGCAGCAGTCTTTAGTAAATTATGGACAGAAGCCGTATTATGAACTGCTTGTGCTGCGAAACAGCCGCTGTTTTTACGTGGAGTATTTAAGAATAAGCAACTCTGCTGACGGGAATATCTGCAGTCGGAGTCCGATCCAAATAAGTTTGTCATTGAATTTAATCCAATAGCGGATGCATGCAGCGCATCCCGAGCTGAAAGACGCGTATGCGCATTAAGGGCCTGCAAGACAGGAGATGGGTGCATTAAGTTAAATTGCCAAGCCGGTATAGCTCAGTGATTTGCATGATGTAATTTGCTTGGGGACACATTTGCTTGGTCCCGGGATTAAACGGTTCAACAGCTTTGATTCGTTTAAAAACTGATTCGATTTAGCTTACTTGTTGGCCAAGAATCTTCTCGGTTGCTTAATACAGCCATATTCCTTACTGTTGGCCGGGACTTCTTTAAAGAATATGTGAGGACGACCAGATAAACACAACCGTTGCATGCAGCAGTTGGAATGGACGCGACTACTACCGCTTGATCGATACCGACGTCCAATCTCCATATAGACATGTACACACGCATAACCAAATCGTAACGGTAATGGCGACGCGGACACCGTGACAGAAATTCCATTGGAGCAAGCTCAAGCGTTACGTCTCAATTTTCTTGTGCATCTTAATTCTTAAGCAACTCGCTTTCGTCTTTGCTTTCTAGCGTAGGGGGTCAAACTTAACACAACCTGAAAACTGGACTTTAGTCAGCTACGCCCGCACAACAATTAATTAACATTATTAAACACGGAACTGAAAAAATTATCTGTTGGTTGACGTTTTCTTCAAAAATATGCTTCCATATTTACAGCGGTGGATTTGAATAATAATTGCGTTTGTCATCCGCATAACGGTCTATGTAATCTGCCCACATGACCGCAGTGGATGTTGGTAGTAAACCGAACCGTTCCATGCAGTAAAATATAGCTTGTTTATTTATAGCGTCTTTAACAGCAATAGCTTAACAGCAATAGGTTAGGTTTTTTGTCAAGAAAAGAAATAAAACTGCATCTTCTTAAGAGTTTGGAGCTTCTTTTTTTAAAATCAGCTGCACATAGCAAACAACAAGAATGTCGTACAATCACTATAGGTGTACGGTTTAATCTTTAATAATTCTACTATTTGCCAGTATTTTTCTCTCTCACCGTTGTTATCTTTGCTCATAATGATGGTATTCCAGTTCTCAGTATAAGGATATTCTGCCCAATCATTTAGAAACTATGTTCGCGAAAAGGTCATCGGTGGTTTTAGCTAATCCCTAGCTATTAAAAACTCGTATTAACTGTTTACAGTTGTCTTTCGACATTCAGCCGCTTTACGCGGTGCCGGAAGCGAAAGGCGGCATGAACGTTGGTGCTAGCATCAAGGGAGCTAAACTCGGAGCTAAATTAAATTCATTAAATTCCAGTCAAATAAGCATGAGCGGTATATAGACTGTTTGCTCAAACCTACTGCATTACAACACTTACCGCAGCCGATTCGCTCTCTCCCAGTGGTATCGCAGTCGGGAGCGATCGGGCTTATCATCCAGCCCATCTTGTTCACACACCATAATTCTTTAATGTGCGCATCAATTTGGATGGCATATTGCGAGTACCATAATTAAGATTACCAATATGTTATCGAAATAACTGGCCGATATTCTGAAGTTCTGAGCATATCTATAAATAAAAATTATTTTAAAAAAAACAAGTATTCAACCAATAGTTTGAACATGCTCATTTTACAAAACGAGTTCTGTGTTGGGTTGTTGAACCTCTATATTTAATTGTACTGCTCTTCACAGAAATTACCGGTAATATGTCGTAACCATTTGCTCGCCAAAAACAACACCGCTATTTGATGAATTTCTGTACATTTGAATTATAGTCACTGCGAATGCATCTGTTCGTATGGTACATAAAATTACTCAACCAATATGGATTCAAGGATACTTTTCAAGAGTTTTAGTCATTTATGGTGCACAAAACGTAAAAATTTTCAGTATGTTACGATTCCGGTTATGATCATATTTACTTATAATTATCGCGCGAGAAGCTTTAGTTTTTATGGCTTGTGTTTTGACTGCAAATGTACATATTTAATTCTAAGGTTGTTTTAATTGTAGATTTTAATTTTTGGAGATCACCTTTACACCATCGCATTTTCTTAGAAACAAAGATAAGGATCTGTAATCGCTGGAAGTTGTGAAAATAAAGAATTGTACAATCATCCCGATGTCCGCGTGGGAAAGGGTTGGTCTGTTCGGGTAGCTGGAATAGTAGCGCGTTAACGGTAACCGGTATACATACAATATACTGTCATTGGCCATTAGTAACAAATATTTACTCGATTGGCTTCGTAGCCTGATTTGAAGCCCACAACATGTCAGCAGCATACGGGAGACGCAGCAGACTAATCCCATCAGCATCCCTGTTCTCTTCTGAGGCTATTTTACCGGCAACTAACTGCAATTTAATTATTCCCGATCGGATCTCTGTTACATTGTACTGGTAAACGATGTACGAGCGCAACCGAAATACTCCAGCGTAACGGTGGTTTAAACAGTGATCGGAAAGTACTATTTATTTACTGGTCCACCAGTATGCTCCTCTTGGTTTTTAAAAGTATCATAGCTTTTACACTTTGGAGAAGCAGCAGTATCTTTAATACACGCTAGATAAGTTACTTCTGTCGAACGTGTTTGCACTACAGTACTGTATTAATAAAACCGCACAAACGTATTTAGCTCTCTTAACGCTCGCGCTGATGACCTTTACTTGCACGGAATTCTAAGCACTGAACTTTTTGTTTTGATCACCTCGCTATCGGTTAAATTTTCTTCTTGGTAGAGCATCGGAGAAATTGTGAATGTGTTGGTTCGTATTGATGCTGTAATGGAGCGAACATTTGCGAATGCTAACTCGGATGTTCCAGCTTCGGGAGATGCGGAGAAACCCTTCGCGTAAGTGCGGTATGAGACACCATTAAGTCTATGATATTGTCCAGCTGTAACGAATTAATTTTTATTGCGCTTATGGATCGGAGATAAGTAGCAGGGATTTGTGGTATAGCCAGCGTTAACGTTGTATGACCACTTGCTCCATATTTGTGCAGGTATTTTGAATTGGAACGGAGCGGTCATATATACGAAATTAAATAGCGCGAACTCAAAATGCTAATTAAGTCTATCCACATTTTCGAGTGTCAGTAAATATTTTTAAAATAATCCACGCGAATTGTTGCCAAGTTCTTTGTAAGAAGTTGCCACATTTTTCACAATACTGTATTAAAAGAAACGCACTATCATTACAATTATGGAGGCGTCCTAAGATGCTACTTCAGTCTGCTTCATTGAAAAGTTTTATGCATAAGTGCATGTTTTCAAAATGACTTACAAATAGCGATATCGATAAAATACTGTGTTAGTACTTGACGGTCTTAACCTCCATTCCGACCAAGATAACAACCGAAAATGCAAATTCCATTTTGCAGCAAGATTCAACATTTTACACCTATTAAACTGCAAATAATGTACTGTTAAACGTCAGCAACAAAATCTCTTGAAATAATGTTAATTCGGGTAACATCAAACGTTTTTTTAAAGCAAACTGCTTATTAGATTCTGTAAATAATTTTTCTTTCCGCCATTAAGCAACAGCCGATAATTTCCTTCGTATGACGATGACTGCAGGGAACGATGGGTAAGCGATGAGGACATCCGTTCCTCTGCTCAGCTGGACGTTGGCTGTCCGCGCGCCTCCAGCGAAGACAAGCGTGGCAGGCGCAGCAGCAGCAACTGTTCATCCGGTGCCAATTCGCCGTCACCCGCGCACGACTCCGTGCCCAACCAGATCCATACAGTTCAGCTCTTCGACGTGCCTATCGTGGCGCTGAGCATTGACCGTCGACTGCGGCTGTGTTTGGCCCAAATCTCCAGCACCCTTCTCAAAGACTTCAGCTACAACGAAATCCATAACCGGCGCGTGGCACTGGGCATTAACTGTGTCCAGTGCACACCAGTACAGCTGGAGATTCTGCGCCGCGCCGGCGCCATGCCCATTTCCAGTCGACGCTGTGGGATGATTACGAAGCGCGAAGCTGAACGTCTGGTGCGGTCGTTCCTGTGTGAAACTAAACCACCAGCATTACCGGACGACTTTGCCTTCCAAATCGCACACAGCTGCGCATGGGGATGCAAAGGTCACTCAGTTAACAACGAATCGTGTCGAAGTTGTGTCACTGGTATATTGTTGCAGGACGATTCATGCCTTCGCGGTATAACAGTAGTCGAGCCAAATGCATCCAATGTGTTCATTGCCAACAATACTTTTCACCCAACAAGTTCATCTTCCACTCTCATAAACTTCCGGATTCGATTTTCTCACCGGCAGATGCTGTATGTGTTACTGCGCGTGACAAGGCAAAAGCCCCGGCAGCTTTTAATTTTTGTTTCTAGTCAAATATAAACAATTATAATTAAAAATTAAAGCATAATTAAAAATAACTATTACATTTAAAGTATAAATATAATTAATTTTAATTTAACATTTAACGCAAGATAGCGTTAATTTAACATTTAACCTTATCGTAAGATACTGAACCTTTTTTGGTTAATTCGTCGCGCATAGGCCAATTTCAACAGCTGGCGACGCCATATCCGCTTAATGGAAGACATTCACCTTCCGGAAGACATTGTCCACGCCTGGGAAGACGTCAAAGCCATGTTCAATGGCGGCAGTCGACGCCGCATCATCACCGCGTCGGCTTGCAGCACATCGCTGCCCCGCAAATGCTCTATCGGCCCCTCGCGTACCTCCCACCCAGCCATTCCCACTGTCCGCAAAATAACCCCCGTGGATCTCGGCACTAACGTCAGCCGTATCCCCAACTCCCCGCTGCCGCTGACCCTTGCCGGACATTATCCGACACCGAGCTCGGTGTCGGCGCCGCTGGCCAGCAGCGCCAGCTCCTCCGTTATGCCGTATCCGTCCATGATCCATCCGGCCGCCTCACTACTCCAGTACGATTGGCTGTACCGGCAGAATGGGCACCATAATAGTCTCCTGCATCCAGGCGCGGCCACCAATCTGTGGTCGCACATGCAGGGATCTGTGGATCAGGGCATGATGTGGCCCTGGAGTCCGGCGCATGCTGCCGCGGCTGGACTGGCCGCTAGTATATTTTCTGATCGACGGGCGGATATAGGATCGTTCTTGTCCAGTTTTCGCCCATTGCCGCCGTGTCCGGATGGGACAGCGCGAAAAGATAAATCCTCCAAGGAACCTTAAATCGGCGCTTATTCTATGCTTATATATACAGCTGTCTATACTTATAATTATACAGATACGTGGAGTCTGTAATATTAATGGTAGCCACAAAAGGAACACATACTCAGTCGAGCCGAATCATATCTTGACACTGGCTTGACACTGAATCAGATCAACTGCATAAATTAATTAACGATAAGAGCTTGCTGCGTATGCTTCTGTGTATTCTTTCGCCGTTTGATAAGTCCAGAATTTAGAAATCCAAAATTGCACCGACATCAGAGCATATTTGCTATGGATATCCAGTATGTACATTGTTTCCTCTGACGGTTCTGTATTCTTTGTAAATTGTATTATTTTGTTTAGGTTTGTATGTGTCTGCCTGTATCCTTATCTCCCAATAACATGCGAAACACTTGAAATATGTATACATAACCATCAACAAGGGTGCGCAAATTCACCGGCCATTGCACAATTAATTCGTAGCGTAATATTTCGTTTTGATTGGGTCGTTTTCTGCGCACACGCAGTTCAGATTTTTTTAAATCGAAATTAATGCAAAAGAACCACAGTAAGTTCTTTAAATTTTCGCAGATAGGAAACCAGCTGTACGTAAGCAAAACTATATAATTATGTATACCATATACAGATATACTGTATACGTAGCTGCAATTTTTAGAGAGACCATATTATTTTGTGAATACTAAATTATGGAAAGAATCGATAACGCCAAAATCTTGTGATCCAAAATTATAAGTTCCCCGGGAAGCGGATACAGCCGTTCCTTCTAGCGACCAGCAGAGCAGTAGTTCCCGACATCGACCGTCACCGTGAAATCACCGGGGCAGTTTGCAAACGGTTTCTCACCTCTTGCATTGGTCCATGCATGTGGCTGATCAGTCAGAAAACGTGTGCATCCAAACATTTCCGCTAGTTGCTGCAAAACAATAAGAAGTACGAGCGCGGAGCACATATAAATATTTAAACCCGAAATTAATTCATTGTGCTCCGAGCCGCATTGTTTTACTAGTTTCACCTACCTGGGTAAGAGGACTTGTATTTTGCGCTATGGATATTTTGAATCCATCTTTTGTAGCTTTTTCATGGGATAGTTTGGCTAAGAGATACATGGCATACACATTTTCTTTAGGAGTGTTGTATAAAGGCGTTCCCATTAAGAAATGAGCATTTGCTTCTCCTGCAGCAAAAAACAAATCCTGACAAAATGACAAGGTAATCGTAATTAATAATTACTGATTACTGGTGTTGTATAATCACTCTGATATGCTGCACATAAAGTATACGTATTTTACGTACGACATTGTACATACATTAACGATTAAATGGATATTAAATGTCTACTTTGTAATAAGATCTGTGATACAATCTTACATTTAAAAATTAAAACTACCGTAATTTCACTGGTATAATAAACAATTTTACAACATTATTCCTTATTTGGGAATGATAATTTGCTTTGAATCGGACAATCTTCCGGGCCTAACCTGGAACCGACGGGTTAGCCGGGAACTGACCGGCAACACGCGCCGTGATGTCATCGAGATATTGGAAGACATTGATCAGATGCGGATGCAAACCATCCAATGGGAGATTAGCAAAATCCGTCGCATCCGCCGATGTCGCCACCCCACGCAGGACGTTATTGTCGTCGACAATGACAAAACTATGTTTAGCGAATAAATGCCAAATTCGTTTCAGTAAAATTAAATAATGCCCAGCCATCAAACTGGGATCCGTCCGCTCCAGTTGGCCTTTCTGGACAAAACTCTCCGCCAGCAGCGTCTGCAGAACATCGGCTGGAACACTGTCGAACGGCTTCTGAACGTACGCATAATTATTGGACAAATTTTCCACCGTGTTTTCTAAAGTACTGAGACCAGGCGATTTGAATACGCTTTCGATGAAATCTTCAAGTTTAATATCTCGGCCTTGCTGCTTTAGCTGGAGAAACGTGGATACGGCGGTTAAGGAATCCGCGTCTTCGTCCTTGGCCGGCTGTCTGCTAGAAGTATTCTGGAAGTTGGACATGGCAAATCTGGGCAGTGATTTTTGCGCTTCAAAATACGAGTACCAGGGCGAGTCGTAGTCTGTAAAGAACAGTAGTAAATCGTAAGTTTATCCTGGATAGCACAGAGCAAAAACAATGGAAATGTGCACTGGAATGCATATACCTTCGGGCTCCATCGTGATCGACATGCTCGCAGATTTTGTGAATTTCACGTAAACCAAGTAGAAAAACCGAAGCAGTAGAAAACGGTTTCTCACGCGTCTGTTTGCTATTTTTGACATGCACAAAAATGTTCGGCAGTAGTGCAATTACCAGCGCAGTCTTATATACACAAGCGCATATCATTTGGCTTATCATCGCAGCATGCCATGTGCAGTGTGCATAGCACAGCTGATCGCTTACGAGACGACGTTAAACAAGTTTTTCAGCGTACAAAATACACTCTGTTTGACTTTCGTTCACTGTAGCCAGATAGATATACTTGCACATAGTTTTTTCTTCCAGGGGCACAACTACAAGTTTCGTATGAAAAAGTACCATTATTATATGCTTTATTCAGAAAACAGAGAATGCAGTTTCCCACGCACCCACCCATGGCTCTAGCAGTGGGCATTTCTGTTGCATTGGAGGTAGAGGATGTATTCTACATACAATATTAGCGTTTTCCTGCCCCGGGCAGGTTGTGACACATTTCGAAATGCGTTTTTTATACAACACAATGTCACAATTTTAACTCTGAAACATAATAATATTACTTTTGCTTGATGATAGACATCATTGAAATTTGTCTCTCTTCGAGGTGCAGTAACTTTAGAATGCATTTCCCAAATCGCCGCCGTTCCAGACCGTTCACGGACAGCAACCGGTGGCGTTAGGACCGTATTACCTTTTGATTCCAGCTCCAAAATTAATATCACTTAACAGTGGCAGTGTTTTAGCATTTAGTTTTTCAAACAATGCGAACTTTTTACACTTCATTTTAGTATTTAGACATTTCAATGCGATTGGAGGAAATAGAAATGTTGTCCTTTATGCCGCTGCTTGATTCTCCGTTCCACCACAATCTCGTTATCCTCGCTTTTATTTCAAAATCTACAAAGTTATTCGGAATGACCAGCATCAGAAATCCGGCAATGACCAATGCAGCGGCGATTCCGTTGAGCAGGCTAAATGAATCCCCTCGTGCGCCAATATCAATTCCTTTACCAAAACATGATACGAAATCAATATTACGAAATGCATCTTGTCCCTTCGCAATGCAAAGTGATTAAACGATGTTTCTGTACGAATTCAGCTGGCTTTAGTGGCTTTGTAAAATTTATGCATAAACAACACAATAAACAACGTACCATTGTTTATAACGATTTGCAGAGGTCTCGACATGGTAATGAATACAGGCGATGCAAAGCTAATTGCCACGTAATACGCCAAGGCGCCAACTACAAATACAAAGTACAACCATGAAAAATAAAATATAAATATAAGCTGTTAGTCCTTATAATCAAGCACCGTTGAAGAGAGAGGGACAAACAAAACGTCCATTAGCTTTTGTAACTCAGTTTTTTGTAATTAATTTCAAAGTTAAAAATACGTAGCCATAAAATTTAATCTAATTCGCTGCATAATTAACGTGTTAATCTGTACATGTGTGTTTTACAACGATAAGAAATAGAACCATCAAGTACTAACCGGCTCCGATAGCACCTTGCGCTACTATAATCAGCCAAGGAGCGGTTTGGAAATCCCAGATTTCGTTTCCGGTCAGTTTCAGTGCCAGAAAAAGCGGCCAAGAAATCAGCACCATGACCGTGGAAGTCAACGACTGGTACAAAGCGATCTGGCTAATAGTAGGCGTCCCAAAATGTTTCTTAAAAAGTACCTGTAAAATATCGTGAGAAACTAGGATGTTGTTTTTTCTCAAAAAGCAGCACGCACACAACATGTGCACATTTACGATCTACATTTAATATAGTATACTTCTGAAGTAGCGCACAAAACAATGGATTTTGTGGAAATCATTTGGGTACCTGCACGTTTACTTGTATTCATAAATATTTTCGAAAAGCCACTGATGTTATTATCAGTTATCAGTATCACATGTACACCGACTGCAGCAAAATTAATACAAGTGGATTGTATTCGAAATTTGAATGCTGATTGCCAAACATACCGACGTTACTGCCAGTGACACCGATGATCCCGTCATCAGAGCTGCAGCGATCCAGGAATCGCTGGAGGAAACCAGTTCTTCGCCGGATGCATACGCAGTCAGTACAACCCCGGCAATGCAAACAATAATTCCCAGTAGCTGCAACATTTATCCTGACAATACGATATGCAGTTAGGTTAATCATTTGCACACATATTACAAATTTACCCATGCCAAAATACTTCTGTACTAACTGTAAGAAGTAATTCGAACATGGTGTACGCACCTTAAATATTAAAAACTTCTCTTTCAGGAAGACCCATGAAATAATGTGGACTATGATAATAAACTGGCTTCCAATTGTGACACATTCCGATACCGAGGCGTACGTCACTGCCCAGTAAAACAATCCATTGATGGCGATAATGCTTAATGCGAACGGAACTAAGTAAATTACGCAGTTCAGCGGTTGGAATCCTTTTGGTCCCATTAAACTTTTTGCTTCCCTGCAATAAAGTTTACATGTTAAGGTATCAACAAAAAATTACCTTGTACAATCTAAAGCGCTCTTTCTTTCTCAAAGTTCAGTTATTACTGAACAACATTTTATTCTTTTTCCTTAAAACTGCAGCGTATCGATAAATGCTACTCTAGATATAACGCTGGGACCATGGCATACATAGTATTATTGGCTTGGGATAATTATAATTAGAGCTAGAATTGGCTAACTAAATCCTTTTTTCACAGTATAATACGACTTACACCCAAAGACCTTTTGCAGATATCCTTTTGTTCTCGCCGGAAATAACTATGCTGCGGTGGGCCTTACCACAGATCCAGATTTTATGGATCAGGCCGGCATGCCCACAGGTGTATTCGTATATCATCCTAATGCAGACCAAGGCAGGAAATGTAAGCATCCGAACAATATTGCTGCACCACAAGAAAAAGAACGGTGCATCAAAGGTCGACCCATTGACTTCCTTCGATAATTGCTGGTCACCCACGGCTGTGCTTGCACAAAACAACAAAATCACCAGACTTATTCCAAATCTTTGCCAGTCTGTTTCTTCAGCAACAGGTCCATCAACAGTGACTTGAGATTCTATTGTGACTGATGAAATTTGAGGATCATTCGACTCCGAAAAATCTCGCTCATATTCCACGCTCAGAGTTGAAACTACACAACAATTTGAATTTTAATTATATATAAAACGCAGAGAATTTTTAGCAGTTTTATTCATTATTTGTGTCATAAATACTCTGCATATCCAACACTGCAGCACAAATCAGATAAACAACGACTTCATTATATAGCAACGTAAACCACAAAAAAACAAGCGCTCACAAGTTTTTTGAAATCCTTTTACCAATTGCTGCTAAAAGATTTTTGTATGTAATGTGACTAATGTCGAATGTTAAAATCATGTATACAATACACTGTATGTGAACCACGTAGGTACTATATATATGTAGAAGATTTGAAGTACTGGAAAGCCGGTGAGATTTGCGAAACCTTACCGACAACGTGTGTCTTCTTATTGTCTGATTGGTCGTCCTGCCCAAGAACTACATCGACTTCCGCTAAGGCTGGTTGTCCTGACTCTCCCGCCATTTGAATAATGATTTATGGTTGATTGCTACGCATCCGAAAAAAATCGTTCTAGCATGAGTACTAGAAAACAAGAACGGAGCACACACAATACAAAGATCGGCATCGGTGGAAATAACCCATAGATAACTTTCCCGGAAGTCCGGGATTCTGATACAGTTTGTAATAACTGCAAAGATTACCTGCTCATAGGAATACGAGTGAGCTGGAAACCAAAATATCCGATAACAGTTTTACGCACAAGAACTTCTCGATTGCTATGATAAGCTTTTTGTTATTGGTATCTGTTAGCTGCAAAAGGTCAGCAGCTGTTTGCAGCTAATCTAATCTTTGTGGTGCTGACACGATACAGGCAGCCGTAATTCTCATTATGAATCGAACTATCTGTACACACTAAAAATTTCATTACAGAAAATCAAACCAAGTTTTTTTCTCTAATAACATTAAATTTTGCACAACAATAGAGACAAGTGCCATAATGCGTTTTGTACTGCCCCTAATACATCCAAGAAAAAGGGCAGATAACATCAGGGTAAGCCAACAAAACGTCCATTAATTAATTACATTTCTAATGTAATTACTTTAGTAGCAATGCAATAACTTATTTATTTACTCAAAAAATTAAATAGCATTCTTGCTAACCAAATAATACTCAAGTTAACCAGGGTTCTATTAAGCCATGATGAAACGCGGTTTTTGCTCTTGGATCCAGGTCAAAAATATCAGGATCAGAGGGTAGTGCGGTTGTATTATACTCACGGATCTTTTCCATCAGCAGGTCAGCGATATTCTTGTGCGAACCCGCAAGATTGTTATATTCACAGGGATCTTCTTCGATGTCAAAAAGACATGGAACCAGTAAAGAATGGCACGGCAATGCGTGGCTAGGCTTTTTACAGTGTACGGCTGCTTTTTCGTGTTTGATAAACTTGGCATGAATACCATTCGGTGGTTTATACCTACACCCATAAGGAAAGGCCGTCGAAGCTTCGTACCATTAATATCACAAGACACACATTTCGCAGCATTTTTTAAAGGGCATTTTTACCAGTGATCCATGCGAAATGATTTTGTTTTCAAGCCTGCCGGTGATCCGTAAACCAGTTTATAATTTTTCCATCTTATAGCGTATTCAGGACCCACTGGATCAATCTGATGCACAATCTCTTCTCGGGGTGAAGGTAAGCCTTCGGATATAGCGTCCCAGGATCTACCGCCTAATCTATCAGCCAAATGTGAGAATCACTCCACAATGCCGGTAGTACGTCCCATCTGTTCAAAACACCCAGTTATTTCCTGTCAAACAACGCAGATGTAACAATATTGTTCACCTAACTGCGATCTGCGTCCAGTCTACAATCCTCACCGATTGCTAGAAAGCAAAATGCGTAATTTTTCCCAACTGACTGGTCCATCACATTCACCATTGCTAGAAAGCAAAATGCGTAATTTTTATTGACGAAGGATTTTTACCAGGAACACCGTGTTGTATATAAGTAAAACAAGTAGTAGAAAAATCAGTCTACCGGCATGTTCTCGGCGATCGTCGTGCTTAATATAGCTGAAGTGTTTTTCATCTTTCCATGGCGCTTGTGTTGGGTCATATTTCCCAGCAGCATGCGGGGCCATGTGGGAAAAGTAAAGAAAAAGTGGCTAAAAAGAAAAATTAGAATATTATTTAATCGGTTATAAACAACGCAATTTAAAGTTTAACCAACCTTTTCATAGTGGTGCTCGTCTATCTTTTTAATGGCAACTTCGGTAAATAAATTTGTCGAATATTGTCCTTTGCATTTCTGGCAGGCAGTCACGTTATCCCAAAGATCAAATCCGCGCCATTCTTCCTTGCGCACTTCCGGGGTGTAATTAAAATAGTCGTTGGCACCGGCGTAATAGCCGAAGAAAGAGTCGAAACCCCGGTACACTGAAACCGACACCAGAATAATTCCCAAGACAATCTTGTACACGGTATTATGCACGCATCTTTACCTACAAGGGGTCATTGTCCGTTTTGAATAACCTAAATGCCACTAAAAAAATCAAAACGTTTATTGAAATCCAGGCCTGCTAGCCAAATGTGGAGTACAATAATTACAGCTTTATATAAATTGATATGGCTACAATTCTTTTATAAAAACTTATAGGCGCACTTTGCCAATTATGTGAGTGGAATATCCCAAATCTTTCAGGTATTCAGGCAAGAGTTTTTCCTCCAGCGGAAGCGCCCGATCTTCTCCAATCTGTAGAACCAGCCGCTGCATTCCTGTAGGCACAACACAAGTTGTATTATAACTGACACCAAAAGCAGCCAAATTGCATCAAAGTGTATTCCATACGAAGTAACTGCTTTGTACTTGCACATAGCCTATTCGTTGTATAATCGATTGTAAATTGATTACCTGTGCGAAAGGGATATTTTCCGGTCATTAAAGCAACTCGGGAAGGTGTGCCTGCAAACTGAAAATTAAATGTTCCATCGTTTACTTCATCTCTGTAAATCCATTCCGTACAATTATGCGCATTCCGTACAATTATGCGCTTAAACATAATGAGCAACAAATAACGTTGTCCGACCGTGATTGTTGCTATTCTCGGGTCGTGAAATGTTGTTTCAAATTTATCAGATCAACAAATTTTACCGGTTGACGTACATAGATACTGTGCGTAATAATCATGCAAAATTACGCCTTCTTCGGCCAGAATATCAATATTCGGAGTAGGAATTTCGTCGTAGCCATGAAAACTGACATCTGTCCAACCCTGTAGCATAGAAGTATTAATGTGCACTTAAAAAACACACATCTACGGGGTGGAAATAACCGGAAACAGTGCATCAAGAAATTAACCCGATCGAAAACTCTAAAAAATATAAACACCTAGTACAGCATTAGATACTTGAAGTACGAGTATCTCATCTTTGCCAGTTACTACAACAGAGGCGTACCAGGTCATCTGCCAGGATGAAAACAATGTTTGGCTGTTTGACCGCAGTAACAGTCAGTGCCGGCATGATAAGAAACAGAGTGCATGCAACGTTTCCATATTCCATAATGCTTTTTCTCTTAATACAATTTTGCCAGAAAGAAAGGTTTTACGAGTAATAAGACAAGAAATTTCTCGTTGATGCACTCAAAAAAAATGTAGAACAAGTAAGAAAGGTTTGTAATTAGAGCGGGAAATTCCTAATTGGCGTATGATCACATCCATCATGTGCAAATTACACACAGCAAGCTTTTTTACCAAAAAAGTGAACAAAAGCTGGTTCGTTATCTACAATGCCTCCAGCTGTGCGGTAGGGCTTTACCGAACTTTGTAGCGAGACCGCAAGCTTCATGCATTATGGATACTTATTTGATTGTTAAACAGCTAGAATGGCTCATCGTGCCAACAGAAGCGAACAGGAAAAAAGTGTGTTTTCGTAGTTTCGCATTAAGCATGCAACAATGCAGACAAAACAAAACCATTCTGCTGTTTTTCGAATTTCTTCTTTTGAGTGGCATACGATCGTCATGATGTGCCAAGAAATCTCAGAATGCCTTTCGATAGGCAAAAGCCATCATTTGTGCACTCATGAAAATTCTTATACAAATAAAAAAACATCACTCCAAATTGAGCACATCGAAAAATTATACTTGTTTCACAGAGAGCATATGCGATCACGAAATGTTAAAACTCCAATACAAAACAATTAATCAATGCAGCCATGGCTGCATCAGTCCGTTATTAAGCGACGCTTTTGCTTTGGGATCCAAGGGCACATTCTGGGAGATTGCTGCAGTGGCGTTGTATTTCCGTATTTTGCCCAATAACAGATCCACAACATCGGGCAACTGTTCCGCTAAGTTATTGTACTCACAGGGATCCTGAACAACGTCGAACAAGCACGGTGCAACACTGGCATCACATGGTCTGTCATTCTTCAGTTGACCACAGCTTAACGCACCGGGACTATCAACAACGAGGTTCTCTTGGATCCCTGTTTCCGGTATGTACCTAAAACAACAACACGATTAAATACCCTGTTCGCTAAAAACGACAGTTTCCAAATTTTAGCAACAGTAACAACACACGCACATGCATTTACTACCCTAAGGAACTCTAGTATTAAACCTATACCGAATAATCTCAGTACAGCAATTCGATCTTGTTCTGAAAACGACAGAACCTAAATACGCTTTATAAGCTAATCAGTTGATCTTTACCAATCGTCAATCCGATTGTTATTTCGTAAATTTGATCCCCACACCAGTTTATACTGGTTCAGTCTTATGGCGTATTCTTTCCATACGGGATCAATTTGCAGAACGATTTCAGTACGGGGCGACGGAGTAGCATGACTCAACGAGTCCCAAATGTCCAAGCCATCCATATTCCTCAACGGTATACCTCCTCCCAGCCGGTAAAAGGTTGATAACCAGTCCGTTATGTGATACAGTTCGCTGGACACTCGCTTAACGGACTTAAGTAATGGGCTCCAGATAAAGCTCGCTACACGTACGCCTCCTTCAAATCTGCAAAAAGCGGATTACAATTTTGCAGGTTAAGGTGTGAGATACAAAGGAATCGCTAATCAGAAAGAACTAAAGGTGCGGTGGCACAGACTGAAATTTTTAAAGCTACACAATGTGAGCTCGAATCCCGATATCTTACTGTGATGCTTTCGCTCCTCGCAACGGCCAGTTGCTGGCGAAACTCGATGGGGGCCCAAAGTGTATCCCTTCCACGGCTCCGGCTCCACCATTATCCGAAGAAAACAAGATAACCGAATTCTCCAACAGCTTTTTTTCGCTCAGCGCCTCGACCAACTCCCCGACAGCATCATCCAAAACCGCAACGGTTGCTGCAACAAAGTACGAAACAAATAATGACAGTCGATGAAGAATCAGCGAGATGGTGACAACGGGGAAGGGAACAAACCAGCATACTTCCGTCGACCTTCGTGGGCGATGTGTTGAAATCTATCAATGTACTCTTTGGGAGCTTGCACGGGATCATCCTCGTTGGCATAGTGAGGCGCAAGATGGGATAAAATCAGGAACAGTGGCTAAATCAGGAAGAGACCATGCAACTCATATTGCAATGCAGCAATAAGGAGCCAAAAATATGGAGTATGACGTACGCGGTCACTGTTATGCTCGCGAATTCTTTCTATTGCTTGGTGGGTAAATAAATTGGTTGCATATTGTCCTTTCGATGCTTTTGCCGGTTGTAACCCATCCCACATGTCAAATGCGCTGTATCCGGCGCTGACTGCTGTCGGAGTATAGTTATAATAATCCACATATCCGGTATAATATCCAAAAAATGAATCAAAGCCCCGGAAAGCTGCAACAGGATATTACAACATACATAATAAAGCTCAGGTTGCATATAAATTTTATACCAACATGTGATTCCGATAAAGAAATGACTAATACTAGTTAAATGTTCCTTACTGGGGGTCATCTCGTTCCTAGCATAACCAAGGTGCCACTGCAAATTAAAAGAATTACGTGGATTAACTTAATGACAGGAATGCGAAAACTTCGACACGGCCAAAAACAATGTAGCAAGGAATATTTCAGGAAAGAAACGATTCGCACCTTTCCAACTAGATGAGTGGAATATCCCAGTTCACGCATGTACTGCGGGAACAGTTTCTCCTCCAGTGGTAATCCTCGAGGTTCACCAGCTCGTAATACATAGTGCTGCAGTCCTAGAACAAGAATGTAACCTGGCAGCGCAGAGGAAACAGCTCAGTAATAACACGACCATTGTCCAAAGCACAATACCGGTTCGAAATGAGTATTTTCCGGTCATTAAAGCCGCTCTAGATGGCGTACACATGTAATGCGCATAATGGCTGTTCAAAATAATTCCTTCCGCTGCCAATTTATCCAGATTTGGTGTGGGAATCTCTTTATAGCCATGAAAACTAACATCATTCCAGCCCTACAAGTACCAAATTTTAAAAACCAATTCAGCATTAAATTTAGAGTTGCACAATACCAGGTCGTCCGCAACGATAATTATTATGTTGGGTGGCGCGGGAGATACGACTTGTCGTGTTGCACGCACCACAGTCGGTGTGTTTCCGAGTAAAAGGGGTATAATAACGAAGGGGAGCATCCTCAGCAACCAGCTGACTGCAATGACGAAGGTAGAGCCCAACAAATTTCGCTAATTTTAAAAAGAACCAATTTGAAGGATACTTACTGCGTCGCTCAGTGTAATTACTGATGTGAGATCGTCGATTGGACGGTATAAAGGACAGCACAGACGCACACGATAGCATTCCCGTGCCGAAGATAATGAACGATGTGCGATAATTACCAAAAATATCCGCTAACCACCCTGATAACCGACAGTACCTTATTATTACAAGGGATATTTATATAACATCACGCATAAGTCTTACGCAAGGCACTGCATAGAGAATTAACAATATTAGTAAACACACAGCAGTGGCATAAATTGCTCGCACTAACAATAGCCCATAAGAAGGGCGATATTTTTGCATAATGGATGGGATTTCCGATGAAATACCGGTAATATCGTGATTCGTTTGCTCACGCAGAAACTATAGGAGATATTCAAAGCTAACTAAAAATCAGAGAGTGCTAACATCAAAATCCTACTCTTATTGACTCGTAATGAGTTAAATGAGATAAACAAATTATAAACGTCAGATACCTGCAATTGGCGTTCCGAAAAATATCGAAACTCCTTGTACCAAGCAAACAAGACCGAAAGTCTGCGATAATACAGACAGGCCAAAAATGTCAGCAAGGATTATTGAGTTGAGCGCGACACGGCCACCTAAGAAAAACATTTTACCAAAATTCACCAGAAATGTTACAACGCCAGATGTGCTGGAAATGTTACCGGAAGCAGCACCGTAACCAAGCGAACACAGGGCTAACTGGAAATAACTTCCCGCCAACCCCATAGCCTCCACTGAGAACCCCGCCATAACATTTAGAAACATGTACACAAGGAATCTGCGGTGCCTTTGGTGGTCGCCAATAAATCCTCCCAACACCCGTCCCAGGAAGCTCGCGATTCCAAGATACGATAACAAATACGCCGCATCGGATTTCGTTGTATTCAGCTGTCTAACAGCATAATCCGGTAAAAAGGAAAAGGGAATCCGGTAGCTGGCACTGAATAGTGCCGTACTACAGCTGAACAGAACAAAAGCAGGATCTTTTAGAAAATGCCACGCCACTCCGCCACTCGTTGAAACAGCAGAACCACTGCTTTGCAATGCTTCTCTGCAACCGAAAGAGATAAGCCATGCCAAAAATCAACGCATTTTACGAAGAATTAATTTTTATTTTTTGCTGGATGCTACTCATTAGTACCACGTTACAACTGCTCTTACCGATTCGATAATTTACCGATTCAATTAAACTGCTGACTCGATAGTACTACCGGCACTAACAAACCGGAGTTAGTGCATCTCGACAGTCGTACCGTTATTAGCTGTATACAATACTACACAACAGCTGTCCCAGTGTCCACTTTTCGCTACTGTGAGTTAATGCTCACCGGGTCCAGTTTAAAATATTAAGCGACAAACAGTATTCACTAACCGTTTTTGTGCCTGATGTTCAGGATTTGGTCGCAATAAAATTCCAACAACGCAACACAAAGAAATGAGAATACCGGAAAATGTAAAATAGCTTTTCCATCCGTATAACTTGAGAATATGTTGTGCAAGTGGCGGGATAATAAAAGCACCGAACCCTGCGCCGGAAAGACCGATTCCCGTCGCCTAAAGCATACAACAATAAATATTAACTGCTACAGTATATCGCACAAAATACGCTATTCTCACTTCTCATTCACATAAATCATGAACTGTTGCATAACAAAAACTGATCATATCATAATTATGGGAGTCTTCATAAGAAAAGCATAACGTAACGACTTAAATAAAACAAATTAACAACTGCATCTCTCAGTAACATCACTACAGCCAGTAATCTGTACGGCTGTCACGAAAGGATAGATTAAGGATTAAACGATACTGCAATCACAATATATTCAAAATTTTATGTCGCACTACCGTCGAACGCGATTCTTTGAACCATTCAGCCAAAACAATAGTTTGGGGTAAATACATCAGCCCAAAACCAAACCCTGGAAAACAGCACCTCATCACTCATGCAGTAAGATACTTAGACCGCACCAGTAACCGGAGATTATACCCATACGGACATACCAGTAATAATTCCATACGAAATAATAAGAAAATTAATTCCAGTGGCAAAAGAACTCAAAATGCAACCAAAGGAAGCAACCACGGCGCCCACAATCGTCACGGTACGACAGCTGGACTTGTCAATTAAATAACTGGAGAACGGACCTATATTGTGCAAACCAGACGGAAATGTACAGTAAGTAAACAAAGGAGCAACCACTTATCGATAGTCAAACGACAAATCCCGCGATACGGTGCTACTAACCCACTGCCAAGAGCAGACCACCGAGCAGCGAAGGTATCCAGCCAATTGTTGCTCGACCTGCGTTGAACTGGTCCAGCAGGACATTCAGCAGCACTCCTGTGGAGGCAATCACACCCTGTACGACAGCGTTAACCAGGAATGTGGCCAAAACCACAACCCAGCCGTAACCACCGTCCATAGTTACTGATGTGAGCGATGCCGTCAGAAAACGAAGTCCACGGCAACGAAATGATTGCGAAACCACAACAACGTCTGCTCGTCACATGCGAGCGCATAATTTCTAACTCGCATTTTACGATTGCCGGGCAGAGTAACAGAACGGGTAGCTGGAGGCAAGAAACAAAATACGCAACATAACGCGTTAAAAACAGAACATACAGCACAAAAAACAGATCTCATTCTCACCATTTAAAATTCTTGCCGTTCGACGTGTCGCTGTCTCGCTGATAGCAAAAACTGCAGGCTCACTTGAAGTTGGATTGCGAAAGCGGCGGGCGGATGTTTCTGCGCTCGAAGAGGCAGTTACGTGTGTATAATTACAGTATACTGCCTGCGCCACTGCGACTGCCTCACTGCTGGACAGGTGACAGTTGACAAGCAGCTTCCGTGGTCGCGTTAAAAAACTTTCTTGGCGCTTGAAGTACCTGGCTCGTGCTGGTCTGCGTTCAGCATACAAATGTCCCGCGCTAACATTCTGGACAAATGTATGCTGAACACCTACGCACTCCAAGGTCTACCACTGCGTTATCGGCGCCAGTTGGGAGCCGAATTTTTCCTTGTGCGCTAATGCACTTCCGCTACCGGCCAGCTGTCTCCATCGTTTATACCTGGACTGAAACAATCAGTGTCTTCAACCCGCATTGACGTCGCACGGTCGCCGTGCAGGGTTTTATTCTATGTAAAAGAAGCCAGAGTGTGGGTCTAGCAAATGAAGCAAATTTTCAGGACGGAAATTTCGCAATCGAATTGGCTGCATTTTAATATAATGTGAAAGACGTTCGATCATCAACCGCATACACAATACACATTAACTGTAGACTGTATAGTACGGTAATTCTGCAATGCGGTCGCCGGGCGGAAAGAGGGAAACGTAAAAAATGTCATGCATCCAGTCTGCAGAGAGAATTTCCGAGTTGTAACTTGTAAGCAACGTCTTCATCTCGACAGTTGCTAAATTATAGTTGTAGCAAGTGTTCAGATTGATTACGTGGATGTCACAATAAATTATTTTTGAAACCTGGACAGAGTGAGCTATATATTGTATACGTTTGTAATTATAGCGCAGAAGCGAGGGTGAAGCGTGATTTCACTGATATGCTATAAAAACATATTACATAAGCAATAATTCCTCTACTAGCAGATTCTAGATTGCAAAATAATAGAATAGTTAAAGACATTGTAATTCAGAAACCGGTAATTGGCGATCTCTCCCTCCACTTTGCTAACCGGAGGTGTGCAGCTCTGGATTTCTTGGGAAATTTTCGAAGCCGATCGCTGTGAGATTCGAATGTTTGTTTCGAAACCAGGTTGAAAGATTTTAATTTCCTGGGTGAGTAATTTGAATTCTTTCTTCGACCTTCATTGTCGGTTCCCTTTTACGATTATTTGTTTGACCAGGCGTTCATTCCAGAGCAGGCAAAAAAGTGTAGCGCAAATTGCAAAATGCACTGCACAGCTGTCTGACAACGGAAGCGCGCGCTGTCCATAAGCCTTACCGCCTGTAATAATACAAGTAATCATTGCGCGGTGCGCATATGATCTTCCATTTGTAATCATATCACGCTTTCATGTGTATAAAAGTGCGGTGATGCGAAATGCATTTATTATTGACGGGGAATAGTGAAACAGGAGTTACCGCATCCATCGCTCGAGCTGGGATGCTGCCGGCATTGCCAAAAAGGATCCGGTTGGCGACTATGTGGATATTGATAGTGCTAGAATCCCATCCATTTGACTAATCTAAATATCGATCCACCCACACATTCAGCCAGTGCCAAGCGTACGTGCTATGTACTCGTACAAGTAATAATCACCTGTGCGCTCCCCAATCCAATTTTGACGTCATTTGCCTAGCGGGATGGTGGATGAATTTAAAACATGCGACCACAGGGAAACCTGAGCATTTTACCTTAAATCTACCACGACACATGGAAGCCTCTGCCTTTTGATCCAGAAATTGTTTTTGCTGCGATCGCGCTTATTGTGTGGTGTTGCACAGAGCGCGCACCGACGCTTCTCCATTCGCGTTTGAGGCGCTGACGAGCAGCGGGATTTCATGTTGACAGTGTAGCTTTCCTGTTGTCTGGCCAGTGTGTGATATTCTGCACTGACAATGGCGTCCGAGGACGATGTGGTGAATTTCTTGACCAGGAATCCCGAATTCATCCAGGAGTACATTGCCAAAAATCTTTCGGTTAGCTCACAGATCGATTTAGCTCATCAGATCCTTGCGCTGACGGATAAGAGCGAAAGCGTGACTGGCAGCCAGTTTCTTCGGGCGACCATTAATGCTCAAAATGAATCGGACAAGGTAACTAGTGTTCTCTGGGATTTGTCCTATCAGACAATGCAGTTGGTGGAGGCCGATGGGTTCCACTTGTATGTCGCGGATAATGCTGCCGAGTATCTCAGCCTGGTAGTTCCGGAGGAGATTTCGGAAGCCAACAGGTATATTAAAATTATATTTACAGTATTACCGAGTTTTTGGTGATTTTTGGTATTATAAGTGTTCGCTTTTTAGTGTTGTTAGGAAGTTTCAAGCAGTTTTCTAAAATTTAAGTAATTGATTTTGGGCAAACAGTGGTGTGGCAGGAAAGAAATCCAGTTTTTCCTTTTACGTCTTACGAGTACAATCCTAGGTTTTGATTTTTTGCAGTTTTTGGATGTCGGTTGTTGCAAGGAAAGTGATTTAAGTCCACTTAACCTGCGCAGAGTGATTGTGCTGCGCTAATTAGCAGCAATTTTTCCTAATATTCGTATTAGTGATATACTGTTAATTTTATTAACGATTTATTAGTAACTGAACAAAATATTACTGTATTATGGCGTGTAGAACTAAAACTAACAATAAAAGCCGGATATTGCTTGTTATCGCAGCAAACTGACGGGTCAGTACTAATTAAACACAGAGGCGTACGAAGAGCTTTTGAGATTACTTTGAGCTGTGCTTTTTGTAATTGTAAAAGGACGGATTTTTTATGAGTAAGTATTAATTTGGTAATATTAACATGTTGATAAATCCATCGAGGTATGATTTTGTAAGTGTGCCTTCCAAACATCCAACCATGGGATATACGGCTTATTTTCACACCGTTCAGATTTTCTGAACCAGCGCTTTATTTGGTTAACCGGTTTTTCACAGTTACGTAAAGAATTCCGATAATTTTTAGTGTTACTTATTAGTTAAATTCGGATAATTTCTGCGTAAAACTGCGATTTAAACCGTCTCTTGGCCTTTTTGTGCTGCTTATTTGAAAGATTGGATTTACAGTTTACAGGTTGGATCTGTAACGGATCACTTCTTACGGCTTTGTTGAAACAATAATATTATCCTCGTACGACTCAAATGAGAACTGCATTGCAAAAAGAAAATATTTATTCATTATGATAAATTCAAGTTTGTCTTATATTTTATGTGGGAATGATACTTTTATGGACAGTCTGACCGTTTTACATATTCGCAAGAGCATAAAAAATGATCCTAGAAATTGACAGTGTATCCGTTACAGCACAAAAAACCCGCATTAGCCTGTTAGCGCCTCATTCTCATATCTACCGTTATTTAATTACGTACTTAATTTGGATGATTTCAGGAACGGTATGGTGAATGGCGAAACAGCGGCTTCGTTTCCGGTGTCAAAATTTCGGATGCAGCAGATTTGTGACATTAACACCGGAAAGTTCATTGCCGCTTTGGTAACTTGATCACCTAACCACTTTTGCATTTCCTACTGGTAATTTTTAATAATTACGGCTATCGTTTATGTATTATGTAACCTCAGGTTGCCCGCACGAACCAAGTATTCCGCATGGATGACTGGAGATTGCAGCTTCTCGTACGTAAAATATTTTTCAAGTGAAAAAAATTCCACCCAGTTGATTGGAAAATTTGATGCTTATACATTTATACGTAGTGTGTTACAACTGTAATACGCCTTGGTGGAGATGTTCAGTATCTGACAATTGATTGGTTTTTTTACATGACTGATTGTGCAGGCTGATGATGTGTCCAGCGTTCTGGATGTCGGCTGTAACAGCGAAGAAACCGAAGCCATACTAGCAGTGCCAATTACGTTCAGCAATAAGCCAGTCGCGGATATTAGATTCGCAACTGGTCGTGGCGATTCTCCTATTTTCTCCCTAAGCAAAGCCGTTCAAATGGTGGGTGTATTGGAACTCTTCCGTTTTCCCGGTGCGGAAAAAGGACCGTTCAGCGCGAAAGATGAAGACGTAAGTACTGCGAATTCATTAGTAATACCGAATACGTAATAATTCAAACACTTTTCTGTGTCATCGTGGTTGAGCAGTCATGCTATCAATACACCATAAGCCATAAGGTGCTTTATCGGAAAAAGCGAATCAGGTGTACAAACATTATTTTAATGTTAAATGATAGCTACGGCGCTGTATTAGCCAATTTGTGTCGGTATAAGAACTGTTTTCTTGCTGGGAAGAGTTGTTTGTCCTATTATTCTAATGGATATTAATAATCATTCTAACGGGCGGGAGACGCGGGGTTTTCGATTAGCCAGGCTGTTAACAAGAGGCATTTGCATTATTTATCTTGGGAAGCCCTGCAGGGATTTGGAGGAATTGAGATGGTCTAATGAGACTGAAAATTTGTTTGTCCTTTTTCCACGTGAATATAAATGCCGCATGAATGAACAGCCTATTTTATGCACATCTACGACGATGTTTTCTCTTTTCCCGGCTGCAGGTTGCCGTTAATTTTGTCACACTGGGTGCTTCAGCTGTGCACGATGGATTGGTAAGCCATTCGACACCAGGAGAAAGAATGTAACCAGGTGCGCGTATTGATTTTTCGGCTTCCACTTGCAGCGTCTTCAAGAGCTCAACATGCAAACTCAACTCAATAGCTATCTTCTGAACATTGTCAAGTGAGTGCCCAGAAAGTAATTCTCCACATAATCGCGTGTGGATGACCTAAAATATCATGACAAAGAGATTATTGACGGTATCTTGAAATACTTAAAGCATTAAAAAATAGCCAGGGTTAATGTAACGTTACACCGATGTATTTATTTTCCTTAAAACCCGAAGGTCACCGTCCGCACATAAACGTCAGCGTGTTTGTTCCGTGGTGTGCATGTCAGGGGTATTTCCGGTGACTTAAAAGCGCAAATATAGCCATGCATCCTAATCCTGAAAGCGCTCACGGATGTGCTGACTTTTTGCTACACCTGCCCTGTTTTTTAGATCAATTTTCCAGGATATTGTTTCGATGGATACGGTGATCATGAAGATCATGGTATGTAAACAATACCATAACAATTATTGCCCCGCCAGGAATATTCTCAATAAAATTGCTTAAAGTGATCAGTGGCTGAAGGGGAGCTTTTGTTAATTGCAGAATCACGCACAGCGGCTAGTTAATGCGGATCGTGCGTCACTGTTCCTCGTGGATTCACGCACCCACGAGCTATATGCCCGCATCTTTGATATTGGTACGGAAGAGGTGGCTAATGGGGAATCCGCTAAGCCAAACATTGCAAAGGAGATTCGATTCCCCATTGGAAAGGGCATTGCTGGCACGGTGGCCGCCACCGGCGCCGTCATGAACATACAGAATGCCTACGAGGATGAACGATTTAATCCGGAGGTGGATCAACGGACGGGTTATAAGACCAAATCGATCCTGTGCATGCCGATCTTCATCCGCGGCAGGTGACGATAGATTCAAAGATAGGGCTTTTCAATGTTGCACTGGGATCGGGTGTGTTGTGGTGCTGCAGTAATCGATAGACTGCGGTGAAAGTGCTGCAACCAATATGCAGCCGTATACTTTCACAGACTGAACTTGAAAGTAACGTTTTTCAGTGTGATTGGAGTTGTTCAGATGGTTAATAAGCAGATCGGAACATTCACTAAAGCCGACGAAGAAGCGTTTGAGACCTTTGCCGTTTATTGTGGACTGGCGCTCCATCACGCGAAGGTATCACGCCACAGATCCAGAAATAGGATGTTGTTGTGTCTTAAGACACCGTTAGTTGTACGCAAGACAGATCGTTTGCTTGCAGTTAATTACGAAGTGTCATTGCAGTTCATGGCTACATTGGCTCTTTGTTTTTAATAGCTATACGATAAAATTCGCCGGTCGGAGCAGAAATATAAAGTAGCTTTGGACGTCCTAGCCTACCATTCTACATGCACCGACGATGAGTTCAATATGCTCAAACATGCTAATATGCCGGATGAAATTCCGGAAATCGACCGTTTTGAATTCTCTCCGTGGAAGCTAACGGAATTTCAGAAACCTCTCTGTGTCATATACATGTTCCGCGATTTGTTTGGATTAACCCGCTTCGACTTGGACACATTGATTCGGTTTAGCTTAACGGTTCGGAAGAATTACCGCAAAGTACCTTATCATAATTATACACACGGTATGGAAACAGTTTCCGTCGACGTCTGCATTTATGGTTGATTTGATCGGTAATTTCCTTAGGGTTTTCCGTCGCCAACTCCATGTATGTTTGTCTCAAAACTAATTCCCATGTGTTTAAGCCATTAGAGGTGAGCTATTAATGGAATTTAAATATTTTATGGGCGTAGAGTTAACAGGGACTATTTGTTGTTGCTTTCCAAACGACTTGATGTGTTAACTGATGCAGGAAGTATTTTACAGGCACTTGCCTTATACGTAGCAGCTCTTTGTCACGATTTGGATCATCGCGGAAAGAATAATTCATTTATGGTGAAATTTGCCTCACCCCTTGCCGCTATTTATACAACCTCGACAATGGAGCACCATCATTTTAACCAGACAGTAGCTATTCTGCAGCAAGAAGGTCATAATATTTTCCGTTCCTTGACGCCGGTAGAGTATCGCGAAGTATTGGGAAACATCAAGCACTGCATCCTCGCGACGGATTTGGCGCTGTTTTTTCCAAACAAAGCCGTATTAAAAGGTATTCTAGAGCAGTGAATTATGGAGGAATTTTTTGAGCAGGTACACATGGAACTACATCAGCCTTCTGAACAGCTTAACATGCACTTGACCATTTAGAGACGCGTTCGATTAATGTTTTAGGGCGATCAGGAACGAGCTCGTGGACAGGAGCCGATTCCCATGCTGGACCGTAGAAAAGCGAACGAGCTCCCAGCCAGCCAGGTAGAGCACTTTTTGTTTGTCTTCCCTTTTTTTCTTGAGCAGTATGAACCGGAGAATGCTTTCCATTTAAAGCCGGCATATCATTACCATGGCTTTTTGATTGTCCGTTGTGGACAAATGCAATATTTGTTTCCTGTCGTAGTGTGGCTTCCTTACCGGCATTTGCCTGCCTTGCTACGAACTTATGGCGCAGTTGCTGCCAGGCTCCCAGCCCATGTTAGATGGTGCCAGGTAAATAGGGATACAAATTTATTATTTATAGAGTAAAAATGCGTAGAAATGTAAGAATATTTAAGTGAAAAAATTTATTACGGTATGTTGGTACATTATTTTATAGTTTGTAGTTTACTAGATGTGCCGTGATTACACTTCGTACGTCATTTCATTTACAGGAATAATCTGGAAATGTGGACCGAAGAAAAGAAGAAAGTAGAAGCACAAGCAGCTGAGAATAAGTAACCATATCGCACATTGTTATTTTAGCGCGATGTGATGCCGGAGTAATCGATCTCTTTACCGCTCTCTTCGGTGGAGCTTATCAATAAAAGCTTTATTGTTTAAATTATTTCAAATTTGACCGCTGTGTATATTTAATCCATCCCGGTTGAGACAGAAGGTTATGTAGATTAGATGTTGAATGACTACGGTTTTAAATTTTATGGATTTCGTCAGCATAAAATGTGGTTGCAGCATTATTATAAAATTGCTTTTACCATTTATTTGACTGGTTTTTGATCTGGTTTTAATTTTGGGCTGTTCGCTGTGGAAAATGGATTAAATCAACAGTTTAGCCTGATTTTACGAACCTTCATATTGTTTACTCTTGTATTGTATGAATTATAGCTAATTATTCCGCGATTAAGTGTAAAGAATGAATTGTCATCTACTCTGTACATTGCACCTATCAGACCTGAGTATACGTTAGTGACATGAAATTTCGCTTGGCGTTTTTTAATAAATTTCGATGAGCTGAAGGGATCTCATTTTATTACAGTGAGTTTTCTTTCGTGAAAACTGTAACCAATGCTCCTGCTAAAAAACATGACCTTCTAAAATTCTCGTGTGGGCCTAAGTGTTCCTACACCATAATTATTTTCTTGCATGCCGAAGCCGATCTCGGGATGTCAGATTTACCCTGCAAGCGCCTCTGGAAGCAAGATACATACCTTGTTTTTTCTCTTCAAAAAACTAGCGCTGCTCTTTTATGTTACAGCACGGCTGGCCATTAGTTTGGCTTGTTACACGGTAACTTACGTCTTACAGTACACAGTGTCACCAATGAAGCAGTGACGATCCACCAAAGATTTAAGTTTCCTGCAGAGGTTTAGAAATTCAGTATCAATTCTATAGTAATAACAATTATAATCACCGTAAATGCTGTTTCTTGTAAGTATTTGTAACTGTATGCATTCCACTGGGCATAATCCGCATAACGATTTGTTTACTGTAATAGTATCAGAGGTCCAAAACTATTAATTATATTTTACTATTAAATTTTAGGGTGACACTATAGGCACCCCAAAAACCCCCGTTTACTATAGGCACCCCTTTTCCGCACCCCGTTAATTAAAGGCACCCTTATCTTATTAATTGATTCTTTCGTGCACCCTGTTTTTTATAGGCACCCCTATAAAACTTTAGCATACTAGTACAGTATTATAATGTAATTGTAGTGTTAGAACCTAGAATCTAGATACGGTAACTATGGTCGCAAAAGTATAGAGAGGCAGACCGACGTCGATGTTACAGTATGTACCCTCTTGTACAACTTCAAAATGCTGGGTCGAATCATTGTGGCTCATCACGGGCCTGACACCAGAAGGTACGGTTTTTACAAAAGCCGAACCGCACCGAAAATGGTTAGCAGAAGCGCTGGACAAAGAGGAGGCCACCCGGTGTCCGAAAAGAACCGGCAGAAAACCGGCATCCGAAATTACGATTGCGAAACGAAACACCAGAATTACCGCCGACGATGCCATCCTCATTAGATCCAAGTTAGCAGATCGGCCTCACCGCCCGATCACCGGATGGAAAGCCTGATTCTGTCTGTATGTATGCGAGTATCTGTATGAGACTGACGCACGTACATGAAATCATTTTCGAATTCTGTATCCGAAATATGCTATTAATGGGTGCCTATAGAATACACTGACAGGGTGTTTCTATTTAATAAACAGAAAAGGGTGTCTATAAATTACGGGGTGCGAGAAGGGGTGCCTATAATAAACGAGGGTGTAAGGGGGTGCCTATAGTGATTTCCTAAATTTTAAGTAAGTACTTTAATTAATTTATTTCATGCTTATGCGCTCGTACAAACTACAATCCTGCCATATTTAAAAAATAATTAAAATACCGGCATGAGCTCACTTTTAAAAAAATTTTTAAAGTATTCTGGTGTTATGTTACAGCACGGCTGGCCATTTGTTAAAAAATTTTTTAAAGTATTCTGGTGGCTTCTGGTACGGTCATTTTCAAGGAAAGAACTATCCGTTTTTTCGATTAAGTACTAGTACTTAATTTTCTGCAAGTACTCGTACAGTGAGTACGTCCTGTACAAGTACGTCGTACACCACACACTACAGTCGTACGGTGAGTTGTGACAAAGAACGCGATTTGAGTCATTTCCACGAGGCGGCGTTATTGAATTAATGGAATCACAATGGGGTCACTTTGGGACTCTGGGCTGAGTCGAGTCACAGAATGCGCGTGTGGGTGATTCGACTGGACGAGAGAGTGAAGTACAAGAACTCAACGTAGAGCTTTTTCATGCTCCGTCGATCGCGTCTAAAATTACGCTTTTTTGGTTTTCTTGATAAATTCGTTAAGTATTTTTAATTATCGCGTGCAGTTGGAGGAAATCAAGGACACTACAACGATTCTCCCATTTTCCTGATTTCAAACGAAACATTTTTCACTCTTGGGCGTGTAACAGTCTACATTCTATGGAGATCCCTGTAGTTATAGCGCGTGCTTGATGACTACTTGCTACTACGTGCTTGATGAAACCAGACAGCTGGATGAGCAGGATGACTACTTCCTTCAAGCCTGAGCCCTTAAGGATTTAATCATAATGATCTAAAGACCGAATTTGATGATATAATCTTTACTACCCCACGGATACTGATCGTTTTTTGCTGAATCACTTCTTGATATCCAAATTTCAGACCTGCTCAAACCATTTACTACGCCTGGAATTTCCTCCATAGCTTCTCTTATGATCATCTGTCCCGTGGTGCTGAAACGTTTCTTCGTTTGGTTTTGAAAGCAGAGGAAGGAAGCGAAATTAAATGCCACATCAGGTATGAATCATAGGATACGATGGCATACCTTTACGTGTGCGCTAGAAATGAGAAGGAACCTTTTAGCTGACAATGAGACATGTTCAAGACTTCAAGAAGCAACTCGGTAGTTTAATATAGGTGTATCAGTATGAGACGTGAAAGATTTTGTGCAAATGTCGCATGTAAACAAATAACAATACGTATAGAACATTCTGTATTTTACAACCATATCATTGATATATCATACCCATTACCCACACAGTAAAACTTACGGTTACTTTAACTTACCCAATGAATTGTGAGTTGCGAATAAAAATTTATTGGGAATTGACAACCAGGGATAAGGATTGTGCAGTTTATTTGTTTTTAAAACAGTAGGATAAATGAATGGACAGTAAATGAACGCTGTATTCTTCACAACAATAGATACTGACACTTACGGTCTTACCTTCTAGTTCTAGGGGTTTGTAGGAAGCACTAATGTGTATATAACTAACAGAACCATACAGTAGCTGTTTCCTGACTCTTAACCATTTCTAAATATCTTGCTAATCTTTATTCTTAATTAGAATGCTCAAATAAGGACTCATAAACCAATAACCAACCATGTTTTGCCTAACTAGTCTGTTTCATAGCTCGATGAACTTTAATCCACCTGATCCCACAACAGAGGCTGAAAACAGCACAAGAGCAACAATGTTACAGAGTTTCCCTGTTTCGTTTTAATTCTACGCTCTTTTGCACGTTATTAAGACAAGAGTGTGCTAAGGAAAAATAAGCGAGCGCTACGATTCAAAAACTGTTAACGCTCGCTGCCTTTACCGCACACAGGCTTTTTGAGGCTCTGTTTGTAAATTTCAGTCGTTTATTTGAATTATTTCCTATCGATTGAGAAAACGCGATATAAAAAATCACACATGCTATGCTACCCTTACCTACGATTAAAAATCCGAAGGAATTTTGAAATAAGTTTTATTAACTCGTGTTGCATTCTAAATCGCTTCCACCAGTGCTCTCTCTGTATTATGAATTTGATCAATGACTTTTTGGTGCGCTTTTCTTGTACGTACTACGAAGTATCTGTGCATGGAAGATTCGGACTAGAGTGGGCTTTATTACTTAATGTAATGGTTGGTCACTTTATTTTGCCATTTTTTACTGTACTGACTGTATGCCAAGATTTATTTAGCAGGCATCAGTATTAGAAAAGGAACCGGAATTGTCGATTTGTAGTTTGGTGTTTCATCTTTCCTGGTTATTATCCATTCATATATTTTGATATATTGTTTGGCATAATAAAGGGTTAATAGGCATAAAGAATGCCTGAAACTATTTCCGGATCTGATAGTTAGTTGATGGCAGTTTCACATTACTTGTAGGAATTTAGCCCGCGAACGGCAGCGAACAGCAGCAGCTCTTTTGCCAGTTATTCCAGCGACGACAATTCCAATTCAAACGATGTTGGTGGCACACTAGGAGCGATGGAGGCTATGGACACATCAGAAGAGCCTTCGATGGACACAAGCCGTCTGCAGGGAAGAAAAACCCGTGAAATCCCCGCCACGGAACGCATGGTTGCCATGATGCATCTGTCAGAAAGTGCACCCATTCTCGCATCGGAGACCGCCGTGGGATTGGGCCGTACTGGTGATGTGCGCTTTCCGGAAGATTTTGGGGATGTTTTTATGCGTTTTGACGGCCTGAGCGAAGACCAACAGATTCAGTGTGTACAGGAATTCCTTCTTCGCATGAACCAGTATCAACACGGGCAGATTAACAGCTATTTGAAACCTCTGTTAAAACGAGATTTCATCACCTTGCTATCAAGTGAGTAATTTGAGCGGTAATTACTTGAGACACGGCGATACTTGGGTGCATAATGTCGCTCAAGTACGTGTCATGCAATCACCGATTAGTGCATGCGAGATGTGCATATCGTTCTGTACTACTTTTATATCAATGAAGTGTAATGCACAGTATTGTACCGACTTTTTGAATAGATTTGGGTTTACACGTTATTGCCGAAAAGATACTTTTCAAGTTGGATGCACAATCTCTGCGATCTGCTGAACAAGTTTGTCATGACTGGGGCCGTGTAGTAGCCGAAGGACAATTGTGGCGGAAACTCATTGAAAACAATATCCGAACCGATCCTTTATGGCGTGGAATCGGAACCCGCCGCGGATGGTACGTTTATTGCGCTATAACGAAAGCGGGAATAATCAAAATATGATGTTAATCTACCTTTCTAGTAAAATAAATCTGCATTACGAAACGATGGTGCTGTGTTCGCAGCACGTGAGAGGCAGCGCCCGCAAGCAGGATATTATGCATTTTAATTAAGCAGGCGCTTCTAGTTTTGCGCATGCGATTTGGCCGTCGTTCAGTGAACCATACCTTTGACGTGCGGTTAATTTTATACAGCATAAAGTTAAGCCGGCGTTGGGATTTGATTACAGGATAAAAAATCTTTTCCGGAAGTATCCATCTCCTCTAATCGCAGATTCATATTACCGGCAGCTTTTTCCGATAATTATGCGTGATATCGAGGTAAGCATTTTGGCCCGGCAGCGCAGCCGTCAAAGTGTATACGGTTGTTTTTGCTTGCTAGTTACTTTACGAGTGCTACTTTTTTTATTTAGACAACGGAGCGTAACTGGAAGCAGGGCAATTTTACGTTGCATAAGATCAATTGTCGGAGTGAAAACAGCAAAGGCGTCTACTGTCTGCAATATGATGACGAGAAAATTATTAGTGGATTACGTGACAATACCATTAAGGTGCGTGTCGTCCGCTTGTATTTACTTTGGAGCATGATCTTGTTAAAGAAATTAAATATGTGCTCTTGTTTATTAATGTTTGCGTTCCGTCGAATGCTCACGCACTTTATGACAGATGAAATGAATACTTTTGATTTCATTACCATTGTAGTCCCAGTCGTATTACCAGCTTCCTGTGTAATTAGTAATTCGAAATCTTACTGAAATGGAGAAGCCCGTGTTTTGATTGACGTTTTCTGGCTTTTCTGTTGTAGTATTTATTTTCAAGGATTTCGTAGCTTTTAATGCATTTAGGTAAGAGTAAGTACGTTGGAATTTTTGTTTGAAAATTTGCTTTTGTAGATTTGGGATCGCACAAGTCTGCAGTGCTCACAAATCCTTACGGGGCACACCGGATCGGTGCTGTGTCTGCAGTATGATGAGCGTATTATTGTTAGCGGATCCAGTGATTCCACAGTGCGCGTGTGGGATATTACTCGTGGCGAATTGCTCAACACCCTGGTGCATCATTGTGAAGCTGTACTGCATGTGCGCTTCCAAAATGGCATGATGGTCACTTGTTCCAAAGACCGTTCCATCGCCGTGTGGGACATGAATTCTCCCAAAGATATCGGACTACGCCGTGTCCTCGTCGGTCATCGAGCTGCGGTGAATGTCGTGGATTTTGATGATAAATATATTGTGTCCGCCTCCGGTGATCGAACCATTAAGGTATGTTTGTCTCTGGTCGAGAGTACAAGTGCAGCTTGCTCTCTGTTGGCTTTAGCGTATTATGCATAGTGTGTGTGGTGTAGTCGGACTACTTTGCATTTCACTGTGTTTACGTAGTTTCCCATGGTCATTAAAAGTGCGGTCTGCATCTTTAAAGGCCGACGAGATGCTTGTCGGCGAATCGACATCGCCACAAATCTGTTTTGTAGCTGTTTCCTTCCGGCTTTGTTTAACGAAATTCATTTACCTAATTGTGATTTGATCAGACTATTTGAAAAATTGCTCAACCCCTTTTTATGTTTTAGGTTTGGAACACATCGACGTGTGAATTTGTCAGAACTTTGCAAGGCCACAAACGAGGCATTGCCTGTCTACAGTATAAGGAGCGCTTAATTGCCAGTGGCAGTTCCGATAACACAATCAGGTATGCGCTTACATTTTTCTTTGCAAATTAATTTTACAAATAACGAGATGAAAATTACCTTGTAGATTGTGGGACATCGAATGCGGCGCGTGTTTGCGTGTTTTGGAAGGTCACGAGGAGTTGGTGCGTTGTATAAGATTTGATAGCAAACGGATTGTGAGCGGAGCGTATGATGGGTACGGTGTATGCTACAGATCTCCTGCTTTGAACCATTTAGTAAAGTTACTTTGTTGCGTTTCAGAAAAATCAAGATTTGGGATCTCCAAGCCGCTTTAGACCCCCGAACCATGGCGTCATCGCTTTGTGTCAAGACCTTGGTGGTAAATAATTAACTGATTGATATCTGCTTGCATCACGAAAAAGATTAATTTTCAGAAAATTTATTTGTGTTGTGTGGTGCGGTGTGGTGTAATGCACAAGAAAATACTGAGAGTTGAAAATTACAGAGTGTGATGCGATGCAAAATTTATTTGTGGTGGTTATTTTTAATACAACTCTGATGTTTAGGAGCACACCGGTCGTGTATTTCGCCTTCAGTTCGATGAATTCCAGATAGTAAGCAGCAGCCACGACGACACGATCCTGGTGTGGGATTTCTTCAACAATGCGGCCATCACACTACCTCATCCGCACGGTTCCCGCAGCCACAGTCGCGGTGATGCCGAACGGAGCATTCCTCTGAAATGAGAGCGATCTTTGCAGCAGCACGCTGTGACGCCGCTTTCCCGTGTATAGAGATGTGTGTGCGCATTCGGCGGGCGGGAATGTGCACGTGTTGGTGCCGTCGTTACAAGAATCGGGGAAATACGACAAAAATCCATCTATGTATTGACGGCGAAGTAGAGCGAATCGTGTGTCCGTGTTTATTTTAACCTGTTGTTGTCTCTCTGTTTTAAATTCATGTCTACGCTGCACTGGGATTCGATAACTACCGGGATCTCTTTTCTTTTGTGTGGATTATTGATTAATTACTTCAGGGCGTTTGTTTGACCATTTAACCACAAGCTATATTGTATTCATATGGGCAGTGTCGGTGGACATGTCTTTTTTGGCAGGTTTTATTGTGCCAGTCTGGGATTTTTTGCATATTTCAGTTTTATCTTGTCGGAGTAAAAGTGCGCATTCGACATGGTTGCAGTATTAAACTTCAATCATTTACTTCACTTAATTCTCGTGCACATTTTCAAACTTTCGCCATGCAGTCGGCTGATAGCAAAACAGCTAATATGAAGGCCACATTCGTGGGAATCAAAACCTTTCAAACAAAACCACAAAAAAAAACCAATTTAAGCAATCACGCCAGGCATTCAAAAAATTTCCCGCAGCAGCACCAAAAATTTCAGGTTAACCGATTTCCAATTTTCGTATTGGCATAAAGAGTTTGTGACTGCGTTTACAGCAAAATTTCAAACAAAAGCAAGCAAAAAAAACTGTAAAGATAAAAAAGTAAAACGATATGATCGTATAAGAAAAAAAGCTCCACCGCGGCTAACTGGAAAGGCAATTTATTTCCCAACTTGTTATTCGCCTGATTCCGCGGTCTGCAGCTTCGGCGCCTTATTCGGCACAAATTCAGGGGAATCTGGATAGCGGCGTTTCGGATCCCGTGGCCCCACGCGACTGCCGCACTCGTCGATGGATTCATCGTCCAGCAGTCGACTTCGCTCCGTCGTCGTGTGCGCCTGTTCGTCCCGTATGGCCATCTGGGCCAATATCTCGGAAAACTCACTCAGCCGCTTATCGGCAACCGCAGCGACAGTGTCCACTTTGCGCTGTGCCGCACGGAGCTGGGAGACACCGCGAATGATATCCTCCGTCATTTCCTCACGGCGGGCTCGTATCCCGGCCAGCCACTGGCGGATCTGTATATGTTCCGCGGAGAAGACAGCCTCTTTCGGCGGCTTAACAGCCGCCTGCGCTAACAACTGTGTTATACGCTCGTTCAGTTGCTTCTCCTTGGACCACTTCTCCCATTCCACCACGTCATCCCAGAAGTGAGAAGCAGTTGTGTTGGCGGACAATGCGCTCTTATTGTCAAGGCGGCGGTTTCCCGTCTCCTGCACATTCTCAGTAATCTGGCTCATTTTACACTATCTGTATCTGCATGCACAGCTTCACAACTGGATGGCTGGAACTAAAGACTGTGTCAGCGAAATTTGTGAGGTTTTAGAAAATATAGGGAAAAAGCGCCAGCAGAAACTTAAATTAAAAAAATAACTCAAACAAACAACAAAAATTCAAAAACTAACCAGTAAAAATTAAGGCAAGAAAGAGGCATTCAAAAGCCGTTCCAGCGATTTTTATAACAACGGCACACTGCCACAATATGAGTGGTGACGGTCCGGCACCGAGTCGGGCTTGTGGACCGAACCGGATGGAGGAAGCGGGAAAAGGGAATGCGGCGTGTGTCGTTCGCCGTTCATATCCCCGCATACAAAAATGCGATACATTTCGTATGAGTTGTAAATCTTCACTCGGCTGCTTTTGCTGTTTTCTTAACTTTCATTTTATTCGTTTCAATGATCTATCTACAAACTTTTATTAAATACTACCGCGAAAGACGAAATCGGCGAATGCCGCAGGTCACCGCACCACAGCAGCAATTGAACAAAAATCTCAAAATAACATCGTATTAAAATAAAATCAAAGAAAGTACGATGAGACGAAGAATATAATTTATACAAGTACAGACTACAGAATATATGTATATCTAAATCTGATAATTATATATAATAAATAATAATTAGTAAATAAGTACACGGTAGTAACATTAAATGCTAAAGCAGCAACTTCATTGTGCCACTATACTCGTATCACAAATCTGGTCAATAACCAAAAGACATAGGAAATGCTATGCTAAAGCAGTTAATTCCTCTTTTCCAGTTGTACATCCTGCATTTGAAGTTCCACTGATGTTTTACGTTTGGAACGCAGTGGAACGGAGACCTTTTCATCAGGTATGATAAGCACAAAAAACGACACCGCCACAACCACAAGTCCTGCGATCTGGTAAGCGGTGACTTGTAAATCGGATTTGGTTTGTATGTCGATTACTGCAAATAAAGCCCCAGTTAAAGGTAATTTATAAAATGACGTCACATTGGTCAATTTCGAAATGATCTTGCGTTTTGTTACATGCCGGCAATTGTATTGTACTTATGCCAGTCATGTGTGTGTGCTGCGGTGACCATTATTGCTGCACGGTGTATGTATATAACACCGACTGATCATATAATCCTTGCTACTTACCTGTATTTGTTCCTAAACTTAGCAATTCTCCCAATGACATGAAAAAGGGCGATGTTATGCCGAGGCCATAGCCATATAAGAAACCAACCACTGCAAAGCATAAACACGAAGCAGTCGAAATTGTAGAACACAATCGATCACAATGTCGCCGCTTACAGAATGAACAGATCAAAGAAGCTGCCAGTATTCCGTACTCCAAACGATCGAGGTCAACTGTTTCGTTGCCGTTCAGCAGCAGTACCAGTGGCACAGGAAAAAAAAGAATTGTGTTGGTCACGCCCAGGATCATCATTATAAACGAAGCTTGAGTCAGGTTGCTGCTTGGGAAAGCCTGAGCGTATAATATCTGTAAAAGTGCTGTATAATTAGCAGTTCTTACGATTTTATGGTTACATAAAACCCAATGTCGATGGTAGAATAATTAATTTATCCTTTTAATTTCTGTATGTACAAATAAATACTCACTTGATGAATCGAAAGCCCGACGGCGGAGAGCAAGATGGCTATTATTCCGATGTACGACTCGTCGGTCTGAATGGATCCAGAGCCGGACGCTGCCGTGGATGTTTGTGAGGCGAGTGTAGTGGTCAGCGTATCTGTTGCATTTTCTGGTGCCGGTTTCTCGGTTGCAACTTTCGTAATACTATCGTACGCGATCAGAGTGACACCGGTGAAGCTTGCAACAACGAAGATCAGCTGCATCACAAACGATATTTATAAACTGCTATTTATAAAATTATTTTCAACAAAATATACCATTTATCTATCATACTGGATATTTATCTGCCTAATTTGCAACTTAATTGTTAAACCGGGAATACATTATTTAGTTTATCGCATGTACAGTAAACCTGTAAATGCGGCTTGTACTTGTACTATAATATACTTTTGCGTGTCATCATACATTCGAATTTGTATATGTTGCAGGTAGCTACTATATACACTTGGAAAGCATACCTTGATCAGATAAATTTTGTGCTTCATAAAAATAATCGACAGCAGGTAAGAAAATGCCACAGTGCTGGTGAAGATGGCGATGGAAACGGACGGGTGAATGTATTTGAGCGAGAAGCTAAATCCACATTGCATAACCAGGAGTGATAATCCAACGGGAATATAATGCCGCACCAAAACAAAGGCAGTAAGGCCTTCCGGTCCGGTCACCGTCTCTGATTCTCTGCAATCAAGGTAGGCATCGTGAATCGGGATATTAACTAATTTTTCAAGATTAAAGTAATTTCTCCATGATCAGCTTTCGCACCTGCGATAATCCCGGAATGAAAAATGACGCCCTTTGACCTTGTAATAAATAAAGGCCACAGCAATTCCTAGCACCCAAGTCAGAAGCCGGCATGCTGATTTCAGACCGACGTATGTGAAAGGTGCATTGAAAGCGCTGGGAGTTCCGTCGGCTTTTGTGGCATACAGTAAATTATTCATCTGAGATTCCGTCACACTGGATGCAACATATCCGAGAAGGGGGATAATGCCGATGAGAAATCGCGTCCAAGTATTCTTCGATTTCTGTGGGTTTTCAGTCGAAGTTTTCTCGGCAAAACTGACCGATCCCGGAGTGTCCACTGCAATGTTGGTAATGATTTCCTCTGCGTCATGATGACTGGGATTCGTGCCTGTTTTTTTAATAAAACAATAGAATTTGCAATATTTACAAGGAGATCCTGTTAAAAGCACAACAAGCTGGACCGACAAACAAGAAAAAAAATTAGAATGTGGTTCACGAAAAAACCCTTTTGGCACTGCATTACTTAGATGTTTGCGGTTCAACGACCTTTATTACTGTATACAATACCAGCTCATTGTTATGTAATCGTAATCGCTGTTCACTGCTGAAATATGAATGATTGTGCAAGGTTGCAGTGACTTTTGAGCCCACGGTGTGGAGTGGTATCATCCACAGAATATCAATCGTGCTCAGTCCATGAGCTGCTCACATAAGGATCGTAGTCATACCTTAATTGTCAGCAAATAACTGTTAGTAATTAGTACGCAAGAGGTGACGGATAATGTAAACTGTGATTTTGGTTCCCTAGACATCCCATGAATTCAGGATACAAAAGCACAAATTGCTGCCGCTGTTTCACGTAATATGTACCACAAACACACTACATTTTCTAGAGTAGTACCTAGCCTACCATGCCACAATTGCTCAGCGCGTCAGTAACTAATCAGAATCCGAAATAGCATCAGAGCATAGCCGCAGTCGTGATAGTTATCACTTACAATAAATTAAACGAGATAAACTGAACTGATGTGTCAGAATCGATATGAAAGCAATGTATGAAGCAACGTACGCATCGTCTTTATAGTACATAGATTCACAGATGAAACTCGAAATAACCAGCCTACAAATTATTACTACTACAATTTGTGTTCGTTCTCCGTAGTACTACCGTATATTATTATTTTAGTACAAAATTATTTTAGCTCTAGCCAAGGCAGATCTCAATAAATCCCTGCTCACCCTGACTTCGAAAAGTAAATGACTCTGAATTTGTCGTGTTTTTGCTTACAGTATCTTACGAGTCACTTCAGCCCATTTATCAAGTAAGCAGCCGAACGGTAGTTAGCTCTTTGCATGTTCAACGTCCTGTATTGTACATGCTCTCAAAATTGATTTCTCAGAATTATCGCGAAGATAACCGAGAAATAACTTTGGGCATCTGCTTTGCCGTCCTTATCACACCAACCATGTCTAGTGTTTCCAAGCAGAAACGTAAGGCCAAGAAGGCCGGTGCAGCTGTTGCTGCGCTTCAGCAGACTACGGAATCGAATGGATTGACTAATGGTCGTGCTTCTTTCTGCCAGTGAAACTGCAACAGCCATCAGTAGCAACCAAGGTAAGAAAACTCCATCCCATTAGCCAAGGACATAGTCAGACATGGGCTGCGTTGTATAGTGGCGGACTTGGAGGTGGAATTAAATGAATGCGACATGAGCAGTCAGTTTTGCACTGGCTCCGGTCTCCTGGCCAGTCATCCGCAGTCGCGCGATCTGAAAATCCACAATCTGTCCGTGAGTGTGCGAGGGTCTGAGCTTTTGCGCGACACACAGCTGGAGTTGAAGGCGGGCAACCGCTATGGTTTGATCGGATTACACGGTGGCGGAAAGAGTGTGCTGTTGGGACTTATCGCCCGCCGCGAGATTCCAGTTCCCGCGGACTTGGATATTTCCCACGTGCATCGCGAGATGGCCCCGGAGGATAAGCCCACGTTGCAGTGTGTGATAGAGGTCGGTGAGGAGAGGATGAGACTGGAGAAAGAGGCGAAGGAGCTCAGTCACGCTGCTCTAGAAGGTGCTGTTACTGCAGTATTCATAGGCCTAGTTCTCGCTTTCGATCACACCGCTTTGCCGTCAGGTGTGTTTTTTGCCTGCCGTAAAAGATGGCGATTTTATCCAGGACTAATTTCTCGTTTCCCTTTTTTAATTAAGTAATTAGTAGTGCGAATTGTAAAAGGATTTGTTGTTCTTGAATTTCCTTCGTTGTTATCTTTAGTTGATACAAAATGATTATGCGCTATGGCATATTGCATTTCTTTTCGGCATTTTATTTACGATTAATCGAAACTGACTGGAAGTACATTCCGAATATCTGTGTACTAAGGTATTTAACAAAACTCGCCACTAAGTGTGTTCTTCGGCTTCACTGTGACGATTTCATGCTATGAAATGCGCATTTTTAGTATTTCTTAGTTCTTTTTATCGTATAGCGGTGATCGTGCTTAAAATTTGAACTTTTATAGTCTCGCACGATAAATTGATGGATATTTATGAGCGACTGGACGAACTAGGAGCGGAGACTGCAGAAACGCGTGCAGCGCATATTTTGCATGGTTTAGGATTCACTGAAAAGATGCAACAGACGAAAGTAAAGGATTTCTCCAAAGGCTGGCGTATGCGCATTTCCCTGGCCCGCGCCCTCTATCTCAAACCTTCTGTGCTTCTCTTGGACGATCCGGTATACTTGCATTTTCTTCTTTACTAATTTTCATGAAAACGTTAATTAATGGTTTCCTAGTCTTTTCTATGGTGATCAGTACTGTATTGTGAGTGCTACACTGCTAATACGTGAAAAGTATTCGTATTTCTGCGCCGTACTTCTGTATTACCGTTGATTTTTGATGAGAATGATGGCTTTGTATTCGGTTTTCGTTTGGCTGAATGACAATTTTGAATTTGGCATCCGTTGTTTGCTGCTAAACTGTACTTGTTTCCTTGTGAGAACAAGATGTTGCCGGTAATTGACGAAATTAATAACTGTTGATTACTGATTTCCGCTTTTTTTATTTTTAGACAAAGTATTTGGATCTGGATGCCTGCGTGTGGCTGAGAGAGGAACTGAAATCGTAAGCAACCTGGCTGTCAGTATAATACATTGGCCGTTTTATGGTGATCATATTTATATTACAGGTACAGGAGAATTCTCGTTTTGATTTCGCACTCACAAGACTTCCTCAACGAAGTGTGCACCCACACTATCCATTTGAATCAAAGGCACCTCAAATACTACGGTGGTAATTATGATTTTTTCGTGAAGACACGGACAGAGCAAATGGAAAACCAACTTGAGCAGGTTGAGCACACCGCACACTCATTCGATCTGCAGCTGATTCCCAATCTAACTATATGTTCTTCGTAGTACCAATGGGAGGAAGACCCATTTGATCAAGTGAAGGTTTGTACATTATCATTGCGATAAAAGCTTTTACTTGCATCCGTGTTAAGTAGTCAACTTGCAGGCCCTGCAAAAGATTTCCCTGGATAGAGCTACACTTGTCACTTGGTGTTACCACAACTTCTTCGCGAAACTTGTTATTGGCTGTTTTGTAAAAATTGATATGCAGACGTACGGCAAGGATTACGAGTCACTTCAGCCCATTTATCAAGTAAGCAGCCGAACGATAGTTAGCTCTTTGCATGTTCAACGTCCTGTATTGTACATGCTGTCATGCATGATGCAGCTGTTTTACAGCAGTTACACTGTAACTGGCGTAATGGATGAGCAATGCAATGCTGACTTGCAAGTTGATTGGGGCAAATTCTTTATTTGATTGTATTTACTGAGTGGTGCTCGCTATTGTGCATATAAGCATATTGTAAATAATTTGTTAACTTGTAAGGCAAAATGCGGCAGTAGCAATCCCATTGGAGCAATCCCATTGGCTATAACCATAGTCGTCTCGTAGACCACGGTACGCCGCGTACGGTTATATTCTAGCTATGGCCGTTGGTATTGCTACCGCTGCATTTTGCCCAAATTGTCAATTACAGATTGGCGAAATTGTGGGCATAACCGAAATGGAGTCTCCCTATTGGGTAAATGCCAGCATTCGGACGGGTGGACCGCCATCGGACAGTAGGACGAAATGGAAGCTTCTTGTCCGGTAAGCGATTATGTAAGTAAGTACTTAAATTGCGAATGAACATATTATGGAGGAACCGGCATAACCTTGCTAAATCTGTTTTTGCAGTTTTGCATATAGTTGATGTAGTGTAGTGGCTTCGCGCCATATTAGCGCGTGGCAACCCGCATGGTTGCGTTGACCTGTAGACATATGTTAACCTGTGTATTTACATATATGTAACCTGTTCTCTTTCATTGTTATCATTACTCGGTATCTATCCGGCCAGAGTGGCACCACAAATACCTGTGCCAAGACGTGACAGTTGAGAATATTTGTTTTATTTTAGAGTAGGTGATCAACAGCATGACGCTCTGTTGGATGATGTTTCAAAGAATAAAGGCACCGGCGAAGAAGTCGCCGCTTACCTTGAGTCAATGGAAAGACACTGGTCTGTTATCGCTGACAATCAGAAACTGAAAAGCAAGTTGTGTGATTTGGATAAGATCTCTCGTCCGACAACCAGGGAAGATTTTCGGGAATTTGTGACGAATAAACGCAAATGCCTTCCGCATCCTTGGAGATTGTCCATCCCGGAACTGAAAAATTTATTGCCCAAGCGGAAGCAGAAAGCTGTTGACGCTGGAGACTACAAGTTAGCGGCGCACATACAAGAGCAGCTGAACGATTTAAAAGCGTACCAACCGGCTCTGGACGAATTTAATGCAGCCAACTGGGTCCCACCAGGGATTCTTGACAAAAAAGCTGTAAGTAGCATGAGTGAGAGTCGTTATGTAACGAAGACTGATTAAGTCTGAAGCCGTTTTTTTTAATAATCGGTTAAAATAACAGTTCAAGCTGGGTACAATGCTTGTGGTCTTTTATTGTGTTTTAACTATGGCCGATATTCTGTTTTAAATAGCCCAGTTTCACAGATATAATACAGTGACATCGCTGCATCTCGAAATTCGTTTTCTGTTCATAATTATGGCATCTGGAAATTATGACTGTTGTGTTGCGGGTACTACGAGTATGTTACAGTAGTATATTTCGAGCTGGTGTTATTGTCACAAGTGCAAAGTTAACGTTAAGCTTGTTTTGTTTTTTAGAGTCGAGAGCTTATTCGGAAGCGAATTGGACGCCGTAAATCCATGTCCGATGCGAAGAATGTTTTGTTGGATGATGTTTCGAAAGAGAAAGGCACCGGCCAAGAAATCGTAGCGTACCTAGACATCCCGGAACTGAAAACTTTGTTGTCCAAACGGAAGCAGAAGGCTATTGACGCTAGAGACTACAAGCTGGCGGCGCATATACAAAAGCAGTTTGATCTAAAAGCGTACCACCCGAGCTGGCTGAATTTAATACACCCAGCTGGGTCCCACTATTGATTCTTCATACACAATTGTAATAAGCACGAGTTATGTCGTTACGTTACGATGACTGACGCTTAATTAAGCGTGAAGCCTTTTTTAGCTTATTTGGAAGCGCCGTAAATCCATGTCTGATGCGAAGAATTTTCTGTTCTGATAAGAGCCGGAAATTTAGAACGTCGTTGTCTAAGCTCTGTGGAAGATTCACGCAACTAGACACTTAAAAGCAAATGGTTTATAACAGAATTCCCATTTTCATAATAACAAACAATTACAATGTTATTAATGCGACCCGGCAGAGTAGCTTCGAGGACCGGATCGGATGCCGATGGTAGAATACAAACACAGATAAATTTTGTTTTTCATAAAAATAATCGACAGGCATGAAAATGCCACAGTGCTGGTGAAGATGGCGATGGTAACGGATGGGTGAATGTATTTGAGCGAAAAACCAAATCCGCATTGCAAACCAGGTGTGATAAGCCAACGGGAATATAATGCCGCACCAAAACAGAGGCAGTAAGTCTTTCCGGTCCGGTCACCGTCTCTGGTTCTCTGCAGCTCACGTGGGCATATAATTTATAGTGTATTAACTACTTTTTCTAGATTAAGTAATTTCTACAGCTTTCGCACCTGCGATAATCCCTGAATGAAAAATGGCGCCCTTGGACCTTATACTTAATAAATAAAGGCCACAGCATTTCCCAGCGCCCAAGTCAAAAGCCGGCATGCATGACCGATCCCGGAGTGTCCACTGTAATGTTGGTAATAGTTTCCTCTGCGCCATGATGACTGGGATTCGTTCCTGTTTTTTTTTTATTAAAACTAAGATTTTGCAGTATTTACAAGGAGATGCTGTTAAAAATGCAACAAGCTGGATCGGTAGACAAACCAGATAGAACATTAGAATGTGGCTTACGACAAAAACCTTTTGGTAAGTACTGCATTACTGACCGGTCAAGTTTCGCGGTTTAACGTTGCCGGTGTGACTGTATAGAAGTATAGCAGTAGCAGTCTCGTTTGTTGGGGATAATAATACCAAATCTAGAGCTGTTCACAAACAAGCGGAAAGGCAAAATTATAAAAAAAAAGTACATGGTTTGAAGGCATCGGTGATGTACAATATAGTATTCAAAAGCTAACCATAAGGACAAAAGTATTCACTTAAATCTCGAACAATTTTCTGACGCATGCTGTTCATGTGGTGGTGTTTTCATGTACCTGGCCACGCTTGGACCTTCGGTAGAAAGGTACTTACTGTATTGTACAATATGTTCCGCATGTATTGTAGCCACAAGATAGGGAACAACAATAACGACATCGGTAATAACTGCTATCACTTCCCGACGATATTGTTTTATGTATGTACTCGCTTTATCAAATTTCCTTACAGAGAGAGTTTAGTAAGCAACAAGCTTCATAGATTTTGAAGGTTTGGTGTACCTAGTTTTCGTACAATGCCTCGTACTGCATATTTATTGTACTATGCCAACAGCAGAAGTTGTAATCGAGTTTCTATTAATTCCAGCCGTTTCCAGGGTCTCACAATCAAGTCGACAACGGAGCACGACTGACTGCACTTCAATTTACTCTGTTTACTACATTGTAATTTACAGTGGACAATTTACAGATAAGAATAAAACTATCAGCGTGGTGCAGTTAACAAATGATGATCATGCAGCGCCCCGACGGTTAATTATAAAAACCCAAACATTGCATTGCATTAATTAAGAGTTTGCACTCAAGACCTTTATTACTGTAAAATACCGCACATTGTTATTAATCGTACTCGCTGTGGCCTGCGAAATATGAATGATTGTGCAAGGTTGCAGTGACCTTTGAGCCCACGGTGTGGAGTGGTATCATCCACAGAATATCAATCGTGCTCAGTCCATGAGCTGCTCACATAAGGATCGTAGTCATACCTTAATTGTCAGCAAATAACTGTTAGTAATTAGTACGCAAGAGGTGACGGATAATGTAAACTGTGATCCGAAAATTTTGGTTCCTAAACATCCCATGAATTCAGAATACAAAAGCACAAACTGCTGCCGCTGTTTCACGTAATATGTACCACAAACACACTACATTTTCTAGAGTAGTACTGACATACTACACGCACCGCGTGTAGTACTACCAACCTGACCGCAGTCAGCAGAGAAGGAACTCTGGAGATTGGTGTTGGTTCTGTTGCCTACTTCCGCAGACAACAGGTACCACAAACCACACTCTCACCACACACACTACCACACTACAGGAATACCACACAGTAACTTCCGCCTAGGTACACACTACTGCTTTCCCTAAACGAAGGTCACTCACAGCACAAACACCAACAGGACTAAGATGATGTTACTCGTTTTAATCTTATTGATGTTCACTCCAACTCAGTCACACCGTAACTACTGAATGCTAGCCGACGACGAAGCGCAGTTCTGATCGGAGGCTACCGATAAGAACACGGATGTACTACGTCATCGCTAGTACAACAGGGAACACACGTACATGCGCACCGTAAACTCATACAACATAATCCCAATTAGGAAGCATCCATAAATTACGTACGCAGAAAACCACGATTTTTTCACCCCTCCCTCCCCCTTCGTAGCGGTCCGTCACGTTTGCTTGACCCCTACCCTTGGTTCGCTCAATCGTAATACATGGAGCTGACCACCCCTCCCCCCTGGGTTCGCCGAGGCCGTCACAGCTTGTCACGTTTTTTGGACCCCTCCCTCCCTGGTTCGCTGCGTACGTAATTTATGGATCCCCCCTTATGTCAGTAGACTCAGTACCCACCATGCCACAATTGCTCAGCGCGTCAGTAACTAATCAGAATCCGAAATAGCATCAGAGCATAGCCGCAGTCGTGATAGTTATCACTTACAAATAAATTAAACGAGATAAACTGAACTGATGTGTCAGAACCGATATGAAAGCAGTGTATGAAGCAACGTACGCATCGTCTTTATAGTAGATTCACAGATGAAACTCGAAATAACCAGCCCCGCTTCTCTCTGTACACCGAACATAAAAATTCAATAGTCTGTTCGTTTCCGAGAGCTGCACTGAGCGGGTTGATCCTATACAAAAAACCGAAAGGCCTGAACCGCAGGCCATTGCAACAGATGACAAATAAAGCGTAAAAACGAAGGAAAATTCTGCAGTCCACAAAATAACCCCGCCAAAAAACGACAAACAATCAATATAAACTGGGGCTAGCCGTGTCCAGTGCCACAGCACGTCACATGAGAAAACTCACAGTCTTGCTGGATGGTGGTTCGTAGATCAGGACCATTTCACCTGCGCAAGCAGCACATCAAATATATTTCCGTTAAGCATCAAGCAAAAAGAAGCCAACATCGCACTAACATTGCATGCGCCATTCAATCCATTGTTTTTTCATTCAAAATCGACGAACGCACCTCCACTGCCGGTGAACTCAGAGTTCAGACGCAGCCAAAATTTATCCAGCTCTTCACGCATAGCAATCCAGTCCAGCATGGGATTACTATTGTCCAGCCCTTTCTGCGTCTCGTTTAATTCACGACGGAATAAAGATAAATTCTGTGTAAATCTGTAAGCAAGTGTTCACATCATTACCCAAACGGTAATGTGTAAACCTATGGTTACTACGTAAAATAATCAAAAATAAATCTTTACGAATTACAAACTGAGGATTATACTTGTTCTATTCAAGATAACTGTACCTGTCGCGAGTCTTATTTGATAAATTCCGCTCCACTCCATCCATCAAGATGGTAAAGCAGTTGGCAACCTGACCCCGTTTGTCTTCGGGAAATGATTGTATAATGCGCGGTTGCAATTCTTGAAAATGCTAAATGAAAACTTTATCAATATCTGTGAGTACTTTCACTATAATAAAAAAAACACTGCAGATGCGTTAAAATCATAAGCTTGCAAATCTGTCAGTTATACCTGATCGCAGAGAAGGACCAGACCCAATAACGGCCGTGAAAGACTCCAGTGATTGCGTCCTTCTTCGAACATAGCAATGCGTAAGATTGTTGTCATCAGCTGCTGGAAAAGCTGCGGCTGCACTTCGTAGATGCGCAACACAGAGGAACGATTTTCGGTGGCAGCCAATTCAGGATGCTTGTGGCGACGCTGAATTTCCCTATATAAAGCGGTGATGATGTTGTCCAACGAGGAGCAGCTGGCTGAATTCACAACAGTTTCTACAACAGCACACATGTGTATTTTCACGGTTCTTTTGAACCTAATAGCTTGAAACTGTCTGGCATCGGTAACAATATTAAAAATTACATGCACAATTAACCTACCGAGAGAATTTATCCCTTCGGAAATACTGGTAAGAATGTATAAAAACACTGGAGGATCCACATTGATCAGGAAGTCAATGTGGTTCAGAGAGACAACGTCGAGTAAGGAGTAATACGCCTGACCGAGTTTTGGATATTCCTACCAAACATCACAGACATATTGAATGAATACCCAACTAGTGCAACGGGCAGGAAAAACCACGTCGTACCAGGAGATCAGAGTGGGAAACTGAAGTGATCAGTTTAATGAGAACTTGTAGCGCCTCGTCCAGCGTGCGATCACCGTAGAGCAGAAAAACACCAAAATTGCAGTAATTGCCCATGAGAGCGTATTTGAACATGGTGAGTGCCACGGCGACGCCCTTCAACTTGCGGGGATATAAATCCTGTTTTGGAATGTCACTAATGGTCAGCATGCGCGTACCTGCGATAGAATCAATCAGAATTCGTGGTCAGGTTAAATATGAGCAGACAACCTCATACCGTAGACGGTGAACATCTTGCTAATTTCTTTAAAGAGCAAGATCCCGTTTGGAGACGAGATATCAAACTGTATCCGCTGCGAGCGATTTTGTGCCAATTCTGCCATGAATTTCAACATAGGTGTCGTCACAGCGGGGTCCGAATACCAATATTCAACAACGCGCTGGCACACGTTAAGGTACTTGGGATATCTGCAAAATACCGAACAACACTGTAGAATGGTAAAAATTTCATCATTATTCTATTAAATACAAAACAATCTAAATTTTCTCAGTTAATCGAAAGCGACATATCGTTTCATCCGACAAATCGATAAATTAAAGAAATATCACTTACATCCAGTCAAAGAATAAAATATATGATGTACGGTTCAGCAAAGCGGATGAAATTCCTCGGAGGTCTCTCGCGATGCCGATTGCCGCCAGTTTTGCTTCGCGCTCGTTAAACATGGCAGTACCGGCGTGGGTCATAAGTCTACCCAGTTCCTCAAATTCCACTGCAAAATTAGAAATTAAGCAAATCCCTGAAGTTCGATGTTCTGATATTCTCTGATCCAGCTATCCTTTATGTATAGAAGACATTAGAAGTACTGTCAGTGCCCTACCAATATCATTTGCCAAAAGGAGCGCAGAGAAATACACCGTACCTCCGATTGGCCGCATGAACTCATCCAGTTTATCCTCATCCTCTGCCAGTTCAATGATTAACAGCCGCGTTAAGGAGGCGTAGAATGCAGTACGGCATTTCAAATCACCCAATGTAGAATTAGCGCCCAAAAACGAGAAATGTTCACTCTGAAATCGGAAAACTAGTTAGCAGCAACTAGGTAGCACGTTAGCAGCACCCACTCTAGGAGTAGGCACATGCAAGTTCAATACAAAATAACAGGCCAAGTATACGGATTTGCGTTTTGATAAACCAGTCGCTAACCGTATGATTTTTCAGCAAAAACTGAACTTCATCCAGCTTGACCATACGTCGAATACTGCTGTATCCCATAGAAAGATCGTTGAGAAGCTGCAGACTACGGGATACGACGCTGTCGCTGTTCCCCCAAAATTTTAGGTTGGTCACACTGAAACGTAAACACATCTTTAAAATCTATCATCTGTTATCCAGAGGCCACCGTACATTTTGCGGATCATAATACTCATCACCATCAGTTCGTCATCGATACCCAGTTCATTCTTCATTACGCGATACACCTGCAAACAACGGCATCCCATTACAATCGTTCAACAGAGCTTTCATATACACGAGATCAAGCATTCCGTACCCCTTTGGGAGACTGGTCACCGATGTATACTTTACGGAAACTTTCAAAAAATTGTAACAGTGACAACTCCAATTTTTCGCTCTTCCGACGGTTCAGTCGACTATCGGTGTAGCTCATCAACCGCATCACTCTACAAATTATTTCAACAAAAAGTACTGATAAACCAAAGCATGAGTAAATTAACTGAGCTATGTTGCAACACACCGGCATATCAACTGTGCATCAATGGCGTCACTTTCCTCGGATGCCGCATAAGCAATCCGTCCACTGACAGCGGCTCCAATAAAGTACACCAGCCATGCCAAACGCTCTACACAAAACAAACCTCATGAATATCGTAGCAGATAAGATTAAAATGGATGCTTTATGTATGGAAATGAATATCACAACGAAAGCATGAAGTTTTGTGCCTTACTGAGCGAATGCAATTACTAATTCTTCCCAAATACAAAAATATGAGCCAACAACAAATGCTCACCTTCTTCTACCAACAGTTCATTTTCGGCTCCTCCTTGCTTACGGAGCAGATCATCATAAAGACGTGCAGAGCGATCAAACAGCTGGACCATAAAGGAGCAGTTCTTTTCGTATTCACACCGCACGATAATAGCAAACTGATCCAGCTGTTGCTGCAACAGTCCGATATCCTCAATCGGATCCTCAAAGCCATCATTGATGACATGAGTAACCATATCCAGATGAGCAACAATCATAGCTCGCGATACTTCCGGTGCATAGGTGTCCAAATGTGAGGGCTGACTGGATTTCACGTACGGCATAGATGCCACCAAACGTTGCCATAAACTGAGAATATAGTGCAGACTATTGTGGGAGAATTGAAGATGCTGCAATGCAAACAACAATCGTTAATAATTTTATCAAAAGTGATAACGAAATTACTGCGGCTAGCATGAGTTTGCGAAATAAAGTGCTGTGAATTTAACTGAGTGCTAATCTTACCTGAATACTCATCACAGTAAATTTGGCAACCTCTTGAATAAAGCTACTATAATTGTCTGACTCCATAAGTTCGCTCAGCTGGAAGTTGGCTTTCAGTCGAGAGAGAAGACGGCAAAATTCATGGTAACAACTCGGATCAACCAGGGTCTGTGAAAACACAGTAAAGCTTTAATTAAAAGCGAAAAATTATTAATTTCACTAATGATCTCCCATCCTTACATCGGCATGGCTTTCCAGGATATCCCGAACACCGAAGATTAGCGTATTCAAATATTTTGAACGCTCTGTGTTGCTGAATATGGAACGACGAACCGAAGCCAACTGGATTAGAACTCCAAGAGCCTAAACCAAACAAACGCTGCCACATCCGAAAACAAATCAAGTCTCATATTTTACAAAACCTTACCAAATGCGCAATTGCAGGCGGAATGGTGGCGTATAGCGTAAAAAACAGCTTCAAATGCTCCAGATCCAAAAAAGCTGCGGAAGTAAAGAATATCACGAATCGCCAATACAAACTGACACCAAAATGACGCATCAGAAGAAACTATTGTTGAGCTCACTTGTGCGCCACGAAGCCGGAATCTGGATCGTATTGGAATCATCTGACTCGTCCAAGGCAGTCCCGATGAAATCAAAGGAGAGGCATGATAGCGACAAACTGAGCAGACTGGAGAAGAGCGATCTCTGCGAATGACGAAAGCAAAATAATGACGCAACAGAAAGCAAAACACCAAAATTCGTACGATAGATTAGTTATTATCAATTAGACAAATTACCTGCGTTTCATCAAGATTTTGACTCTGCAATTTTTTCAGCGCTCCATCCAGTAATGTGCAGGACAGTTTGTAGATATCATACAGCTGATTATCACGATAAGCCGATGAGGTTTTGATATGTGTCGTCAATGACCGCGAAGATTCGCCCTGTGAATAACGCAACAAATCCCTCAGCGGCCAGTTAAATAACGGATATCTCCCCCACAACGCAGTACTTAACGCAAAACGTTTAATTTATGCGATATAAACATCAAAATGCGATTCAGCACACACCAATAATAGAGAAGAGGCAACTTTTTTAAAAGAAAATTTGCAGATAAATAGTGAAATCAGTTTACCCCGCCAGCATGACACATTTCCACGGTCAGCGCAGTCAACAATTGCACGCCAACGACACTTTGCTCCATGCTTCCCTGAAAACGAAATTCCCAGCGTAATTGGAAGTGAATACAAATCAACGTCGGACAATCAGTCCCACCTGGATAAATTTAGACACATCATCGATGACGTTGCGAAAGACAAAGTCGTCCTTTTCGCGATCATACCATCCGTATTTTACGATTGTTGCAAACAACTACAAAAACAACACGCATTCGCTCTTCGTAGTGCGTCACTTGATACGACAGCAAACCAAAACAAAGCCTACTTTGGTGGCCGCCTGCATAATGTACGGCAGGGACTTGGGATTGGAATAGAGGAAATTCAGTACAAAATTTTCTGCAAAAATATACATCGTTTGCCGATACTGAAACTTCAAAGATATCTGGTGCGTACTGATTTCGATGCGTTGGAGAAGTGGAAGCATGGGCTGCTTGGAGCAGAGTTTGACGAGGGTGTTCAGGCCCAGCACGATGGAGTAGGGCGACTGAAAACGGCCAATACACCAGTCAAACGACAGTACCGTTAACGGGATAATTTTCTCTACCCACCTGGCCCCGTTCCAGCAGCATCTGACATTTCTGCAGGCAATCCGGGCTCTCCGCGAACCCCAGCAGAGCCCGCTCGGCCTCTTTCTGCACCACGGGATTCGCCGCTTCGTACAACTGTCGGCAAAAGGCTTCGATCTGAAGCACCTCCTGCAAGCACAACTCGGTTTACCATAGAGAATTTCACGGAGATCAGTTGGGGAATCGCACCTGCTCCAGACTATTCATTTTTATTAATCCAAATGGTAAACGGCTGTGACAATATCGCGACCACGAGTCCACGATCTACTCGACAAGATCACGTAAACATTCACTGTCAGCGCAGCTTTACAGTCGGTAGAGCCGCTCGCTGTGTGATCTTACTTCACCGTACTACCCACAATAATGCGGAAAATTTTGTCAGTATGTGTAAAAGAATGAAAAATAAAAACGGAAAATTGTCATAACCGTCAAAAACAAAGAAAGCCAGCTGAAAGCAAATCCTCTTTTGATCGATGAAGAGAACTCGTGAAAATTAAGTGATCATTTCATATGCACCGCGTACGTTGTGGTATTTTTTATTTCTGTATATTTTTGGGATGTTGAAAATACCGTGTTACCAAAGATTTGGCACGCGGGCCTGAGCGCTAACAGTAGCGAGCCGAACAACTTCTGCAAGCGCTGTTGGTTGATAGTAGTACTTGATACAAATGCACGGAGGAATTTTAATTGTTCCACATTCGAAAACTGGAAATTGAAAATCTTGGAAACTGAATTTTTAATAACTTGATTTAATTTTAAGTAAAAGCCTTGATGTAAACGTTTTAACTTTTAAGCCTAATTGCCTAAAGATCTATCAGCGGTTCGGCAGACGGCAGTATAACGAGGCATGGTTACGTGACTTATGGCCAATCGCGTTCCCCCATGATGACCAAACATTTTTGTACTTCTCTCGTTTTCTGAGATTTCTCTTTCGTTTCGGTTTCACTTTGAAATAAATACCAAATCAGAAAATAAATCTTGTCCGCAACTTTCATGAAACTCTTTCGATAGTCGATTTTGGAGTATTTGATTTAGGATTAGTTTGAATATTCACCGAAGAGGGCTGACGTTCTGAGTTCGTGTCTTTGATTGCTGTTCACATTGTACTGCGGAAACGAGTCCAGAAGTCCGAATTCTCGGCGCTTTCACGGAATCACAGTTTTTCATTTTGCAATTACAAAACTTTAGCGGTACTCTTCATTGGCCGCCTTTTACAGCTTTTCTCGGTTTCTCGTCTAGCAATATCTTGTGATTAATCGGATCCAGCAGTTAATAATTACGTGTGCAAAGATGGCGATCGGCCTGCAGAACGTGATGGGACTGTATCGCCAGCTCACTGAAGAATGGAACAAGCGTCCTATGGAGAAGAAGAAATGCGAAACACTGCTTAACAACCTGAAGGTTCGCTATGGCTTGATGGCATGCTGTTCTTTCTTAAATGTTGTTTCTTCAGTATTGGGCGTAGTAAATAAAGTTGGTATATTAACAGGTAGCCTTAACGGAACACCATTTTATCCCGACAACAGAGGGCGAAGCGTCCAAGCAAGAAATTATCTTGGCCAGTGAGTCTCCACAATGCAATATTAGCAGGGCTGTTTAGTGTTTAGTGTTTAGAAGATATAATGAGAGATCGGGCTTCCACGTTGCATTGGTACATGTGGAAGCATTTCACGCTCTCAGAGAAAATAATCTCGGCATTACTGGGCTGTGCGATTAATCTGTGATGTGTACAGCGTTTCCAGTGCTGATACATTATTTTTCCTCAAAATTCAAATACAAACTAGGGCCGTATTTCCACTTGCGCCGTCGTTTGCAATCGTGGATTGTAATGAACTATCCCGCGCAGAATAATTATGGTACTGTAATTATAATAGCTTTGTCCTGCTATATGTAATGCTTATGTGGGGTAGCGGAATTTCAAAAATTTTGCTCATTTTGGAGATGCACTGCATTATTTTCCTTATATGTATATTTGCTACTTATAGTATATTTTGCCTACAGGAGACGTACTGGAAATGGGCGCTCAGTTCGCTATTTTCGACAAGGATCTCAAAGGCTTCCAGCGGCACATTGACCAGTTGAAAGTTTACTACTACGATGTCAAGTGAGTCTGCAGTTGCAGTGCTTTGAGTTTTCTATTTTTATATGAAAATAATGTAATGAGAGATCGGGTTTTCACATTGCATTGGTACATGTGGAAGCATTTCACGCTCTCAAAGAAAATAATATCGGCATTACTGGGTTGTGCGATTAAACTGATATGTACAGCGTTTCCAATGCGGATACAGTATTTTGCTCAAATCAACCATGTATTATGTTTCTGTATTACAGAGGCGGGATTGCGGATTCCGCCATGATGAATCAGTTCCTGGGCTTGTATCTGCTGTCACTGTTGGCGGAGAATCGTCTGGGTGACTTCCACAGTGAAGTGGAGCTCATGTCGTTGGATACGATTGAGAAGGATCCCTATCTGCGCTTTCCCGTGCAGCTGGAACGCTGTCTCATGGAGGGCAGCTTCAGCAAGATCTTCGTGGCGCACAAGAACGTCCCAGCGCCCAGTTATGGGTATTTTATGGAGTTGCTTGCCAAGACAACCAGGTAAACTTAATTAGAATTTTGGGCGATCCATTCATTCGATTGGTTAATGTGCTGTCAGATAGAGTTAAGTTTGCCGTGAAACGTAAGCGTTTCAAATTGATGGGTTAATTTAACCACATTTTAGTCTTTTTGATACGGTATTTCGCTGCCACGTTTGTTGTTCGATGACTACCTCGTCCTAATACATTTGCTAATAAGTAATAGAAGCGTACTACAAACAGTACAAAGTAATAATAATACTTTGTCACTAATAATTATTACTACTTAAACTGGCGCTTTACAAGTAGGCGTCTCGCGGTATTGCAGCTTGTGTTGTACGGTAATTAAGGTCATCGAAAAATTAGTTTTTGGGACGTTTGTAGTTATTTGTTGCTGAAAATTCTTTCTTTTCCATTAGGGCAGAAATTGCTAAATGCCTAGGCCGTGCCTGTCCGGTCATCAGTGCGGAAACCGCCAGAAAGATGTTATTTCTGGACTCGGAAGCGGATCTGAAGAAATTTGCGGATGAGGTAAACATTTGTTCTGCAGTGAGGTGATTGGTATCAATCGATGCGAAATAACGAGCACTGCATTGTAAACAGAATAAATGGAAGAAACAAGGCACTTCGTTTGTATTTGACACCGAACGAAATTTGGTTATGGATGAACTGAATGTGGATGCTATGGATACCGATAGAGAAATCAATGTTGCTGATCATACTGCCCTTTCATATTCGGACGTTGCCGAAACGATGCTCAGCTATGCAAAGGAGTTGGAAAAGATTGTATAGATAAGTTGTCTGGACATCATACATACTTACACTGTTTTTTAACGCGAGGTCTGGGATTTGTTTTGTTAGCCTTTCTTTTCTTCAGTCATTCGAACTTAGAATTACTTGTTAGTTAGTTCGGACGAATAAAGTTGTGGGTTCTGAATTCAACTTCGAAAAGCAGCTGTTAACCATGTACTGGCGAAAATATGGTACAAATTAAAGTACCTACTTATTTGAAGCTGCTGTTTGTTATAAAATAAGCTGTTGTTATAATAATGTACGGGCACAAGATTTCGTAAATCGTAATATTCTATCCCATTTCCCTACTGGATCTAAATCCGTCCTTATTACGGTGTGCAGTATCTAAATTAAAGCGTACTTATTACGGTGTGAAAAAAAATGTATTAAAATTTGATGATGGTGCAGTATAATTATACTGATTTGTATTTCTACTTCTTTAAATACGTTACTTGCAGCCTAAAGTCAGAAATGTGTTGGCAAGCTACGTTATTTCCCAGCTGGATCTCGGCTGGAAATTGTTTGTGTTAATTCCATTTACGTTTGCTTTTCTCGCTTTTGTTCAGTGCTGAGTATCAGTAGATTGCTAAATTAGAAGCGAAAAGCGTACTTATTACGATGTTTGTATTAAAACTGATAATGGTGCAGTGTAACTACTAACTGTACTTCTACTGATTTTTATTTGTACTTCTGTGAATTAATCTTATAAGTTCTATGCTTGCAGCCTGAAGTCTGCGTTGTGTTCGCAAGTTACGTTAAGGAGTGCGTACTGAAACGGACCAGGCATCGTACGACGTTATTTTTATATTTAATCGATAAAAGCAGAATAAACAAAATTAATAAAAATAATAAGGAAATAACGGGCAATAGGACGAACATAACAATAACCGCAGACTGAGATGCACAGCACCCCGAGGAGAACTGGACACACATATAACAATCTGAAATGCAGCCAACAATTCGCATAAAAAACCTGTCCAACATTCCATTTTCGCCGTCGAAGGATGCAAGACACTTCAGTTATACCACAGATTCACAGAAAATCATTTTGAGCGTAGATCATCTCTTTGTACGTTTTGCGCTTTACAGGGTGCCGAGGCCCTTGAGACTCCGCCCGACCGGTGACACATTGCCGGCAAAATCCAGCGGCTCCGCTGAAGCAAAGCAGCACCAGTGGCCTAATTTACACTGCGGTGACTTAGACACCCGACGGTTCCGGCACTTTATCCTGAGATCTTTGGTTGGCATACATGTTCCGTCTGTGGCATTGGGATCGGCGTTAGGGACACAGGCCTGTCCGGCTGTGACCTGAGCGACCACCTGCGGTGTCTCCACCACCGGCGCCGCCTGCATACTCTCCTTCTCCGTGACGAATTTCTTACCGGGTTCCACATAACAGCACCAGGTACCAAATTCGCAGTCTTCCGAGGGACCGGCTTGCCGGTCAGTACAGTTGGCGTTGATGTCCCGTAAGGTCATGCACTGCCCGCGCAGCGCTTTGTTCTTGTTAGGAGCGCACGAGTCGGGAGTCTCCACGGTGGGTTCCACGACCACGGTGTCGGTAACCGGAGCGGGAGAGGTGTTGTCGCTTGTTGATTCACCAAAGCAGCACCACTGCCCGAAGGCGCAGTCCAGCGAGGGTGCGGCGCGTCGATCGATACAGTTGACGCTTAACTCGCGCATCTTCATACACTGACCATCGTGGACGGAGGAGTCGGTATTGGGTGTGCAGGACGGGAGCGGCGGTAGTTTGACTGCGTCGGTGGCGACAGTGATGTTGAAGCAGCAGAACTCGGAGCTGGCGCAGTCCGGTGACTTGCCCGATCGTCCCCCACGGCACACCGTGTTCAATTGACCTCGCTGAACACACATACCATCGTGAACGGTAGGGTCACTGTTCGGCGTGCAGGATTTCGTGGTCTGTTGGCGGTTGCCATCAGTATTGGGAGTGTCGGTGTTCTCGGTGCCCTTTGCATTAGGATTTTCAAAGCAGCACCAGCTGAGGCGCGGACAATCTGGTGACGGCGATGCGAACTTGTCGACGCAGTGCACGGAAAGTTCCCGGACGTTGAGACAGATTCCATTGTTGATGGTCGGCTCGCTGTTCGGTGTGCAGTGAGCAACTTGCAGGTTGATGTTGCTACCGTTGACAAAGTCGATTTTAACCCCGGTTGAGACTTTATTGCGATCGAAACAGCACTTCTCGTTTTGGGCACAGTTGAACGACCGGGCGAATGACTTGGTGCCGCACTGCGCCGTCAGCTGATCACTGGCCACGCACTTTCCATCTGTTACTGACGGGTCGGTTTCCGGTACACATTGCGATGCGGACTGCACGGACTGGACACTTCCGAAATCGAAACAGCAGAACTGATCGTCCGCACATCCGGTGGATTTAGCGAATCGCTTGGCGGCACACTGTGAGGGCAATTGGTCCTTGTTCAGACAGGTGCCGTTGGTGACGGAAGGATTTGTCATCGGACTGCATCCGCTGCCGGTAACGCCATCCGCGACCTTGTTGCGGTTGAAGCAGCACTTTTCGTTCGATGCGCAGTTGAAAGACCGGGCGAAGGATTTCGAGCCACATTGTTGGTTTAATTGGTTATTCGGTACGCAGGTTCCGTCCATAACGCTCGCGTCGGTTTCCGGCACGCACTGCGACGCCGCCGGTATCGACTCGACGTTGCCGAAATCGTAACAGCAGAATTGGTCATCCGCACATCCGGTTGATTTGGCAAAGCGTTTAGCACCGCACTGTGGCGCTAGTTGGTCTTTGTTTAAACAGGTACCATTGGTCACCGAAGGGTTGACACTGGGACTGCATCCTCCGACGGCGATCTTGGTTGCCTCGCGGTCAAAGCAGCACATTTGGCCGCTGCCGCAATTGGACGATTGGGAGAAGAAGCGCGATCCGCATTGACTGGACAGTTGATCCTTGTTGACACAGACTCCATTGGTGACCGTTGGGGCGGTTTGCGGAGAGCACTGACTGGACGAAGCCTGGTTAACCCCATCGAAACAGCAGAACTGGTTGGTATCGCAGTCTTTAGACTTGGAGAAGCGTTTGGCACTGCACTGCGCCGTCAGTTGGTTAGCGTTCAGGCAGGTACCGTTGGTGATTGCCGGCTCGGTGACGGGACTGCAGCTTCCAGTGGCCTTATCGGCGTTCTCGTTGCCAAAACAGCAGAACTGGTCGCTACCGCAGTCATCGGATTTGGAGAAGCGTTTGTCGCTGCTGCCGCACTGAGTGGTCAGTTGGTCGACATTGAGGCACGCACCGTTCATGACGGTCGGATCGGTGGACGGGCGGCATGTGCCGACTACCAGCTTCACCTTTACCGGTTGGGTATTACGATCGAAGCAGCAGACCTGACTGCTACCGCAGTTGAAGGATCGAGCAAACGATTTACCGCTGCACTGAGTGACCAGTTGGCTCTTATCCAGACAGGCACCGTCGGTGATGCTGGGATCTGTTTCCGGTGAACACTGGGCAGCTGATGTGGCGTCCACTTTCGTTGCTGTACGGTCAAAGCAGCATTTCTCGTTGCTGCCGCAATTTGAAGAGCGCGAGAATGTCTTGGATGCGCACTGGGCGGAGAGCTGAGCAGTTGCGATGCACTGACCACTGGCCGTCGGGTTGGTTTCCGGAATGCATTGCCCTCCAGACGAGGTTGAAGCCGCAGCATCAAAACAGCAGAACTGATCACTCGGGCAATTCTGAGACTTCGCGAAGCGCTTGTTGGAACACATCGGTGTTAGTTGGTTGCGTGTCAAACAAGCGCCATTTGTGACGGCAGGATTCGTAACTGGACTACATCCCGCGACGTTCTGCTTATCAGCTACCCGATCAAAACAACACATCTCTCTGTCGCCGCACTGGGATGAGCGGGAGAAGAATTTTGAACCGCATTGACTGTTCAGCTGGGTCTCGCTGACACACATGCCCTTTGAAGCAGGTTCGGTTTGCGGTGAGCACTGCGTCCCGCTCATGGCCTGTGAAAGGTCAAAACAGCAGAACTGACCGGCATCGCAGTCTTGTGACTTGGAGAAGGCTTTTCCGCGGCACTGACCCACTAGCTGGTTGACATCCAGACAACTGCCGTTATTGATTTGCGGTTCGGATTTGGGACTGCACCCGCGTCCGGCTATCTTGTTGTCTTCATTGCCGAAACAACAGAACTGGTCGTTGTTGCAGTTCTCGGATTTGGAGAAGCGCTTATCACTGGTGCCACATTGAGCCGTCAACTGATCGACGTTCAAGCACACGCCACTTGTGACCGATGGATCCGTTGATGGACTGCATGTGCCGGCTGGGAGCAGGAGAATCTTGTTAGAAGTACTGCTGCGGTCGAAACAGCACTTCTCGTTGATAGCACAATTAGCCGATCGGGCAAACGATTTCGATGCGCACTGCGCTGACAGCTGATTTGTCCCCACGCACTGACCATTGGTCACGCTGGCGTCGGTTTCTGGTACGCACTGTCCGCCCACGGATGTCGGCATATCAAAACAACAGAACTGATTGGTGGCACAGTTCTGCGATTTGGCAAAGCGTTTCGTGGAGCATTGCTGGACTAGCTGATTGGCATCCAAGCACGTGCCGTTGATCACGGATGACTCGGTGCTCGGACTACACCCGGCGGTGGTGACCTTGTTCTGTGCTACCGTTTCTGCTCGGGTAAAGCAGCAGAACTGATCGGCCTCGCAGTTCTCCGATTTCGACAGAGCTTGATTGGCACATGCGTTAGCCAGATCTTTCGCGTTGGTACATCGCCCTCCGACCACCGTGGGGTCACTGCTGGGGATGCACATGGCCCGCTGTTCTACTTGCAGCTGCTGTTCCTTGTCCGGTTCGGTCTGGAAGCAGCAGAACTGCTCCTTGGCACAGTTAACTGATTTTGAGAGACGCTGACCCTGACATTGGGTGTTGACCTTGTCCATGTTCAAGCAGAATCCGTTGGAGAATGGACTGCTCATCGGGATGCACAGCGGTGCGGAGCTGGCCACTTGTTCGCGGTTCGGACTGACTGTCAATGCTGGCTGCGCTGTTGTTGTTGTTGTCGCCAGTGCAACGATTTCGTTCGTGGAGGATGGCGCGTCGAAACAGCACCAACTAAAGCGCGGACAGTCTTCGGATGGCGATGCACGCTTTTCCAGGCAGTTCATTCGGAGATCGCGAACCTTCATGCATGTGCCGTTTGTTACTTCGGGCTGGCTGTTAGGACTGCAGCGTATACCGGAAACTGCCGGAGCGACCTGTAATTAGCGCATTCGTAAACCACATGGCACCAAATGTACGATATAATAGAATTTCAATAAAATACAATATTCTTATTGTACCTAGTACGGATATAAATGCAGTATGTATTTCACTGTAGTGTTAAGTTGGAATGATAAGTGCGCATTCGCCCCATAGTAGCAAGGTCACAACATTATAATTACCTGCAAGCCGGAAGTATCAGGGTCAGTTGAGATTTTGTCCTTCTTGTTGTTGCGATCAAAACAACATTTCTGACCAGTTGCGCAGTTGAAAGATCTGGCGAAAGAGCGGCCCGCACATTGTGCTGCCAGCTGTGATTCATCCAAGCAGACTCCATTGGTAATCGTTGGGTCGGTTTCCGGCGCACACTGGTTGGCAGTCTGAATGGACTCAGTGTTGCTGGTCGGAGTATAGCAGCAGACATTGTCGTCGGCGCAACCTTTAGACCGATCAAACTGTTTGCCGGCACAGCGTGCTGCGACACTGTTGGCCGGAATGCACGTACCACTGGTCACATCCGGATGATTGTTGGGACTGCATCCGGCACCGGACAGGGAACCCACCAAGGTTACCGTGGTGTTCTCTTGCGGTGGAGGCGGTGTGGGCGAGCCCAGGGTTGGTGAGCCGGTTGGCACGAAATCCGGCGGCGACTGCTTATTCTGCATATTGCGGTTGAAACAGCAGAATTCTTCGATCGGGCAGTTTTCTGATTTCGACAAGGACATTCCCTGACACTGGCTTTCAAGGAGTTCCAACGGCATACACTGACCATTGTTGATGGTAGTATCGCTGTTCGGTACGCACGGTGACCTTTGGTTGGTGCTCTCTTTTGTCTCAGCTGTGAAGCAGCAGAATTGCTGGGAATTACAGTTTGGTGATTTGGACAATCGTTTATTCTGGCACTGCGTGGTGATCTGGTCCAGGTTCAGGCATGTGCCCTCCTTCGTGTTGGGACTGCTGGTGGGTATGCAAGCGCTACCAGACTGCTGCATTTTAACGGTCGTTTTGTCGTCTTGACTGGCAAAACAGCAGAATTGATTGTCGGCGCAGTTGATGGACTTTGACAGCCGTTGCGTCCCGCATTTCTCCTTCAGATCCCGAATATTGGTGCACACTCCGTTGGTGACCTGCGGCTCCGAATTGGGACTGCAGCTGCCGGCGATCAGAGTCGGCACCTTCAAGCGGCTGACTGGGTTGGTAAAGCAGCAGAAATCCTGCTTGTCACAGTTGTCCGATTTGGCAAAAACCAGATCGGCGCATTTCGTGGCGAGCTCGGCCGAACTGGCACACGTGCCGTTGGTGACCGTTGGTTCCGTGATCGGTGTGCACGCAACGTCTGGTTCAGGATTGGCGAAGCAGCAGAACTGTTGGCGGCCACAGTCGTTGGATTTGGAGAAGCGCTGCCCCATACACTGAGTGGACAGTTGGTCGGGGTTCAAGCACAAGCCGTTGTGCACATCAGGGGCGCTGGCCGGTGTGCAAGTGCTCTGCACGGTTTCCTTCTGTCCGTCCAGACCCAGACGATTGAAACAGCACATTTGACCAATCTTGCAGTCGGTGGACCGGGAGAATGAACGGTCAGAGCATTGCTCACGCAGGCGTTCCTTCTCAACGCATGTGCCATTGTTGAGAGTCGGCTCCACAATAGGAGTGCATGAATGTGGTACTTCGATCTTGGGAGAGGATGATTCGAGGTGGCCTTTGAAGCAGCACCAGTGATCTGTGTAAATAAGAACGAATTTTGTTCAAAATTCATATTTATGTAACATTCATTCTCAGACAGTCTGCGTTAAATGATTACGTAGTAAAAATACCAGTAAATAAATAAACAATCGTAAATTATTTGTAAAGTTTGTGGTTCAAATAAATTTATTAATATGCCACTGATAAGTAATGACGCAATGTTACGCGCAGGTTAATTGTAAATTATGTCAATACCTTGCCGGCAGTCGCCTGATTTAGACACCCTGGCATTTTCACAGTCAGTCTGGAGATCGCCTTTCGCCACACACCAGCCATCGTGAACCGAGGTGTCGCTGCTAGGCGAGCACGTCTGTAAGGCAATCTGTTTCACGTTGTTTTCAAAACAGCAGAATTCATCAGGCGAACAGTCTCCCGATTTTGAAAAGGTCATCGATCCACATTTGTCCATGAGGTTACTGCGAGCCACGCATTTGCCGCTGGAAGCCGGGTCGCTCGATGGACGACACACACGAGTCTTGGGCGCAATAACGACATCCGGCAGCAGTCGGTCTCCTTCGAAGCAGCAGAACTGTTCACTGGAACATTGGGAGGATTTGGAAATGCGTAAATCGTTGCATTGGGAATGCAACTGTGATTTATCGACGCACATTCCATTTTTGACATCCGGTGCCGTGTTGGGCGAACACATCGCCGTGCCGGTTTCCAGTTTGTTGGCAATGTTTGACGCATCGAAGCAGCAGAACTGATCGTCGCTGCAGTTAACTGATTTTGAGAAGGCTTTGTTGTTCTTGCACTGCGTTGTGAGATCGCCTCGGTTTATGCAAGTACCGGTGTTGATCGTTGGCTGCGAGTTAGGTGTGCACTGCCCAGTAGACTTAGCAGCGGTGGGCGTATCAAAGCAACAGAACTGGTCAGGTGAGCACCCGGTAGACTTTGCGAATCGCTTGGTACCACACTGCGATGTTAGTTGATTCCTGTTGACGCAGACACCATTCGTGACATCCGGTTCTGTTGCTGGACTGCAACCTGCAGACGCTGTTCCCTTATCGGACGCTCCGTTGTCAAAACAACAGAACTGGTTGTCGTCGCAGTTGTCGGATTTCGAGAACCTTCCGTTAATACACTGTCCTGTCAGTTGATCCGGGTTCAGGCAAACGCCATCGATGACCGATTTGTCGGTATTAGGCACGCAATTACCACCGGAAACCGCCATATTTTTAACACTGGTGCGGTCAAAACAGCAGAACTGATCGGCACTAGAACTGCAGTTAGACGATTTGGAGAAGGCTTGATTTTTGCACTGTTTTGAAAGGTCGCCTTTGTTGACGCAGACGCCATTGTTAACGCTCGGTGCGGTAGACGGTGTGCATTGTACAGACGGCGGCGCAAAACAGCAGAACTGGTCGGCGGCGCAGTTGCTGGATTTGGCGAAGCGCTGCGACTCACACTGCGTTACTAGTTCGTTCTTGTTGCGGCACTGCCCATTGTGAATGTCGGGCTCGGTAACAGGCGTGCAGCCTCCAGTATTAGTGACCGACTGCTTGATCGACGTCAACGACTGATGACTCTGGAAGCAGCACATGGAATCCGTCGGGCAGTTGAAAGATCGAGCAAAGGTCATGCCGTTGCACTGAGTGGGTAGCAAGTCTTTGTTGACGCAGTTTCCATTGGTAATTCCCGGCTCAGTGGATGGGCTGCAAGTGGTGGCAGCAGGATTTGCAGTGGTCGTCCGTTAGAAAAGCAGCAAAACTGGTCTGAAATGTACAACGTAAAACGTCAGTAATGCATACATATAAGTTGTACTCGTATTTTGACAGTTGTAGCTCAATTCGTCATTACGCTAATTTGTGGTTTCATCGCACATTTATTTTAGTTCTATTTTATCTGACTCTAGCTAAACCATAAAAAAAATAAAACACAAAATAATAATAGCGATTAATAACTGAATTATACTTTTGAGGAAAGTTAGCTTCTGCTATTATCAGATTCTGTTAGTTGCTTTCTTACCTGGTGCGCAGTCACTGGAAGTGGACACTCGGCTTCCTTTGCAGGAATCTGACAGCTGGTCTTGATCCGCACACCAGCCATTTTTATTGCTCGGATCCATGACAGGCGAGCATTTTGTGGCGTCCTTGTTGCGGTTAACGACAACTGCGGGTTCTTGAGCAAAACAGCAAAATTCCCCATCTTGGCAGTCATTTGATTTTGAGAATCGTTTATCAGCACATTGGGCGGACAGCTGGAAAACATCCACGCAGGTGCCATCATTGATGCTGGGGTCAGTCAACGGTTTGCATCCACCGGTGGAAATCTTGATGTTGACTGGTTGATTGCTGAAGCAACAAAACTGACTGGCTGTGCAGTTGCTTGATTTGGATAATTTCGAATTTGCGCACTTTTCGGTCAACTGATTTCGTTCAACGCACGTGCCGGTCGCCTGTGGTTCACTGTTTGGTGTGCACTGGACGCTTTGCAGTGCGGCTTCTTTTTCGCTGTTCTCGGTACGGTGGAAACAGCAAAACTGTGATTGACCACACTGGTCGGATTTGGCGAAACTCTGGCCTTGACAGTTCATCGCCAACTGACCGGCCTCGAGGCAGAATCCGTTGGTAACGGAGGGGTCAGTTTTCGGTGAGCAGGCATTCTGTGATGACGCCAACTGGGGCAATCCTACTTGGGTCTTTTCGGCATCTCGTGTAAAGCAACAGAATTCGTTGTCTGCGCAGTCGTTCGACTTGGACGCCAAGTGATTTTTGCACTGTTGCGAGAGCTCCTTGAGATTCAGGCACACACCGTTGTGGATGTCTGGCTCACTCAGCGGGGTGCAGCCTTTAGTAACTGCAACTTTGTCTGGTTTTTGGGCGCTCTTTCCGGCTGTGGTTGGAGCGAAACAGCAAAACTGGCTGGTCGGGCAATCTGTGGACGATGTCGTCAGCATGTTTTGGCACTTCTTTGCAATATCTTTGAGGATTAAGCAAGTGCCGTTGGTTATTGTGGGATCGGTTGACGGACTGCAGGATTTCGTTCCTGACGGAGGCACTGCGCTCATATCGCGTTGATCGAAGCAGCAGAACTGGCCTTGCGCGCAATCGCTCGATTTTGCTGCTGGTTTGTTCACGCACTGGGTAGCCATCTCGCGGACGGTCATGCATGACCCGTTAACGGTTGGATCATTGGCCGGACTACAGCCGGTATCCATTCCCAGTTTGTTGAGGTTCAGCGCACTCTTGGTTCCAGATGGGGCGAAACAGCAAAATTGACCGGATGCGCAGTCTTTCGACGACGTGGTCAGCATATTGGCGCAGTTCTGGGCGATTTGTCGGAGGGTCATGCAGGCACCGTTTGTGATGGTGGGGTCGGTTGATGGACTGCATGACTGCAGAGCGGAAATCGGCGGTGATGTTGGTGATTGTGTGGGAGGCACTGGAGTGTTTGTGGCAGTATTTGGAGGTTGCGTAGTACTGGTTGGTGACTGAGGTGAAGGCGTGTTGGGGGGCAAAGGTGTGTTGGGCGTAAATGTAATTCCGGACGCCTGGTTACCGGTACCACTTGGCTGGTCAAAACAGCAGAACTGATCTGCAGCACAGTTACTGGATTTTGCGGTAAGTTTGTTAACGCACTGCAGCGATATGTCACGCAGATTCAGGCAGACACCATTCGTAACCGTCGGATCGGTGGAAGGAGTACACGTTGCAGGTGCGGGATTTCCTGCCGACTGCTTGTCAGTTGTTCGGTCAAAGCAGCACCACTGGTCTGTACCACAATCGTTTGATTTTGCCGTGAATTTATTGACGCATTGCTGTGAAACTTCGCGGATATTTAGGCAGACACCGTTCGTAATGGCTGGATCGCTTAATGGACTGCACGACGCCAAGCCGGCTAGAACGGACTTCTTGGATGCCGTTGAATCGCGTGAGAAACAGCAGAACTGATCGGATGCACACTGCACCGATTTGGAGGCCAGCTGACCTTGACACTGGGTCATCAGTTGACTGCGAGCTAGACAAACGCCGTTATTAATTGACGGGTCACTGTTCGGCGTGCATGGTGTTGCTGCGGGGCTCGGTTGCTCTTTCACATCCTGATTGGGCAGGTCAAAGCAGCAGAACTGATTCGCGCCGCAGTCGTTCGACTTGGACAGACGGCGGTTTCCGCATTGCTGACTGAGCTGAGTCAGTTCTACGCAAGCGCCGTTGGTGACCGATGGATCGGAATTTGGGCTGCAGCGACTGTTCACCTGGCTCAGAGAGGTCTCCTGGACGGTGATATTGCTAGCTTGCGGGAAGCAGCAGTACTGGTCACCACGGCACTGAACGGATTTGGCAAACCGGTTACCACCGCATGCAGTGGTCAGTTGGACGCGGTTGAGGCATACTCCATTCGTCACAGTGGGATCGGTCATGGGTGTGCAGCTTCCCGACGGCATCTGTTTGACCTTTGATTCGTTCGCGTCCAAATCGAAGCAACAGAACTGGTTGGGACCACACTGTTTCGAGCGGGCCATGCGACGGGCTTGGCAGCGGTCCACCAGTTGACCTTTGTCCACACATTCGCCGGAACCGGTGGGATCGGAGTCTGGTACGCAGAGTTCACGAGGACGATTCATAACTTCGACTATGAGCTTGTTAGGTCGTCGGAAGCAGCAAAACTGTCCTCGTTCACAGTCGCCAGATTTGGAGAAAGCGCCACCAGCACACTCAGCAGTCAGTTGGTTGGGCGCCAAACACACGCCGTTTATTACTTCTGGATTCGAAGAAGGTCGGCAATTATGGACGTCAACGGAGACCTTCTTGACCTCTTGAATTACTGGCGCAGCTGTCGGCTACAATAGCAGTAGTATATTTAGACATGCGCGCTTCTGCGTCACGCCGTAGATTAAAAAAACATGCATTTTCAACTAACCTGAGCCTCTTGTGGACGATTGAAGCAGCAGAATTGTCCGTTGTCACAGTCGCTGGATTTCGACAAGAATCCTCCCGAACAGTTGGAAGAAAACTGGTTGGCATTCAAGCAGAATCCGTTGCTTACGTCAGGATTGGTTGCCGGTCGACAGGCGGAGCCGCTGTCCGGCTTTATTTTTTTAACTTCTTGCGGTTGTGTCACCTGGGCCGCGCTGGCCTAAATAAAACAATGACTACAGTATGACCGCAACACGGAGTAAAGTTATGAATTATTGCGCAAATTGCGGATAAAGTCATAAATTACTGCACAAATTACTTACCTGGAAACAACAGAACTGATTCATTCCACAGTCGGCCGATTTGGACAGTCGTCCGCCTTGACACGAAGTGGTCAGTTGGTTGAGAGTGAGACAAGTGCCATCTTTCACGCTTGGTTCACTGGCCGGAGTACACTTGCCACCGGAAGATATCTTTTCTGCTTCATCGGGTGATGGCAAAGAGAAACAGCAGAATTGAGTGCCAGGACAGTCGTTTGACTTGGCAAACCTCTGCCCAGTGCAGGAGGCGATAAGCATGCTGCGATCGGTGCACTTTCCATCGTGGATGCTGGGCTCCGTTAAAGGTGTGCAGGTGGCGCTCTGGATAACTTGTTTTGTTGGTGGTGATGGTGGCTGTTGGATAGCGTTCGGATTGAAACAACAAAACTGGCTTTGACCGCAGTCGGCAGACTGCGACAACCGTTGACCTCGGCACTGGTTAACCACCATCGATTGGTCCACGCAGACACCGCCGTTAACAAGCTGTGGTTGGCTGCGCGGTGTGCATTGCCCATTTTCACCTGCTTTGTTCCCTACATCAGCCGTTGATACTGCGTTGAAACAGCAGAATTGGTTAGATGGGCAACTGGAAGATTTTGCAAACGTCTTGGAACGACAGCGGGTGCTAAGCTGATTCAGCTCGGCACAGAAACCGTCATGAATGTCCGGCTGGGTATTGGGCGTGCATGACGTAACCGAAATTTCCTGTTTCGGCGCTGTAATAATTTGAGGTTGAGTGGAAAAGCAGCAGAACTGGTTCTGAGGACAATTATCGGATTTGGACAATCGCATTCCGCGACACTGGGATGTTAATAAGTTGGTCGCAACACAGCGGCCGTTGGTAATTTCGGGGGCACTCTTGGGACTACAGGATTCCGAAGAACCGAGCCGGTTTTGGTCGTTGGCTTGTTTGTTGGTGTCCGAGTTGAAGCAGCAAAACTGCTGAGCAGCACAGTCGGCAGATTTTGAAAAGGTCATGCCGCGGCATCGACTAGTCAGTTGGTCAAAGGCGATACACGCGCCGTTGTTAATTAGGGGTTGGGTGTTTGGTGTACACGAGGCTGCTGGAACTTCCTTTTCAGTCGGACGGTTAAAGCAGCAGAACTCATTGACGCTGCATGCGCTTGATTTGGCAAACACCATTCCGACACAATGGGTTTGCAATCGGTTAGCTACAGTGCAGATGCCGTTGGTTACCGACGGTGACGTTGAAGGCGAGCAGAGTTTCACACCGAATGGAGTCTCCTTCGGCGGAGCCACGATGACGTTATTTTGATCTGGCTGATTCACGAATGTTTCTTTGGGTGATGTGACCTTCGCTTGATCTGGTGACCCTTCGCTTGGTGTAACGAAACAGCACAGCTCGGACTTCTGGCAAGAGTCGGACCGGGAGATGCGCTGTGCACGACACCGGCTGGCGAGCAGTGAAGTGTGCACACAAGCGCCATTCGTCACCGATGGTTCGGTCACCGGTGTACAACCTCCAGTCTGTGGTAAGGATTCCCGTTGTGGTGGAGGGTTTGATCCGTCAACAGACTGAGCATCGACAAAGCAGCAGAAATGTTCGCTGGACGGACAGTTCAGTGATTTGGCAATGCGCTGACCTCTGCAGTCAGAGGTCAGCCGTTTAACGTTGACGCAGCGTCCATTTGACACCCAGGGCGCGGTTTGTGGACTACAACCGCCCACGCTGTTCAGACTGGTTAGCAGCACCTTGTTGGTCATGTTGCTATAAACCGGGTAGCCTGTCGACGGGAAACAGCAGTATTCATTGTAACCGCAATCAAGGGATAGCGCGAGTTGGTTAGTGAAGCATTGTTGGGACACAAGGGCGTTATTGACACATTTACCCACAATCACACTCGTGGAACCTTGCGGTTTGCACGCCTTACCACTGCTATACGGGGTGGTTGTCAACACCGTTGCTGGTGTCGTTGTTCGGGTTGTGGTCGGCGTTGTGTAGGTGGTGGTCGTAGGCGTTGTGGTGGTAGAGGTGGTAGTTGTGGGTGTGGTGGTCGTTCGCGTCGTCGTCGGCGTTGTAGTGGACGTGGTCGTCGTGGATGTAGTTGTTGTTGGTGTGGTTGTCCGGGTTGTTGTTGTGCTAGTGGTGGTTGTAGTTGTGGGCGTTGTTGTTGTGGTGGTGGTAGTGGGCGTGGTCGTGCTAGTCGTCGTTGTAGGTCTGGTGGTCGTTGTAGTGGGCGTTGTGGTGCTAGTGCTGGTCGTGCTAGTGCCCGGCATGAAGCAGCAGAATTCACCGCTGAGACAGTCACTGGACGCTGACATTTGCTGGTTGCTGCAGTACTGCGACATTGCCGAGCTGCTCCAACAAGTACCTTGAGCGCCGGGATTTCCATCGGGTACGCAAGTGTTTCCGCTTCCGTTACCACTGGCGACGGTCGACGATGATGTCGACTGGGTGGTAGTGGTGCCGGTTGAAGCCGTGCCCGTCGAAGTGATCAAAGGTGTTACGGACGTTTGGGTGGTATATGGACTTGTGGGTCCAGTGCTGATGGTGGATACGGTAGACTGGGTGCTAAAGGTTTCTCCGCTGGGATTGAAGCAACACAGTTGACTCAGCGAACAGTCCAATGACCACGAGATATCGTTCCCATCGCACTGCACGGAGATGTCGGAGCTCTCCACGCACAGACCATTCATAGTGGGATTGATGTCCGGGGTGCAGGTGCCGGTGGGAGGTGTTGGTCGAGTTGGTGGTACAACGGGATTACTGAAACAGCAGTACTCATACAAACCACAGTTGAGTGACGGTGCGGCTTGTTTCCCTGCACATCCACTGGCTAAATTGAACACGGACAGACAGTTTCCGTTGGTAACGTTAGGGTAACCCTGGGGTGAACAGAATCCGGGTGTTGGGGTAGGGGTAACGGTTACGCTGGTTACCCCTGTGACTCCAGTTATGCCGGTCACCCCTGTTACGCCGGTCACTCCTGTTACGCTGGTCACTCCTGTTACGCCAGTTACATCGGTTACTCCCGTAACGCTAGTAACAGTTACACCCGTAGCTTGGGTAGGCTGGTAAGCAGCTGTGGTGGTACCCGAATTAGGCACCGTTCCTAAAAAAATAACAAAAGGCATTGGTAGTTTGGTAGCAAGCAGAATATATTGCAAAAATTGGGAGATGAAGCTGTACCGCTGCTCGGTGTTGTGCCGGTAGATGGTGTATTTGTTGACCCTGATGATGGTGTCGTAACTCCGGTCGAAGTGGGCGTCGATCCTCCGCCACCAGGTGTTGACGGTGACGTGGTGCTACCAGGTATAACGGTGTTTCCTTGAGTTTCGATCAGGTAGCAGCACAGTTGACCACTATCGCACTGCAGGGACGTGCCGACTTCGTGGGCGGCACATTCCGTCGGCAGCAGCGAGGTTTCTGTGCACATGCCGTTTGTGATCGTGGGCATTAGTTCTGGCGTGCACGTACCGCCGCCACCCGACACGTATGTTAATGGTGGCGCTACTGGATTGGAGAAGCAACAGTATTCTCCGTTACTGCAGTTCAGAGACGGGGAGGCTTGCATGCCGGCGCATTGCGGGTTCAGATTCCAAATCGACACACATTTGCCGGTAACTGGCAAGTTGCGGTACATCTGCGGAGCGCAGGCCTGTCCCGTAGTTGAACTGGTGGTGGTGCTTCCTACAACAACACATGGTTCGAAAACGAATTTTCTCTTGCAAAATTGTTATGAATTTCCTGTAATAAGCAACTGCACATTTGTACAATTACTGCCACATAACTATCCGAGGCTATTATTTTAACCGCATATTTAATTACGCACTGAGTTATTTCTGATGGCAATAACCGTACAGTAAAAATATTTTATGACTAGCACGCAGACTTAAGGTATTCATACTTCGTATTACACATTTCCTTAATCAGAAAGCCGACTGTCTGCATGTCTGATTAGGCAGACATAAAAATCCCATTTATTTTGTTTTGTCTCATAGAAAATGAATTTAACCGGATGCCCGTGTCAGCATCAGCGGAAGTGTTAACAATAGCACGGATGCGGCAGACTTTCCTCACGTAGCGGCACATGCATGCTGAGAACGATCAAGCCCTCTTAATACTAATTGCGTTCGTATGGTTGCGGTCTATTGTAACTCTGGCCACGTGGATATAGCAGAAGTGCGCTACCGCCGAGATAGGTCTGCCACAACAATGCACTGAAGAAGCAGGTCTTTAGCATGCGATTGTGACCGGCAGCGATAAAAAATCTGCTTTCGTACTGTACTCGCTAACCGCTGATACCGTGCGTACAGTACACTCATGCATGTGCCGGTAGATGGACAGTCAGCAGACAATGACCTTTAGAAAAAGCAGACTGACAGCCGATTAAGATTTCGAACGGTAGATTTTTTTAACTACTTACTCTCGCTCTCGCGCATTTTTATTTATTTTAAATTACCTGTTGATGACGTTCCCGTTGGCGTAACGGTATACGGAGTCACCGTGCTCGGTGTGTTTGTGGCCACTGTTCCCGTTGCTCCCGTAGTTCCCGACGACGGTGTCGTGTAAATAGTGTAAGATGTAGATCCTGCATTATCATACTAATTGTAAGCGTTCGCTGACATAATATCCGAAAGACTGTAATAACAATTTACCTAAGGTCATGGTTGTCGGCGTCGCCACAGTAGTTAAATCCGGTAGACCGGTGCCCGAGTAACAACAATACTGTGTCGTTGCACAGTTGGGTGACGTCGAGGCTTCGATACCTGCGCATCGCGATGATAACTGATTATTGTCTACACAGAACCCGTTGTTGACGGCCCGATTCGAATCCGGAGTGCAAGAGCCAGGCGCGATGGTTGCCGGGATCTGGCCCATATCAACAGGGCCATTGCCATGCGAATAACAACAATACTGGCTAAAACCGCAGTCCAGGGAATAATCGATTTGGATTCCCTTGCATTGTGATGCAATCTGAGTGCGATGCACACAAGTTCCGTTCGGCAGACCTGCAACAGTTTCACTTTTCATGCTTCATAGTTCTCACAGAACAAAATTTTTTGAAAAAACTATAACTGCAATCTAGCATATATTTCAGGATTTCAGATTTTTAACGACATTTTCTCGTTAAATGCGTACCCGAAGGCGGTCGTCCCGGTCGGCAAATGACCACAGGAGCCGCTGTGCTTCCACCCTGCCCGCTGGACGAAGTGGTGGCTATTCCTGACGGCGTAGTAGTCTGGCCTCCGATCGGACCGGTAGTCGGGGTAGTCTGCCCACCAATCGGACCACTCGTTCCCGTTGCACCTCCGGCACCCGTCGAGCCGCTTCCACTTCCGGCTGTTGTTGTTGTTGTCACCCCCGGTCGTGGTGTGGTTGTTGATGCCGGTCCCGTTACCACGGCAGGTGTGGTGGTCGTTGTCGTCGTTGGAGCACGAGTGGTCGTGGTGGTGCTCGTTGTCGGCACTGTTGCCGGCATAATGAAACAGCACAATTGGGTGGCCTGGCAATTCAGCGATGTGGACACCAGCATTCCTGGGCATTGTCTGGCGATGCTATTCGATTCCACGCAAGCACCATTGGCGATAACCGGATTACTAGCCGGTGAACATGAGCCGGCCGGTAAATTGAGCCCACCGTTCGGTGAATCGGCGACAAAACAGCAGTACTGATTATTCTGGCAGTCAATCGACGGGGAAATCTGTTTGCCCTTACAGCTCTGGGCGATCTGGGAGGATGGTGTGCAGACGCCGTTGGTGATGGTCGGATAGCTGCCCGGACTGCACAGGCGCGTATTACTGGCCGTGGATGTGGAACTACTGGTCGTGGTGCCCATTGTCATAACGGTGTAGTAATTATTATAGCTACTGGAACCGACAGCCTGCTTAGATGTGGTATCACTGTAACAGCAGCTTTCACCGGGATTACAATTGGTGGATGTGGACATTTTCGCACTGCACCGATTGGACACTTCCGACGCCGCCACGCAAATTCCGTCGGGAATATTCGTATTGGCATCCGGAATACAGAATCGGTCAACCAGATCGCCGTTCTCCGCTGTCTGGCCCAGCGCCGACAAGCGTGAAATGGGCGGAGTGGTAACGGCCGCCGTGGGCGGGGCGCTGGTGGTAACCACATTGTCCGGGTTGTAACAGCACAGCTCTTTACCGGAACAATCCAGAGAAATACCCTGTTGCAAATTTTTACACTTTCGTTGAATCTGATTCCGCAGCACGCACACGCCCTGTACATTGGGCAGGTTTTCCGGGTTGCAGTCTTTCGGTTTCGCTGAGATGGCGGCCGGCACGGGATTCGGTTTGGCGGCCTCTTTGTTGGCGGTGTTGCTGGGCGCTGGTGGCTGCTTGTTGTTCTGCTTCGTGTTGGCACCGTTGGATCCAGTGCCGTACGATGTCGATGAGCCTTGATTTTGCGATTGATAGCTGTTGGCTTGGTTGCCTTGGGCATAATTATTTCCGCCGCTATTGCCCCATCCGTTCATACCGTTGTTGCCGTAACCTCCGCTGTTGTACGAATCGCCACCTCCGTAGCCACCGTATCCGCTCATGGGATTTGATCCGAATACGGAGGGCATGTAGCTGCCTCCACCGCCCAACGCGGGAGGTTCGGGAGGCAGAGGCGCTCCAGGAAGATCTGCAAAAAGAATTCCAAGATGTACAACTTTAGACATTCTGCGCTGTAGTCCGATCGATTTCTTAAAGTATATCTTGCATGTTTTTTATAAATTTTTAATAATTTGTGCTTAGTGTCGAATCAAATGAATCAAACGGTCTGGTTGATATCACAATATTATGAATTTGTGTTGCGACGGATTCGAGCGTCAAATGCTGGCTTAGTCAGTTTGTAGTGGTAATATTTATAAACTATATTCAGATACAAGCCGGAGGAGAACTTCTTTAACAGTACTCAGGATTTGTTTTGACTTTACACGGGTTTAACTTGATACAGACTCCGAACGTTGATGATTTATAAAATTGTAATACTGTATACGAGTACTGCTATTTTGTAAAATGCCCATTAATTAACACGTAATTTGTAGCATAACGCGCTGTCGTGTACTAGTAGGCCTTAAACCGTGATAACTACTGCAGATAGTAGCTTATTCAAAACTAAACCAAATTCACCGGTTTATGAAATACATTCATTAGAACATACTTTTTGTCGTTTACTAATGTATCGTTATTAGTTATCGTTAAATATTTTCAGTGCAATTATTTATTGCACTGTATGCATTGCAGTGTTTAGTAGCATGATACTTGAGTCACCGATGATTTTCATTGTACTTACCATATTTAGCGGAACGTCATCGTTATCATTTGTCAATTAGAGGTTCGCTTAACAAAACGCCAACAAAATTATAATATAGTACTTGTCTAATTTAATATTCTTTTGTAAGTAAATAACAGGCCATATTCGCATATTCATATTCTGTATGTATTTTATTAGCAGTAGTGGACGTCTGCTACATCGGAAGTCAAAATTGCATATTTTGCAGGACAACCTACGAAGTTCAAGTTCAACAACCGTGTGGTCTGCCAATCATTTTCAAAGCAGTTAGGCTTCTGCCGACTGGTTCACCTACTTTTTATTCTCTCAGAATTACGTTTTTGAAAGCTATCATAATGTATTTCTCATCTCCTGTTAATAGACTGTAGAAAGAGTTGAAGATAGAATAGACAGATAGTTTGGACTCTTGATATTTGTAAAATCGTAGATGCTTCTTCTACGTTTGTACTTATTTTGAATAGATTTCTATCCAAGCCATTACTTAATATAATTTAATGTACCAAAGCTTCTGTCGAGAAAAAACTCAAATTTCGAGATCTCTTACCGGTTACCCTACATTAAAACCGAAAAGCGTACGTTCTAATTGTTCAGAACTATTTTGTGAAAATGTTAGTGGAAATGTCTTTTTGTATTTGAAGCCATCTGGTGTAGAAATTTGGTTAAAACTGTAGCGCAAAAAAATTCGCGGAAAGAGTTTACTCAGTGTAGCATATGTGCGATAAAATAATTACCATGAAATACGATTATTAATACACGGGCATTAATTGATTTAAACTGATCACTATGGGGTAAACAAACAAACTAATTGAATGTTTAATCGCAAGTAGGACTTACTAAAATTCATTTGATCCGTATTAGGATAATTCATAAAGGGATTTGCTGCCACTGAGCTCTTATATCCTGTGGATATGCCGGGATCACCGTATGAGCGGTCACTCCGCATCGGACCGCCATTATTCCCAATCTGAAAACCAAGTTGCCCTGCTGCCCTCCCATACCATTGGATAAGGATAGCAGACAGTATTGTCAGTGACCCTGTCCGACCGGCCATTATGAGGACGCGGTCCCGCGGCAGCCGTATTATCCGGACGAAATTGGACTGATGTTACCGGTGTAACCTTAAGTGTCCAAGCGGTAATCAAGGTCGACAGAAGCACTTAAGAGTGCCGAATGCACGCGGCGGCTCCGATGCGAGAGATCAGTTGTCAAGAAACGAGACCTTCTACGAGAAAATTAGAAAACGTAAAAATTTCGTGAAAAAGACATATTGATGGTAATAATAACAAAATGGATGATCATGAGAATACTGGCTACCGGCTAGTGTATTGATGGTAGCGATGAATGCGAAGAGACTAACGAGCCACCACGACGTAGTCAGTCCGAAAAGGAAGTAAATGACACTTGTGTATTGAACGAATCATGTTTCACGCCCGAGGACGATGATCTAAAGTTCATGTACGAGCGGCAAAAAATAACAACTTTTGCTACATAGATATATGTCACTTCTTTGCTGGCATCTTCGCCGTGATGCAGACACCGAGGATTTCTTAAAGGTGTTTTAAGTGGGCAAATCAAAAAAGTGCACTGAAAGAAGTTAAAGTATGTACGGATTTATAACTTCTCGATCCATATAATAGGTAGATCAACAGTCATTCAGTACCCAGATTTCGTTTCTGTTACGCTGCTGTTTTGTTAAACCCTATTTCAGCGATAATAATGTTAATGATCCTACTATCTGCAGCATCCCTTCCTTATCGCTTTGATTACTAAAGGAATGAATTATCGTTAAGTATGGCGCGGACGTCCACCTAATAGTAGCTAACGATCGTCTCCGTATCCACATATCGGCGAAACTGTGATCACATGTCGATTCAGTGTATTTTAACAAAATAATTACAATTATTTTGCTTTCTGTGAATGCACATTTTTAATTGGTCTTAATGAAATGCGTTATTGTGCATTAGGTCAAAACCAGTACGTATTGTACGTGTGGACCATATCGATGCGATTCACAACTTGCTTGAGCTGGTTCAGTAGTCACGGTACTACTCTGTAGAGCGGCGTATTACACCATAACCTTTTGATGAAATTTTAATATGACGTTAATTTATGCATAATTGACTCATGATTGGCGTTCGACCTTGAAGCTTTTTCCACTGCCGCTCGGCTATTTCGCGTTCCGGCACACGTTTTTGTTATGCATTTGTGGTTTTTGTTTATAGATTACACCATCAAACCTGACTGGAACATGTAGGTCAAGAGGCGGCTGGATTGGTTTGCATAAACGGTTGCATGTCAGTCACGCTCGGATCCACTTTGTAATGCGTAAAACGGTAGCAACCCTTGAACTTGCTTTGCTTTCGGAGTGTCATGCTCATCATTGCATACACTGATTTGTCCGTTACGCTGTCGTTATCAGTTACATAAACCCTTGATGCAATCCATGGTAACCTTTAATTATAGTCACAGCGAACCGCCATAACCGGATACCATCCACAAGCAGTGGCACGATGACAAAACTCTTCATTAATACTCGTAGCACATATTAGATCGACGCGATTGGTTGTTAGATGAAATTATAATTATATGTTCATCACCCAACGCGAACTAGGGCGTCATTTACGAAAAGATGCGACGTCGTGAAATTTTCTTGCACATGTACGTAATAATTTCACACCTCAAAACGTGACATTGTTTTCTGTCCTCGGTAGGCACACATCGTTACAAGCTAATAAGCATATTGCTGGTGCAGATGAACTATGGCATATATGGCATGCCTTTGCGGAAAAGAGTGCAACTGTAACTTGTATCTGTCCTATAAATTCTAAAAATTTACAAAGTGAACTACAGTACAAAAGCAGTGATATAGTATGTATGGACTATAGGTCTGTGTGTAAGTGTTGATGGGTTAGAGCTTAGGTGTTTTTTAAAATAAGTGGATTTTTATCGTGTACTGTAATTGTAGTTTGTAATAAATTATGTCCAAGAGCATATTACTCAAATATGCACACCAGTGTCGCTCTATATGCCAAATAAACTGCTTTCGTTAAACAGATCGTTAGGTTAAACAGCAATGCCAATGAGCAATTTCCATGAATTTTCAGAAAGCTTATTATTGCAGTGTGTTAATATTTTAGTCGTAATTTATAAAAATACGGCTAGTTAATTTACAAACATGATCAACGTAAATGTATTTTACTTGTATAAAATGATAGGCCGCTAAACGGTCAGTAAGCAACTGGAGGAAAGTTGCGAAGTATCGAAAAAAATAAATGGAATTGTCATTAATGGTACAGAGTACACGACTATAAATATAATGGATTTAGAAAGTGATCTGGTAATTCCTATTCAGCCACGTGCGGAGCAGTTACCAAATGGAAAATGTCTACGATCTCAGAGACAAACATGACTGAATAATGTAGTTTTGGTTCATTACCGACGCGGTACTGCTTTAATCAGAAATGTTTTTCGTTTGCGATTCTTTTACCGAGAGCACCTGGCTGCATTAAGAATTATATTCTTATGGTCATCGTGTCCGTTGCAAACACTTTCGCTTTCTTAATAAATTGAAGCGTGTTGTACAGTCAGTGCAGTCTAAGCACGTACGGCTCCTCTGTTATTGAGCGCTGCCGAATTGTGAACTTGTCCACAGTATGTAATTTTTATCGGCTGCGTAATCACTCATTCCTTAATTAATTAAAAGTACACCATAAAAGCAAACTCCAAATCAAGGTGGACATGTATCGCGCTTCAGCTAACAATAAGCAATCTGAATTTCCGAAATAAGTCATGACAACAAATTTCTACGTCATCCAACTGTATCCAATTGTGTTTATTGACGTTACTGTATCAAGATTTTTGAACGATAATATGCTAATAGTAATAATAAATAAAAATAAATCAACGCTTATGCTTTGCATTTTGCGGCATAACTATTTGATCTTCGTAAAAAACGAATATAGAGTTTTTTGCGCAAGATTAAAAGATTTACGCTTCTCGTAATCTTGCCATTTGCCTATCAAAACGACCATTTTCCGAAAACGTCCATCAGACCAAAATGAAATACGATGTTTCAAGCGTGGACAATACAAGATGCAGAGTATATACCGCGGCAAGTTGCTGGTTGAATTATCAAAACTTACAATCCGTTGGTTTCGAATGACATCGCCTAATCGACAAAATTGCTGCCATTTTCCGGCAGTGTAATTAGGGTCAATTTAACGGCTGGGAAAGGATATACCTGCGGTGCGATGCTAGTGATTGCTCCGAGATTGTTCAATAGTAATTAATAATGAAGAGTAATCAGGAAAAGATGTTGGTTGTTCATCACTTTGGTCGTAGGTTATTGACCCATCAAGCCGAATCGGCATTTTGTGTACGCATTTCAAACACAGTACATAATTCTTAACTGTTGCAACAGATCAGTTTATGCAGCAAAAAATGAAAAATAAATGCAAAAGTGCATATAGAACTGCTTATTAATTTACAACTTGTCGATTTGTTGACCTTGTGTTGATGTTATTGATAACTCTAAATTTTATGAATGTGATTACGATAACCATTTTAAAATATGAATGGCAGTTGATATGTACGTAGAGACAGTAGAGTAGTTGTTTGCCCGTTTTTGAGACTAGGATCAGAAAGGTGTAGAGATTATAATTAGGCAAATACTCGTACAGTAATTATTGGCTTTATTGGTTATTTGTCTTGCAGCTTAACTAGCGTTTGATTTCATTAATTCAGTGCTGTTAATTTAAAGGTCAGCACGAACAGGGACTAATTAAGTGCTGGGATCTAGGGGGTTTTAATTGTTGCACAACATACTGCGCCACCAGGCTTCCTTTTACTCGAGTGCTTTTCAAAAATTTTTAACACAAATACGTTAAAAGTTCAGCATTCCTAGCACAGCGGTAAATACACTAGATGAAGTCTTGTTCAGTAGTCATCCTCAACTGTAGTCCGTAAATTAATTTACTGCTTCATCTCGATATAACCGACGTGATGCAAACAAGCTATTTCACGTATTAACGGCAATTGTTGGACTGAGTATAGAGTAAATTCTATAGAATACTTTAAATGATGCTTCAGCCATGAAAACTAATTCTTCGTCAAATTTTCTAGGCCTAGTACTACCTAGATAAGAACAGGTTACCGTACTATTTGAAACCAGAACTTCTATGCCAGCTAAAAATACGGTTCTTTATTTACGAGTAAAAACAACGACAATTTAAGATCATACAACAAACCGGAAAAATCTTTGGGAAATGGGAAACGAAAACAAACAGGCTAACAAATCAGCAGAACATGATCATCACGAAAGAATTTACGAATATCGTTCGACGTTTTGTGCATGCGGAGGGTAGAAGTTTTTACAAAGACCTAGGCCAGCTGACCGGTTCGGCTGCTACGTCATCCACTGCTGGAGCGGATTCCGCGTTTCCCGCATCATCCCGACCAGCGGGCACAACAGCGTCCCTTCTGAAACAACACAGCTGATCATCGGCACAATTCCGCGACGTCGCTGCTTCTCCTCCTTGGCAGCTGGTGGCCACTGTCGCGGGATCCGTGCAGAATCCGTTACTGATTTCCGGGCTGGTGTCCGGCGAACAGAAGCTCTGACTGCTCACATCACTACGGGAATCCAGTCTGGAGAAGCAGCAGAATTCTTCCGCGGCACAGTCACCCGACATGGACATCTGCATATTCTTGCACACGGTGGGTAGGTTGGACTTCAGTGCACAGGTGCCTTTTTGCGCTTTATCCGAATCCGGAACACATTCCGCTTTGGAGGCAAAATTTCGTGCAAAGCAGCAGAATTCCCTAGCACCGCAGTCGCTGGATTTGGACATTTGCATATTTTTGCATGTGCTTGTGATTTGGGACGACTGGATACATGAACCTTTTTGCGAGGGATCCGAGAAGGGTGTGCACTCGGTCTTCAGGCGAGGTGCCGACCGGTCAAAACAACAGAATTCTCCAGAGTTACAGTCACCCGAGATAGACATCTGTTTATTCTTGCAGGAACCGGGCAGTGTCGATCTATGCACACAGCTGCCCCTCTGGGAACTGTCGGAAATTGGCGTGCAGGGAGCTGTAACCTTGCTCATTACGTCCACAGATTTTGGCACTACATCGGCGAATTTGTTAGGTGACACACTTGCAGCGCTCTTGTTATAACAGCACATTCGGTCCAGAGCACAGTTGAGTGATGTGGACATTTCGATTCCAGCGCAGCGTTGGGCTAGCTGGTTTGTATTGACGCAAAAGCCGTTATTAACGGAAAGGTCATTTTCGGGTACACAGTATCCGGCTGACGGGGTGGAGG